GAGTTTCTCAAATTAAACAATGTTTAACAATCTTAGCTAATGAGGTTGAAATATATTGTATAAAACCTTAACGGTTTGAAGAGAGCCATTTGACGGTAGAGATATGAAGCAACGATTAACGGAAAAGTACGCTTATACGATGTATGCAATAGCTTTGAATTTAGGAAAGCTTTAGTTCCTCTGAGAAAATTAAAACATCTCTCCTCGTGACCGCGCAGCCTCATGACTTATCTTTTTATGCGAGACTCAGGCACGTAAACAGACCAAAAAAGAAAGATTTGTGCTCGTATGCCCGTCTATTGCGTCCTATTTAGGTCGAAATTTTTAACAGTGAGTGGTCATACGATAAACTGCTTATTGAATGAGTTTGGTTGGGCCGAACGGGAAAATATTTGGTTCTCGGTCATGAAGCAAGGACCTCGTTGCGCTCCTACCACTCAATCAATAAGTATTTCGGTTTTGTACGTCACACTTTTATCACTCATGATGTAATTGAACATGAAAAATGAAAAGTGTTATTCTATTTTTAATGGGGAACGACAAGCTTAAGTGTTGGGTCTTTGAAAAGTATGATTTACATCACAAGATTGATCACAGCACAACCTAAGTCTCTTTCTTTAAACGGTAACCTATCATTGCGTACTCCTTGTCGTTGTGAACTTTTCATTTACCAGCGGAGGTGATTTGCATGATCGAAGCCAGAATTGCTGAAAAACTGAGTGACTGTATTTCGGTTTAGCACGTCACACTTTTCTGACTAATGATAGATTTTAGCGTCCAAAATTGAAACATCTTACTCTGTTTAACCAAAACGCCAGGCATGAGTGTTCATCCCTTTTGGAACGATTGGATTTGCTTGACGAGATCGATGAGATCGAGAGTACAACTAAAGGTTCTGTCTTTAAACAGTAAGCTATCCGTGCGTGAAAATTGATTCATTGTACTCATGAACTTTTCATTTCCTTGTGGGTGTGATTCGTAAATTAATAGTTTGCTTTTTCTCGAGACGTGAGCCTGATGTCAGCCTCTGCTGAAATCAGTAACGAACATTCTGCGTTATGAATATGCCTTGATGTAGGATTGATTTTAGTTTTTAATCACCTAATTGTGGAAACCATCAGTTTTTCAAATTAAACAATGCTGAACAATCTTAGCTAATGAGGCTAGAATATATTGTATAAAACCCTTACGGTTTGAAGAAAGCAATTTTACGGTGAGGATATGAAGCATCCGATCAACGGAAAAGTACGTTTATAACATGTATGTAATAACAGTGAATTTAAGAAAGTTTCAGTTTCTCTTAATCAAAACATCTCCCTTCGTGAGCGCGCAGCGTCATAACTTATCTTCTTATGCGAGACTCAGGCGCTTAAACAGACAAGAAAACGGATTAAGGTGTTTAGAAAAATATGTACCGTAGAACCAGCCGCTAGTATCCAAAGATTTAAGAGAAGGGTATCTCGACCATGAAACGCTTGTGTACATGAAGAAAACGGAAATTCAATTCGAATCTACCGCGATCTCTGAATCGATTGCTAAATGCTCCTAAAAGAAAATCAAGTTAATAGCTGATGCAGATCATAGCCACTGGAAAACCATCTAATAAAGCACTACGGATTTCCTGGGAGTTGGACAGTCCACACCATAAATAGAGGTCTGAATTTAGTTTTATGATCATCAACTTCTCAAATTGAACGATATTCAATAACCATAATTAATGAAGATAAATTATACGGTTTGAAGCCACAGAGATTTGAAAAAGTCGTTGTAGAAACAATTTATTTCACTGTGGTGACGATTCAATCGCGCCATCAACCGCTTTAACGAATGGCTAACGCTCGAAACGTGACATATTGCAAACAGAAAGATCCAACAAAGCAGTTACTGGACTTTGCCATAAGAGCCTTACCTCGCTACAGTTACTAAATAACTAAAGCTGATAAAAACCGAGTGACTAGAAAAGATTTTCAATCGTACTTACCAAGATGTTGACAATGTGGCTGATGCTTTCAAAATGAAACAACAAAAATTATGAATTACTTTTCCCAACCTTCCGAACTTCCGCTGTCACAGTGTTTTAGGTATCCAGATCACGTGTGTTTAGGTTATTCCCTATCCCCTCTGGGCTAATCGAGATAAAAAGGGAAAGTTTTTAATTGCATATTTTTTGTGTGCCTATATGCCCGTCTATCGCGTCCCATATAGGTTGAAATTTTCAACAGTTAGTGGTCATATGATAAAATGCTTATTGACCGAATTTGGTGGGGCCAGTGGGGTAAATATTTCGCTCTGGGTCATGAAGAAAGGAATTCATTGCTCTCGGTCCGTAGGTCATGACCCCGAGCCAAATATTTTTCCGTCCGGCCCTACCACTCAATCAATAAGTACACAGTATTTCGATTTTGTACGTCACACTTTTATCACTAATTATGTAACTGAACATGAAAAATGAATTGTTATTCTTGTTTTTAAAGGAAATGTCAGGCTTTAGTGTTTATCCCTTCGAAAGGTTTGATTTTCAACAACCTTAGTTTTTTTTTTTAACGCGAAGCTATCTTTATGTCATAATCGACTCATTGTCTTTGTGAACTTTTCATTTTCTAGCGGGTATGATTTGTATGATCGAAGACAAAACTACTAAAAAAACCAAGTGACTGTATTTCGGTTTGGCACGTCACACTTTTATAACTAATGATGGTTATAAAATAATTGAGATAGTTCGCACGCTCTCATAGGTCAAAAAGTTAATTTAGATGAAAGTATGTAAACACAGCTTGTTTGCACTTTTAATGTTTGCCGGCACAATTTGAAAATATTTCAAACTCAAAGTTTTCCAAGTACTCGCAAAGTATTTTCAAGTACAAATAATAAATATCGGAATTGGAGAAAAATGTGCCAATTTTTTATTTGGGGTTTGGCTACCATACCCCCTCCCCGATGAGGAACAAGAAGGAGGAAAAAGAGGAACTAGCACTTTGCCTGCCTTGATGATCAAAGTAAATAGATGAAACGAAAGTTTGAAAATTTGACAAGATTTTGTTGATAGTAACCTCAAATCAAAACTCACAAATTTTTTGTTACTGCCTTTGCTACATTATAAAAATGAAGAAGCAAAATTTCATAACTAGTTCAACTGTTCAATAAATAAGTTGTTAGTGTGGAAATTGAAGATATAAGAAAATTCTAAATACTTTCTTTTATATTTCCAATATTGAATTTTAAAAGTTATGAGTCAAGAGAACAACATAGTTCTATACACTGATATACTTTTTATTTCATCTAAGCAAAAGCTTCTTACACGAGTGGCGCAAACATGAACGTACGTCAAATTTCTGTCTTGAATACTAGTTTCCGGGTAAATTGTCCAATCCATATGCAGCCTTCAGACACTGTAATCAGTTACCCGTTAGGGAGCTCGGTGTATCAGATCGAAAGCTGAGCTTTCGTGCACAAATGTTTTAGAATGAAAGTCCAGGGATTGCTTTGAAATGTTTTGAATCACCACCTCAAATGTATCATATTTGAGTTCCATTCATTTTCAAACCAACAGCGAGGAGAGATATGGTGGAGAACACAGGAAAAGAATTAACCACGTCAACTATCAACATAGGTTTAACTGTCGCCAATTTCCTTCTCAACACTGGTTTTGTTCTGCAAGCCATCCTGTTGTGCGAAGAATGCTTGATTTTGCTTAATAGTGGAGATTTAACCAATGGTAATCCGGTTGCCAAACTATTTCATCAACTCATGAACAATTTAGGGAAAAAGGCGTGTTCGACAAAATGTAATTGTATAAATATAGAAGACTTCAGGCAACTGTTACCCTTATGTAAGGACTCTGATGGCAACGTCCAAAAGGAAAGGCTGAATTTAGCACTTTCTAAATAACTTCATGCTCAAAACAAGTTCGTTGAGGCTTGAAGATTTGATGAGGTGGCAATAAAAATCATGAAAATGACTGGAAATGCCGGTGGTACTTAGCCGTTGTAACAGTGCTCGTGGAAAAATTAGAGCCGAGGGAGTTATTGGAATCGCACGAGCGTTCATAGGATCTACTGCTCGCTCAGCGTTAGCGCCACATTGGGCCCTGGACGACACAGCTACAGAGCAGTTCATAAATTGTTTCTACGGACACTTGTTCCACTGTGAAAGTGTCAGTGAATCTCTGCACGAGGCTAGAAAGAGGATAGGGAAAAACGGCTTTGCCGAAGTTTGTCATTAGGCTTCGTTCATGCTAACTGGCGACAACGTGAAATTTGACTTTTGAAATTGTCCGGTGCCTATTCCATACAAAAAGCCAGTAGGTCAAGTAAACCCACTTTATCAGAGCAAAAGCTTGTAATTGTCGATCACCTTTCCTGGAAAACCGTCACTTCAAGTCTTGCTTCTCTGACTCGTGTAGATTTCTTGGCTCTAGTCATTTGATATAGATAATAAATTACTCATACGCGAGCCACTGCGATGACGAAATGTCATTTGCTACTTGAAATTCGAGAAGAACCATTTTGAGTGGCTTGGTCCTCAAACGGTGGCTGGGTGTTGAATTGTGCTGTCTTTTGTTTTCTTCGAATCCAGTTTTGAGGCTGTTAACAGATGTCTTCTTTGCGTGCAGAATCTCGATAAAGTGGTCGTGGCAGCTAAGAATATTTGACTCATCGTTAATATGGGATAAATAAATAAAATGCAGTTCTCTGTACGATTCAAAACAACAGTGTACACGGGTAACTTATTTTTTTCGAGTGTATAATTAACTCCCATGAGAGACTAAGGCAGAATTTCTCCTAATAATATCAATACAGTATCAATCATATAGTTGATGAGAAAAAGAAAAATATAAATTTGGGGATAATTAGTTGATTAGCTGATACTAAATTCTTAGAACTAACATTATAAGAATTGTATAGTTGACAGTAAGGAGAATTACAAATTTGAACTGGGAGTTAAAGGGTTAAATTTTATTTGATCAAAAACATGAACAGCAATAGAGGAAATTAGCTAGCACAATTCAAGTTTCCCCTCTTAAGTATTCTGTGATGTTTTTTCTATCACATGGTAAAGTTTACAGTTTCCCTCATTTCACTGTCTTCTGTTCACTTGTTTGTTTGCTTTCCTAACAATCTTAGCTATTGTTGCTAACAAATGCAAGGAGTATATACATGAAAATGTGTACAGCTAATAACACTTTAATCCCTGAGAGTGACTAGCATCTAATTTCTCCATTCAATATCCCCCCTGAGTCACACATTTAGGTCACGAGAATAAAGGAAATGATAATCAACTGAAGAACCTCTTTGAGTAATTTGGAAATATCACTCCTCTAGTATATCCCAGATGCTCCTAGTAATCATGTTATTTCCTATAAAAAATCCTTCTTGATCAATCAAAGTGATATATGAAGGAGATGTATGACTGTGTTGGTCATCAGAGCAGAAGAGAGAAAACTTTCTATCAACAAAGTGACATGCATACCAAATATAAACACTACCAAAGGCCTTTTGTTGTTACCTTGTGGAGCTGGACTTTATGGCCTTTACTCTACAATATATAGTACATCCAGACATTAAATTAACCTTAATTCTGACTAAAAAAATCTCATTGAAAAGATCCTAATTGAAAATCCTGCAATTTTGTTTGCAATCGAGGTTAAAGTAAGGGAAATTGATAATCACAGATATAGTGAATAAGGGTTACTTCTTAATGACAAAGACTTAAATCAGTCATAAAATGTACTTTTAATTTTTAAAGTCATCAAACTGCTCAGCTCATCCTTGTCTCGTTTTCCTCATGACTGTTTTAAATTGTTAAAAAAAAAAATTTGTGATTGAGTACATCAGCTATTGAATTGAAGTGCCTATTGTTTTCATCTGCCAAACTAAAAATTGTCCATGGTTATTTGAGTATTTTTGGACTGTTTTTCACTCTAGAAGTAGACACAGATACCGGTAGTAAAGGAAGTTTCCTATAGAAAAGCTGCAGTTACAGCATTTTAACGTAGCTGTACATGTTAATTTCCCCTTGTTCGTGATGCTTTTTAGACTACCCCAATACAAAATCTGTACATCTATTTTACTCAAATATAGAGAACTTCATTTTCATAATATTAACATTTTTTCAATATAAACAGTGCTACAATGTAGTATGTGAATAGGGCATGAAGCAAGAAGCCCCCAGAAAATGTGTTGACTGCAATTCACTCGCCAGCTCTATTCTGAGCTGAATGTGATTTGGCTCAAAAGATTATTCTGCAAGGAAAACAAAAATTGTGGTAATCAAGAGTGAAGAAGACAAAGGGTTGAAGAGGACACATCATTGACAACTTTCATCTCACACCATTGCTTTAAAGTCTCCCTACCTTAAGAAAGGAGGTAACCATTTTGTCTGTGAAACCATTGATTAGTTTTAAATCTTGTACCTGAAATTCAACACACAACATATTAAATGCTTTAGCACCAGTAGCCGGAGCTCCACGCAGATAGACAATATTTTGCCTCCACTACACAACCGAACACACAAAACAAGACTTGGAGGCATGGGTGCATCAGTCAGTCACGCCCAAGATACACTTAATTAACTCCCATGGAAAAACTCCACTGTTACAGTAATTCTAAGCACACACCATGGCTGGACATGTAAACCTGAAAAAACCAACTGTTGGAAAAATAGGGACCTTGTAACCCAAACCTATGCCATGGTGTTGCCTTTGGGGTTATAAGGCAAAACTAATAAAATAAAGCCTAATAACATGAATACAAGCAGAAAACAAGATGCCACCTAAAGTAGCTAAGAAAGATAGGGACCACTACAGATGGTAATGAGATTAAGGCTAACAGAGTAAGTGAAAACTAAACAAAGCAAGATAATGCAGCAAGGCCAACCATAGAATGACACACATAACTAACTGGTCACTATTTCAAACCCCCAAGTGCACTACACTAGAACCCAGGTCACTGTTCTGTGGTGGCAAAATTATAATTTATGTCAATTCTGATTTACACAAATTACATTTGTAGGTAAAGAAATACCTTAGCTTTTGGTTGGTGGTGTATGTAATATTTTCTTTGAAACATAAACATCTCACACAGTTTGTTTTCCACCAAGTTTCTTTATCAACATTTATTTTGTTATCCAAAATTTATCACGAAATAACCTACTAATCAGGATACAAAAACATGTGAAAAGCTGTTCAGCCACGCAGCTTACCTGCTGCAATGGCCCATGTTCTCTTCTCCAATTCATTATGAGTTCTGCTCGCTTTTGACCCACGCCTTGAAGTGTTTTCAACTCTATTATGGTACCATCATTCAGAACCTTCAGAATTTTGTTTCCTGTTGCCCAAAAAACAAAAAAAGAATAAGAATGATAAGCACAGGCCCAGAGAGGAAGGGAACTAACTAACAGACAGAGTGAACATTAAAATTCTTGCTTCCAGACAGTCTGAGCATATCTAGATGTCTGTTGTTTTTTGAGAGGCTATACTGTAGAAGTTCACAGATGAACCGTTGACACTTCATCAAGCTGACCATTGGCTAGTATGAATTTTGCATTATGAGCAGCGAGAGACATTTTAAGAGTTAAGAATCTCAGTGCCCAAGAACATACCACAGTTTCCCAAAGACCTATCATTAGTATCCCTGCCTTGGCCAGTGCAGATTAGTTATCAACTGAGCATCAAGTGTATTTTAGGATTGCTCTGGAAAACTAGGGCTATTCTCTATATCACTCTAGTGCATTGTTAAAACAAAGCCCACCTCAGTCACTCACTTTTTCCGGCACTTCCAGGAATTTTCTTAATGCCTTCGCTATAAGTTTCCCTTTGATCACTTTGTTTTAACAGAATGACACTGAATCTGAATGCACTCTTTACATAACCATTCACAACTGAAAGGAATAAAAATTTGACCCTTACTATGTGCCTCTTGGAAGTGAGGGTTAATCTTGACCTTTAAATTTTCATCCACAGTCAACATGGTTTTCTGTCACAATAAATATATAGACATGTAAATATGTTTATATTACTAAATGGTACTAATACTATCACACTGTACCCAATATGCTTATAATAATAATAATAATAATACTTTATTCAAATACATATATGCTCATAAACATGATACATATTTGTTGTACCACAGGTTTATCCCTATAAAAGGTCTCCTAACTGAACTTTAAAAATATTAAAAAATTATTTAAAAAATGCACGTAAAATCATTAGTGCAAGTACAAAATGGTATAGTAAGAATTATATTTAAGATGAAAATATATACAATTAAATATGAGCTTCTGTGTCAATAAATCTTCATCCATCTTTTTAAGTCTTTTTTCAATTTGTTAATGCTAATTTTGTCAGTGAAGAGATGGTTTGGCAAACTGTTCCAGTCTCTGATGATTCAAAGACACTTAAATTAAAAATTAAATTTACTTTTGTGATCCAAAGTCAGAAAATGAGGCTGTCTTGTCTACATTCCAACTTCAAATGATACAGTTTTTCACTTTCTCATGTGCCTACATTGCTTTTTTCAGTACTTTCTTGTGTTTTGAGGGAATGCTAAGAATATTGAGTGTGTATTGCAAATGGACATTTGACATGTGAGGCCACTGGAGACTTCTTATTGTAAAATTCATGCTGCTTGTTGTAAGTGCTGACTAAGTTATGAAACAATTCTAAATAAAAGAGTACAGAAGCTACAATCCATCAAAAATTTGGTGTTTGAAAACAACAAAAGCATTTGAGACAACTTGAGAAGAGGTTGATAATACCTATACTACATCCATACATTGTTGCTTACCTGATGACTGCACTGTGTGGATTTAACAAGAGCACTATTTGAAGTCCTGGGCGACTCTGGCGAAAAACAACATACATACGAATTGACTTGTTTATGTCTGTTAGAGGCTTAGTAATAAGACCAGAAGCTTGTTGAGAGGATGGGAGTTTTTGCTCTGCAGTTTGTCCTGAGGAGGACCCCCAAAAAAAAAAAAAAAAAAAACTAAATACCAGTTGGACTGGTTGGACTAGGAAAAATAAATCAGGATGGCTGAGGTAATACACAGCCTTTCCTGAGTTTATTATGATATTTTACATGGCTTGTGATTGAAAACTTTGTTTCAGATTTACAATTAACAAGTCATTCAATCACAATATATCTTATTTTGTTCTTCTCAGGAAAAATTATTTTTGGTCTTCTGGACTTTCCATGATGAACACTCAAACTTCTTAACTTTCCAGGACTTGAAAGTGTTACTGGAAATTCCATGACTACAAGGTTTTCCAAGACTGTACTATGACTGTTATGCTACTAATGAGTTATGAACAGTTTAGACCAAAAGAAATAACACAGTAAGGGTGCCTTTGATAAGGGCGGGATCTCCTTATATTAAGCTCGTCTGCTGACCTTTTGTCACATTGATGTCAGATAGCACTGTCGTCCTTGTCAAAGTCTGTCCAGCAGCTAATTTTTCTAGAGCAGCCAAACGATCATGTATCTTCCCCTGCTCAACTCTAAGAGGACTGAAAGATTCAATGCTTTAATCTGGGAATGTTTCTTTAGCATACAAATTTGAAAATTCTATAAATTCACAAAGATGGAATAAACATTCACAAAAGCAGTAAACCAGTAGTTTTAAAGACTTACCTAAGGATTTCGGCAGGGATGGTGAGCTTTTGTGGTTCAAGAATTGGCTTTCTGATAGGCTGCACATACAGTCAGTGAGAAGAAGAGAAAGCAAATTGAGACATGAAGAGGTTATCAATCATGTTTTTTAATACTCTATATGAAAAAATACTACTTAGGAATAGTTTCTATTCTTGCGCACAATTTTTTTAACCCCATTTGAAGTCTTCAGTTTTTATCTGGCATTTTTTGGCAACACATGTTAATCCTGCAAACCAGCACATTGTGTAAACCCTGCCAACTTATTTTAACAAGAGAAAATGAACTTTGAATTATGGTGAACATTAAACTTTCAGTGTTGAATCAAATGACATGACTTTCACTAAAATGATATAGAGTCACTGAAAAGTCATCCCAAACAATCATTATCTCTAATTTTTACCTTATTTACAAGCATAAAACTGCCATTTACTTAATATTGAGTTATTTTTTCAGAAAAGTTTTCACCTTTGAAAGCTCATGTGTTGCTGAAGAATCATCCATCTTGTGTCGTTTAGCCTACAGAATAATTTGACTAATTAACTACATTCGTTCCAGTAAAGTTGAAAAAGTTAAAACAATCAACTCTTCCTCAGAAAATATTGACAATAAACTCTTCCGAGTTGCGACCTTCTTGTATGTTTTAAAAGGCATTTGTCACACAGCAGGCAGCCTTCCTTATGCTGTGGCTGTGGCACTGGTACAAGAATATTGTTCATAAATGACAGATCTATCATTGCTACCTTTGGCTTCAAACAGTTCCCAGCCATCTGTCTGTGCACCAGGATAATTCAAGCGTCATACTCTGACTCTGTTCATGTTTTTCAACTCAACAATTTGACATAGTGAAATTGAACTCTGTGCATACCCGACTCAGAGGTAAAGCCACATCTCTATATCTCTTATAGGTCAACGACTTGCCTGAAAAAGGAAAATGGGACAACAATGGCGTAAGAATCAAAAGTCTTAAATCTGAGAAAGATAAACAACATCAGAGTGGAGAAGTCTACAACTGATTGGTTGCACCATAATTGCGCTTGCAGGCTATGAATCAGGAACACTACAAGGACTTCTTGAAGAAGCTTTGCCACTTAATTTCCAGCAACAGCTGTGATGTAACACTAAAGTAGTAAACCACAAAAGAATGAATATGGTTACAGATGGAGAGTCAGAGGGCTTTGTTATCTTTACTTCAATGTTACATATAAGTAGGATCATTTATTGCAGCATATATAACATCTATGATCATGGCCTGTGGAAAAAAAGAGGTCAAATAATGCAAACTAAACACAGGAGTTATACTGAGTTGAGAGATTTTGATCCAACACTCACCAATTGTTCTTCTGACAAATGGCTGGTTAACCATAGTTCTTGACTTGGAAGCAAAGTTCAGAGTGTTAACCGTATCTGCATAGAACCTCATTTCAGGTGCAATGTTGGCAATCATACAAGAATGTGCTGAACCACCGAGTGAGTCCTAATGGGTTAATCAGACAGATAAGGAAGATAGAACTTTTAAGATAAGTATTAAAACTTAAAATTTGAATGGAAAGGTTAAAATGCTCCCACTGATAGTAAATGGTCTTTCTGGAGAAAATGGTCCATCTGGTAGAAATGATATAGCTAGAGAAAGCGGTCCAAGTGGTTAAAATGGTCCTATCAAATAAAAGATCCAACCAGATAAAATGGTCCTACCACTTAAAAATGGTCTCACAAGATTTATTGGTTGTTAGGATGAAAATGGTTTTATTGCTAAGAGTGCTGCAACTGATACAAGTGGCCTATTTAAAGAAAATGTTCCAACTGGTTAAAATTATCCAAGCAAATAAAATGATCAAACCAGAAAATGGTCTCTATGGTTTGTAGAACTTCAAACAAACATAATTCAAGACTCTTCAAGCACTTGTAAGGAACAAAAAATAGTTTTCAGGACCAAGTGTTAATCAAGAAACTGAAACTCTTTAATGCTTTTTTTGTACTTAAAACATACAGCTAAGTTGTTGACAATTTTGAGATAGTACAGGCTTCACTTTACAGTTACTGTGTTAAATGGTCCAACCAGTCAAAATGGCCTAACTACATTAAATGGTCAATGTGGTAGTAAATAGGTTTAAGTTTGGCCTTATTGTTTCTTTAAATGGGCTATCATTTAACCAAAGATGATAATAATTCAGATGTGGAATATTCATGTAATGAGGTTTTCATACCTGAAGAAGGCGTGTTAATTTGCTGTTCCTGTAGGGTACCTGACACTATGTAAAAAAAAATGCTGTCTTATGATTGAACTGAGAAAAACATGAAAGCTTGAAATATTTCTGCAGTGATTTTTTCATGACATACTTTGAATTGCAGTTGTTTTGACTTTGAGTTATTTTGCTGATGACCACTTAGCTTAAGTGTCTTAGTTTATGTCTCAGGTCATTGCACTAGGGTCCTATATGTTGTTTTGCTAAATTTTTAAAGTTATTTATCCAACTTCACTTTTAAATGTTATCTTTGAAGAAGCACCTAGCTGCACTTTGGGCACTTTGGTTTATTGTACCATATGCACATGAAAACCTCCAAATTTATGCCTTACTTTGTATGGAAATGACTTGAGTTGTATCAAATTGATTTGCTACATGTATCAAATGTACTTTGTTGATGTATTGAATTGACTTCAGTTTGTCTCATTAACAAATAGATTCCAAGTTGCCATGCATCTGTTCAGTAATAGATCACAGATGATGTCAAAAAACGTGGTAATAACAAAAAAGTGGCACACGAGGCGCAGCTGAGTGTGTCACTGATGTTCTTACCACATTTTGTTGTCCTCTGTGATCTATTACTGAACAGATGCATGGCAACTTGGAATCTATTTGTTTTGTATAATAAAGAATTACCGGTAAGATATACGGAAAAAAAGTTTTAATGATGACATTATCTATACGTCTGTCCTCCAATAGATCATAAGTGAGAACCAATCAGAATGCGTGCATAACTGAGCTTATTATATGAAATTGAATGGTTACCCATACTTTAGGCGTTGATTATTTTCTGAGTTTGAAAGAAACTCTTCAATTGTTTCTTCAAACTTCATGATTAAAAATCAAAATTTCTCAGCAGTGTTAGTTAGCTATTTCAAGCTATCCTTTGCCACTTATCAATTTTCAATTCCAACTGTGCCTTTTTGTGGAATTTCTCAATCTGATTCTGATCAGAAGTTATTAAAACCCTCCTAAATTCTTTTATACAGTTCTATATTTTATACAGAACTGTTCCAAACCTACCAAACCCCGGTTCAAGGCATCAACAACCTGTCCAAGAGCAAACAATGAGCTGTTGATTGCACCACTTTCTTTCAACCTACAGGTAGGAGAAAGTTGTTTTCTCATAAGTACCAGGTATGTAAGTAAAAATCAATGGGAACACAAGAAAAGCTCCAAATTTAAAACACAGAGAGAAACTAGAGAAAGATTTTGTCTTGTCATGAGTATGGGACAAAGAAAATATTCTGAGTCCCCATGAAGGATCTAACCCCAGACCTTTCAGATTCCACGCTCTAATGCTCTACCACTGAGCCATAGAGACTCTATAGTGAGCAAGGCCATTACAAAGTTCATATGTGACAGACGCCCTGCATATTGCTTAGAAGGATCAGTAGTGTCATTAGCATCATGTTTGTAAATAGAATAAGTAGAATAAGAAGGAGGGTAGATTTTGGGCTTTATGAAGAAATTGAGACAGACATTTTACCTTTAGTCACAATTAAGTGTGGAACAAGGAAAAATTCTGAATCTCCAATTGGGGAATAATAATAATCAACTTTATTTTTTTGAGGGTGGCACTTGACAGTATAAAATACTGATAAATTTGTGGCCCTCAAAAACAAAGTAATAAACACAAATAGAAATAAATAATGAAGTAATTAAGACTAGCTGATTAAACAATTACAATATGAATCATCTAAGGGTTAATATAAAGTATATGAGAATAAAATAGAATAGCCTAAGCTATAGTAAAGTGATGAACATCTTTATAGGAGTCCAAAAAATACTTGTACAAAGACTTCTTTAAAATTTCTAAACTAGAGCTACTCTTAATTTCATTGGGAAGTGAATTCCAAAACCTAGTAGCTGATACTTGAAAAGTCCTAGCACCTTCTGATTCTCAAGGAGAATCAAACCTCAAACTTTTAGTGAGAAAAACATCCAACTCCACTTTCACATTAAATGATTAGATAAATCATTGAGAAATAAGGCAAGGTTATTTCAAGAAATAATGGAATGATCTTCAAAGTTAAGCACACAAATCTGAATTGTGTTAAAGAAATATATGATTCATTTAACCCTTTAAGTCCATGAGGTGATTAACCACAAACTTCTTCCTTTATTATTCATACATTATCCAGCAAACAGGCAATAAGAATACTAAAAAATGTCAGGTTAAAGTTATCTTCAACTAACACCAAAAACTGGTAACTAACTTAAAAGGAAGTGTGTGCAGCTAGAGGGGAAAATTGACGATCAGATCATGGGAGTTGAAGGGTTAATACACAAATTCATATCCACCTCTTTTACTGTAACAGTACAGTCATAAAATGATGTGATCCTGACATTACTGGCCTCACGGTTTAGTTGGCCAGAGCTTCACATTGGGAACATGAGGTGACAGTGTTAAATTCTCTTAACAATTGTTTTGGAGTTACTTATGCTCAGTTTGCCTGATTCACTGAAAAGATAGTTTCCTCATTCAATTTCTCTACTGACATTCAAAATTATGATTCATCACAAACACACTTCAGCATAAAAGTACCTTATTCCCTCATTCCCAGTTTTTCTGTTGTCCTCTGATCCTGCTAGGTCAATAAGATAAAACTTACCAATGAGTTTCATGACTGGAGCCACCTGTTTGTGTTTTTGAACCTGAAAAGAATCATGATAAAGAAAAATTTGCAAGTTATTGATATTGTACTCATTTATTCATTTGGTTCCGTTAATTCACAATTCAGTTACTGATTCTTAACATTTTACAATGCAAATAAGTCAGAAGATACAGAAGATAATACAAGGGAATGACCTAGGGTGCTCATATCTAAATGTACCTGTATCAACACAATAGAATGGCTTCTGCTTGATTGTGGATTCAACTTTGTTGCTGCAGTTTTTCTGAGAGAGGATAAGCACAAAATTACTGAATATAATTATAGTGCTCAACCTTTGAAGAACATCCCCTACCTTGGTTCAAAGTAGCCTCTAGTAACAGTAAGTATGGACAGTGTCACAGTAACATGCCTTAACATCACACTCTATCATTTTCTGGTGGTCATGATGCCAGATAATATTTATAAGTTATCTAATAATGACTGTGAAGATCATGTTCAAGAATACTAAAGAGATCACCCATGGGGAATGGCAGGGTAACTGCTTCATACATATTGACAGCTTAATACAAGTTCCACAGAATAGGGAGGTTATAACAAAATATGCCATTTCATTCCATTATTTACCTCTCAGTACACGAAAACTTGCTCAAAAATACAACTAGCATTGATTTCAAGAGATAGACGTGGATTACACTTTCCTTGAAAGATTAGTCTCAGTTTTATTTGAGTGGATCCACTTTGAATGACTGTTCAACACAGGTGGAAGAGAATACAGAAAGGCCATTGGGACTTGGTAAAGGGTGACCAGGACCACTAAATACAGGCGACCACTTCATAGAGGTGAAAATCACTGTTAGAAAGGGGACAAACCAATTGTGACTTTGACAACTAACCACTTAAAACAGAGTGACTGCTTTATGTGGTGCAGCTTAATTCTGGTTCAACGGTGTTAAATAATACCTAAATAACAGAAATACGAACCTTTGGTGGCTGGCTTTTATGAACAAGGACATAAACTCACCCAGTGTTTCTATTTCCATCTGGAATAAATAAGATTATTTAAAATTGGCAAATCTTTTGGCTTGCAAAAAATATTCGGAGTAGCATAGCAATTTGCCACAATACAGAATATTACTAAAATTGTTATTTAAATTCTTCCAATCAGGTCTCTCACAAACACCCTAGTGCTAACCAGGTAATGAATTTACAAATTTACTGAAATATTTTGTGAGCCTTATAGACAAAGCCAAGAGATGTTGGAACAGATGCAACCTATGAAACATATTTTATTAACATGTACTATACATACAGGTAAATTGTAAGCAATCCTAAGTGTACACTCAAAGTTGAAATACTAACTTATATTCATCACCTTTTTTTGCAAAATTAAAAAAAATTATATTTACCTCTGTCAAATTTGGGATGAAGATATTTTGTTGCTGGTCTTGTCTTATCAGTAAATCATCCTTATTGAGATCTAACAAGTCTTTAATCTAACATGAAGGAAAGTATATTACATATGGATACTACTCACAGCAAAAAACAAATGACCATTATTTTAATTTGAAGAAAAGTGATTAGTAGTTACATGCAAGGTGTATGTATACATGTAGCTATAGTAGTTAGAGGGCTTCTGAGTGAGCAAGCAAGCAAAATACATCCTAGAGAAACCAGGGGTGTAATGTTCTATTTGAGCTGCTGAACCAAATTAAATTGGAGACAAAATTTGTCATTGGAATAATTTAAACATTATAACCTCAAAGGGAGCAATCACATTGCCAAGCTTATTAAGTCTTGCACACACAAGTTGAATCTTTTGAGGTCGTTATACTTTTCACCAACCACAGCCAGAATTGCTTTTTTCATTTTCCCAGATTTCAGTCAGAAGTTTTTCAACCCCTCAAGTACGTATATCATCAACAATTACATCTGTGTACTGATAAATTTTGCCTACCTTCTCTTGGTATATTTCAAGATATGAAAACAAAACTTTGTATTTCCATGGAACAGTTGGATCCTGGTGGTGAGTATCTATCAGTTTGAACAGTTCAGCAGCGCACCTTGGTATTAACCCTATCAGAATTAGAACAATTGTACTACTAGTTATGGTAGAAGTGATAAGTGTTTTTTACTCTGAATTTAGGAACTTTAAGCAATGTAATATCTCTTTTTGAGTAAGGAACATAAGCATACTGTGTCTGTTTCCCCTCACTCACTCCTTCCCATTCCAATGTATGAGATTTAACTCTGATAAACAATGCATCAGATTTAATGAAAGTTGGTACACACAAAGCACAAGCATGTTTGACCAATAAATAAGTTTTACAAAATTTATCTCAGCCAAACAGAATGCTCTACATATTACATATGCTTGTAAATACCCTTGCTAAACAAGTTCAAGGTCTGTACCATATATATGGACCAACTTTTTCCACTTTGATTTATGGCCAAAGCACGAGGTACGCAGGCCATAAACCTGAGTGGAGTAAAAAACAAGTTACAGTACAGACTGAGAAATCAAGGTTAGTAAGGTGTTATTACATCTCTGGGTTCAAATAATGGGGAAAGATCTCAGTTCAAACAAACTTTTTATCTTTATAGACTGTGCAGTGAAATATGAACTGCAAAATTGACTGATAAGAGCACACCTCCTATATATACCTGAGAGATGTAACCATGGTCAGAATTACAAGAGTACAACAATTGCGAATCAGAGACCTAGTCTATAGCATAGCTAGTCATCTTAAGAAGAACTGCATAGGGTTTAAAGCCTTGCAGGAGACTAGGAGTTTTTTCTTTGTACCCCACTTAAAGCAAATGTGAAAAAGTTCTTTGTTTACCACAGAGTTGTTATAAATGATACTCAGTGTCTTTATACTCACCTGGTTCATCTGGTGAGCCAACCATTGTGTGTGTTTTCCCTTCAGTTAGTGGGAAAGATTAAAACAAGGAAATATCATTCAGGCTTTTTGCCACTTCTCATAGCACATGTCTGTTTACTTTCCTCAGAGCACTTAACCTCTGTTCAAACAAACTTGAACTCTGCTAAATCACTAGTAGGTGGGAGCTTATCATTGACAGTTTTTTTTTCGTTTGGATCTCTCTCTGTCAAAAATTCAATTGTGGGAAGAACTATGAATCTCTTGGAAAAGGAAAACCCATTTAAATAATAACAACATTAAAGTGCTTCCACTAAATGGCTCTTCACCTTCTAATCTACTACCAGTAACGATAATAATAGTAATAAAGATATTTTAATCAATCCTAGCTATTAAAAAATCAAACATGATTGGTTATCACTGTCCAATTTCAGCACCAATAGACAGTGTACATGTCATATGAGCATGCAGTTGTATTGAGTTGACTGAGGTTTTTCTTTTTTTTCAGTTGAAAACCTATAACTGATGATTGGTTCATTCCTAAATTTTGTCATAGTTTTGACTAATTGTAAACATGGTTTTGTGTCATTAAATTCTGTCTGTTATCATACTTGTAATTGACAGGTCGGATTTCCACATTAAGGTCATCAGATTTTCTCTATCACTTGTATGATTCCAGACAGAATTGGACTTCACTCAGACCTATTACCATTGCAAGCAGGGCACCCACATCATTCCGGTTTACAGTCAGGCCAGTTGTAATTAATATTTACTATACAATATTCTTATACTATTTACAACAAATAAATGTAACTAGCTTGTCATCCTAACGACCATGTTCTGTACCTTGCATACATAAAAGCTGCGTTACCAAACAGTGTGCATGTACCTTTTCCTGCTAATTTGTTGATGAACTCTTTCTGATAGCAGAAAATACATGTAGAGTCATCAAAATATTCAAATGAACCGCATAACAGTTTTCCTAATTCAGGTTTACTTTGACATACTTGTTAAGGAACAGCAGATATTCGTTTGTTTGTTCGCCTGTCTATACATAAAAACTTTCCATACCTGCTCCAGTAGGACCGTAAGCAAACACACTGGCATTTTGTCCTTGTAACATCAAGGGAATCAATGGACAAACTGAGTTGTGGTAAATTTTTTCCTGAGTGCTGTCTTCGTCAAAAAACTTATGAAAACTAAAACAGATAGCAGGCAATATTACCACAAGGCGTGGAGTTCCGATTTATTATTAGAGTCAAGACACATGGAAAACAGAGTTCTCAGAGAGTTAAACGAACTGCTTCACTCATACTCTCCTCCTGTCAGTTCTGTACAATGCAAGTATGTTTGTGAAGTTAATGACTGACTTGAATTGTTACAGTATCCGAGTTTTTAGTCCAAGCAATGATCCCAAGAGTGCAGAACCAGATGAGCAGGTGACCTCGCCTTTGCTGACTCTAAGATCACTTTGATGAAGATCTTCACAGGTCGATCGACACATACAGATCATTATATATACCGTGCTATTGAGGTTTTTATGACATGATCTGCAGATATCCGCATAATTTTACTCCCTAAATACTCACCGGTATCGAATTGACTCTTCAGAATTTCTGCAGTTCCAAAGCTCTAGTGTGGAGGAATCAACTGCGCGAACACAGCGCTTCGGAATTCCATCGCTATTGCTTTCCTCTTTATATTCTGAATGTTCTGGTCGTAAGCGTACAAGCACTTGGACTTTACAAGCCTTTTTTAACTCAGTCATATTGGCCATAAACTCAGATCAGCTTATATGCTTCACAAACAGCCGCGTTGATCCAAGGTAAACTCAAAGAAAAATAACAAAACACAGTCGCTTCTCTTTTAATTTTCAAAGTTGCGAGCGAAATGCTAATATTTTCGCATCGTCCAATCACGAACTCTGTTTAGTCCTCCCGGTCATTGATTACTAGAGGCCGACGTTTCTGCCGAGAGGGAAGAGTTTTTGTGGCCTGCTTGTGCAACGTCCCAGGACTTGCACAGGCATGAATTGAAAGGAAAAAAGTTAGATGAAAATATACTGAGGCAAGGGAGATATTTGCTCTACGTACTGAATAAAGGTCACCAAAGGAAGGAGTGGCGATGATTTAGAAAGTGACTTGTGGGGCACAGGTTTAGGTGATATAGATAAATGGAATGGAGGGAAATTCGGATCAATTTGGTTCCTTGGGCATTTTATTTTAATTTCAACGATGTCAAAAACATTGCCGGCGACTTTTATTTTTCCTTTCCTTTGTTCCACGTTGGAAATTGTGAGTTTGCATGTGTCTCCAACAAACCAAAGCACCGCAACTGATTTGTAGCCCGCTATTGTTACGCCGTTGTTGGAGTGTAAAATTTGCAAATTGCACATATTGCTTTTTAACATATCAAGACGCATTGACTTTGAATGATACGATCGCTGATCACAACGTTGGTGTAATTCCGCTCTAATCTTTTCCCTTCCTTGCCATCTCGTTCCTTCTGGGAGGGAGAAACTATTTTCTCTCCAGATAGAGGTAATTTTCATGACAGTTTGCATACCACAACAAGCGACCCGAAATATGTTGCCAACGTAATGATAACAGGACCAACGTTGAGAAAAGTGAAAGCAGTTCAAAGGATAAAAACACGCATTTTGCTTTGAAATTAAATATCCTTGGCCAAGACAAACTTCCTTTCACTATGGAGATAACATCTCTTTATACTGTCATTCCCAATGACGAAGGTCTCTTGGCCCTCAATCATCTATTGATCAGTGGCGTAGCCATGGGTACGAAAATGGGACCCAGCTGCGCCAATCTTTTCGTAAGTTTAATCGAACACCAATTTGACCTTTAGGAAACAACATCGGTGTACATGTTTCATCAATCATTCGAGATAGTATCCGAAATCTGTGTCAATCGCGGCTACATCGCGCATTTAGACTCCTGTCAAGTTGAACAAATCAAAAGCCTTTTAAGCCTTTACTTTTCATTCTTTTGAAAAACTAGCGTCATGAATGTATTTACTGTGTGCACCCTACTCTAGGCGGATGGCCTGTTTTAAAGAAATCACTTTACCAATACCTATGGACCCTTATCTGCACATGGCCATGAGGTTACACCTCGCACGAAAAAAGATCCCCAAAGCATCAAAGATGAAATTTTTTTTCTTGAGCAATCAACGATAACGTTTCTTGATCAATCCTTTCATTTAAAGTGTCTGGTTTCAAATGTAGTTTTTAAAGTTCCTCCGATCGCAACAGAAAAGAAAATTGCCAAATTGCCAAATTGCCCAACCACGTCCCAACCTTAATGCCACCACCACCTACAATTATCCAAATGTCACAGACTCTCAGTGATTTTACTCAATCATTTTATTAAATCATTACATTACAAATTTAATCATTCTCTGCTGAGATAAAAGTTCGCTTTTCATCTGTTTCACTTTCCCGTTCCGGGGGGGCCTTCTATGGGAGCACACTCGTATATGCCACAGGATCCACAACAAGCTTTGCATCGTTTATCTTCTGGGCAAGGAGGGAAGAAATCGCAAATGTTTAAGCCTCACATGATTCCATTGCAGGGCCCACAGCCTGTACGTATGCAAGTTATAAAGAAGAATTGAAAAGAGTCGGCGAAAGATGATTTTTTCGTCTTGTCGCGAGCGTGAGATAAACGCTCATCCCACGCTCTTGACAAGACTAACAAGCATCTTTTGCTATTTACCGAGCTCAAAGTAAACCGTCTTTCTTATGCTATTCTCTCTTATTCGCATTTTTTTAGAATGCATTGAAATCGATGGTTTAACCGGTCATCAATACTGCATTAAAGTTGTAACATGTAATCCTAGGATTCAATGTTTAAGCAATCCTGTCTCACAAGCCATTATTCCATGCCTTCGGGCCGACATCAGTTGCAGATAAAGAAAAAAATTGGCATGGTTGTTACAGACCATGAATTGAACGGCACGGTTTACTTGAAATAGCTTAAAATGTGTATAAGCCCTCATCATTCTTCTTTGGTCCATTACGATCACTCAGTATTAAGTTGTATCAAAGTAGAGAGACTCGGTTCAACGTCATAAAATCTACAAAGTGACGTGCCCTGATATTGCAAATACGAACTGATCTACGTCCTCAGTTAAGTATCCGTGTAAACTGTAAAGCCTCGCTGACAAGTAGAAAGGTCGGCATAGAATAGTAAAAGCACAAAAAAATAAACTCTTACTTGCCACCTCTCCACATTTCACCTGGTGGAAAAAGTAAAAATTTAGTGAGAGGGCCAACGTTACAAATTAAGTTTGGTAAGTAAACTGATACAGGTAAGTGAGTGTTCTATCATTCACAACAGATAATGAAACCTAGCTTCCGTTCCCTTAAACGGATAAAAGATCTTTAGTTCCAGGAGAATTAGGTGGGGATTCGCCGCTACTAACGAAGCGGCTATAAGTTTAACGTGCTTCAACTGATCTGCCGAGTGTCTGGGTTGTGTGTGAATCAAGCGAATAAACTTCTGCTCAATTTTACGCTCCCTCGAGCTCAAGAAAACTGAAGAACATATGGGCACACCTTTGTCTACCTCCACATTCATTAATTTCAATTCGAAAAAAAATAGTCTCAATTAGTACTTCTAAAGCACACCCCTTTACAGCTGTATGGATGCAATTGCCAGTTAAACTATATTAGTTATGGTCGTCATAGAACTTCTAAGAAAACTGATAAAAAATCGGTTTGCATTGATTCAACAAGCTGAAGAACAGCAACAGCAAAATGGCATCTATCTTTGAACTAAGAAACTGCTAACTTCACCCTCTCACAATTTACATCTCATTCACAATATTGACATCTTTTGATCGGTCATTCTTGTTAAATGCATCACTAAGCTTTCTCATCAGTTTTATTTCATCGTTGATACTCATGAGTAACTTTCCCCTCCCTAAACATAATTTCCTACCCCTACCCTCAGAAGAAAATGTTCGAAAGGGACAGAATAAGTGAGTAATAAATTGTGTGCCCAAAGTACAGGTATTGACCAACCTCTCCACTGTAGAAGCTCAAGATAGCCAAAACACCCAGGAAAATCGACAACTTCATATTCCCACCTGGAATAAAGTATATTACTGTTAATTGACTCGGTCAACCTCAAAGGAGAACCTTGGAAAATTTCTGATAGTCTACATATATTTACTCACCAATTTAAGAGCGACTCAATGTTAGTGCTGTGAGGATGCTATTAGTGATGATAGCTATAAGACTGGACAGCAATGATCTTCTCTTAGCTCAACTTTTCCTATTCGTGAATGTACTGTTTTGCAAGTTAAATGCCTTAAAAAAAAAACAGCTGAGAACATAGTGATGCATGATATCTTTCTGAAAGCGGCCAAACAAGAATAAATTTTGAAGAACCATTTTCAAGAATGAATAAATGAATGATTTTCAATTTTTGTCTGAGTACTGTATTTTCAGTAATTACAATGGCCACAAAGGGACAAAACAAATCATGTAGCCTCTTGTTGATCGTAAAGAACGACGTGATCCTAGCAAGTGAGATACTGACTGGCCTTTAGGCACGATTGATAATTGAAAGCTTTCGAAATGGAAGACAATTTGCGATTAAAGGTTTACTCAGCTGAATAAATGTAAATTATCTTATGCTATTAAATCTTAAGATAAACAACACTGTATCGAAAGGAAAGCATTTGTTCTTAAAAAACTTTCAAGCCTTTATTCAATGTCTACGAGATAAACTTCTTTCTCCCTTTCAAAAAAAACGTCACAAAATTGTCAAGATTATTATTGAAAGATTTGCATAACCACCAAAAAGTGTAGAAGTGGGGATTTTGTCAGAATATCTTGCTGCTTACAATAGGTTAGTCTAAGATGGTGGCTAAGCACTGTAGGTGAAATATTCTTTTATGAAATTGTATACTCAACTCTCAGATGTGGTTTACCTCTTAGCGACATTCAATTGATTGATAAAATTCCAGGGAGTTAGTGGTGATAGCCTAGCTGTGGTTGTTCAGCCATTCGGCTGGTTACACACTGAATACATGAGTTGACGGTTTGATGATTGAATGATATTCACTTGACTCAAACAATCGAAAAAAAGTATTGTTCAAAAGATTAAAAAGTGATCATTAATTCGTTCTTGTAAAAAAAAGACACGAAAAAGAAACTTGCTTCGATATTATGATGAAAATTTACTTCCGCGATTGTTTTGGGTTTCTGGCCAAATTAGCCATGAAGCATTTGACGCCCTTAAGCAGGAAGTTAAAGTGCTTATAACACGAATCTTCTTTTGCCAAAATATTTAGCTTATAACATGTCCAAACAAATTCCGATAAAAGAAAAATTTTAAAAAAACTCGAAACTCAGTTTTATCGGGCCCTTAAGAGCTCTTATTTTGTCCTAAAAGTGTCCCGTAGAAAACTGTGAAAAGTCTCAGTTGACACTTACAAATCTCTCACATCTCTTGTAATTTTGTATCAGTCAGCGTCGAAACACTCTTGAAAAATGTCCGACAGCGATGTATCTGCCTTCAGCAAGCTCTACCGAGAGTTGTGATACATTGTATTCAAGTAGTAAAGAAGAGATGGTGTTACGGTGAAGACTGACAAAGATCGTTTCTCGCCTGCGGTGTTCAGGTCAATATCAGCGCAAAAAACTCCCGTTACTGAATGTTTAGTTTGTTGCGTTTGTGTTTTGTGCTACTGTTGCTACTTTAGTTTCTTGAGAGCAGAGGGGGATTTGATGGCTCATGGGATGGAATTTCGGAGACCTAAGTTGAGGGAATACACGGCTCCTTCGAGTTTGTGTTTATGCCAGCATCTGCCAGAGGTTCCGCCTGTTCGGGCAGCAGGACATCGGTCAGCTCAGGAAAGGGCTTGAACTTTACAAAAAATTATGTATTTCTGTTATTAAATGATACGATGGAAACTGCTTGGTAGGATTTTCATGCGATAAGAAAAGCGTAAATGTAGTCACGTGGAAAGACAAAGAGTACGTGTAGATCTCAAGCGCATGAAATAAACAGCAAAAAAAGGCTCACTCATTATTCGCATGCGAAATGTCAGCCGAAAAGAATGTGGAAAAATCGTTTACGGTGTGTAAACTGGCCCCTCAATCAGCATTATTTTTAGCTGAATTCATTGGCCATCTTCCCTTGATTTGGCCGGTGGTATATGTTTGTAACAACCGTCTTCAAAGCCGGTACGGAGCTGACATTGAAGAGTAACATCTCCTCGATGTCGACGATCAAAATGCGTCCATTTTGGCCTTACAGCTACATTCTTTGAAAAGTAGTGTATAGAAATACTCAGTGTGTGTGTGTATTATTCTTGTCTTCTTGTGCCGCCCCGGCCACGTAATACGTTCGCAATAGGTTCGTCCGAGATTTCTCGTTTGTCCTTCACAGTTGCCGACGTGTCTACACAGTTTTCTACGTCACAGCAACGTGAAATGATCGTTTTGGCTGCGCGCTTGATGAGGACACTTTTTGGCCACAAAATCGTACTTTGAATGCGCAAAAAATGGTTAAGGAGAACTCGCTAGGCGTTAAGGTCGATTATTTCTAAATTAAATACAGCTATATCAAACAGAAAATGCAAAGAACATTTTCGTATCATTAAGGATGACTATGTGTTCCACACTGCCGGTTAAAAACAAAGAAACGTTCTGTTCATTTATCAATAATTGATCCCTTTTTCGCCCACACTCCTTATCCTAAATAACTCTTGATTCTATTACAAAGATAACAAGAACTTTCCAAACAATTTTGTGAAAAGCCATCAAGTAATCAGTGCTGTTTCAGCGTCAGATGCAAATTTGATAAAAATAAAAAGTCTATACAAACGAAAAGCTGTCTCCTGGCATGTTTGCATCTTCAGTGATGATCTGACGACAGCGTAGCCAGCGGAATTTTTGTGCGCGAAGGGTTAGTCGTGCTACAACTGAAATGAATGGCCAGAGAAATCTATACAGCCACTCCTGTCAACAAGACAAGAACAAGAATACCTTAGCTCCAGAGAATTTCCCATACCCACACGAACTACATGCAATAATATTGCATTCGAACTGCTTAAAAATGTCTATAATACGACCAGACTGATCAATTTGATGTCCACAACTTCGTTACAAATGTAATTCTAAGTTCAGTTAATTTATGATAGACGTCACGTTCTCTGGCGTAGGTGTCTTCACCTAAAACATTTAGCATCCTCGGGGCCTTTTATACTTTGTGTCTCCCTAACCATGTAATTTACCAGCGACGGTCATATGTCTTTGGTAGAGGTAAAGTGCTTAGAGGAGCAACGTGTAAGCGCGATAGAAGTGATGTTACCATTATTGTTATGGAGGTATCTTTGGCTAACGTTAATTACGATAATTATTGAACGTGTTTAATGTTCCAATGCTTTGTTGCATGTTATCAGCGGATAACCTCAAATTGAATTTAGCACATGAAATCGTTTTTGACTTGATAGGAAATGAATCAAAAACTACTCACCAATTTATTGTGGTGTACAATCTATTTCTTACATTTGGCTTGCAAGTTAAAAATTACATTACATTAGGAGAAAGAATAATCAATCAGTCATAAATTAACGGTTATATACATAGAACAATTAATCAATTGATTAAAGTTGCAGTGTACGGAATTACAGATGTAGCCTGGTAATGCAGATTTCAAGATAAAAACTCAGTGATAGAACTGAATGGCAGCATAAAGATAAAAGAGACGAGGAGGTCTCTGAAAAACATTAAGAGCCTATAGCTGGTCACGTATTGAAAAATCTAAGTGACAAAACAAGCTATAGTTGGCTGACGAAAGTTCTTGTTTGGGAGATGCCTTGACTTCTAAAAATTATGTACAATATCTATAGTATAAAACTCCCTGTATCTTGAACTTGTGTCTATGTTGTCACGAAGAGTATCACTTTGTTGGATAGACGATACCCATTGATTTGCTGCCATTGATTCTACAGAGTCAATTGGGAGACTGTGGAAGGCGTTCTCCATAACACACGAGCTTTCCCAATGTGTGGTATCCTAGTTCGTCTTTATGATCTGCGTCTCCAAACCTTAGTTGGGTAACAGGCAGGGTACTTTCATCACTCAGGTAGCCACTGTCTTCTAGCCATTCGCTATTCTCTGTATCGCAGTTGCAATTTTGTTTATTTGAAATGCAGGTAAGGGTTTCGCCGCAAGCGCACATTCCACTGCCTGGAGAAGCTCCACCCCAATACTCCATTATCTCACCCTCACGTGACACCCAATAGCCCGTATTGTGTTTCAGTAGGGCTGACTTATAGCACTCGTATTTGATAAATTGGTGGCAACTCTCTGACACTTTCATAAGACTTACAATCTGGGACAAAGTTACTCCTGTGTAACTTATGTCTTTTATATAGCTTCCACTAGGTCCGAAACCATTAACTTCGGTCCTGTTCTCGCTGTCGTGGCTTACAAGTGTCGCGCCAGTACCATCTACCATGCTCATGTTGCAAAATACTAGAAAGGGAGCCACGCCAGTATCCTCACCATCAGGATCAATGAAATATATTCCACTTGTATCTACTTGATTGCCACCTGATGATAGTTCCTGTTGGATTTTGATGTGGTGACATGTACGATGAATATGAACATACACATCAACGAATCCTTGCAGAATGACAAGATCATTCTCAGCTTGGCATATATACGTGCCAGCATGGGACAACTCAGCAAAGGCAATAAACAACGTGTTGTTATCAAAAACACACACCCCAGAGACGTTCGGTAAAAGCCATGTCATTTTAGGTTTCAGATCACTTTCAGCTAAGCAGGGAATTATGAGTGAGTCGCCGATAAAAATATTAAAGGGACCAAAGGAAGAATCCGTCGTGAATTCGAGAACTGAATGCACATGTAGCTCTGCTGATGATGAAATAGTACCGGCAGTGCTGGTAGCAGTGCAGGTATAATTCCCAGAGTCATTCCTTAAAACATTCCACAAGGACAAGCTATCAAAAGACACAAGAGACCTTCCTACTGGCAAGGTTCCATTTTCTTTTGACCACATGATGTTGGGTATGGGATCGCCATACGCTGAGCACGTGAACGTCACGTTCTCTTTCTCTTCAATAATTGTGGACATCGGTTGTGATGTAAAAGAAGGTGGTTCTATAAAAAAGAAATGGCACATTCTTAGAGAAAGCAATGGTTAACCAACAGATTTTGCTAGAGGATAAGGTTTCACTTTTTTTCGTCGAAAATGATAGCAGTCCGTCGAATTTTCAGTCATTAAAAATGGGATGACATGTCCAGAAAATCAATATTTCAGACTGTTAGTATTTTGGGATTTTAGATAGTGTTTGTAACTTCTGGATCAATTGACACTTGACACTTGACACTTGACTAAAGTTATTGTTATCATGTTTTGTTTTGTTTTTAATTTTTTTATTATCACGACACTTTTATGTCAAAACCTCCAAATTCGGGAAAATTCCTCGTAAGGTAGGGTATCAAATATGTCTAAGTGATTCATCAGTTCCGGCCGTTGTACCGAAACCTATTCATACCTCCGAGGCGACAGGCAAACCCATCTCCTTGGTAAGGCTCTTTGCAGAAGCACCTATAGGATCCAACTGTGTTACGACAAGACGCTTCTGCATGACATTTGTGTGATAAATTGTCACACTCGTCAACATCTAAGTATACAAAGATACCACCATTGTATTTAAGAAATAAAAGAATGCCTTGGAATGGGAATGGTCTTGTAAATGGTCAGCGAACCGGACTTTTGACCTGGCGGATTTGAAGCCCTGCCAGAATAAATTTGTTGTTCTCCTACAAATGCTACATGTTTCCACCAAGAGTTCAAATGGGTATAATTAAGTTCTCAGTTAAACCTTATGGTTTTACTTCCCAGTCGGCAGGATTACCCACAAATCGTACCAGGCTCGTTAGCCAATAGGTTTGTAAGACTTGGTGAACAAGAATAACTGATCTGTGTGAAGAAGACATTCACTGATCTCAAGAAATCTGATTGCAATCAAGGAAGATACCAGATGGTCCATGTGAATCAAAAGTAAAAGGAAAGCGCCAGTCACATTTTTCAGAAATGACCGCTTTGACGCCAACAGAAACTTAGGGGAGCATGTTAAAACAGGACTCTTATGTAACTTCAAAACGTTTTTCTTTCCTGGGCGTTAAAGTAAAGATGATGGGACGTCAATAGGGTGTCCGTTTAGAGAACGTCTAGAGACGAAGTTTGTCTAAAGTCAGAAACTATTAAAAGTAAAACCTTTGCATCATAAAAGTGGTTGAGTTGCATGTTTGTGCTATTTTAGGGGCAAAACTTACCTCATAACGAAAAAATCTTGGATCACCTTAACCCTCTTTTAAGATTTAACGCTTGACTCAATTTAAACAGAGCATGAGACTAAGTGCTGGATTATGTCCCCTCATCAGACATCATTCCCACATCACATCAGCGATCTCAAACTTTGAGATTACTTCGAAAAGGAAGTCGAAGCCTCGCCTTTGTTTTGGAAATGTTTCGGTCGAAAGTTCAGGATCGCCTCCAAATGTCCATGGCGGGGACAGAATGGAGATACACACGTCATGAAGCAATATTTCAAAGTATTGTAATTAGAATGAGAAAGATGGTAATTTTTAAGCTCGGTAAAGAAATGAAGAAAGATGTTTTTCGTCTTGTCACGAGTGTGGGACAAACAAAAAATTCTGAGTCCCCACGAGGAATCGAACCTCAGACCTACGGATTCCGCGCCCCGATGTTCCACCACTGAGTCACAGAGACTCTTTGGTGAGCATGGCTTATTACGTAGTCAATATATGACACGCGTCCTGCATACTGTTAGGATCAGCAATTTCGATAGCGTCATGTTTTGTAAATAGAATACCGAGCTTAAAACTTACCTTCTTTCTTGTTCAACATCTTTCTCTATTTAAGAGTTGTTACCTTCACATTTAGAAAATCCCTCTCCAGTATATCCTGATCTACATAAGCAGCTGAATGAACCATCTGTGTTTATGCACTTCGCATACTTATGGCAACTGTGAGAGCTGATTTCGCATTCATTGATGTCTGTGAGGTTGTAAAAGATTATCCAGAACCCAGTTAGAAGAATTAGTTGCGTTGCTGATCTCATTAATTGATAAATAATGCATCAGTAACTATATGCTTTTAGGTATTTATATAAACGTCTCCTTCCAAATTACAAGAGAAGGAAGTTCGCTAGAGAGGGAAACATTGTACTTTGTCGAGGTAAACCGCTGCTCCACTACAAAGAAGTTCCTGGAATGCAGCCACAACCAGTTAAACTTATTAGGGATACTAGGGCAGGATGGGGAAAACATGCTGACCCCGGGCTAGCTGGTAAAGAACTTTTTAGGGGGGGGAGGGCCCAGAAAGTAGTTTTCAGTAGACTCTACAGGGATAAGGCTATTAGCCAGTGTACATTTTAGTTCCTCGGAGAAATTCCAAGGGAGTGACGTGGACAACTGTAGCTTGAGTGTGCTTTTCCTCTACTGTCTCCTGTGCAACCGGGCTGGCATGTACAGTAAAACAAGCCCGCAGTGTTCATGCACTCTCCGTGTAAGTGACAGCCATGATCCAGTTGACACTCGTCTGTATCTATTTTAGGTAACGTAAGCAACAGTTATCAGGTGTGCAAACCTGTGGCTGTTCAGAATAAACTAAAGTTACTGATTCAAAATTTGAACTTCAAAAAGGTTCGCTCGAATTTATGGACACAAATCTCTTGTTTCCTTATTGTTAAGTAAATTAGAATTTTCACAGTTAAACTACGAATACGAGGGAGGGCTGGTACAAGATAAGTCGCCGAGTTACCTGCACAAAGGTGGCCATTTCCATGGAATCCATCATTACACCTGCAGCCAAATGATCCCATAGTGTTATTGCAGCTGGCATTAAGGTGGCAGTCGTCAGATTTTTCTTGACATTCGTCTACGTCTACGTCAGAGAGTGAATTTAAAGTTCAAAAAGTTTGTCAAAGTAAAACATTCATTGCAACTTGTAAAACTTCGTATAGTGCAGCAATGCTCTAAATATCATGAGTAGTCCTTATGTTTGAAAACTGTCGCTCCACTTCTCTTTCCTTCAGTCGCCACTTTTAAAAAATAGGAAAAGTAAGAATTACGGAGAGCCGTCCTTCTCTTTCTGCTAGTTAACTTATGTGCAGCCCTTGAAATTGAAATCACTTTTAGGCGAAGTTTAGAAGACGAGGGTAACGAAGTAACTGATAAACAATACCCAGCTCTTGCTATACAATGAAGTTTATATTACCTGCCACTCGTATTTCAATGTGTTTCCTCGACTTACCAAAAGTGCAAGTTTCTCCGGTAAAACCTGGAGGGCACAAACATTGGAAACTTTCGAGTGACTCGAAGTTCGGAACGCATAAGGCATTTCTTGGGCAAGGGTCAGTGGAGCAGGAGTTCTAAAGGAAAAAAAAGAAAGTGATGATGGAAAATACAAGGACTATAATGCAAGGACTATAATGCAAGGACGATAATGCAAGGACTATAATGCAAGGACTATAATACAAGGACTATAATGCAAGGACTATAATAAAAAACGAACTCAACTAACATTGTTTAACACGTGCCCACTATTAAACGATGTCTCTGCTAGACGCTCACTTTATCTTGCACTTGTGAAGTCTCAGTTATCCTACGCGACCCAAGTCTGGTCCCCGGACAAGATTGCATTAAAAACTCAAATTGAAAGGGTTCAAAGGAGGGCCACAAGGTGGATCCTCAAACAACGTGTAGGCGTGATGTCATACAGAGACAGACTTTTAACTTTGAAACTTCTTCCTCTGACATTTGACCGCAAACTCAAAGATCTTGTTTTTTACAAATGTCGGAATGGTTTTACTGATCTTAATGTTTATGATTTTGTTTCTCCTGTTTCTCACGGCTGAACCAGACTAAGTGATTCTTGTAACCTTAAAACTCCTGTATGTAAAACTAGCACTTTTCAGGCCTCTTACTTTAATCGTATTGTTAAGCTCTAGAACTATATCTGTAAATTTTCACCCCCTACCAGTTTTTCAACTACTGCTTCCTTCCGCAACTTTGTTACTAAGCACATGTTCCACCTTTTGCACAATCACTTCGACATATCCTATCCCTGTACCTGGTCAATTGTGCGATCCTGCCCTTGCCATCCCTAGTTTTTAGCGTCTTTTAAATTTGGCTTCTTTTAGTTGATCGTGTTTTAATTATTATTTGTACCATGGGAGGTGCCTCGCATGGGTCCTTGCGTCCCGTTCGCACCTTCCCTTTTGACCTTATCACTTTAAATCACTTTGCACATATATTTCATTTTTTTTCTTGGCTGTTTAATTTGCTGTATGTAACATGTGTTATGGTCAATAAAGCTGTTAAAAAAAAAAAAAAAAGTTTCATTTGGTGTAAGTATCGACAAAGAGCCACTTTAATGTGAGGTTAGTGTCATCGATGCTATGTCATCCACGCTCCCCAGAGACACCTTTTGCTGTTTGGAAACGGGGGGCCTTGGTTGGAGGCCCATGGCCATGCCACACACACACACTACACCTCGCTTCAAGCTTTGTCCGACTCGTGCCCCAGTCATGCATTTAAAAGATGAGCACACCCTTTATTTTACCGCGAACAGCACTGAAAATAGGAAAATTAAACTTTGGCCGCTTAAATTCGGTTCTTTGTACACGAAAGTGAAGACATTGCTTTAATTGCTAATAAGATATTTTCCTCCAAAATCTGAATCATTTTACTTGTATCTATACTACTCAGCCTCAGAAGCTCTCCCAGCCTCTCTCTGTGTGTGGTAAGTGATAAGCTCGCACAAAATGAGACTGCTCTTAAAGCACACACCTCGATTCCGCGGTAAAAGTATCCGGGCCTGTCTGTCATGTTCTGAGGATCTCTAAACTCATCAGACTTGCTGATTTCACAGTCTCGTATGCCATTGTCTAGCACTGGTCCTAGATTATATGACACACACAACTCGTGCATAAAACATTTCAACTGGCAATCGTCTTCTTTTGCAACAGGATATGAAGTTAGCACGTGATCGTTCAATGATTTGTCGTGTCTTACAGCAAGAAGCTTGACTAGTGTGCATCGGCCATCTTGAAATTGAAAAGAAATTGATATGTAAGTCGAACAAAGATGTTACTGTAAGGTTAAGGGCAATCTCTGAGTCACTCTGAATCTAAATAAAATTGCTGTTTGTGGTATATCGAGAAATGGAGTGCTCCGTTGAAAGCCATTGTAAAAGAAACACATAAAAACCATGAGTTGTTTTGCTAATGTTTCTCCTGAGTTTTGCTTTACTGAGAAGTTAAAAAAAAAAACTTAAAATATGTCAATACACATATACTCCTGCGGAGTATCATTTAGCACGCCCCCGGCCGGAGTTTGTTTAATTGGTTGAAAATTGCTTTAATTATCAAAAGGCTAACATGTTCATTAGCAACACTCGCAGCACTAGAATTTTCTGATTGTGGGTATTTCTTTGATTCTAGCCGGGAAATCTTATGGCAACATGCCTTGTAAAATCCTCTTCCCGATTTAATTATCCTTATTTACCTAAATCAAATAGAAAATAGGAGTAGGGAGCGGAGAGTGGAGGAGGGGGAAGGTGTTTTTTTTAAGTAATGGAATATGTGTCTTGGTCTACAGTTTTGTCTCCTACACTACCCTGCAACTTGAACTATTTCCAAAAATCAGACAAAATCTCGGATTTACGCTGTTCGAGCGTTAACTTACAACCATTAGTTTCTTATTTTAAAAAGAAAGTATCTTGTTTTAAATTGGCCGGTAAATTTAAGGGCTTGTTGACGAACAACTCAACTTTGAAAAACTGAGGCATGACCTAGATGAGTGTTTGACCTCTGTTGACACAAAATTCCATAACTATATAACCTATAGGGTCTATATTTGGCACTTTGCATGCCAGCTGCGAGGCAATTGCTTTTGTTTTACAAGCAATTTTCATTTCCAATCTGATATAAAATGATGTTTTCATCTAAAATGAAGAAGAGATTTTCCTTTCGAGTGAATGTCTCTCGTATTTGTTTGTTCAAGTTTGTTTAAACAGCACCCTTCAACATAAGATAATGTTGGATCCGTGGACACTACAGCTTAAAAATATCGATATAGACGAAATTAGAGAATCCTTTAGGCTTTAATTTTCTGACTCTCGCTGAATTTTCTTCTTCTAGCTATTCAACCACTTGACAAGAAATTTACCGAAACTTTCATTACCTCATAAACAAAACAACAACATTGCGAAATTTGTGTTCTTGATTACGTAGACTTGCGTTTCCCTACCTTAAAACGGATACATATACATAAGACTCACGAAAAAAAAATGTTGATTCGTTAATCATGGATAGAATTTGATAAAAGAACGCGTCCCTTTCCCTCTAATTTTCTACGTTTTGCAAATATTTTATTCCATTAATTAATCTTTTTATTTTTCATAATTATTTTTGGGAGTTGTTCACTCTAAAAGTGTCTCTTATTCTTTCATGTAAAAATCTCGCTCGGTTGAACCCGATATTTCTGAAAAGCTTGGTCGCCAATGGAGTCGAAGGGCTCTAAATTTTCACTGCAGAATACAACCGTGATATGATACATATCGATATTAATGTTTTCATGGATAAGCTGAACTATCAGTTTCACGTAAGAACAAAGTCACCACCTACTTACCGACCAGAGCCTGCGAAATGGCAAAGCCAAGAAGGGTGCTAAGAATGAAAACCGTCAGGGCGCTGGTTTGACACAGAAAAACCGCCATGCAAGCAAACAAGAACTCTTACGTGTTGACAAAAGTATGACAAACGATGTATACTGATTATGGAGCCCAGCACTATTTACCTGTTAGAACCAAGCCCATTCCAAAGAGAAGGCAGCTGATTTGAGAGCTGCAAAATTGAGTGATAGAAAATTCTGTTAGCCAACAACAGGTGTTTCAGTACATTGCAAAAACGTTTATTTCGATTGGAGTAATTAGTCACGAAAGGCTTCATTTAAAAAATCTATTTTCTATCTGAAAGGTAAATGAGGAGATTTCCTACGGGCAATATAACTTTACACAGCATGTTGCGATGAGTTTTCCGACTACAATCAAAGCAATACCTATCATCAGAAAATTCTAGAGCTGCACGTTTTGAAAATAAAATCGTTACCATTTTGACATCCGAAGCATTTTTTAACCATTTAACCAACTCCGGGAGCACGCCTAATGATTCTTAACAGGATTATGAGTATTCGTGAGTTTTAGGCATTTTCTTGGACTTCTCAATTACACAATGCTCGAGAAAAATTTTAGCCGGACCGGCATCAGTTGAAATGAAATAATTTACACTTAGGTAAACAGTTTTGTGAAGTTTCATTCAAATTTTTAAAGACACCCACTTTTACAGATAAGATGTTGTGTTAATATTCAGCTCTAGTTTTATTAACTCAGCAGTATGGTGTATGACCCTGAAATCTTAAAATACTGTATTCCAACAGTACGAGATAAAAATAAATTGCAAGACTGAAATGTCTTTGACGATTCAAGTGAGGAGGCAAAAACTACATGGAAATTAATCTTGTTTATTGGCTCACTCATTTCACAAATAAATGAGGATATCTTACAAGAAATATACTAGTGAACTTCTCACTGTTGCTATTTACTGAAAAAAAAAAACAGTAACTATCTTCTCTTTTCTGTCAGAACTCCATTTTTCGCAAAACGAAAGTCGCTTCCGACGTGAATATGTCTTAGAGACAAGAAAGTGGACTTTTATCAAAGCTGAAGCGGTTTCAGTTCATTTGTTATTTCCTACTGTGCAACGAAGAGTAATTGAGAGTAGATCGTTGACATAGTCGATCATCGTCATCATTCACCTAATTCTCTGAATGTTATACCCCTCTTCCATTAAACGCTTTGTTTGCAAGTCCTCCCCCATTTATGATGTTTCCGCTATCGGTAGGCGTGAGTGAGCATGCTGACTAACTGACCCTGAGAAAGATTGAACAGTTGCTGTTATAACACTAACCTAAAAAAGTCTACAAGAATATCATAAATGAACAACTACGCACTTCATGCGTTCAATCAATCTTTGACTGCGTAAGGCAAAACAAGAACTTTCGTGTGGGTCCAAAGCAAAATCAGTCGACAAAGTAAGCACGTCCTTTGCTGGAAGATAAACTAGACAGTCACAATTTTGGAAACTCACCTTAAAAGCTTAAATCTACTTTGAATTTATAAAGAAACTACATGCTGAATATAAACGAATGACAAATTCACACTGAACTGACTAAATACTGACTTCATAGCACCTTTATAAGATAATTATTTTTATGTGATTGACAATGTAAGTCCTTGCTGTGTGTAGGTAAATGGAAAATTCAGCCACTATCCGTTCATTTAAATTGTTTACGTACAGAGGTTTCCGTTCAGAGGTGTTGGTTACGGTTTATCACTTTACCCAACTTAAAAGTAGGTCTTCGTAATAATGAATACTACTGAAGTAGTTATGAAAAAAGGCCTGAAAAAATTCAGGCCCTAACGAGATTTGAGGCCATGACCTCAGGCCTAATTTTCACTACCGCTCGGGTAGTGATCATTACTGCGAAGATCGCTTTCATATTCATTCCTTAATCCGCAGCTCACATATATGAGTTTCATATGTTCACAGTCATTACTTGTTGCAAAAACTCAAACTTCAAAGATTTAGGTTTGAATGGGATTCAACCAAGTGACGCGCCTCCGACTTACGGAACAACTTTGGTGAGGATACATCCATGTTATGCAATCAGTGTACAGACCAAATAAATCCTGACATTTCCCCTCTTTCTTAAAAGGGCGATCTCTTCTAGAGATCGGCCAAGGTTTATTTCAGCATTTCTCGACGATAAAACAAGCATAGATGTTCTTATTGATATTTAAAAAACTGCTCTTGCCAAAGAGGAAAAAAAATCATCTCCTGCCACACCAAATGTAGAACAATGTGTGATAACTTCTCATATCAATGTTATTTGAGTCAGTACCATCTTGTAAAAGTAAATCTAAGGATACTTGAGGGGTGACTTGTCACACGAAGGTAAATATAACAAGATGCGAGAATTCATAATAGGTTCCTTGTTAATCTGTCTTATGTCCTGCATGAGTGAGGATTCACTCCGTATACGATGATCAAAACCTTTACTTGGCCGCTATCATAACAGAAATTTGAGATATGATAAATACAGCGTTATTTTAAACTGAAGTATTCTAAGTCAGTCAGGATAAATACTTTTCCATACGCAGGTTATTCCGTGTTTGATCGTGCAAACCGACTCTGTGCGAACAAAGATTTTATATTTATGTATTCAAGTCTACGCTTCTCCCTATCTTAGAATAACCATCATTTGCTTGATAATGGCGTCAGGACGGCACCGAAATGTTGTTTTTTTTTTAGTAAAAGTGCTTCGATAACTGTTGTATCAAAGTAGAGTTCGCAGTCACGAGAAACCATGACAAGCTGTTTCAACCCGTCATTATTACTTGCCGGCTTGACATAAGATTCAAAAACAATTTAGAAGGCACACTGGTAGGTTCATACAACATCTTTGTAAGCATTTTTTTTTCTCATATCAACATGACTGTACAAGTGCTATAGTCACTGTCATTGTAGCTACAGAAAGTTTTATAGTCATCGTATTCATACAATCTTGCCCAAACGTCTTGGAAGTGTACAAAAGTAATAGCAAATCGAGAATTCTTACACGAACAAATAGCCGCAGTCAGTATTGAACTAGAACACTTAACTGAGATTGTGATTAAAATTTCAAAGTTCCCTGCTGATTTCGATCGCTCAATCAATAAAACAATAGAACCCCAACAGTTACAATCAAGTCCAGTAGCCAACCTCAATGACGTCACACTGGCTCAAATGAGACTTGTGAATAGCTAATAACACGCTGACTGATAACTGATCGACTGGTGATCTACGAGTCGAGGGACAAAAGGGGCGTAAATCTTCCCTGTCCAAAAAAAAAAAAAATAAATCAGTATTTATAGATTATAAAAAACACAACATAAATCCCACTATTACTGCTCACAAAGAGAAAGAAAAGACAAGTTATAAAGGAGCTCAATATTTCACAATTTGACTCGACAGGTGTTAAAAAACTCAATACTAAGAATAGGCAATTTAAAAATGTCAATATCTAATATTAATGAAGTGGTTGAAGTTCATGGACAATAACACTACTGGCCAAGCGCAAACCGATAACCGCATTTTTAGGAATTATCTCTAATTCGAGAAGAGAAGTTCAAAAAATTGCCTACTTTATGATATTCAGTAATAAACTATGGTTATCAATGTTATTGCGTACTTTTAGTTTCCTCGTAAATCACTCTTTCAACGAAAAAATGAAGACTAACGACTAGTTATCGTACATTATCACCAATGATTACACTAAAAACAAGATATGAGACAAAATATCTCAGACAAGGTCAGACAACTTAATGTTATCGCAAACCGTAATGCTAACTTTTACCTGCAAAATAAAGTTTCAGAACTGTCACGATTAAGTTCTATAAAAGATTTAGTCTATATATATTTTTTCCTTTGTTTTCTTTACAAAACCAAAACGCGGTGTGCTGAATAAAAACGCAGGCAGAAAAATAAATCAGAGATGCCAAATCCCGGGGAGAAAGTTAAAACCATTTTAAACCACATGGTCAATTGGTTTAATGAAAAAACTGTTGTGATTTTAAGTTGAAATTCATTGAATTGCTTTATTAAGTGAAGGAAACGTTTCAAAACGGTTGTCTTACAGGGTTTTTCTTGATAAAAAAAATTCTTTTGATTCGCTTGCAAAGCATCTACACATGCCTAAAGTAAGGGTATTTCATGTCTAAAGAATAGATAGCCAATTAGCGATTCAAAGAGAGACCCACCGTTTCCAAATTACAAAAGAAATTGTTGACAAAACGGTTCAAAGATACCTACTAATTAAAAATTTTTATAACTTCGCTCTTAAAATTATTTATGCCAAGATATTATGTTTCAGAAGATATTCCAGTTCCCTTCATCACTCAGGTTTGATAAGCTAAGCCCACGATTTTTTCGAGGTGAAAAACAGTGAACTTCCACCAGGAAGCGATGGTGTTCAAAACTGTTAATAGAAATATGGAAAAAGCAAAGTTTTCTAGCGTCATAACAATATGACCTCAACCCTATTCATTCTCTGTTCTACCCTTGGTAACTCAAGGCTTTGACATTGACAAAACCCTGAATTTTCTTGTTTCTTTTCAACTGTAATTGGCTGTATGAAAAATTAATTAATCGATTGTCACCTAATTAAGTGATTCTTCCCCCACTTGATAATAAGCTTATTAACACGACCACCTAGTCCTTATAAACATTTGAACAAGTTACCCGTTGAACAATTCGATCTCGGCCTGTTTGAACGAAGCTTACGGCATAAAAGCAACTTTTTCAGGGTGTTGGACCGGGTTAAAATGGCTTTGAAGTGTGGTTTCATTCTTCTCTTGGCTGGGTTTGTCGGGATTCTCGAGGTTCAAGCTGCCTCGGTTGCCATAGAGAAGGATATCTGGAAAAGCCTGCGTCAAGGTGATTTTAGTGTCCGTGTCGGTTTTGCTGTAGTTGAGATAACGTTTTTCACACTATGAGGATTCGTAATGTCTCGCTTAATCTACCGGTTTTCGGTGAAGTATTGTTCTTCTTAAACATATGTATAAGTGATCTTTCCTCGACCTTGATCTTCAACTTGGTTTAATTTTCCTTCCTACCAACATGACTAGAGCGCGGAGCCAGAAAATTTTTATTTTACCGTTTTCTAAAGTCACTTACATTCCAACGATCTATAATGTAGTAACCAACTTTGAACCAATTTTAAAATAAAAGTTTAGAAGAAAAACAATGCAACAATGTAATCAGATGTTAGATGATTGAGAAAGTTTGAAATAGTTGTAGCCGATGTCCAGTGGAAATGTTCCATATTCACGTTGGCTATTTAAGCTAACATAACATCTGCAGTAAAAAGGGTTAAGATCACGACGGTGGGGAGGGTACAAGACAAAAAAAATGTATTTTTTTCTCTTCGTATCCCAGCCTCTATCGAATAGGATATGACAAAATAAGAAGCTGTCTTAAGTTCAGAACTGGAGTGCTGGCTGCTAGCCCCAAAGGGATACACTTATAGCATAAGAAAAATATGTATCACTATCATTTTGTGTTCTCAGCTGATCAGGACAAGAGGAACACAGACGTGGATAGTCTTGACACTGAAAATCTATCGACAGGTATTACGATTACTTATTAATATTCCTCTGACTTTTAGTTTTCATTTTTCATAAATTCCACCTTTACTTCTTGTCTTCGGTGAATTTTTCAATGTTCGCAAATGCCCAGAGCATTTACGCAAACAATAGATGAGTTCTGGACCCAATTATAGACTCAGAGATTGCTAGTATCCTGCCTGTATTCAGAAAAAAATGTTAAACTTTGGAATACATCATCAGAATACATAGCCAACAAGTATGTATGTATAGAGCCCTCCCCCCCCACACCATAAAAAGAAGCGATCTAGGGTTCAATTCATACCAAAGTCGCTCCTTTAGCCTAGCCGTCAAATTGATTTTAACCATCACTACTAGCAAAAATCGATAACTTATCGTGAAGATCAGATCCAATGCAATTTAATTCTCAAATCCATTCTAACTACATTCACTGTTTACAGATGAAGATTTTAGTTATGAAGACCTTGCCTCGGATGTCGCTTTCCCGAGAAGAGCAGGTAACTCCTTTGTAATTAGGCCAAACTAACAAGCTGCATCGGCCAATCAAAAAAGAATAACATCTAAATGAACTTTTAACACCATGCGGTGTCACGCCTCCCCTGGCGCTGCCCCTCTACTACTCAATGGGTGAGAAATGACACGTTGAGACTAAGAACATCAAAATTTCAACATACATATCACAAGTGATATACGAAATAAATCATTCATGATGTTTTATCTTCGGTGAAGAATTAAAATTTCCAAGGTAAACTGCACTTAGGAAATAAAAAGTCGAATGTAACACACAAAACCTGAAAAACGACGTCAGGCGTCTCGACCGGTCGGTTGCTATAGGAGTTCTTCTACTAACTGACCAATAAAGCCACAACAGATCCTTGCCAATAAATACGCATAGTCATTGGAATACCTATAATTACATCCTCAAGGGAAGTTTAACATACTATTGAACTTGAAGTGAGATTTAGAACACCATCAGCAGTTTTCAGAGGTCTTCGAGACATCTTCGGGGAAAAGACTAGATAGAAGATATGATAATTATAATAGTAACAAAGACCAGAATGATGCAAATAGTAAATGATGATTAAAATCTATTAATGTGTTCCATGCTTCAGTTTGTGCTGACGCTTTCAGTGGATTGTGCAAAATGCTTGGAAAAAATAAACAGTGTGACAAGGGTAGGCACACGAGGTTCGCTATGAGGTATTGCCACGGCAGTTGCCCAGAATACTGTAAATAATGCGGTAAGTACTAAAGAAACTTGTTAGCAGTTAGAGATGGAGCCAGACGGGCACTATGGACAAGCTACCAATAGTTATGGTTCTATAAAGTGGCTTGTTATTTCATTTGTTTTTACATCGGCATTTCTAGAACGCCGGTTTTCAACCATCTTCAGGAAGCCTGTCTTCAAAAAAATCCTTACAACATATGTACCAGATAAATTCCAAGCAAATATTATAGTTATAGGAGATGGTTAGATAATTACGCTGGAGACAAAATTAGAATGTTAACCCTCCAAGGGCTTAAAAGACAGGGTGGAATGAGTCCCTAGGCTCCTATGCATATGGGCTTCGGAAGCAACTTCTTGTTTTAATAGTTTTTACTCTTAAAGTATTTCTCCTAGTCTAAAAAGGATAAAAGTAATGGGACCCAGGAAAATCCCTTACTGGGGGTAAAAGAGAATCAGTAAAAGTGCAAATAAAAAACTCATTTTTACCCGAAGTAAGTGGGAGCTTTATGCACGAAGTTAGTTTTAACCACGTCTACTTTTCCTTTTCAGACTTAATTGGAGTTGCCCAGTCTGGAATATTCGATCGACAAAAATAAAATAATGAACCAAACTTAAAATAATGAACCAAACTTAAATCTTAAACCTAATTCTTTAAACTTAAAGAGATCCTCTGTTCTTTATCATAGTGCAAAACTTCATGAGATATTGCTTTCGACTAATTTTGGTCAACTGGCGCGGTTTACTTTTTAAAAGAATTCACTAGACTCGATAGCCGGTTCCGTTCGGAAATTGAGCCCACGCTCCACAGGTAGGAACGAAAACCGGACTAAAGAGAGTAGTGGAAGTCCGGCCTAGGAATTGACACAAATGTCTATGTTGTGAAACAGTGATGGCAAAATATATAAAATGAAATGTTTAGTAAGGCTCCTTGGAAGAGATAAGGAACCAGGAAAAGTGCAATTATTCAATCTATGTATAAAAGAGGGTCTTCACGTCGTGGTGATCTTGTGTGCTTCCCACAAGGAATCATGTCTGTCCTATTTGCATGTGTAGTACTAAAACACTTTTAGAATAATTTCTTTGCTTGAACTGTTCTGACACTCCTGTGCAGCTCATTCCCAAGCCTTATGCGCGCAAAGCCCTCTACGTCTATTAAGGTGAAGTCCTAGAGCCTCTGAGCTGAAAATAACTGCATTCTGTTTCACTTCATATCATAGATATTTGTACTCTTTTCTCTACTTTGTATAACTAAAGCTCATGAATGAAATTCTGGTTCTGGTTAGTACAGATATCGTAATCGAAGCCGTTAACGTGGGTCTATCAACCGTTTCGGAGGCCTTTTTTATTCCCCATACTAGCTGATCGTGCAAGGATAATGTATTAAGTAATTACCAATTATTTTATCTCCCATTTATTCATTAAGACTATGAAGTTGCTTGAACTTCTAAATGATAAAAACCTGACCGTCAGTATGCAATAAGTTGCATGAAATGATAGTAGCGATGTTTTTCAGTCGATTAGAACAAAACTTGAACCGAACTTGTTAACAATGCTATCTGTAACTTATAAACTTCCTCTATCGTTATCCAATGTCCTTATAACTGCTTTTCTGGTGATGCTGAAACTAAATAAAGACTGGGCTGACAATAGACGTCTTTGTACTTTATGCAAGGTGTGACTGCAGTAACCGTAACTTTCCAACACCACGATTAACTGATAAAAAGCGATTTATTGATGTGGGAGAACGATGAGGGTTGAAACTAAAAAATACAAAATTACAACAATTGATTAAGTAAAGGTGATAAGAAAGAAATACACTGAGCCAACTTGAAACGACGATACTCACATTGTTACGATTACTCAAAAACTGCCCTTGCACTCGACGAGAAAACACTGTCTGAAGATGAAATAAGTAACGTAGATACTGCTAGACGAAAGGCCCCCTTAACAGAGAAAACTAAGTTTCTATACGCAGGAAAAACTGAAAATTAATGCATACGAAACGACTCCCTGAAAGTGTTTTTGATGCCAATAATTATGAATAAAACAATAATGAACCAAAGCATGCAATATGGAAAACAAAAGAAGCTAACTAACCGGTAGAAAAACACTTATTGAGACGACGCAAAACAGTAGCAACACTCTAGAGACACCCTAGTCAACAACTGACCACATTCCGCACGCTAAGATCTTACACAAAGAGCTAGTTCAATGTAAATTTCCATATGGCGTGGGATAGGAGATCAGGAAATTAAAACTTATTATTTTTTCTCCCACTGAGAAAACTTTTAATTCCATAATCCAACCTCCAATCAAATGATTTACTTCCTCCAGGCTTTGAACCAATTTGGCAGTAGCTCAACTCAAAATTTTTACCCGGTGAGAAGTTATTCAGTTCCCAAACCAATTAAAAGTGCTCAAGCGTATAATGATATACAAAAATTTAAGCTTAGCGTTCTATGGAATTAGCACATGCGTTAATGGCTGGCGGCCATGATTGGTACAGTAGATATTGGGACACCTCTTAAAGAAGGGGGAAAAGCGTTAAAATAACAATCGACCTTGACAAAACTTTTATGGACTTTTTAACGTTGTTTCACTGGTTCGGCTGGCAAACAAATTATGGTGAAGTAGTCGCTCAAGCTTAACGAAGTAGAGTTTGCATTTGAAAATGATCATGAGAGAAACTTGAAAAACTAAGAATGTCGCCTTAGCAGTCGCCAAGATAACGACAAACGCACTGACTTCCAGAGAAAGAAGAAATTTACATCTCAGAGTAGCAGAGAGAATCACGCCCATAAAAGCTTTTGACATGTACGAAGATCTGGACGAATTTGAAGGGAAGTATGGGCGCAACGTCTTATAGATTATCCATCAATCTGTTCTTGACCTGTCAAGATCAACCTGTTCTAGTTTTTGCATCTTGTTTTTTCATGTAAGATTTCCAATTATTCGTAACTATGGACTGCATATTCATTAACTGTCGTAATTTCCACAGGAAATAATAGATTAAAAACCAACAACGTATTTGTAATAATCCTCACAACTATTTGATGAGCGTGGAAAAAACTCTGGTACGTAAAATACCAACAAATGATTTGGACTCGTCAGTGTACATCAATCTGAGACGCTTAATTAATGGTTAAAAGTGCCGCTACATTTCTAAACGCAAATTTTAAGTGAAGATCATGATCTGAAAGTGGATAAATCGAAGATTGTCATTTCCAGGATTCTATGAACAATAATTGTACGCACGGGATAAAATGGATGGAGTGAGACGAAGCAGCTACGTCATAGACTCAGTTTGGAGTGACACCATAATCGGAATAATGGAATCACTGACAGCGAAGGATTAGTAGGAACACAAGATCAACGGGAAATAGGCTCAAATAGCTACATAGGATCATTGACAACTTAGAATAAGTGGGAGTATAGAATCAAGGGTACTTAGGATTAGTAGGAACATAAGATCAATGAGAATACAGGATCAGTAAGAACTTAGGATCAGTCAGAATATAGGATCAGTAAGAACTTAGGGTCGGTCAGAATATAGGATCAATAATGTTTGTGGGTATGGGCTTGAATTTTTTTCAGGTCTTATTTCAACAGCTAGTTCAGTAGTGTTCATAGCTACGAGGTTCTCCTATATTCGTCACATAGGATCAGTGACAACATAGGATCAGTGACAACATAGGATCAGTTTGAAAATAGGATCAGTGAGAACATAGGATCGATGAGAACATAGGATCAGTGAGAACATAGGATCAGTGAGAACATAGGATCAGTGAGAACATAGGATCAGTGAGAACATAGGATCAGTGAGAACATAGGATCAGTGAGAACATAGGATTAATGAAAACATAGGATCAGTGAGAACATAGGATCAGTGAGAACATAGGATCAATGAAAACATAGGATCAGTGAGAACACAGGATCAGTGAGAACATAGGATCAGTTGAACATAGGATCAGTGAGAACATAGGATCAGTTTGAACATAGGATCAGTGAGAACATCATCAGGATGAGAAACATAGGATCAGTGAGAACATAGGATCAGGATCAGTGAGAACATAGGATCAATGAAAGGATCATAGGGATCAGTGAGAACATAGGATCAGTGAGAACATAGGATCAGTATAGGAACAACAGGATCAGAACATAGGATCAGTGAGAACATCAGGATCAGTGGATCAGTGAGAACATAGGATCAGTGAGAACATAGGATCAGTGAGAACATAGGATCAGTGAGAACATAGGATCAGTGAGAACATAGGATCAGTGAGAACATAGGATCAGTGAGAACATAGGATCAGTGAGAACATAGGATCAGTGAGAACATAGGATCAGTGAGAACATAGGATCAGTGAGAACATAGCATCAGTTTGAACATAGGATCAATGAGAACATAGGATCAGTTTGAACATAGCATCAGTTTGAACATAGGATCAATGAGAACATAACATCAGTTTGAACATAGGATCAATGAGAACATAGGATCAGTGAGAACATAGGATCAGTGAGAACATAGGATCAGTGAGAACATAGGATCAGTGAGAACATAGGATCAGTGAGAACATAGGATCAGTGAGAACATAGGATCAGTGAGAACATAGGATCAGTGAGAACATAGGATCAGTGAGAACATAGGATCAGTGAGAACATAGGATCAGTGAGAACATAGGATCAGTGAGAACATAGGATCAGTGAGAACATAGGATCAGTGAGAACATAGGATCAGTGAAAACATAGGATCAGTGAGAACATAGGATCAGTGAGAACATAGGATCAGTGAGAACATAGGATCAGTGAGAACATAGGATCAGTGAGAACATAGGATCAGTGAGAACATAGGATCAGTGAGAACATAGGATCAGGATCAGTGAGAAACATAGGATCAGTGAGTGAGAACATAGGATCAGTGAGAACATAGGATCAGTTTGAACATAGGATCAGTTTGAGACATAGGATCAGTTTGAACATAGGATCATAGGATCAGTTTGAACATAGGATCAGTGAGAACATAGGATCAGTTTGAACATAGGATCAGTTTGAACATAGGATCAGTTTGAACATAGGATCAGTTTGAACATAGGATCAGTTTGAACATAGGATCAGTTTGAACATAGGATCAGTTTGAACATAGGATCAGTGAGAATATAGGATTAGTGAGAACATAGGATCAGTTGAACATAGGATCAGTTTGAGCATAGGATCAGTTTGAACATAGGATCAGTGAGAACATAGGATCAGTTTGAACATAGGATCAGTTTGAACATAGGATCAGTTTGAACATAGGATCAGTGAGAACATAGGATCAGTGAGAACATAGGATCAGTGAGAACATAGGATCAGTGAGAACATAGGATCAGTGAGAACATAGGATCAGTGAGAACGTAGGATCAGTGAGAACGTAGGATCAGTGAGAACATAGGATCAGTGAGAACATAGGATCAGTGAGAACATAGGATCAGTGAGAACATAGGATCAGTTTGAACATAGGATCAGTTTGAACATAGGATCAGTGAAAACATAGGATCAGTGAGAACATAGGATCAGTTTGAACATAGGATCAGTGAGAACATAACATCAGTTTGAACATAGGATCAGTGAGAACATAGGATCAGTGAGAACATAGGATCAGTTTGAACATAGGATCAGTGAGAACATAAGATCAGTTTGAACATAGGATCAGTGAGAACATAACATCAGTTTGAACATAGGATCAATGAGAACATAACATCAGTTTGAACATAGGATCAATGAGAACATAGGATCAGTTTGAACATAACATCAGTTTGAACATAGGATCAGTGAGAACATAGGATCAGTAAGAACATAGGATCAGTTTGAACATAGGATCAGTGAGAACATAGGATCAGTTTGAACATAGGATCAGTGAGAACATAGGATCAATGAGAACATAGGATCGGTTTGAACATAGGATTAGTGAGAACATATGATCAGTGAGAACATAGGATCAGTTAAAACACAGGATCAGTGAAAACATCCACAAACTTTGAATATAACTTGTCAGATAATTTCTAAACGAACTGGATTTACTCTAACTGACTCCATAGTAGTGAAGGAGGCAATGATGGTGGACAAGAACGGAGGCCTTTTTTAGGTCAATAAAGGCAGCACCTGTCAGCTGTTGTTTATTTATGTGCTCTTATATATGGTAAACCAAGTAAAAACTACAACAGTTTCAGTAGAATGTTTTTAGCGAAAACCAACCTTAAATACTGATCAGACATTGTTTTCTTCATGAAAAGCCTGTAGATCAACTTAAAGCGCACGCTCCATAAATTTGGAGATTCTTAAAAATGGGAGTGACTTTGGCCTCCTTCGACACAAATGGAATTTTTCCAGTCAAAATCGTTATATTAATGTGCAAGCAGCAATTAGAAGTAGAATTAAGCCACGCTAGAAAGAATTAGAAGTAACTGGAGGCTTAATTGTCTATGTATGGAAAAATACGATCAAATTCAAAAACGGATTTGTCAGTAGTCTACAAGACTCGGATATGCAGATGTTTCCACGTAGGTCCGACTACAAGTTCGTCTTTATCTCCATGAGGTTTCCTCTGTGGGCCTTCCAAGTAAATTCAACAATCATCTTGGCAAGGGCATCTGAGCTTTGTGGAGAAGGAGATATCTTTATCCTTAATTGAGACATGAATCTCCCTGTCGACTGCCTCGAAATCTTCAGGCAGTCCCCACCGCCATGAGTAATTGAAGCAGCTCCTAGCTTCGTTTCTCTTCCTTTCACTTAAAGTGCACGCTCAATTTTTTTAAGGTTGGGCGAGTGCTGCGCGTATCCTTCATTTGGCAGCCGAGCAAAGTTTTCGAAGTTTTAATGTTAAAAAGCTTCAGAATTTTTTAGTTCGGTAAAATGTTTCATCATGGAGTCTATTTTTTCTATCGTGCCTTGGTAGATTTTTCGAGTAGTTTCCGAGTCTCCCTTTCTGTAGCTACAGCGTCGTTGTCCTAGGAGCCCCTGTAAACGAGGCCGTCCACCGTTACGACATATTGTGATTCTTTGTTTATATCGCTCATATTAGTTTTTTGTCGGATTCATTTCCTTTACTCGTGACCGAAAACGCTCAGTTGTATTCTCGGTCAGACAACGTCCTCATTCCTCCACCCTCTCCCACCCAATATTTAAAAACTCTACACACCGAAAAATTATGTTAATATAACTAGCAGTTTCCCGATGGTTCAGTGGCAAACGCTTTCGCGTATCATGCACAACAGAGGTCATCGAGGTTGTGGGTACGAATCACCTGCGCCATGGGAGTTATTCTGGCTTCTCCCCGAGTAGGAATTGTAGCTGGCAGACTAGGAGTAGCTCTCCAGCTGGCTTAAGGCGGGAATTTCGCATACTATCCTCTACCTTTTCTATTTTTCTCCCTTATTGACTTCACTTTATTTTCTTTCTTCCTTAAGTCTTCTCTTTTCTAACCAGTTATCTCTTTGTTCCACTTTGGTATTATTTCTTCTACGGTTTCGGTTCTTTTTTTTTTCTTTTTTCGAAATTGGATTAACATTTTGATCCTTTTTTTTCTTTAATTTTTGATTGTTCTTATTATCATCAAGATATTTTCTTTTTTGACAACTTCCATATCTAACTTATGCATGTTGGACGGAGTTTCATAGAAATTTTTTTGAAAGCTTCAAATCGGTTTTAAAAGAACTTGGTTCCCTTTCTTCCCCATTGAAATATAACTGGAGGCTTGGGCCAGCAAGATGACTCAACTCCTCTCACTATTTTGCACTTAACAGTCCCACTGATTGGGAAGAAATATCTCACCAAACTCTCCGATTGTTGTAAGATGTAAATAGGTAACCTGAGTCATTTCTAATACAATTAATACGGAAGTATATGAAATCTTGACTTTTAACACGTCTGTGTTGCAAAAAGTACAAACCAAAGTAGCCTGAAATGTTTTCTTGATGCTCCCATGAAGAAGTTGAAAACTGACATATTAGGTGAAAGAATCATGTAAGTTTGGCACTGTTACTATTTTTATTCAAACGCTGGTAGTACTTGGGTTAAATTCATTTATTCGTCACTTTTTAAACAGACGTCTTTAAAAAGCCTTAACATATTATAGTAACAACAATTTTATAAAATTTTATAAAGAAACCACTTTTGGCCCATGAATTTTTGCGTTGCTTAGAGGTACACAAATAAAATATCTCTAAATAACTACCTTCATATTAATTTCATTAAAATATTTGACATCTCAGGCAACAGCGCAAATTGTTACACGTGAATTACCTCGGGCATTCATCATAGAATATATATATTTTTTATATTTTTTTACGCGAGGAAATGTCCTCTCAAATGTATTATTTCTTATTGTTTTTTACAAACGTCTGTTTTCATTAGCTCCAAGTTATAATTTTTTTCTTACGTTTTCAATGAGTGGTTTTCTTGTGAGATAAATGTGCTGCAAATTTTGTGAAAGTCAGTTGATAAAATTGTTAAAAGACGGGGCAAACGGAGAGACTCTCGATGCATTGGCCCGAAGGTCCCTTGGGATATCTTAATGTCATATCCGTCATCTACGGGTTTAGATAGAGCCGAAAAATGGTATTTCTTGGACTAGGATTCACAATACGATCGTCTTGAGAAACCAAAAGGTATTGAAATGGAATCGATATCAGCGAACATCCTGATTAAAACTCTCTCTGCTTCAATTATCTCTTGATGTAGAACTTCGATTTTAAAAGATCAATTCACGAGAATATATTGGGTGTTGTACAATTTCACGACACTTGCATGTAGGGTCGTACCACTGTCGTAATGAGGACAGTATATCACTAACACAAGTTCTACATTCCTCGGAATGATTCCCCAAGGGTGATCGCTTCTTTGTTCTGCGTGTAAAACAACGCGTGGGTCTTGTAAAATGTTACAATTTCCGTCAAACCATCGAACGCATGCTTGCCAATAACGTAACGACCGCTTGGTGTCAGTTCTATGGGAAAATGGCGAATCCTAAAGTTTGAAACAGGAAAAAGAAAACATTAACGAAAATGCAATGGTAGTGATAATAATAACAACAACAACAATGATAATAATAACAATAATAGTAACAACAATAATTATAAATATATAATTCGACTTGAATTACCGAACGTCAGCTTTTCTCTGGTTCTCATTTATTACCGATACGTCTAGCGATAAATTAGACGACGCTAGCCCTTGTAGCAAAATTACGAAATTGCAGAACTAAGCGAGAAAATGAAATAGTACTTACTTTCCGCCATACTTGACCGATAGCACGAAAGAAGCAAACTAAAAATACGAAAAAAACAGTCAATACGGGCAAGAATTCACGCTCGCTAGAAAGGGAATAAGTAGATTTTTATTGTCTGTTTTAATTCTTTTTACCTTCTGAGTGCTCTCTCGTATCAAGTAGTCGAGTTCTTTGGCACTCTGTTGGACAGAAAACAAATCAAAATTACAAAATTTCATCATTTTAGTCATTCTGTTATGCACAATAACTTCCTTTCACTTTACCATAACATCAACTGTCAATTCGACATAACAACCAATGTTAGATTAAAAAAAAAAAATAGACAACAAAATATGGAAGAACTATGTCCACTACAGGTCTGCAAGCCGTCAGTTCAGACAAATGTTTTCATCGACCCTCCGTACGATCGTATTCTTTTTTAACGAAACAATGCACAAAACATTATATATTGGTTTTGCTGTGTTGTCGTCTTGGATCGGTTTTCCTGCATCAGTATGAGTTAACATTAAAAAATTGAACATATTTATATCTCACTCTCATCATAAGTTCCTCGCACTTCTGACGTGACATTTTCCCGTAATACCACAACTCGTCTCCTGTGACAGCACAAATGACACAAGCATCAGATACACATGCTTCCACAAAAAGGGAAATTGTTTTGGTTTTTGTTCTTGGTATATTCTGACGGAATTTTACACCAACTAAGACATCTAACAACATGACTTACCAAAAGAACTGTGCCTTTCCCGCTGCTTGCTCTTTGGAGGCATTTCGTTGAGAGTTTCTTCCTACAAGTAACGAATAGAAAATATCAACATCTATTACTGACAGTAATCGTAGAAATGCCGAAATGGCCATCCATTTTTTGGCGAATGAGAATCCATCCGTTTTTTAGCGAGTAGTGTGTGTGACGCAGTGTTTAAGTGACGCAGTGCTCAACAGTCTTAATTGAAGTCTGCCTGCTACTAAAAGAGTTCTTTACATACTGAGTCAGTAACGACACCCCGCTTTTGTGTCCTTCAGTCACTTCACCATCAAGCTTCTGTAATTTGACGTCCTGATTCACAGCACTTATAGTGATGTGCAAAATTCAATACCTCAACAATACAGTTTCTCAACTTGGTGATCATTTTTCGCCCCAATAACGAAAGAGATCAAAATAGAAAAAAGAAGATTCGTCCACTTCACTCACACTTAGATTTCTAGCGGAGCGCGAAGAAGGGAATGACTCACCCGCCTACCTCCATCTTCCGTTAGTCCGCCGTTAGTCCATACCTTAATCTAACTGAGTAACAATGGGAGCGATTTGAAAAGAAATATTTTTTCATCTTCCCCTTAAATTTGAGCTTTCTTACCTAAGAGGTCCCTCCTTTTGAAAACCTCTGTCTTTTTATGAGTTCATGTTTCACAAAATCTCCGTCTCGAAAGAAACTTATTACAACAGCTGATCACCGAGCCTTTAAAACTGGAGGTTGTCTTTGTCTTAAATTAACATTTTGGTTCAAGAAAACAGCTTATAGATGTGGTTTATTTTCAGAATGGACTAACATTAACATTATAGTACCTCATCCTGTAGCAGTTCCCAGAAATCGCCTGGAGTCCATCCGACCACACCCTCTACATTCATTTTCCACCAACCTAAGGACTGTACTGCTAATAACTGGCCTACTTCTCCTTTTCGCACCGAGATGCAGTTTGAATTTTTTGTTGTAAAGTCTTCCCGCGCGAAGTAGTGTTCGTTTACCTTTCCTAGAAGAAAGAAGTCTTTCCTCAGAAGGAATCAAAAGGGGACTTAAAGTTACTTAACACCAGAAATAGAACGGTCTCTGGGGGAATTTTGATGTTTCAAAATTTACCAAAATATCATTAGAGCGGCCCGTGATATTTGGAGATTATACGAGCCGGTCTTAGTCCCAAACACCTCACAGTACACAATCTTTGTATTTGTGCTACGAGGCAAATTTAGCATACAAAGCACATATATTTGTCTCTAAACCGGTAAACAATTGCTTTAATAGCAAAATATGATAAAACATGTAGCCGCTCAAAAATCGCACTTATTCAACAGAGACGGAAACTGCGCAAACGTCATTAATAAAGGTCTAACGCCTAATCGATTTTGCGAGAGGCATGTTCAGCCAAGTTTTTTGCTGTTGATGGTCACTTGACAACCGTTAAAGCTGTTGATTGTTCTATGACTGAGAAATTCAGCCGTTTTCCATTCCCATCGCTTTCATTGTAGTCAGTTGAAGTGCACTCGTCTGTACAGCAACTTAAATTCAGCCTACAAGCCACAAAGCTTTCAGTATCATGAAGCGAATCAAGCGATGAGGACAATACTTCCCCTGCAAGTCACTCGCAGGGTTACAACCCACATCGCGCATCTTCGACAGGAACGTCTCGATCAGCGTGACTCGACATCTCGGCCAACCAGTCGTAAACTTTCTTGGCTGAACTACTCCTATTTCAGCGAAGCTCACCCTTACGCGTTCTTGTAGGACTTTCTCCGCAGTTGATGTGCTCAATAATATGAAGCGCGCCGAAAGAGAGACAGATAAAAAGTCTGTTTAGCTAGCCTTGCATTACGTATATGGTATCTGTGAAACAAGAAAACAGAAAACAGGGCGTCGGTGTCTTACCAGACTTCCGGATGTAATCTGGTGGGGCACCAGGCAGTGGAGGCGCTTCTTCGCTTGGGGCACCAGTTACATCCACTGAAGTCTTCTTCTGCTCAAGATCGCTCCTAGGTGTTGGTACAGGAGGCTTCTGCACCATCTGAGACGGAGGTGCTCCACGAGCTGCCGCTTCTTCTTCTTCATAAGCGTTGTAAATGTCCCCAACAGATTTGGACCTCCTCGTCATGTTGTAATGGGAAACGTCCTTGCTCTTCAACAATGAAGTCGGCACCCATCCACTCCTTTTGGTTGCGTCTACAGTACAAACGAATGACCAGGCGCCATCCTCACAGAGAAGGCGTACCTCTTCTGTCGCTGTTAGGGGCAGATCTTCATTGCGATCTGGTGGAGGTGCGTAGTTTGTGATAGCCACATAATGCTCCCCGGGCTAAAATGAGATTGAAATAAGATTAACAACAGTAAGTCTGAAATGAAGATTGCTCGTGTTTAACCGTTTTATTATTTCATATTTGTCCCACTAACTGTCACATGTTTGCTTGCACCTTAGCTTTGAAAACTGAGGAAAACTCCCTACGTCGACGATTTTCTGTGTTTTCACGTGGGATACTAAAAAAGGGAGCCATTTATTCAACGAGAGGAAAAAAATTGCAAGAAATGTTGCGGCATGAATAGAGGGAGATGAGCTGCAGAGAGTAACACGCTTAACGTAAGACACCAAGGACTCAAGACCAGTCCTTTTCAGTCCTCTATGTTATCTGCTACAATTCTGCTTCACAGTAGCTTTACTTCGCGCACTTTTTTCCCCTTTAACCATTACTGACTGACTCTTACTCTGACCCAAACAGACCGACTATGAACTCTAAAATACACGCTTATATATGCACCATACAAACATGAGTGGCACGAGTGCGCTAGCGGACCAAGTGACCTTAGAAGATTAAACTTTTGTTATTATAACACTAAGCTAAACTTTTTAACAAATGATCAACAACGTACATAATACTTCCGATCAACCGAACCAATCTTTGACTAAGACAGCCAAAACAAGAACATCAGTATAAGTCCTAGTCAAGATCAGTAGACATGACAGTGAAATCAGGAAGCTCATCGTAAAAACCTACATAATTTCAGACTTCAAAAGATCTACAGGATTCCACAGGGTTTCTATGCTCTTCAACGTATTATTAAACCATTCAGGTTCAACCTGCCTATAAATTTGTTTAACTGGTTTATATCTCGAGGAATAAGTCAAGCCATAACTCACAGTTACTTAGTCAACAATGTTATGAGAACGCAGACCACATGTCGCGCTCATAACTTACTGTCCCAACATGAAGATCAGCTCTAAGAACATTCTCGTATTTGTGGGAGCCAAATCTGACGAGTCCCTCGTCCGGGGGTTGCAATAAACGCACCCTTGGGGTACTAGTAAGTGGCGGTTGTCTGAACTCATGCACTCTCGCATAACTCATGTCATCATGGTCTACACTGCGAGAGTTAGAGTTGCGTAGAGAAACCAGCGGTGGAGTGGACGGGAGGTTTGGGCAGCCATTCCGCTTCTGCTGGAAAATAAAAATGTCCATATTTCTTTTCTGTGATATTGTTGAGGAATGCAGTGAATGGAGGGATAACATGTCACGATCAAAACCGAAAACACAAAGTAACAAACTTTGCGGCACAAGTTCATAAGGAGTTGACTGTTCATTACCGGTCTTCTGATTTCTGACCCATCTTCACTCATACTGTGGGATCTGTTCAGTCTAAAGACATAGAAGAAAAAAAAATCTATATTGATAAACAAAATAGAAAAATCAAAAAGAAACTATGGAAAATACTTGGATACATTAAACAAAATATGATGAGCTCAGTTGGTTAATGAAGTAGTCAGCCATAACCACCCAACCGAGTGAAACTTCATCATAGACATATCACTTGTTATCTGCTCACTAAAAAAACAAATAAGTATTTTCGTTTCTAAAATTTCTGTTTACTGAGTATCGAACCTGATCATGTTTGCACTTTTGCAATAGCCTCATATATTTTCAAGTTGCCCATAGCACATTTTGTCCCCTCCCTAAAAAAACACCATTGCACGACTAACCTTGCAGTGATAATCAATAAAAGATATGGATGATTCATTTGCTTTCTTCAAATTTCGCAAAAATAATGACATTAATACTACTACTACTAATAATAATAAAAATAACAACACAATAATAATGACAACCCAGGAAGGCCAATTTGGGGCAAACGGAAATGGCAAAAAAAAAGAAGACCTGTGCAGTCGCAAACTACTCAGGTGTTGGGGAGGTAACAAGAGGTACTGGGGGCATTAATAGCAGTCCCAAGGAGGCTGGAAAACAACCTTGGGCGTATTAGTGTAGACACTTCCGTGGATTTCATTTAAAAAAAGGAAAAAGAAAAGAAAAAAAAAGCAAACAAACACAAGATATGGAGCCACAGGGACCTTAAGAAAGGTGCTGGAGCACTTTGATGAGGAAAGATCGTTTGAGCTGTAAGTAAACTGCCTAAAACCTATAGACACAACCCGAGCCTCATTACCTTTGAAGTTATCATCGTGACAACCAGTCGTGACTGGAAAGTGATTCAACCAAAAATACGAATATCGTGACGAGTTTAAAATCCCATAAAACCACATTATTTCTTGATGAATCAAAAGTTTCTCGCTCTTCGTCTACTTTGTATCGCACATACTTGCAATTGAATAAGTTAGTGTTATTGATTTACTGCATCTACACGCCATAGTACAACTGAGACTATAGTACAACCGAAACTATGGTACAATCAAGACATCTCTACAGAAAAATGGTTTTGTAACAATCTCGGTAAGAACCTCTCTAGTCACCAAATATATCTTACCTTAGATGCTTTGGAATAACGGAAGCATATTGAGGAACAGTTTCACTGAAAGGAAAACAGATAACGTGCGCATTACTTTACCTACAGGATATTTTTCTGCCTTGCTCTGTTTAGTTATGCTGCACACCTGGTTTCCCGGGCAAATGATCAGTCGAGCCGGAGGAGTTAAATATGATTTCTGAATTTAATTTAAAAATGAAATCCAGAGATTATGTTTTCATCTCCACCATTAAATAGTGAAAACAAAATAACAACAATGCACTTATTTTAAGCTTCGAAAGACCTTTGTAACCTGACTGTTTATTCATAATGGCGGCGTCAGTAGTCAAGTTTTCAGCACATTTGAGGAAAATTTTCAAAAGGTGATGCAACTGTTTGAAATCTCAAAGAGCGGGAAACAGTAGGGCACAGAAGAACAGAGTTGCTGACGAGGCAATTCAGTCTTAGTCATTTCATATTCAGATTGCCCATTCTGTTTTTGTTCGGCAAAGCACAGAGTAAATGCAGCCTGTGCATTTGCTATTTGGGCATAAATCCGAACAAATACAGTGTAACTGCTTAACATAGTTGTAGTAATTACCAAAAATGAGTTTACCCCGCCCCTGTAACCACAAAAATGAATATAAACAGTCGATCATGTCGACATATGTTTAAAAAAATTATATGATGAAAGATTCCCGTTCTATGGGGACCAACTGGCGTGTTATATATTACCTGGAGTCTTCAAAACTAAACTGAAGATTTCTGTTGGCTGATGGGGAACTTGACAATATCTCCACTGTAGCATACTCTAATGCATCTGGAAAGAAAGGATAACAAATTAAATAAATACTACCATTCCTTTCAATTAGAAAGCTTCTTGTTAAATTCAGTGGATTAGAGAATCGAAGTGAATTGAGGCTAATACAAAGAGAAAATGAACTCGAATAAGGGTGAAACCAAAAGAGAGGTTAGGTAATTCGCGCAGGTCCTCAAAAGGTGTAATCAAGTAGCTACAAGGTATTAAGAGAAAACAATTCTTGACTTAGGACTTTCTCTTGACTAATTAAAGAAGCATTGTCCTTTATAGCTGGCATTTGGGAGCAGCACCATAATGCTGGTTCCAAACGTTAATAATCATGAATATTTTTAACCTCTGAAATATATTAATTTTCCATCAACGCCAACAGCACTAATACAAAAATATAAAGTATGAGAATTACGTATTAACATTTACTGCAAACAAATGAACCTACGAGGTGTGGACTGCGAACGTGAAACTCTTGCTTTTTCAGAGGCTTCATTGTTGTTAGCTTCTCTTTTCCTTGTTTTGCTAGAATCTCTGAGAATACATTATGAAAAGATTAACAGTCATATCAAAGATATCAGTAAGCAAGCACTGTTGGCCAAACGAAAGAATCGGAAGAGTCTATCAGATGTAAGGCATTTCCAGTGCTACTCACTCCATATGCCGGTCCTCTAGCCATATGAATACGAACCCGTTTATAAACAAAGTAGAGGATCAGTATAAGCTCCTCCTGGTAAGGTGCTCACCCCCCCTCCCCTTGAAAAAACCTAGCCACTCCTCTGCACAATGGTATATATCAAGCTAGAGATGCTGTACATTTCTGAGTCTCAAACTCACCCTATCCTCAAAAGTACTCAATGAACTCTGTCACAGCTACACCACCCAAGCTAAAGTTTTTTAGGAATAAAATTTATACCTGCCAATTTACTAAAACGTCCAATTTTTTCACATGCTCCATTCAAACGAATAAGGTCGCATGGAAATGTTTCCTGCATTTCCTACAGATTAGTCTGTCCTGTTTAATTTTAATGCTAAAATGAGGAAATTCCGGTTGATTGTTTGATGTTAAAGCCGGCTCGCCAGAAGTAGTTGTATTCTTTTTACGGTCTCAGTCCATGTCACAAAAAAACTTCTCTTAGTGAGATGTGAAAAGAATTTCAAATAGCAGAGGGCCTTCAAAATATGCAATAGAACACAAGGAGCCTCACATCTCGCGGTTTTTTAAATTTTTTTAAATTTTTTTTTCAACGGATAGAGGATGAACCGACTTCGGGTTATGAGGTTTGTTTTGGTGACAACCATCGTGGGAACAGTTTCGTGTTGCAAGGTTAAACCCTTAAAAAGGATCGCAGCGAGTTGCACAAGGATATGGGTTTAGGGTGTTTAGAAACCACTTGGTGCTATGGGAAAAGGAAGAGATGGAATTGAAATGACAAGCTGAATAATTGAGAAAAATAGTGGGTAAAATGTCTACTAAATTTGACAAAAATCTCTCGGTAGACAGTACGAGAAGCGAACATATCCGACCTTACGGGGCTCAAATGCCTTCGATTGTTAGAGATATTCACGTATGTTTCTACAGTTTCATTTCGCTTGATCTCTCAGCCATTTGGAAGTCACAGAAGTGAATATTCAAGCTACAAGATCGAAAAAAAACTTCAGGCGAAGGCAAGTGGCACTCGGCGCTGATTAGAAAGTTCGAAAGCTGGCAGATATGACAGGACCTGCCTGCCATAAAAAGTAAAAAGCTGTTAACTTAAATCTTGTACAACAGAAACATTCTGTTCAGGGTAAGCATTTCCCTCTTCAAACTCAATGTAATATTCAATTAGACTTTTTATACAATTGGTAGTAATGTCGCAATCTGATGGGCCAGTTTGCCGTTGTCGATAATAGCCGTTTTATTTGACGTCGGTATCGTGGTAAAAAAAAATTGAAAGTTGTTTAGCGTGGTCTATACTCTCTTCGACGACGAGATTCGTTATCATAGTGGTCAAAATTTGTAAAATACAACGACTCTTTCAGTGATAAAGGCATTACGTGACACGTTGACGCCAGCAGCATTGTCTGCACTTTTATCAAAACCGGCAGATTGGCCAATCAGATGGCGACATTACCGCCAATCGTGGTAACAGATTATTTTTCAATGATTTAATTTTTTTTTAATTTAGAAGTTCTACATGTTTATAATTGTCTTCAAAAACCTTTTAGCATTTGAGCCGTTACATCATGTTTAGTTTTACCTTCTAGGGGGAGGTGACCTTATACTTGCATATATGCCACTGATGCTTGAATATGAAGAACCCTGATAAGAAAACGGACAGTGCAGTCAGTTATCTCAATTACTGAGATTATTTAAGAATATTATATTACAAATTGTCAGATGACTTTTGCAGAGAAAAAAAGGAAATACTGCATTAAAAGAAGCATTAATTGCATTCATTTATATTGCAGTTGTTGCACATTAAGACAATTCCACTCACCCTTTTCTTTTGTTGGTCATCAGATAAGAGAGGATCTGCACTTGGCTTGGCTTGAACCAGATTAGATCCAGGTGTAAGACCAACTTTTCCTTTTATTCTAAACAGAGGTACAAAACATTTTCATTGAACTGAACTTGCCCGAACAAAAAAAAAAGGTTTGCAAAGCAAAAGTGGCTATGCTTCAGCTATTCTTCAAATAACATACTTTATCTTCCACCAACCAAAGTTGCTGGTGGCCAGAACTTCAACTTCTTCTCCAGCTCTGTAAGTTAGTTCATCATCACTCTTAGCTGAGTATGACTCAATTGCAACCCAAAAGCCTGCAGTAAAAGTAAAAGGACTTGGTCAAGAGGAGCATAGTTAAGGAGGGGGGGGGGGACTTAATGCAATAATTCAAAAATAAAAATGACAGGGATAGCTCTTCATTTTGTAATTCTTATGGATCAAAAAAGATTTACATCCTTTGAATTTTGAATATATGTGTAAAAGTGTGTAAAACTATGATAGAATTTAAGGCTCTGAGAAGAACTCAGATGCATACTTTCAGTCTCCTGCATGCAAAACAGAGATTTCAGTAGGAATGGTAACAACTATTCTGTGGCAAAACAGTGATTTCACTGGCCAGGGCTCTGAGCAGCAACCATTTTGGCGGCCAATAGAAAGAGGAAAAAAATTGTAGTGACTAAGTTTTCAACCAGAGCCATCACATAAGTGACCTGTATTCAGCAGTCAAGTAGGAGGCTGCAAGGATCGCTTCTATATTCGTTTCTTCAACCGCAGTACACATATATGGTTTTCATATATTTGCAGTCATTATCTAGGGGAATTATTTAGCAAGGGAAAAATCCCAAATTAGAATATGCACATTTCTATACATTCCAAGGATATGACTGGAGTTACCCATTCCCTTGCTTGGTTTTGTTAATTTAATTGAGATACATTAATTAATTGATTAACTGAGAATTATTAAGTTATTTTAGGAGGGGGTTGGGTTGGAGCTTAAACTTAGTAGGAGACTTATGTCCTATTGTTTTTGCTGCGGTACTGCTTTGTACAAATCCCTAAATAAATAAATAAATAAAATAAATAAATACACTTTTCATTTTGACAGATTGTAACATTAAAATAACATTGTCAGCCATTCAAGTATCCTAAAATTTAAAAACTAGCAGGAGGTTGAAAGCATGAGCAATTGAAAATCACAAATTTTTGAAGCTGATAACCTTCTATGGTAAACAAGTTTCCCATCAGGCTGAAGGAGCAGCAAACAATGCAAGTGGCTCTAAGATACAGAGAACCCAGACTTGAGGCAGAACCAGAATACAATAAAATATGGCCAGCTACTCTATTAACCTTTGGAAACAAACTTTAAATCTTAAACATAATAAATTGTCGGGAAAAAATGAACAAGAATTAAGTAATTTAATGTTAAGTTCCCTATGGATTGTCAGAGGTCACACAAGAACTTACGCTCATCCTCCTCAACGTCTCTCCATTCCTCCTCTTCTGTGCGTCGCACAGAGTCTACTGGTTCAAGAAAAGTTGCTGGAGCAAAACCATGCTCCCCTCTTGCATTTGCAACAAGCCACCAACCTATTAAAACAATTGGACATCAAGCAAAGTAAATTTAGAAAGTCAATTCTAATATAAATGCCAGAAGTGAGAAAACCTTACCCAGTTAACAAAAGGAACAACAGGGGCAACAATAACAACAATTACTGTCTATATCTCTGATACCCAGCCCTGTCATTTCATCATGAATACAAACTCTTTCCTCTCCAATTTGTGGGGAAACATTTTGAATGAACTATTTTGCATTAAGAAATTTCTCTCACTTTTTCTAAAACATGTCTTTTTGTTCATTTCACTCTGGACTCCTTCCACCTTGCTCTTTCTATGGTTGTTAAAATCCTTATCACACTTTCTAACATGCATGTACTGATCTCCTGCAGTTTCCTATTCTATGCCAATTCAAATTGTAATAAGGTCAAGAAATAATTCAAACCTGTATTGTTTTTTTCAATGACTGTTACCATTTCATTTTCTCTCAAGCTCATCTCTCCCCTTCCTCCACCAGTAAATTCTGCCACTGACTGGTATCTCTCAACAAGCTGTTCCTCACTTCGTCCAAAATGAGAATTTGGCAGCTTGGTACTTTTAGAAGTTAACAGAATAAACAGTCAAAAAATACTGAATTAGCAGTCATGTATAGAGTGATATAAATTGGTTTCAAATTCGTAGTTAGATTTCAACTTTGCATGATGAACTCTGGGATTTTTTGCAGAATGTTAACATAAAAATGCTATCTTTTTTTTTGGCCATCATCAGTAGCAGCAGCTGTGCTGGGCTTACCATTTTTCATTTGATTCAATCCTCACGAATGCATCTGTTCCCCACTGGCTGAAGAACTGCAGGACAGTGTCAGACTGAGACACAACAGGTGGCAGCTGAATCACTCTCTAAAAGATGCACAAGATTTTCAGACACTGTATATTATAATCATGATGCTAGGTTGGATTTTCATGGCATGAACCACAAAATTGAAGGGTTAATCTGATGACATTGATGACTGGGAACTTGAGACAACTATGACAGTTAAATTCAAAGAAAATATCATAACCCACAGAAATAATAACTTCTTACTAACCAAGCACAAGGGGTCATTCTGGTAAATATATGTGCCTCAGGTTATGAATATAAACCAAGCAAAGGGTAAACAAGATTAAGTATCTACTTGAGCCAAGTGGCTCATTCAGCCAGAGCCTATTCCCATTTATACAGCACTAAGGAACTAGGAATAATGTTTTTCCACCCCTGGATGGGATGACAGTCTATCATTGGTTACTCCCCAGCATTTCATCAAGTTTCCCTAACAGTTAATTGTCAGCTCTGCCAGGTTCCTCTAAAAGAGATCAAAGGCCCTGACTATGAAACTACCAAATTAATGATTTGTTAAATGTTCTGAGGATGAAACAAATAACATATTCAAGAAAATGACACTCTTCAACAACATAATGTTACTTCCCACCTTTAGAGGCCAAAAAAATAGTTTTTTTCTTTTATTTTACCTAATTGAAGTTAAACATTTAAACTAACGTGCTCATATAAAAAGTTCTGAAATCTTTAGTACCTGAGTTGTTAAAAACAACATATTGTTGAAGAAAAGTTAATAAATCCGGAAGGTGTCATAATCTTGTACCTGGGCAAGTTCCCTTAGGGAATTTTCAAAGCAACCCACACTTGGGGCTTGTTTTTTAAATTATTTGCATATTTTGTTTGCATTGGGCACTTCACAAAATTCACATGTGGAAGCTCTTTGCTTATAGGAAAATCTTTACTCATGGAAAAATCAAAAGTGAAAGAAAGTCCAGTAAAAAAAAAAACAAAGAAAAAACAGGCCCAACGAAATGAGAAAGAGTACCATTCTGTCTAGAAAAGAAAAAAATCCTTTGTGAAAGTGACTGGTACTGGTGGAGCTCCACACACTGGGCATTCAGATTTCAAACAAAGAAGTCTCTGTCAAACCTAAATTTGTCAAACATAATGTTAAAAACGAGGTTTCCTTTTATTTATGCAAGTACTAGCCTTGATACAAAAAACATTAACAATCCCCATTTTGAAAGCTGTCTGTCGATTCATTGTCTTGTTTCTCAACACATTTCCTGGTTTTTCCATTTTTGCCACTGGTTTTTCCTTTGCCTTTGGCAACTTTGCCCATTATTGCGTGGTCCTCCTCAACACTCCACTGAGCAGTAGAGATTTAAAAAATGTGTCTGCAATGGGTCACTTTTCCCAAGAAATCTTCATCCATCATCATTGACGTAATGGGGGTCTCATTGTCACATTGGTTTGTAGTTACAGGAGGCAAGATAATCTCCTGGCATGGCATGAGTTGTTTGTGACCCTTTATGAGCTAAAATCTTGCATTTGATTTTGGGACGAATACATCTGCTTTAAGCGAATTTATAGGGTACTTAGATTTGACCAATTGCCTTTAAATTTTGCTAAAACATTCCAGGAATAATGACAAACAGAAGGGTGTTGTGAAATTTTGATATTTGAAATGTTTGTCTCATGGCATCCATTTAGGCACTTAAGTTGCTGATATCTAGACAACCAATCAGAATATTGGAAAAGCCTGACACACTCCTGTTGATTGATGCTTTGTGAATAAGACTGAACAGCCATTTTGCTTATGCTGCCATATCCAATACCCAATAAATTCAATAGAAGAACCCTAGGTCAGTTCATGCCTTACTGGCTCCTGACACTTCCTAGAAGAAAAACTCGCTTAAAGCATATTTTTATCAGAAACTGCACTTATGAAGCTTTTTTCTGATATATAGTTTGCTAGGATTTTAGTGAAACTAGCATGCGAACATATTTTCTCCTGAAAGATGCCCACAAAAGTGGGAAGTAACATTAAGTTTCTCAAAGCTATATTGAAGTTTAACATTGCAACATAAGAGTTTTATAGGACATTACTCTGAATTTTCTAGAATGTGGCACTGGATTTCCACATGACATTCATATTTCACAATCTTAGTTTACAGCCAATCATCTGACATATGAGGTTGTTTATCTAAAGAAATATTTAGGAATTCAAATTGGTGCGTGCTATATCTGTATTTGGAAAACTCAACCCAATATAGAACTTCAAGACCACAATCTTGACTAAAAGCTTTGATGTTGGATTGTGGAAAACAAAAATAAAATGCAAACATAAATAAAAAGCTCGAGTTAATTACTAGTTGGGATATGATGCCATAGTGAATCATAATCAAATGAGTAATTATGATGTCAATAATAATAATAATAATAATAATAATAATAATAATAAGTGAATCTATTTTTGAAAAGAAACAAACTTTCTACTCTGCTTGTGGTAACATTAATTGTTCAAGATCTCAAAGTAAGCATACCTGGCAGAATTCTTCAATGTGTTTACACTGTTTCTTCGCTAATGCTCCAAACAACATTCCCCCAGCAAAACGAGCAACTGTTCAAAAATATACACTCTTTACTGTAATAACATTGTCCAAGATAAATGCAAAAAGCGAAAAGGAGAGCTAAAGACAAATAACTTTGCAGGTCTAAATTTTCAACATAGTATTTAAGCAGTCCTAAAATGCAATTTTTTAGAATAAGAGTTAAGCTCATTGAAAATAATTTAAGCAAATTTTTTCCCTCATTTTTTGAGATAATTTTTTCAAATACGACTGTCTCAATAGAGAATTGAGATGGGCAATGAAACAAACAGCTTACTTTTTATACAAATTAATATTAACAGCAAAAAGTTGATCAAATAAATTCAGAGTTGTATTCTACTCAAAAATTTCCTAATGGATGCAATACCCTCAGAGACAAGGAATCATGCCAGATTACTAAACCAATCAAATAAATTAATTCTAAAAATTTTCTAACTATTCTGAGATTCACACTCTAGAGTTAAATCAGTCCTTACAAAGTGCGAGGCAGCGAGGCGTGCGAGGCACCGTGCGAGGCGTGCGAGGCATGCGAGGCACACAAAAAATAAAAAAAAATTTAAAAAATATATTTAAAAATATAAAAAAAATTTTAAAAAATATATTTAAAAATATTAAAAAAATATAAAATATCAAAAAATGCCGAAACAGTTTGGTTGGTTGGTTTTTTTTAACACAAAAAAAAAATTAGTCTGGATGGGATTCAAACCAACAACCTCCCCATCACCTGCCAAGTGCCTTAACCACTTGAGCTACGAGAACATTAAGATAAATAAATTATGATAAACTTGTTATTTATTTGTGCAATAACACGTGCCTTCACGTCAGAGCCCCCAAATGTGAATCCCGACTCTGGTACCCCTCCTAGGGTTTTTTATAGACCGGTGCTTGTCCTTGTGTCTTTCTGAGATCTTCGGACATCGTGGTTGAATCTCTTTTCGAATCTTCTTCAATCATCAAGCATCAAGCATCAAGCATCAAGCATCAAGCATCAAGCATCAAGCATCAAGCATCAAGCATCAGCATCAATTAATCAAGAAATGATTCCCCAATATTACTTTAACAAAAGTGTAAATGTTAAAATTTTTAGCTTTGTTCTAATAATCAGCTGTCAATTAATCAAGAAATGATTCCCCAATATTACTTTAACAAAAGTGTAAATGAAAAAATTTTTAGCTTTGTTCTAATAATTTGGGAAATACTTGAGCCCGCGATCCAATAAAATTCCATAACCTGGTCAGCGGTGAACTTTAAAAAACACATAACCTCGATGAGTTCTGCACTTGAGCCCACGATATGGTCATGTGTAAAAATTAAGGAAATTGCGATGCCTCGCACGCCTCGCATGGTGCCTCGCACGCCTCGCTGCCTCGCATGTTAATAAAACTCGAGTTAAATAGACTTCTAATAGCTGAGTTGTATTCATTTCCACCTTCCCAGAATCAAAATAAAATCCTCTTACCAGGCAATTCCGGAATTGTGATATGCTGTTTTTCTTGGAAAAGTTGTCGCAGACCAGCCTGTCAATATTGAAATTCATATCAAGGTAATATGCATAATGTTTAATTCCACAGAATAGTCTAGTCTTTTGACATTGCTGTTTGCCTCCCTTTCAGTTAAGAATGATGCATGATGAATCACTCTGGATTTGTAAAAATATTCTGAGAGCCATTTGCCTACAGCCACAGTCATGTAAGTCTAAAACAAAACTGTATTTTTTATAAGGTTATCCAAGAAAACGTTGTTGTCAAATAATGAAAGAAAGGAAGGATAAAATTGACTACTTGAAGCCAACTTTCATCTGAGTGCTGCACATGGCATGCAAATAATCATCAAGGAATTAATTCAGAATTTCCCTTGCAATAGAGTTCAGTCGCACAACAGATTTCAGTCCATCAAATCAAAGATTCAACATTCCCTCCACCAGACAATGTAGATTGTTTCAATCAAATTCCTGCCTCCTGGTGCAAAACTTGTGCTCAAATGCCCCACCCAATGATGGTCAATTTGTCTTTTTGTATAGGTGCAAAATCAGCGATAGTGACTCTCTACACATTTAACAAGCTTTTAAATGTCTGCTTTACAGATTAGAAGACACAATAGAAATCAGCTCCAGTGGCTTTATGTTTAAGCCACTTAAAATTTATTATTTCAAACTTTTTTGTTGACGAAGAATGCGCTGAAAACTGACGAAACTTGAACATAATTTGAACTAGTTTTGTAAACTCGGTTTTCCTAACGGAATTCAGGTAATTGTTATGCTAATTTATTGGATTGTTTGGGTCAGGTCTTTGTGTATGACTCGTGTTTGAGTCGAGGGTGATTTTTTACGGCACTCGTGGGTGGTCAGAGGGGGGGACGTTGAATGTTCAAATTGATTGCTTCACGAGTTGGGGTCAAGCGTAATCATTAAAATAATTATTTCTTGGCCTCTTCCGGAATAAACAACATGTTTACAAACAAATGTAACCATTGGTAACACATCTACGAATTGTCCTTCATTAACTTATTAAAAGTAAAGTTTTGATTAGTTTTTGATTAGTGTTTGCTTGACCTTTTGGTAAGAAAGTGTAGCATTGATTACTTTAAAGACAGTTGGTAACTTTAACACGAATTACATGCCGTGACAGGAAGCATTTAAAAGATAAATAAATGTTTGAAACCCTCTACCAGAGAGTTCAAAATAGAAGTGACACATTTGCGTTTGCCAGCTCGCAAATTGTTTTCAATTCTCCAGTGGATCAGCTAATCATGATTGCACATTTCCATACACGTAAACTAAGGTTTCATTAACTACGAAAAATGAAGTATACCTGATACAACGACGATAAGTAATGCTTAACTTTAAAACTCGACCTCAACCTACCTGTAGATCGAAGAACATACTGTAACGACGAAATATGCAATATTGGTTCTCGTCCAGCCATCTAACTTTCAAAACGTATTCCTGCAAAGTTATGCCAAAGGATGTGTAAACGAAAGGGAATTTCTCCATTTCAAATTAATTTTTCAATCAGTGAAACAGTAAGATACGAGGAGGAGTCAAAAAGCTACGTTGCGAGGCGTAAGACTCCATATAATACGTACATAATTTTTGCTGCCGGAATGTTCTTTGCTACGGCGTTTTTCAACATCGACAACTTTCACATCGGCAATAACACCTCTCTCATTAGTGGATAACTGCCTCATGGCGCCGAAGGTGGGTTTATAGTTTTGTCCCTTTTCGGCACCAAGACCTTGTTTGAAATTGTTTACGTCCCATGATTCTCCCATCTCCGAACCTCCTTGGACCGAATTTGTTCTCAATAACAATGGATTCCCACGAAGTTGATTGTGTGACCTGCTGGCCGGAAGTTAGTAATACAGGTCAATATTTAACACGTGAAATCACCAACTGACTTGATATAGAATAATCGACCAACTCACTAACTTGAAATTATAGTTAACTTGCCTGTTTGTAGGAGATAGACTTGAGGGCGGTCCTGTTCAAGAGCCGGTATTCACTGATAGCCTGCGATATAGAAACTCTACGAAAACAGTTTCGTGCTTGTTGGAATGCTTTATCTATATCGTAACATGACGTCACAAGGGGTGAATGAAGCATGAAAAGTCAGGTGTGAGTCGGAATATAAACGTCACTCAAAATTATAAGCTTTGTAAAAGCACGATTGATATTGATCTCATTCGTAAATCGAAATATTTTCAGACTGTTCAAGATTCTTTCGGCATCGAATAATACTTCAAGACAAAATACTATCAGAAATACATTTGGTAGATTTTAGATACGTAAGTCTCAAGGTGAACTGTCTCACTAGAAAGCGTTTCCTTCAGCGTAGATCTCTAAAAATCGTGAAAAAAAAGCGTGATATTAAACTATGGATCAGCAGACCGCGGAACCTCCAGAACCAGAGGAATCTGTAGATCCATCATTTTTTTGGTAGAAAAAACACGGGCGATGATGTTACCTTGCGCTCGTGTTCCTCATTCCAGGTTAATGTACAAAGAGTTCCAGCATATGGGTTTTCTTAGAGCCTTCAGATGAGGCGTTATTCGGCTACCCGGTGGTACCCAGACCGTAACAGCTTTCAAATTATTGTTCAATTTTGTGCGACTGCTGATTGCTCCTAAAGACATTTCATACCCTTGTACTAGTATTGTGAAAGTCACATCAATTTAATTGGGTGTCAAAGACAGTTAAAACACATTTCTCTTTAAAAAGCATTCTCGTCTATACCAGAGAGCGAATTTTCAGACAGTTCTAAGGTCTTTTTGGTTTTAATTTTATCTCATTACTTTTCTTTTACAAAGAAACATAGGTTCCGGAGGTTACGCAGGTTTTAAAGGTTCCCAAGTTCTATCGCTTCCACAAGTTCCACAGGGTCCGTAGGTTCCAGATGTTCCAAGATCTCCTGATCTTCGGTTTAGTTTACACCCAAAAAGAAAGTGTGTTCACAAGAGATGGTTTATACAACATTAACTTTTTCTTTTGAACTTCGTAACTGGCAGTCGTTGTGGCTAGCTATGAAAAACCAGCTTGCGGCAGGTAGTCCATACCAGGCGCTAAGTTAGTATTAGGGCCGCGAAAGTAGCTCACAGCCAGAAAAAAGGGGACAAAATGGACAGGTCGCATTTCAAGCCTCTCTCTCTTTCTTCTGCTCAGCGCTCTTATTATAACACACCTTGTTTGCTTATAAACCCCGGCTTGAAAGACGCTATGTTGTAGTGATCAGTGTGGCGTTTAAATAACCTGTCAAATGTTTCACTTGAATCCAATCAGTTCGAGCTGAAATTGGGGGAATATCTAGTGATGTTCATCAAGTGATATCCCACGTTTCCAAACTTTGTGTCTGGTGTGACGATTTTTTCTTTAAAAGGGCTTTGCCGTGGGCGTGGGGGCGGGAGGTAGAACGCTACCACTGTGACCGATAGGAAAATGTTGCAGAGAAGTTGTGGTCATGTGGCCATGGGGGTAAAATAGTGGATGACAAACGACACCCTTGCAGCATTTCTTTCCGTCAGTCAAGCTTAATCAGTACTTAAGATATCGTGTGCTTTCCACGTTCTGTATATTCCAACAGATTTGGTATTATCAAGAGTATTATATGGAATGTCATTAAATTGTACTCATGTTTTAGTCATCGTTGACATCATCATGCTCGTCTCCAACATCATCATTGTGGTCATCGTCCTTTACATTTTCTTCTTTATTCGTATTATTATTGTTATCGTTGCTTTCATTATCACCCTTGCAAAATTCTAAGCTTAGTTTATGCCATTCTCTTTAGCTTGAATATTCATTCAAAAATTTGAATCTGAACACAGAAGCCCTCGAGGAAACTAAGGGCCTGTTTACGTGGAGGTGGGGGACCCCAAGTAGGTGAGGTAACCCGCCTAGCCGAAACCGAAAAATAAAACGCGTTTATATGCAATCTTACAGCCCCGGGGTGCTGGGGTGTTCTTGCGCTTGCAATGAAGGAGTTTGAGCAGAGGCGTCCCAAGCTCACATCTCGAAAAAGACGAAACATTAATTCTCGGACACATATGTATTTATTCATGAAAGCGTTATGCGTTGTGTTACGCAGTGTTTGGTTTCGCGAGAAACCGTTTACTTAATACGTTATACGGAATAGTTTGGGAAACCAAATATGGTCGATTTACAACGCTAAATATTCCGAATGTGAACATTTTATACTCCTTGTGTGTCCGTTGTAGTTTCTGGTGATTTCTGCCATGAGACGGCTAGGGAATGTACAAAGTTTTAAAACACACGTTTCGCTTTTGAGCTTTTTTCCATGAACGCGACCCCGGCTAAGCGGATTACCCCACCTTGACACATTTACATGGCAAATTGTCACCCCGGCTGACAGGGTTACCCTATCTGGCAGACCGGGCAACCCGCCTTTCATGTAAGCTTGATCGAAATAAAATAAGAAATTATATGGACAGGCGGGTTACCCCACCTAGGCAGGTTATCTCAACTACCCGGAATCCCCTACCTCCATGTAAACAGGTCCGAATTATCCATTCAGTTAGATGCGTACTATCGGAAAGGGTCTTCTTTTGAAATTTGAAAAATTTCCGAGTCGTAAGGGTCATGCGTTTTAGAAGCACCTATGGTCTACATTTTACAGAGGCGAATCCCTGGGAATGGGAATAGCCTGGGGCGGGGGATACGAGCCCTCCCTCCGTGACTTCCGGTTTTCTCACCACCAACTTGTCTGACGAATAAAATTTGCAACGAAAGAATCACGTCTCCCTCAATAGAAAGTAATCAAAATTATCTTGTCACTTACCCTTTCTCAATTTGCATTTACAATTCAATAGCCACACATTGTACAACGTTGTAAGAACCGAAACTCGAATTCCTCGTTTGGCACTATCACGGGCCAATTTTCTTTTGCCTAGTAGCGAGTCATAATCAAAATGTTCTAATCATCCTAGTATTCCGACTATCAACAATTTCATGTCAGGAGTTGGTATAAGACATTTTAGCTTTCTAACCAGTGGTGTTTGAGCTGCTTTCTCTTTCTTTTTCTAAGTCATCAGGCTAGCACCTTCACTTCAATGATTATAGATGGTAACTGAACTTTTGTCTCAGATATCATACACGTGATTGCAGACAAAAAATTGCACGATAAGAAGTCGAGTTACCACCTTATTACATCCCATTTGAAATAGCAAAATTCAGTGGCTCAAATACAAGACTAGTTGGTCTGTAGAAATATCTTGTTGATCCAGTTTTAAGCTGGTTTGTAAACAATTACAAAAGCTGTCTTTCATTTTCCTGCAATCTGATTGGTTACTAACCTAACCCCCTTTGAGCAGGAGTTGGTGCGATTCGTGAGTAAAGCGCAGCAACGAGTCCCGGTGAGTACTAATCAGATTGCAAGGATCCCCCATGATTTCAAAATGGATGCAATTAAGTGTACTTAAAGTATTCCCCATGTTATGTCGCCTAATTTTCAAACCACAACATCAAATAGTTCAATGTCTTCGTTTCAAACTCAATCCAAGACAAGGAGGGTTTGTTTCATCAAGTCGTAGGAGGGAACAGTGAAAAGTGAATACCCCACGTAGTTAACGATGAAACTTCACGGAGAAATACAGCGTCACGCCATCGTGATGACGTACATGTTTATGACAACTGACAACTGACCGGTGTAAGGATACTTTCGTGTAGATCAGCCGACTTCAATATGTTTCAAATAACATACAAGTATAACAGTGTATCTTCAGAGGATTTCGGATTGCGCAAATTCCCATGAAAGAAGGTGCAGTACTCGGAATTTGGATATGCACACGATTTGAGGTTTGTTTGTAGTTACGTCTAGTTGTCCTACATGAATGTTGATCAGTTTTTTTTAAAAGATGACAACCAGAGGCGAGATTTCTCTTCGGGATATTGCTCCTAAGATAACATTCTTTTAAAGCCTCGCACTTTTCATTCGTCTGAAACGTTTGTTGTTGAGAACATTAGATGTAAACATCGCCAAATAATGCAAAATCTGATTTTGAGCTAAAAAAAGTAGAGGCAGGCCCGCAGAGATTTTTACATATTTAAAAACTATAATATTTAACCAGCTAGGTGGGAAGTTTCAGTTCCAGAATCGGTGCACTTTTGGAGAAATTCAGATAAACGTTTTCCCTGTTTATCCCGACAACAAAAATGACCGAAACAGTACGGAGATAAATAATCTATTGGTGTGTTTACATTCACTCCCTGGGAAAATTAAATGTATCAAAGTGAAGACGAATGATGTCACTATGTATGGTAGAAGTGCCAATTTGTAATGTTTAATTTAGCTTGAGATAGAGAAATAAACATTCCACTCTTTTTTTGCTACGTTTTTGTATGAAAATGAGGCCCCAGGTCTCGAACAAGGAGCCGTTGTTACCATGGCAACAACAGGGCTGCGACCTATAAAAAGGCGTTTTTGTGCATCCCCTTAAGTTCCTAAATGCATGCAAAATTTGAAAGGGGGTTGAAAATTGTCATTCCCCAAGATGTTTGATTCTCACAGAGACTTGTTCTTAAATTGTCTCCTTCAATATTATCAAACCTGAACAATGTTCAAAACAACAATTTAATAGTATTTCTGCGAAAATAGAAACATGTGATCAAAAAAGTGATCAAGTAACGGAGTAAATGGGTTTAAATTTTCTTCCCTAAGAGAGGAAAATGTGTCTCCATGCTGTAATGAATAACTTCCGATGAATAACTTCCCTCCGTTTATATTAACTGTATTCAATCAAATTTCCAACAAAACGCAACAACTGTCATCTTGTCCTTCATTAGGACTAACGGTGATATGAAGAGCAGAGAAAACCGAAACGAAGTTTAACACTTTTCCACGGCAGACATCTACCATTAGAGGAAAAACAGTTTTTCGGCGAGTTCAATATGGGGAGGCTTATGGAGTGACTGTCCAACTAGGAAAGCCAATTTGTGGGCGTACTGGCAAGGAGCTGGTACGCGTACGGTGCCCTAAAAAGGTTAAGAACTTTGATTAGAAATGTATGCGCAATAGAAATATTTAACCATGGAATAAAAAGATTTGGCTACCTAATTCTTATTAGGGGTGAGCGTTTAAATAAAACACTTCCAAGTCAATAGTAGTTCAACCCTTTTGAAAGAAAACTTTGACCTGATTCCCACCCTTAAATCTGTTGAGTAATCCACTTTTATCACCACACTTTTATTTATCAGTCTCCTCTCTTACAAAACAAGTGTTTCTTTCCTTGTCTCATATTGGTCTTTGGTTTTCCTATTTCCTCACTTCCCGTCAAAATAATTACCCTCCCAATGCAACAAGTACATACTTGTGTCACAACAAAGTTATCAGCCTCAACTGTCAACTAAAAAAAACAAAATTAGAGATTTAACTCACCGGCCAGTTATAGTACAGATGTGTTAGCTTGTAAGTGAGGCGCTGGAAGTGATCTGGCAACAGACCAGTGCTGTCTTCGATCACATTGTAATGGGTTGGTGACACCGTTCCTTGACGAACTGACTGGCTCACACAGAAAAAGTCATACCTTATAAGAAAAACAAGGCCATATTCTAACCACTGTGATTTTCATGGGCTAAAATTTTCAAAAAAACTAAAATCTTGACTGCTTTTAATTTGAGGCATACCACTGCTTCTTTGTGATAACCGAGTCAACTACAGTGCCAGGAGGCGGGTTGCTCAGAGCGTCAACACTAGGTTGGTGGAAGATTCTTGCACTGATCCTCTTCTTCACTATGACCACTGCAAATTTCGGTCTAAACAATAATAACGGTTCAAGTTATCGTAATTACAAATATTGCTTAAATTGCTAAGGCTAATTTCGAGCACCAGATTGTGAAACAACAGGCTGTCTTTTACCACAGATAAGTACCTGATTTGTTGTAAGCAACTTAACAAAATACAAAAAAAGTTATTTTCCACATGTAAACTTTTTATCATATCATAACTCAAACAAGGTCATGGTTACAGTACAAAATTAAAGTTGACACTGAATTAAAATTTTAAGGACTTCCACAGAGTCAGCATGAATCCAAATTCTATCAGAAAACATTTCAATTACTGCGCATACATAAATTTTGAACTTCTTACGAGTAATCTGTTGGAAGATCCTTGAAGGATGCTTTCAGTTGTGGAACTTCATGGTTTACAACAGTTTTCAACTGGCCATCACCAACGCCATCACGATAAACAATGATTCTATCTGGCAAGCCACCATTCAGATCCCTGTACTTCTTGAGAGCAGCTGTGAAATTGAAGATAAAGCGTAGCAATATTGTGATTTGCCATTCGTTTTCATTGTTGCCTAACTTCAAATGAGCATATAGCTGATTATCATTCTCAACAGCAACCACATTTTGAATTTTGTTGTGCAGTTCAATCTCATTCTGATTCCTTAAATTTCGTACTGTTGGTTTCATCCAAATTGTGCTGTTTAGAAAAAAGAATCGAATGAAAAGTGGAAATAAATACTGGCTCCCAGAAAACAACACTTAGGGCAGGATTTAGACAGAGAAGACCCCTCGTGAACACTTCATATGTCCACACTGAGATTTCAAAACAGGAAAGAATCCATGGCCTAAGCCTCCTTCCGAACCATCAATTCTTTCAAAACCTTTATACAAGAGTAACCAAAATTCTGTCCAATGATTGATTGATTCTAACCCGCAGGTTAAATGAAATTCATTCATTACAAAATTGTGATTCAAGACTGCAGGGTCCCTAAATGCAATTGGGATTAAAGGTTAAGCAACTTTTTCTGAGAAAAAATGCAAAAAAAACAACATCAACAACAAAAAAATGGGCCAGCAAAACCAACCAACAAACAAACCCCTGAAGTTTGACTACACAGTCCAGGAATAATACCTCCTGTTGCTGTTAGTGAAACACAATAAAAAATATGAAAATGAAGATGCAAACTGTAATACCAGTCATAAGAGTCTTTAGACCATCAATTAGCTCCATTCCCGTATGTTGAAAAGTCACCCTTGAATAATACCTAAAAAAATAATAACAGTTAAGGCATTAGGTCAGTCATCATCTTAGGTAGGGGTCAGAGGAATGGTCTGGTTGGCAAACCAAACAAGACTCCATAGATAAATTGTGCTGATAAATGTCCACAAAGTTTGTCCAACACCCCAGTTAGCTAAGAGGCCATCCCCACAATCCTCAGTTTCGTCTAGTAATTGTTACCCCAGGAATACCAGTCAATGCCTAAATCTGGATCCACTAAGCCAATAATTTTGTGATTGCTAAATGGATGTTTCTGGCAAGTTATTAATGAAGCTGTCATCTTCCACCCGCCAAAACAGATCTGAGAATGAGAATAATAATAATAATAATAATAATAATAATAGTAACAATAATAAAATAAGGGAAAAAGGGATTACTCACTTTGTGAGGGTAGCGTTTGTACTTGCAACAAATCCACCAACAGAGCGGCCCTTCTGCAGACTGTCATGATAAGTGTCAATTCCTATCACCATAGTCCTCTTCATCTGAAAAGGAAAAAGTTGCTCTATGGAATTAAAAATTAACAACAGTTATGTCAATTTAGAAGAAAATGTAAGAGGGATGAGAACAAAATCAGCAAATGATCATTCTCTCATACCTACAACTTTCTTTATCACTATAGCCCACTGTGTTTTAAAAAGTATCTATTATTTATTATAATTTGCAGAACTATGTGCATTTCATTGTTCACTTAATGAGGCAAAATTTCAACTAAGTTTCGTCTTAATCATAACCAGTGGAATGTTCTTTCTATCTCTCTCTTCACGCTCTTGTCCACGTAGGGATACATTTTAAGCAGACACACATTCAAAACTTCCACATTTTGCCTTTAGGTGATTCCTCGGTATTTCACTGTGCATCCTGTACTGCACATAAAAATGACTCAATCAGGTGAATAAGCGGGAGCGGTATTGTTGTTTAATACACGTACCATAATGATGGTCTTTAGCTCGTAAATGAGCACAGTGACCAATATTTTTATTACATAATTTTGGTGAACAAATTATCCCCATTAAATTAGAAAAATTTTAAAAATTCATTAAAGGGAAAAAAAAAAGATATAGCAAAAAATTTTCCGAAAGCCTGTTACTTGTTGATGCAAATTACGATCTTGAAAGCAACAACTGGAGAAATGTTTTGAGTCGTTGTTGTTTAAAGTTGTGTAATTTTTCACATATTATATATCAAATTGTTCCATGCGCTCAAGACTTTCTACCTATCAAGTGTTTTTTAAATTTTACTTTTAATGCCCTTGCTTCCAGTGACTTAAAAATGTACCGTGAACCGTTGAAATGAAGCGCATGATTAGTGCCAGAACAGGTATAAGTGGGGTAAGTTTGGCTCACCATATCTATTAAACAAGCACTGTAACCTATCTTTTAAATTGTATTTTTCAAAACAGACATTGGTAGGGATCATTTGAGCATAAAATAACTTTTAAAAAGCTATTCTCAACCAGGTGCCCGAGTAGAAAAATCTTTCTGCACCAAGCTGCCTGGATGAGGACCAACTATCATGCCGTTGAAAACAAAGCATTGGCAATGTCAACTAAACTCACACTAGTGCTGTTTGACAAGCTTACTTCAAAATTAGTTATTGTCTGTGATCAACGAAAAAGGCTTCAGCATGGATGTGATAAACACGTTACTTCCCTTCCCACTTTTCAAGACTTCATCATAATTTCCACACCTTTTCAACCAATTAAATACTTTGCAACCACCCAGTAATCTGCTAGAAGGTGTTAATCTGATACATCTCAAAATCTGATCTTGGATGTACATGTAAAAAGAGTTAACATACAGGAATTTCGACAGCCCACGCTTCACCACCAAGTTTACAGTTTAGCTGGATGCCAATTTTGGTGCATACACTCATTAGCATATTCTTCTTTGAGATGGTTCGGCCAACAATGACCTGGGATGGAACTGAAATAAATAACAGGAAAACAGCTAAAAATCCAAACTTCAAAATCCACCAAGAATTAGTGGTTAGACATACTTCAATTAAATCAACCAGCAACATAAGGAGGCATTATTAGCCTTATGGCTTAAAATAGAGAGGCTGTAGTCCATTTCCATTGTTGGGTTGATAAATGACATACCAGGCACCAGACTCTGAAAAAGTAGGTAGCTGTGAAAAGTTCATACAGGGCCAAAAAGTAAAAAAGTAACAATTTTTGACCAGAGTAACTAGCGACATGTTATCAAGTGGCCGGTGGAAATCCAACGGTCACTGGCTTGTTTTGAAATCCCTCGTAAACAAAGTATGATTAACGCACTTATCACATGCAGGGCAAAATTATTGAATGCTGGTTGGACAGAGGGCATTCTTTTCTTAATCATGATGGAACTTTTGGTAATCAAGAGGGAACAATTACCTGATGCTGATTGAGCCTTTTTGCTGTTTGCAACAATAATTATTGATTGCAATTTAAATGAATGAAGCAGTGTAATGTTGTTGACTGTATTTTAGAAGAAAATGTTCATTGAATTTATTGGTAAGTTATGCTTCTTTTGACGTTTGTACCAGTATCGAAAAGGCTTCATTCCTTGGACATGGTGCAGGAAGCAATTCCCTAAAAAATTTTGCCCTTTATGTGATAAACAAGTAATTGCAAATGCCTTGGGCCATTAAGTATTAGATTCTCTTGTAATTCCAAGGTTTTCCCAAAAATGCCCTTGTCAGGGCCCATGCAGTTACATGCACATATAAATCAAAGACCTGTCTGATAAACCCAGAGAAACAGAACACTTGATGTTCTCGACTGAAACTGGTTTTATTTATATCACTAAAAACCATTTCTACCAAAGACAGTTACAAAATTTACCTGGGGTTTCCAAGCAACACAACTTCTTAATGGCATCATAGCGGTCTTTGCGGTTTGTTGTCAAAATAGTTACTACCATCTGAAGTGAATCACTGAAGTTACCTTTAATGGCATCTAGGTAACTTTCAGTTCTGTCATTATTGAGCTGGCATCTAAAGAAAAGTAAAGAATAAATTGTGACTGCTAAAAAAAATACACTTTATGCCTTAACTGACTTGCAAGGCTTAAAGCTAATTGTTCCATCCATTACCAAAGTTTTGCAGAACCAGTATCAATTGCTGGCCAATGGCTATGGAAAACATAGAGAGGATCTAGGTTGCCACTGTTATTTTTATAAAAAAAAAAACCATACATGAACTTTATACACTGAGAAGTCTCAAAGTTATTTTGATGTATTTATTGGAAAATCACATTTTAACGTGAGAGAGATAGAGAAGAAATTGTCAAGGGAGGCTGAAAAAAGGACACCTTAAGAACTATTCTCTATAAGAATCAAAGGTCTTAGAGGAAATGAAAATTTTCTACATTTTCTCCATCAAATTCTGTATGCTGTTAGACACTCAGGGGGATTTACAAAATGCCCTTGTTAAAGGTTGCTGCACTCATGTTTGCCATAGCAGCAATGACTGCCCACTTGCACTCATTGCCAATAAAACAGTCGTATGTGGAAAGCTATTCTGCAGTTGTGTGTGACAGAACTTCGTCCAATTGGGAATGCTTTGGCAGCTTAAAGAATTCAGTTTGGAAAAAAGTTTCTGTAAATAACTCAAGTGTGTTTCAATTTTTTACAAAAATGTTTTTCAGAAACTGTTGTTAAAATAAATACTTTGTTTGAGGTGAAAAAAAAAAAAATTGGCAACATTTGGCCCACGAAGAAAAGAACAAAAAAAAAAAACCTTTATGAACTGACCATAAGGAAAAAATAAACTGACTAACAACAATCAAAATGCAGTTAATCTTACATTCATTTAAAACTATGAACTCTGAAAACTTCCAAGAGGCTAAAATGGAGATCAAAACTTACTTCAAGGGTGGCTATTTCGACATTGCAGCCTAAACTCATACACAGTTGTGACCAACACAAATTGAGACTTACTCAACAGATTTTGAGACTCTGATACCCATTGGACCGCAAACCTTGATCAAAGTTTGTGCAAATTCTTTTGCATTTCCACTGTCCCTGTTGCTGTATATAAGAAGCCAGCTGTCCAGATTTACAGTGCTTTGAAGTGGATTTCCTCGCATTTCCCTTGACCATTCAGCAGTCTTTGCATCATAAGAAAACTGAAAGCAAAATGAAAAATTACATTAAATCATGAACTCTGAATAGAAATAAAGCTCTAACTGGAAAACTTCTTGAACACAAAAATAACTAAAACTCATAAAGCAACTTACACTCTTACTCTTCTGGAAAATCTTTTCTGGAGGAAGAACTCTTCCTGACATCTGAAGAGTCCTTTTCTCAAACTGCAATGAAAACCCAATTATGATATTACTGGAGAAAAGCAGCAGCTGCACACATGTTAACTTACATTAACGTTTTTACAGATGTTGATATTGCCAGTCAACTACTTACAGATCACTTGCCTATCGCCCTTCTTTCAGGTCAACAAATGAATGGCTACGGACTAACCACAATAATTTACTCTACTAGTAAAGGTTTATGGTGTTTATAAAATAAACAAAATAACAGAGTTGCTTGTAGAGATGGAGGAGAAATTCCTTATCTATCCATGCTTATGTATTTATTCTACTTAATGAAAAACGTGAAAGATGAAGATGTTAAGATGTACATCTATATGCATTTGGCTGTCATGTGGTTGAAATTGTTTCACAGAAGGTGCAATGGAGGGATTTTGTGCAATTTTACCAAACTCTGCATCAAGTGACCATTTACTATAAATCAACCCACTGACTCCGTAATAGTATTCTGCATACCTTTGCTTAAATCGAAATTGATGAGACAAGAAAAACAAACACATTGTACAGTAAATAACCATATATTGTCTTTTTTTAAGAATAACTCTAAAAAAACTAGACCAGTCAAATTTCTCAGATAATCAAGCTAAATATTTGCCATCTTTTTATCATATTGGCTCGCCAACTTTTTTCTTGTTCATACAGTAAGCAGCATGCATCAATCAGGAACCTGATGACTGTGTCCTTCACCAGAATGCTTTCCATAATTCAGTGGTAGCATGGGTGAACCTGAGCACCCTTAGTCAGGAGTTATTCTTTTTAGAGGGACTCTATTTTAATTTTTTTTAAGCGATCTTTATTGTAGAGTGAAAACATCTTACTTTTACATTAAATTACAAAATTATCACTTTCTTGAAATGGCTATAAGCTTACCTCTAAATTCCATCCAGACAATTCTGCTGATGCATCTGGATTACTGTATGAGGAAAAATGATCAACAATTACTAAAATGTGTCACTAAAGGGCTCAAGGCTGTTTAATTACACATACCAAAAACCATTTAATTAAACATTTGTATTTTTTCAATTTCATTCAGGAACACACTGGTAAAACCGAATCTATTTCCATTGAAACTGATCTAATAAGACATTAAAATAAATTTAGATAATCAATTCAATCTCGAGAAATGCCAGGATATTAGAATACTCAAATGATTTATAATAATTGCCTACATCTTCCAACACTACACAACTTTGACATGGCTCTTTCTTTTGCAATTTAAAGCAATTTCTACTTCTAAAATAACTGTTTTCTGGTAACTTGGTTTTTATCTGCATTCAAAATACTTAGATGGAAAGATAAAATGTGTTTTTACAAATCAACCTAAACCGGGGTTTCCAAGATAGGGCTGTTTCAAAAAAATTGATATCCTTAATGTCTGATGTAAATAATTTCTTTTAAAGGAGAGGCTGTACGACTGAAACTGACAGTACCAACAAAGTCATAATAGGGTGTTTTCATTCCAAGAAAAGGACATTTATTGTCAGCAAACTTCACCTGTCATGATACCTGCATAAAACATTTCACAAGGAGAAATGCACACCCTGACTTACACAACTACATCAGATGTACCTGCTTATTGTGTCAATAAACGACATCAAGGACTTGTTGCGTGCCATAGGATCTACACGGGTGTGAACTGCCAGATCCTTCATCATACTGAAATCATTACGCATCTCATCGGTTAGCCCTATTAAGGAAAAATTACAAAAGAGTTTTCTAAATTAAAACCATGGGCCATCATACTACAACTATAATAAAGAAAGATGTTCAACCTGGGCCAGTGGGGGCAAAATAATATAAACTATAAACTGTTGGAGGGAGATTAATTTCCATTTAAAACTAAGAACACATGGCAATGATAGGAAAAAACATTATGGGGCAAAGGAAATAATAATAATTATAAGAATAATAATATCAGAGCTTGCAGTGTGCACAGTGTAGCCCCATGATTATAGAAAATAGTAACCCATCAAGTAAAAAAATTAGGACTTATGACCATATGACCCACCATACAAGGTGCAACTTTCAGCATGCCAGGCCAACTGCATTGTGGTCACTATTTTAGCCATTACATAATGGAAGGGTGAAAATGATAGTGAACAGGGTGAGCAATTTCTACAATTCTCTCTTCAGTTAACTATCATAGGGTTTCCTTTATTCACTTAAAAGATCGCCATTTGTTGAAGATGTGTACTTTCCAAAAACTGAATTAAAATGAGATGGAGTCAGTCATTTTCATGTTGACATAAGTCTGACGCAGTATCATGATTTTGACAATATTGTCATGAGAGAACCTGTCAAACATCTGAGAATTAAAGACCGCAAAACTTCAGGAAATGCTTTGTCTCACAAAACATGGAGCCAATTTCCCTTTGCACAACATTTTGAGGCGTACTGGATGCTCAGGTTATGATGAACATGCTTGCAGTTCAATAATTTTCTCCTAATGCTGTAACCTAAAGAATCAATCTCTGAAATTGATTGTCAGTACATTTTGCATGAAGCATCTGAGCAGTGATCATGTATTCAAACAGGGTTCTGGCAATTTGAGCTCAGAAGCACACTGGTGTGCACATGGTCAAAGTAAATAATTGTTGCCTTAAAGTTTCGAATTCAAGAGCAAGAATTCACGAGTCAGTTTCTGTAACCTTCCCAGATATATTCTGGTGAATTCATTGAGTTAAAATGTCAGAATTTCATAAGTGATTATAAGCTCTAAATTTGTAGTGGCACTATTGTTAAAGCACATTTTGGGAAGTTTTGTTAACCTCCAGCTGAAGAAAGCTGTAAAAAGGAGTGAACTAGACTGATATGTGACCACTTAATGCACAAAGCAATAATATAAATGCCTTAGGTTAAAAAATAAAAATAAGAGAGTTGTGCAGACCAAATCTTACTTTTTATCCTCCTCTGAATATTTACCTATAACAGTCACTATCAGTAAAAAGTAGCAGGTTTAAACTCAAATTTAATATGACTTTTCTTTATAATTTTCTGCTCTTATAACAGGAGGCTGAAGCATTAGAGAAAAATGGCTGAGAAAGCAGTCATGCCTGGCGACTTCAAAAGAAGATATAATATATAATAATTAAATATATAATACATAATACAATTCTGGTGTTTTGGTTTTACTGACTCACTTTTCTCATGCATATACTCTTCAATTGACTGGTGATGTCTTAACTCAAAGTTTTTTTTAACCAACTTTCCTTTCAACTTTTATTCATTTTCCCACACCAAAATTATCAGTCACCCTCAATAGGATAGAATTTCCACTGATGCTGACATCATACACTGGTAACCAGTCAACTCGCCGATGCCAACTTGCCAACGTATAAAATCGAGTAGAGACGTCGGCGAGTTGGTTGTCAATCCAATACAACTTATTAGAAGTTAAACATACAGAAAAGTAAACGATATTTAGTAAAAAAACACTGGTGAACATTGGTGAACATCTAACAGAAGCTTAAACATTGGTGAACATTGATGAACATCACCAATGACCATAACAACTTAAGATGCGAACGAGTTATCGTGCAACAACAACACCGTAAAGACTCATCATGTCAATCGCTCAGATTTTTTAACGAAAACTTGGCTTTCTAGACAAGATCTTTAGTAAAAAGCATTTCTTTTTATTTCAACAAAGTTTATAAGGATCTCAAGGCGAAAAAAGGGAAGTAAACATCACTAATGACTCAAGCAGCTTCAAACGCCAACGAGTTATTGTCTGACAACATTGTAAAGACTCATCATGACAATTGGTCAGATTTTTAAAGAAAACTTGGCTTTCTAGATAAGATCTTTAGTAAAAAGCAATTCTTTTTATTTGCAACAAAGTTTATAAGGATCTCAAGGCGAATAAAGTAAAGTAAACATCACAATGACTCTAACAGCTTCAAACGCGAACAAGTTATTGTGTGACAACAACACTGTAAAGACTCATCATGACAATCGGTCATATTTTTTAAGGAAACTTGGCTTTCTAGATAAGATCTTTAGTAAAAAGCAATTCTTTTTATTTGCAACAAAGTTTATAAGGATCTCAAGGCGAATAAAGTAAAGTAAACATCACCAATGACTACATCCGCTTCAGACGCGAACAAGTTATTGTGTGACAACAACACTGTAAAGACTCATCATGTTAATCGCTCAGATTTTTTAACGAAAACTTGGCTTTCTAGACAAGATCTTTAGTAAAAAGCAATTCTTTTTATTTGTAACAAAGTTTATAAGGATCTCAAGGCAAATAAAGGAAAGTAAACATCGCTAATGACTACATCCACTTCAGATGCGAACGAGTTATTGTGTGACAACAACACCGTAAAGACTCATCATGTTAATCGCTCAGATTTTTTAACGAAAACTTGGCTTTCTAGACAAGATCTTTAGTAAAAAGCAATTCTCCTTTTTTGCAACAAAGTTTATAAGGATCTCAAGGCGAATAAAGCGACGTTAACATCGCCAATGAACAAAATTGGCTGTAGACGCCAATGAGTTGTGTGTCATTGGTGATGTTTACTTCGCTTTATTCGCCTTGAGATCCTTATAAACTTTGTTGAAATAAAAAGAAATGCTTTTTACTGAAGATCTCGTCTAGAGAGCCAAGTTTTCATTAAAAAATCTGAGCGATTGACATGATGAGTCTTTATGGTGTTGTTGTTGCACAATAACTCGTTCGCGTCTGAAGCTGTTATAGTCATTGGTGATGTTCACCAATGTTCACCAATGTTTAAGCTTCTGTTAAATGTTCACCAATGTTCACCAGTGTTTTTTTACTAAATATCGTTTACTTTTCTGTATGTTTAACTTCTAATAAGTTGTATCGGATTGACGACCAACTCGCCGACGTCTCTACTCGATTTTATATGTCGGCGAGTTGGCGTCGGCGAGTTGACCGTAATTCCATACACTATATCTAAAGAAGAAAACAGTCACCATCTTTGAAAATTTGTTCAAAACATCTGTAACACCAACAAAGGTCCTCAGCTGCTTGAAAATACCACTGACTAATATGCGTGTTGATTGCTTTAAAAGTTATGAGAACATTGTCCCTTGGTTCCAGACCCCATCAACTCTCCACACTCCTAGATCACCTTGAAGAACCCCTTTGACAGCTTGTGCTGAAGAGTTTTATTACAGGTTTAATTACAACGAAGGGCAGGAAAATAAACTAAGAAGAGCTTCACTTTCAGGCTTGGCTAAATCTATACATTAATAAAAACTATTATACAAGAGGCAATCTCACATTAAGTGGATTTCAGATTGGCCCTGTAAAAGATGCTTGAGGATGAATGAGAATAGATAAATGACCAACATAATCTACACAAACAACAAAAAGGAGGAGCTAACACTTAATTGCATCAATTTTTAGAACTAGTAAGGTAATGTTATTGTCATTATAACATTACTAGTGTACATTTTAACTGGTTTCTTATTTGAGAGTGTGTCACCTGTTAAGAAGCACAATTCTGGTACCAGAAGAAGTTCACCACTGGGGATTCTGGTCTTCTGTCCTGGCTATAAAAGGGAAATTTTGTGCAAAAGATTATAATGCAAGAGAGAATTAAATAGCAGTAAAGTTCCTTCTAAAAGTCTTTAATACAAAGGCAATGGCTCTTTACTAGTGGAGGCCTAGCTGCCTATCAAGGGAATAATTTTATTATCTGGCTGGCCAAGTGCATTTTAGGCCATGACTGCCTGCTTTAACTATTTCTTGGCAACCTCTAGTGTATGCCACAAAAACTAGAGAGGGAACAAAAACAAACTCACCTCTCTCTTCAGACGGCTAACAAGTAGTGGCTGTTCCATATCTGTGATTTCCTTGTCGTAAGTCTTCAAATAAGCACACATTACTTAAACCACCTTGAGATATCATGAAACACCCTGATATTCAGGTAGAATAAAATAAAACTAAAAAAAGTTATAAAAGGTATTTAACAATAAGTATCAAAACTGTACCTCTTGGTAATATTCCACGTAGGTGATGTCTCTTTCTACTCCCTTGAACCTTCCATGGAAGGTGTTGGTTGGGAATATTTCCCAATTTATGTCATCAATGCGGTATGTCTTGTTGTTGTACCTGAAATGAGGAATGCAAGTAAGGTTTAGCAAATTGAAGACACCATGTATTTCCTGGTAATTTGAAAGCGTTATCTTCTCCCAAACACGAGGCTTTACCCAATCAGACACAAATTGATGATGTCACCATTGACAATTATTTGCTGTTTACCATGACACTGATACATTCTATGTTGCCATAGGTCTGTTCAGTGGCAGATTACAGAAGCACTTATGACCTGAGCTCATATTCCCAGGGCTATCACCCCTTGAAAGTGACCTGACCACTTCCATATATGGTTGACATTAGGCAATATGCAAACTGTATAGGGCAGATTTACACCTTACTAACACAATGACACCTGATAGCTTTCAGATTTTCTTTGCAAAAAATAAAGGAATGGTTAACCAAAAAAAAAATTGACTTTCCCACCAACAACTGAATACTGCAAATTTGTTGTTCCTTTTTAGGGTTTCCTTTGTGTCTTACCTTCAACCCAAAAATATTTATTTTCCCAAGTTATCAAAATCTACCACAGAATTAAAAAAAAAATTTACAAAAACATTTTACTACTTAAAATGCTCACATAAATCAGTTTGTTTCAGGCTGCTACAGTATGTATGCATCGCTAATTCATTCATCGAAGCTGTTGTAACGGAATTACCTCAACATTGATTCAGTACATCTGCTTCACTTGATAAAAAAAAGTTGTTACAGACATTGAATGTGACTAATCAATGTTTACAAAGAAAAGAATGGACCAGGGAATCAAGTCTACACAGTAAAAAAATCTGAACTATCTAGGTTCAACTGCTCATGGAATCACTGTGAATTGTTTCACAATACCTTGTCAGAACAATTTGGCCTACAAGCTTCTTTGTGGCCTCCATGTGGAAATTCCCTCTCTGACCCATGCGTTCATATAGCTCATAAAGATACTCTAAAACAGTTGTAGTTCTCAGTACTTTATGTGAAACATCTGCAGACAAGAGAATGTCTGTCTCATATGGCAAGATTGAGGTAGAATAACCAGGCCAAAGTTGCAACCTAGGTAAAATTAAAATTGATTTGAGCAATCAACAGCACCTTAATACTCAAGTGTGAAACTTACCCAAGCAACTACATTAAATTCAAATTGTCATATATATTTTTTCAATTCTTAGAGAAAACTTCAATTAACATGCACTACACCTGCTTACCCAAACTTCGGAATTTCAATTGGCTTTGAAATGTTGTAATAATTTCGCCCTACTTGCTGCATACCAATGTCCTTTAGAATCCTGCAGGAAACAGATATTTGTCACAATCAGTTTTTAAAAGCTCTCACATTCACTACACCATGCCAAAAACCTGGTTCAAGACCTGTTGCATTGGTCAGCCAATATTTTTCACTTACAGTATCTTGAGATCTTGTCAATTACTCAAGCTTCACAAGTGGATTTTCAAAGTTGCTATAAACAAGTTTCTACAATAATAAAGGGTTTCCTCACATGACTGAACTTCAACCGATAACTTGTTAAAGTTTCATTTCATCACATTGTGGATAATATACTAGCTCAAGTAAAAACAAAACATACAAACAAACGAAATAACATCAAAGCCAAACAAATCCATGGAAAACTTAACAAACCTTCGGAAGATTATATTGTATAACTGCAGCATAGATGGAGAACCTGGTTCAACTTCATTTGTAAACGTTATGGTCATCTGGACAACATCTCCTTGTGGCCGGGTAACGTTGCACCTTGTTTCAATTTCTGAAAGGCGTCTTGGCAAATAAAGAATCATGCCATCAAATGCACGAACTGGCCCGATAAGATCACGCTGGCTGGAAAGTATAGCAATCCGAGCACGTTTTGCCTCAACCTCAGGATTGAAGCTCACATTGTACTGGTAAACTCCAAAATTTGTTGTGGTTCTTAGTTTGAAGTGGTTGGTCACCAAGTCTATCCTTGTTCCAGTGTTACCCTTTTTGTCAATAAGGTGAGCTGGCTTGGTATTAACATTGTCGTCCACATCTCTCGACAGACGTGGTGGTCTTTGTTCTTGAGCACCCGATGTACTCTGCACACGAGGCCTCTGTTCTTTCATGCTCATCCCAGCCATGGCCTCTATAGGAGGTGCCACTGGTCGCTGCTGCTGTGGAACTTGGCCTGGTGGGGGACCCCGGGATCTCCCACGTCCAACAAATGGTGCAACTTGCTGAGCGCCATCTCCAGGCCGTGATGCTTCTCCTCCACCTCGCCCACGCCCTCGACTTCTTCCCCTTGCCCTCCCAGTCATATTCTGCTTATGGAGGACTCAGGCTGTGAGAGATAATATACTTTTAAGAGCCACATTGAAAGACATGAAAACAAACAATTGACATACTATTCTCCTTCAGGTAGCTTATTTGACAAAACCTGGATCATATCAATGGCAGTAATGAGGCCTTCCAAGGGGTCTTGCCCACAAGTTACATTACTAAAACATAGGCATGCTATGCATGCAAGAGTTATTTTTATGGGGTGGGTGGATTACTTAACCCATTGTAAGTGACATCTACATTTTCACAAAAGGAAAGAAGAATATTAATGCAGAAAAGAACGAAAAAGTCGAATTAACTCACACATGGGTATTTTGTGGTAGATTGTGTGTGTAGTGCAAATAACTGTACCCAAAAATAAACTGTATTGGTGCCACAGATACCTGTTAGTACAAAATGCAGACTGCATAGACTGTAAACAATAGGTACAAACTGTAGACAGCAGAGTGGGTACAAAATGCAGACTGAGAATCTAAATTTTTTTTCATCTGGTATGTGATGACATCATTTTAACAACTTATCGAGCATCACGCAATTGCTTTTCTGCCATCAGCTTTCACAACTATTTGCACTATTGTGGAATATTTCAGGCTCATTTCTTGATCAAAATCGATCTTAATATAATTTCAAGCCTTCACATAGTCTTCTCGCTTTGCACGCGAGTTGGTTGGTGTGATGCCTGTACAGATTTTACCAACGTAATAAAAGTAGATGTAGATGTAAATGAGATGTCACTATTGAATATTTGACATGTGCAACATTCAAGAAACAATTGACAGCTTTGCACAGGTCCATACTATCTTTTCAAGCAGTATGTGTTTATTTTGTCAAAATGCAGACTGAGACCAACACTGTTCCTTTGACTTGATATATTTTTGACATTAGCAGATCACATCATATTAACTTACCTCCATAAATCATTCGTTCCAGATAACAAATTCAAATAAACATTCTAATGATGGTATCTGAATTCGTTCTTGGTCAAACACAAATGACTCCACAAGATCACTTTCTCCAGGCATCGAAAACATACACAAAATTGTCCATAGTTAGTTCTAATCAGACATTCATCTAGAGATAGCACCGAGCCAACCAACCAGAAAAATATAACCGGCACACGTAACAAATCATGAATCTTGCAACACAGCTTGCTGTTAAAGAACTGCTCAAATCAAAATGTTTGGTGCAATTCATCAACACTTAAAGCAATATTTGATTCAAAATTTTTCCACACACTCTCCTTGTGAAGGAACAATAACCATGATTGCGCTAAGTGCACAAGACTCCATTTTCTCTCTTTCTTTTCTACAGGTTATCTGATATCTTTCATCTGACCAGTTGTATCACATTTCTCATAAAGAGTGGTAAAATACATGTTAAAAACACAGAAAAGCTAACATTTCTCATTCTAAAAGATGATTCCATTTTGTGAACTGCTCTCTGCGAATCCCCCATTACTTCATTGAAATTTGAACACCTCTCAAACCAAAGTGCAAAAACAACACTCTGATTGGTGTGAGATACATGCCCTAATGTGGCAATCTGATTGGTGCAAGATACATACCCTAAATCTGATGTTATTTGAAAAAAGGAAAACACTAAAAAATGTGGTGACAATCTCGTTCCAATGAACTGTCCACAAACAAAAACTGACAGACAAGGAGCCACATTTTGAGACAGCCACAATCCATTTTTAATTTAGACAAAATTTTGATTTTTTGACAGGAGACATTGCAACCATGACAGTGTATGTGATATTTCCAGCCCACACTGCCATTTCATGTGTTTAATATTCAACACTTGTCATCCACAGTCAGTTTCTTGTTACCTATTGCCATGTTATACATGTGTTATAGCGTTTCACGCAAGTGTTTGCACACCAAATGCAAATTATTGATAGACCTGGAGACTCCTGTATTGCCTTTGATATTGGCATGAAATTGGGAAAGATAAAAAGAAACCCCACAACATTCTGAAGAGTAAAACAGGACAAAACAAGTCACTAAAGGAAAGACAAGAAAGGTAATCTGGGCAATAATTGTAGATAATTCCTGAGGTGCTTTAAATGATGGCTTTTGTTGTAGCACATTTATATTAAGATTTAGCAGTGTCAATCAACTGATAATGACCAATAATCCCATCCATGACCATTCATTTCATGGAGAGACTTAAAAAACATTAAGATCATGGACTGTGGGCTAGCCAGCTTCCAGCCTGCGTGCAGTGTTCCACACAAATGACAGCACTTAAATACTAATGTGAAATGAATAATTCAAGGCAGAACACAATACCAAAGTACCCTTGGTTATGAGTTCAGTTGCAAGATTGGCCAAAATTTGCTTCCAGCATGACAGCAAGGATAGGAAAAAAAATCCAGATCTTATGGTATGATGCAACTGCTTTATAATATAGTATTCGATGCCCTTCCTATTATCACATCGCAAGGGAAAGTCATAACAGGATACGCTGGTCAGGGCTTAACTCTGAAGAAAAAAGGTTTAAAACTTCTCGTGAATAGTTAGTCACACAGGCCCATCAACGCTCTAACAAGACAAAGCAGGCCCTGTAGGGAAGGGGTGCAATGGGTGTGTACCCACATCCTCCTTTCCCATGGGCTGCTTAACTCCATTTACTTGATACCAGTGATTCAAAAGAAAGTCAAAAACGGCCCTTAAAACACACAAAATGTATTCTCACACAACCCAATTTCAAAAAAATTTCAGGGGAGCATGAGCTTAGCCCCCTCTAAAATATTGCACCTTTGGCATCCATCAATTCACACATTAGGCCCTCAAACGCACCCCCTAGCTCTAAAACTTGTCATCGGGCCTACAAAAATATTTGGGTCAGAGAAGTTTATTTGTCCGAAGGTGGAAGATTCAAAATCCCTTGGGAATAGCAGGCGTCTTTTTTTACCTTCTTTCTTCAGCTACACTTTACAACTAACCTCGATATAACACTGATGAAGAAATGGCACCTCATTCAAAACCAAATGGCTTCAGGAGCAATATGTAAGGAGAGCATTTAAAAGATATTCTTGCCAGAGCTATTAACATTCTGAAGAGAGACGATTTTAAATTGCATGGGAATGGTAGGAGTTGCGCAGGCCCGTCAAAACAACTTGTCAACATTACTTGGTCAATTGAATGCCATGCGACAATGGCGGAACGTTTGAATCGACCTTGCTTAAATGATATTATGACGTCTATCTAAAAAAGAATTGTGTTCTTGTATGACTATGTGTAAAGATGAATACATACGTGAGGGGAGCTGGGAAAAGCTAGGCCACTGATCCACAATGAAACTCGAAAACGAAGACTTGAGATGATCTATGTAATTTTTAGTTCTACTCAAGCCAATAGAAATTGATATGTGGTTCATCTTATGTTGAAAAGAAAACACTTACAGGCACTAGCACAAGTCAGAAATTACAGTATTGCCAAATTTAGAATGACAGCGACATTTTCATTCGAGCGAAAAAAGGCGACCGCGACATTTGACCTTAACCAAATAGGCCACTGTGAGTAAACGAAGGCGACATCAAAGACCCTATTGGAATGCCTCTGCTCAGTGACGGCCATTCGATTTGCGAATAAATCAGCGTCTCCAAGAAAAAGCACACTTGAGAAATTAACAACATTACACTGTTACAGTCGATTCCAGATTTTTAACTGTACAGCAAAGGTTAAACAAATCGCAAGTTTCCCATTTATCTCATTGAAATACGCGCACATGGTGGAGATTGCTTGTGCAATTGTGGTGTAGACATAAATAAAATACTCCAAGCAGGAGGTAAACATAACTGAACCTTAACTGAACCAGAACCCAACAATATTCAAATTTAACCTGGAATTGTGCACGTAAATATAGCATTATGAACATGAGCACAATGAATATGACCTACAGCCACAGAGTTTGCAATCGCCTCGAACGAACAAACTTGTTTGCTTTGCTTCTAAAAACCTCAGAAAAGAAGGCTCCCAAAACTTTCGTTCATCGACTCTTTTAAATGTTTAAATCTTAAATAACTTCAGTTTAACAGGAATCGGCCAAATAGCTTACAATACTCACCTGTTTGATGCCTCACAATGTTCCTGAGCGCCACACAGAGTAGCAGTAGCATCTACATTGTGGATGGATCACATGGCTTTATTTTATCGCTGTGATTGGTCAATCGATTATATTTTGTGACACCTCGTGACACCATTCTTAATGTAAGTCGGCGTCACGTCCATCACTGGATCGGGCAAGTTTCCGTTGCGCTGGAAGAATTTTCGGCTATATCTCGCGATTTGTTTCGAAGCAGCTTTCAATTATCACACATATGATCATTTTTGGGAGGATTGAGGCCTTTATATTCCAAAATGCAAAGAAAAAGAAGGATAATTACTGCATAATCGTATGTAGGACCTCCAATAGTGACAAAATGGCAAACAAAAGATCTTTGTTTATACCGGCAAACGATTCATTGCACAAGTCTTCCAAAAGTCAACGCATTGTTGTCAATGAATTCGAAGGCATCAAAAATTGAACGACAAATTTAAACATGTCAAACTATCAAACCAAACTTGAGCTCTAGTAATATTGAAAGGTACACTTTAGAGGCGATTAATTTCCCGCCAATTTTTAGGTTCCCTATCGTCGGCAAGCACACTGCCCTTGATGCCAGTAAACCAGTCGTTATCAACAAACTACCAGGGCGTGTGTCTCACCAATGCGTCCATTTACTCTCCCTTCCAGTGTACCTCCTAATTTTGACATGAATTGTCTGACCTACGATTGTGTTAATTTAGCATGATTGTGAGGATATCACAACAGAGATCGATCTGGGCACATTCTCTTTGTGTCACAAAATAAGCACTTCGTATTCAGTAAACAGCCACCTTCCTTTGATACCTTTCTTTGCCTTTCTGTTGTCAAACAAAAGATTATTTTTTAACCAAGCTTTTCAGGTAAAAGGGGTACATGGGTGTTTCATGGTTTTGAAAAGAAAAGGAAATTTGGGTTAACATTTTTCAGATGCTTATATATCCTTTTTCCATCTTTTGGCTCAAGTTAACAAAAAGTGTCTTTACTTATTTCCGCCGTGTTACTCTAGTGTTCACACTTTCATTTTTAAAAGGTTTACCAAATTCTACGAAATATACTCCTCAAGTGTCTGAAAAACGAGATATGAGTAAATCTTCCCATATGACGGTCCGTCATAACTCCGTCGGTCATGTGTCAGTTGATGCCGAAACGGCGGCAAAAACACCTGAACAAAATCGACTAAATAAACAAAACTGTGATAAACTTGTCGATTATTTGTAGTAAAAGCTACGACAAGCGTGTAATTTAACTGAAATCAGTTTACTAGGAGGGCAAAAATTTTCTTTTGCTGCAAGACACGGGGATTCTAAAATTTTACGACTTAGGATAAATCCTGGATATGCTGGCTAGTCTTATGAACTGATCAGGGGCTCACGGAATGTGACGGCTTTGAAATTCTTAATGCGAATGCAACAGACGAAACAAAAAGTTGTCTTGACAAAATTTGTCCTTTGGATTTTTCGGGACAATTCCAGTCAGCCAATTCCCGTCCAGTCAGGAACGGAAAGGCCCAAATTTCCTTTACAGAAAGCTAATTCGAAACTAATACTTTAGCGCTTTATTACTAACCTCTGATTGAATGCCTACTGTCAAACACCATAAGGTCACGTAATTCGTGTCCTAATATTTTCGGAATGCCCTTTGATGATAAAGATCTGATTTATTGGTTCTTCGCAAGCACGTATCAAAAAGCGTCAGTGTGCACAGGGGTTGACGGGCGACGCTTCGATAACCCAGCCGCGCTAAACGTCGAAAGAAAGAAGTCTTTTGATTATTAAGCCGACTGCAATATGTTAGATAATGGTAATTGAACTGAGTGGAGTGCAATTTGGGCTGAAATCACACGTGATTTCAAAATCGAACGAGCGCGCAGCACGAGTTTGATTTGAAATCACAAGTATGATTTCCTATATTATTACCCCCATTTTGAAACCACTGGTGGTCACGAATCGCACCATTTTTTGCTTTAAATCGTATCTTTTCCCGAGCCAATGAGGAGGCTACACTAAAAACAAAACAACCAATCAGATTTCAAGGCTTGTTTAAAGTAGGCAATTTAGTGTTAACAACTGAGTCGAAAACGTAAATTAGCCACCGTAAAGGATAAAAAAGCTGAAGTTTCGAGCGTTAGCCCTTCGTCAGAGCGTAAGATTAAATTGCAGGAAAATGAAAGACAAAGAGTAACATGTGGCAAATTTTGCAACTTTTGTTTCATAAACTCTTACTTTCTCCCCCCCAAAAAAAAAAATGGATTAATTTAATTAAAGACCGGCTCAGTACTGCATCAATAAAAATATTTGACCTGACCAAATCCTGTATTTGGGCGATTTCAAAATGGATGTAATAAAGTAGTAATTGAACCTTGTGTCGTGCAATTTTAGGAGGAAAGTGTGCACTTCCTTTATACCGTTCTCTATACATTTCCTACAATATTGACAGGGATAATTTGCCTGAAGATCAAAGTATCTTTCGTTGGCCATCATTTCGTTGCTCCCATGACCTTTTTGTTTGCTGCTACCGTAAGGATAAATGAGATACTATTTAACAACAAAAAATAGGCGGTTCAAGACTGCATGTGGCTACTGCTTTAGGCAGATTTTGTGCTGCAGAATGCTATACACAAATAACGTGGGACCTGCTCTGATGGACTTACTTCGGGCTGAACGAGTGAAGACTCAGCTTGGCTCCAAAAGGTTTATTCTAGTTCATGTCGAAATCCAACAAAGCCTACCAAGTTTTTCCGAGAAAGCTTTGCCAACTGCCGCAATAACTCATCAATTTCGGTCAAGCGTAACCAAGACATCAAAGCTTTGTGGATTTATGATGTAAATTAATTCTTTGCATATTCTGTAAAGTGTCCGTTCCATCCGTAGTAGGCACCGGCCATTAAATGAAGAGGGTGTATATAGCTTTGAGCTCTGCATATCTTGAGTGTTCACCAGATAAACCGTTCAACCCCCGGAATAGGATTTTTTCCTGTACTGCTCATTTTCTCATTCATGTATCGTTTACAAGCCTTTCTTGTGCACTTAAGCTAAAACTTGAGGGGGAAAGCACCATTTCAGCCTGTGTTCGAAGCGGTCTTACGGCGCTCAATAAAACTTAGATAAGCCGGCAAGGGGAAACAATTTTTCCATCCCATTCGCTCTCACGGTTTTGTCGCTTTAAACCTCAGCCCCATGAAAAGATGAAAAATAACAAGTAGAAAATAAATAAATAATAATAATAATAATAATAATATTGATAATAATAGCAAAAATAGAAATACTACTACCGCTACTAACATACAGTCTTTGTCATGGATTTAAAAAATAAATAAATAAATACAGCAGTGTCAGCAGAAGGAACAACACAGGGCGATCCGCTTGCTATGGGTCTATATGCCTTAAGCATCCAGCCTTTAATTACGAATCTACAAGCAGCGTCCAGTGTGAAGCAATGTTGGTTTGCAGATGATGCTAGTGGAGCTGGCTCCATTATGGAAATTAGGACGTGGTGGGATGCCCTTAGTACCCTTGGTCCGGATTTTGGTTATTTTCCGAACGACAGGAAATGCTGGATCATCGCAAAACCAGCTAAGGAAGAAAATGTCAGGGAAGCTTTCAAGGACACGTCCATTAACGTAACAGTACAAGGGCAGAAACACCTTGGGGCGGCAATAGGATCAAAAGGGAGTATTTAGAGTATTTATACATGATAATAATAACAAAAATAATAAGGTCGCTCCGAAATTTGGAATGTTGGTTTTCGCGGAACTGGAGAGGAAAGCCAGCGAAACCTGCTGAGCAAGGACAAGAAACAAAATGCTCAACACACCTGTGGCACGGGAATCTAACCCGGGGCACAGCGATGAGAAGGGAGCTCTCTCATGACTAGACTGCCCCACCCTTGCTCGTACGGTGTTTAAGCCACCAACACTTTTCATTCCCAAAATGCCGACCTAAGAGGGAGGCGCTTAAACGGCTAGAGTGATGAACACGACAACGCCTTCACTTAAGGACTGAAGAAATAACTACGCAGAAGACAACGAGAATTGGGAAATAAGATAAGATCTGTAATTAGCCGTAAAAAATCCTGACAAGTAAATGATAGGAATTCACTTCCTGTGAATTAAATACACGGTTCCGACGAAATAAGGAATAAATGTAAATAACGATAGGCATCCTTTTGTTAACGTACTGGAGACTGTTTTTGAATTGTGCAGCGAAAGAAATCGTGAAAATGAAAAGGGATTAGAGTTGATCTTCATTGTCTTCGAAGTTGATTCCTGACCAAGCCCATTTCCTTTATAACTTCCTGGAGCCGGTTCTCGAGGTATGCCTGGAAAAAATACAAAAGGGAATGAAAGAAAGAAAGAAAACCCTCGACTTGTCGCGCAACATGAACAAATTTGTTGCGTGACAAGTTGTGAGTTTGATGAAAAACAAGCAACAAAGCCAAAATTTGTTGCACAAAGTAGATTCGCGCTCTACTTTTCGCAAAAAATTTCTTCAACATGCAACAAATGTTTTTTAGGGCGACAAGTTGATCATGCATGGTGAAAAACGGGAAACATCGACCAAAACTTGCAACGAAACAATGTTGCGCGACAAGTTGAGGGTTTTTGTATCTCGTATTTCGCCGCCTTAATAAGGGTGAGCCTAAAAATTTCATTACCTGCAGAGGTTCAAGTTGTCTAGCTTCTTAATTAAGGGTTGGATTAAGGTTACTTCCTCCGTTCAGAGGCCGAAAATATTGATTTTTCTTTTATTTGACTTAACTGAATTCAAACATTTGACCTAACATTCCATAAAGAAAAATTTCTGAAATCTCTAAAAGCACCCGAATTATTTTGAAAAACGCATTTCGAATAAAAGCCATGCATCAGGAAGGTGTCATAATCTTGTAGCCGGGCGAATCCCCTGGGAGAATTTTCGCGGCAACCGTACATCTTGGGGCTTGTTTTTCATGTCATTTGCATATTTTGTTTAGAGCGCTACTTCACAAAATTTACACGTGGAAGCTCTATGCTAATGAAAGAACGTTTGCTCATGGGAAAATCAAAAGCGGAGGGAAGTACTTGAAAAAAATGAAAAAAATTAATGAACAGGCTCAGAGAAGAAAGAAAGAGTACCATTCTGTCAAGAAAAGAAAATATCCTTTGTGAAAGCGACTGGTGCTGGCGGAGCTCCAATCTGACGTCCAGATTTCGAACAAAGAAGTTGGTGTCAAACCAAAATTTGTTATACATGATGTTGTAAACGAAGTTTCCTTTTATTTATTGCAAGTACGAGCCTTGATACTAAAACATTGACAACCCCATTGAATCGTAATTTTGAAAACTGTCTGTCGATTCGTTGTTTTCCCATTTTTGCCGCGGGTTTTTCCTTTGCCTTTAGCAACTTTGCCCATTATTGTGTCGTCCTTCTCAACACTCCACTGAGCGATCGAGATATAAAAAAAAGGGCCGCAATGGGTTTCTTTTCCCGGGAAATTTTGATCCATCGTCATTGATGCCAGGCGGTCTCGTTCTCCCATTAGTTTGAGGTTTCTGAAGGCGAGATAATTTCCTGGTGTGGCGCGAGTTGTTAGCGAACCTTTATAGGCTAAAATCTCGCATTTGATTTTGGGAGGAATACAACCACTTTGAGTGTATTTATAGAGTGTTTAGATTGACCGATTTTCGTCAAATTTCTCCAAAAATTCCAAGGATAATTACAAATGAAAGTGTCTGGAAATTTAGATATGTGAAATATTTGTCCCGTGGCGTCCATTTACGCATTACGCCTCGCTTGTTTTTAGCTACTCCAACTTATGCTGCCGATATCTAGACAACCAATCAGAGTATCGAAAAAGCCTGACATACTTCTGTGGGTTGACGCCTTGTGAATAAGACTATACAGCCATTTCGCTCGTGCTGCGGCATTCAATAAATTCTCCAGAGGAATTCTCGGTCGTTTCACGCCTTACCGGCTCCTTACACTTGCACCACGCGAAGGTGGGAAGTAGCCTTCAGAACTCGAGTTTCTTATCTTGCGATAGTTGACGAGGGCTCATAATCTAATTGTTTTAGCATTAACTTACTAGTCGTCCCAGTTACCCAAAACTAAACAACAAGATAGGCTTGTGTTCTTTGTTTTATCAAATATTGGGTTGTGTTAATTGCATTAACACCAAACGAAAATGAATATGTATGATCCTTTTTATGAAAATAATGGGCGGAAACCAGAACCGGGACCAAGATGTTCAAAGATAAAGTGACAACAGAGAATACCATGCACTGCAAGGCGTCTAAGTTATATATAGTTTAAAGTTTATCTAGTTTATATCTGCTTGTTCTCAGACAATGGGGACGGTTCAATCTATATACTGCACACGATATTCCAACTTGTTTCCATTGAAAATTTCGAATGCATATGAAAGGCACGTTAAAAGCATTTGAAAGCCATGTAAATATTTTTCCTTATCACACAGTGTTTTCATATGCTTTTTAGTAAGTTCTTGTGTATTGCAATCTGATTGGTTACTTTCAACAAGCCTTGAAATCTGACTATTTTGTTTTGCTTTAGTTAGTACAGCTTTCTCATTGGATGGAAAAAAAGGTGCCATTTCAAACAAAATGAAATTTCTTCTTATTTATTTATTTATCTACTACGATCCTACTGGTAAGTCAACTTACTAGCAAGGGTAGAGCGAATAAGTTTTGAGGGTGGAGGCAGCATCAATGATCAGAGCGGTCAAATTTTCGTGTTTAAAACTTTGAAATGATAGTTACGAGACAATGAAAAAACATGAGTCATTAATATCGAAAATTTTGTTTTTAATTAATCACGTATCATGGGGTCAAAAAAAGGGCAGGAGTCACGAATGTCGAAGGTCAAATGATTCTCCATCCACCCTCGAAAATAATTCAGTGAATAGGTAATTAAGGATTAAAATGATGATACAAAGGAAGATGGGAAGATCTACAGTAGCTTACCTTGTCCTCCTTTGTCCTTTTTGAGATTTTTTGCATGTTGGGAACTCGGCTCAAGGTAGATTCAAGCTGCAATTTTTAGACAGAAAGCGAAATCAGAAGGATTGACGAATCAGCTTGTGCACGCCCCAGCGCTCACCTGGGGCATTTTGCGTTACTATAACATTTGTGCCAGGTTCAAAATTTTGTGTTTTTGGAGAAACTACACCGGTTCCAAAAGGCAAAAACTAACTGGATCTATCAAGCGCAGTTACCGCTTCTTATCTCCTCGAGTAATTGAAATTAAAAAAAAATTCTCCTTTGAAAAACTTCTTTTAAGCGAGGCATTATCATTCATTCATGTTTTTTGCAACGTGTACCATCGCATTTCGAAATGAGCTCTGAAATCATACCTTTATTATAGGCAAAAAAACTTTGAATTACACTGTCACATGAAGAAAGCAGAGAAAACCAAACTCATTTGTTTGGTTGCCAATCAAAACAAACCCGTTTTCGTTCTTCAGTGAGAGTAGAAAGCTTCTTCTCCAACATAGCAGGGATATCCTCCATGTTCACCTCCATGTCCTTGCTTATCAGCTGGAAGATGATTCAATATTCGGCAATATTCATGAAAGATAGAATTGAGTCAAAAGATAAGCTCATCATACGTTTGACTTTTACAACTGTTCGGAAATAGGTATTACGAGGTACCACAACCGTTTCGGTTATGATGCAGACCGAAACGTTTGGGGTATTTCGTAATACGTATTTTCGACCAGTTCTTGGCGCGCTCGTAGACCGCGTATTAAAATATTGTTTCGGTAATGTTTAGTATCGTCGTATATAAAGGGGTTAGGCAAGTTTCTAAAGAAACTGTGGTGCTGCGTTGAGGAGGAGAGGGGCGGAGGTGGGGGCATTACAAGATAATTTGGTTTTATTAACTGAGTGGATAACATAAACTGGCCTGCGCAAAAAGTTTGCAGAGCTGACGTATCTGAGAAAGTAAGCCAGCTAGGTTCACAATAATCATAGCGAGAAGCCCCAACACACGAGCAAAGTATCCGTCCATGATACAGATTTCTTTCTTCGCCCATACTCGCATTGACATAATTGGGAGAAGAACTTGCGGTGATTCATCCGTATTACACTGCCTAATCTGTACTGCGCAAAAAAATCACGCAATCAAGCAAATATGTGTGCGTGCATTTAACAGGTAAAGAGGTATGATGGTCCTTAGCTCCTGAACGAGCACGGTCACCTACATTTTTTATTGCATAATTTTGTTGTACAAATGATCCCCTTTAGATTAGAGAAATGTTAAGAAATTAATTAAAGGGATAAAAAAGGTATGGCTAAAAGCTTGCACAAAGCCCGTTACTCGATGATGCAAATTATGATCTTGAAAGTAACGACTCAAGAAACGTTTGAGTATTGCGTGACTTCTCCTCAAATGATGTATCAAATTGTTCCATACGTTGGAGATTCTTTGCCGAGCAAGTTTTTTTCAAATGTTACTTTAAAATCCCTTGCTTCCAGGTACCTCAAAATGAACCGTGAACCGACGAAATGACGCGCGTGATCAGTGCCAGTTCAGGTATAAATGGGGAAAGTTTGGCTCCTCATATCTCTTAAAGAAGCACCGTGAACAATCTTTTTAATAGCATTTTTCGAAACAGACATTGGTAGGGAACAATTAAGCGAAATTTTAAAAAATTGTTCGACAATTTTTTTTCCTGAGGAATCACCTTAAGATGCGGACTCGATACCATAAGAGCAATATCGTCTCATTAACCAAGTGTGAAGATCATTTTTGTGACGGTTGAACCATTTTAACACAACATTAAAAGAAAGGAGAGATGCATGCTTCACTTAAAGCAAAATACTTGTATTATGCGAATAATACAAGCCAAGTTAGTGCAATGTCATGAACACAAGTTGTTTTTTTGACTTTGCCATGTAATTGACAGCAAGTGAAACCAATTGAATACGTTCCAATGTAACATTTCCTGAAGTGTTTAATTTACTATTACCTGATCACCTTTGGCCCCGAAGTCCTTCTCAGGAACGTTAAACATCACTACAAAATAATTATAATTTTAAAAAACATAATAATAAAAATAAAGATGATTCTTAACACACGATGATTAAAGTGATAATAGAAATAAACATAGGCATGCTACACATGCAAGAGTTACAGTTACAGGTAACATCAAGTTCATGGATTGCAGAGCCGAGTTCGAAACATTTGCTGTATTGAAAAGTAGAACATGTAAGGCAGAAATTATCAGAAATTCAGTATCTGGCGTCAGGTGGAATATCGACCATTCACCCCAATCTGTTTACTTCAGGCATACGCGCCTATTTAAAGAAATGCTTTGCTTCCAACACCATACGTTCGTAAGTACGACTGCTTCGCGCTATTCATCTTGCTTCTTCAAAAAAAAGAACCTGAAGATTGTTTGTTTTAAGCGCATCGTTGAGAATTCATTCGTAGATATAGTAATAATTCCTGATGTTGGCTGAAGAGCTTGCAGCCCTACGAAACGACTGCTACTGAAAAAGAGTGGTTTCTCAAAGCAGTCATGTTCGCTCTGCACGCATATTCAGGAGACACTTAATTCGAAGGCAATGTTCAAACCGGAAGCCTCTGCTGGACAAGGTTAACAAAGCTTTTGGACGAGAATGATTTCCTAGGCATTAACCTATTACTAAATAACAGGAACTTCATACGAACCTCTTTGTTTAGGTTCTTCGTGTTTTCCCTCCCCACCAACACTGAATGGTGAGTCACAAATAAGACCGGCGACCACATTATCCCCTCCAGAGGTGAAGCTTGTTTCAGTTTGTGCAGGCTCGCCGTATAAGCGTCTGGTTCGTCCAGTGTGGGTACGAATCATCTCCTCACCAGACTGACTGTTTTCAAACACCACATTAAACCTTTTTCAATTAAAAAGAAAAGAAAAAAAGTGAAGCATGATTCAAAACTCCTCTGGATATCGTTAAACTATATCTAACTAGTTCCGTATTTAAGGAATACGAGTCAGAGTTATTCCTTTGTTTGTGGAATGAACTTGGCCAACTTTCAGGGTTAACACGTCTCCACATTTTTTGTGACCTGTGAACGGGGGCTGAAATAATTTTGTCTTAAAGGTAGTTTACCGATGCGTGTTTTTTTGTTTTTTTTTGTTCTTTTTTTTTTTTAACAGGATCTCTTTTTTTCGAGGTCTTCCTTAGACCTGAATTTTCAAGGTTTATATTTTCGAGGTATCGTTTGTTGTCGTCATAGGTTTCGAGATCAGGTTCCTCACAGAGGTAGAACATTAGGTTCAACCAAGAGCATCAATTAATCTTTACAAACAATGAGCGATAACGGCTTTTAAAATCAAAAATTAAAATTTTAAAATCAACCATGGTGCGAACACGTACATGATGGTCGCACTCACCTCGTCAATAGATCTGTTTTCTTAACCACCATTCCTGGTTGTGAGGTAAAGGGGCCTGACTCCACAGTGTCTGGGCTCTCTTTGGGGGCAAAACTTTTAGCCTGGTTCTTTTTGCTTTGGCTGGTTGGGGTTGAAAAAAATTACGGCCTTGTTTTATTTTTTCATAAAATGTTCAGCTTTCTGACGGGGAGTGAAAGACAAATGAAGTTATATCATTTTTCCAGGGAAGATCATGCAATCATTAAAAAAATTGTGCAAGGAATTGAGCAAATTAGGTGATTTTCATGGAAATGTTGTTCAACATCTATTTTATCGTACAAGACTAAAGTTTTGTTCCATTATCTCACACGAAGTAACTCAGCACTAGTAGCACCAGCCACAAACTGCTTGTTTTTTAAAAAATCTGGATGCGTTGACAATGGCTGCCGCACAATCACTCACTGCTGAAATCAAAGGTTTTGGACATTTTTGAGGATTTTTTTTCCGTCAAATAACCTTGAAATAACGCTAAACTTAGGACGATTTTTATTTATATATTATAGTATACTATAAAAAAAAAAAAAAGGGGAAAAAAAAAAGAAAAGAAAACAGTTTCGCAAAGTAGAAAAAGTAGAAAAAAAAAAGAATCTTCAGGTTTGAAACCAGTGACCTCAGCTATCATTGTCCTCACCATTATGGGTAGTATTTGCATATTGAGTCATAGCGAGACTCCTTTTCTGCACCACATGCATCAAATGAATAAACATTAGTACATACCCACTGCTTGACAGATCCTGCTTCTTAGCATAAGGTGTTGCTACTTTCATTGCATCTGGTAATGGTGTGGTTGAAGCACTGACATGTGATTGACAGTTCGTCATGTCTGAGCTTGTGTAGTCTCTCCCTGAATCCGAGCCAGTTGTCAATTGGCTCTCAGCTTGTTGCAGTCGTTTCTTTAAAGGAGTTGACTGCTCCCAAGTCTTTCTTCCAACGAATGGTTTGCTTTTAATATTGGACGCTTCTACATGACTGTACAAAAAGAAAGAGGAAAACCCAGTCCACAAACGTATAACTTTTGCCCACATTTGCAGCAATGGCTCCAAAGAAGAAGTGGTTGTTCACAAAGAAGTTGGGCGACTTGCGAACTAAATTTTGTTGAGGTCATTAGTGGTATTCGCCAGCCATTATGCTGACATTTAAATTGTCAGATTGATCCTCTCTGAATTTCAAAAATTCTAGCTAAATATTTATTACTGCACAAAGTTCTAGAGATGATTTCTATTTTGCACTCTCATTCATCTCAGCTAAGAGATGCCATGACTATCCAAGGTGGGACATGCGTTCTACTAAACTTGTGGCCAATAGCCCTTCCCTAGTGAAACTGAAGAGAAGTAAGAGGACAAGACCCATTCTACGTTTGCCGTAATAGCAAAATGCGATTTCTCTAATATTTAGAAATTTCCTCATTGGAAAACATCAGGTATAGTATGTTAACTTCATCTTGATGCCTCTGTTCACACAGGAGTGAGCAAGAGACACATTTGCATTAACAGTCACCACTATGACTCAGGTGACCAATCACATGCAGTTCCAAGTTTGGCGATGATTTGCATCTATCAAGAAATTAAGTTGTCAGTTTGAGCTTTATGGTTACTGTAAGTAACTAAAAAATACCTTTTGTCGTGTTCCCTTGCCTGATCATCCATTATGCTATTTCTAGAGATTAGTTTTGAAATAGTTCTGAAAATATTCAAAGGAAAGGGTATTAGTTTATTCATCTTACAATAGTTTTATCTTTAACTAAAATATTGTACCAGGCCCAAAGGCTAGAATTTTAATACTTTGTCAAACCAGATGCATGTCACCCTGAAGCATAATAATTCCCCTTAATTGTTTAGAGACAATTAAGGGGTTTAATAGCCCACCAATCAGAAGTGCAAGTGCAAGGAAAATAGCTTCAAGCAAAATTCTGCTTTAGTATTGAGCTTACAGCTGCTTGTGAAGAGGCTGTGAGGTGCTTTTAAAAAGAATGGAAAATTTGGTCTTTAGTCCTTGCCAGAAAGTACTCTATAACTTTCAGTAGTTTGGTTAATTTAAAGAAGGGCAGAGAGGACTTTTTCTACAAATTTTGATCAAATTCCATTGATAGATTAATACACAGTAAATGTCTGGCAAACTCTGCCATAATTTACTCTACTTTGGACAAACTAAGTGTGTCATTTATTGGAGAGGAAAAAATAAACCTAATTTTCGCCTCATATTTCTCTGACTTTGAGTTATCTTTCATTGAGTCTTCCACTTGCCAAGCATATTTAGTGGAGTTTTTCAGATACTGGATCACAAGTACATGTCTATGATTTTGCACTTGTGTTAATTTCCAATTGAGCCTTCTATCACTTGTAATACACTAGTTAGTAAGTTCTCCCACCACCCCTCAAGGGAACAGCTTATCTCAAAAGCTGGCTTTGTCCCTTCGATGATGATAACAATTACTAGTTGTATAGGTGGGCAAGGCAAGGGAACCAACTGACCGGTGGGTAGGTCACATGGGCAAATTGCTTCATTCTCTGAAAACCTGGACTAAAGATACACCTTTTTTTCATCCAAATTAATCCTCTCAGTTTAAGGAGGCAGTATGTTGTTTCTATACTTCCTGAAATACAAGTATGGTTGGCTCTCTAAAATTATCTTAGCTGTTTGCCTCATGCCAGACTGTTGAATTTTAATAGCAGATTATTCCCTAAACACTGAAATCAAGATAATTCCCACACAAAAACTACTAACTACATTATGTCTTTGATAGATACGATAATAATGTGATAATAATCAATTTCAAAACAAAAAGGTTTTTAGTGCAAAATAGAATCCAACTTGGCTTACTCTCTGAGGCCTTCCATTTCACATTGGGATGATTCCAGCTTATCCCGCATTGCTTTGGAAGCATCCTTTTAAACAGACATGCATGATAAATACAGTTAACCTCTCATAACATACATCAGATAATAAAAACTGTATATAGTTCTATGTAACACCAAAATTAAGGACTTAAATAGAAAACATTATTTTTTCAGCTTGGGTGTATGTATCTTGATATAGCTTTTACAAAACATTTTTCCCCTTAACCATGAAAAATGGAAGAGAAATTGCTCTCAGCATGGCAGCTGCATGGCTTAACAACTTATACCAATAAGTTTCTTGATGGTAGAAACACTCACTCTTGCTTCTTGGTAATCTCTGGCTAAAACATCATAATCCGCCAAGATCTGTTAGAAAAAAGTCCAAGGATTGCACATTGTCAGATGAAATAAGACATTTACAATCCATGCTGGTATGCCTGATGGACAGACAGACAGACAGACAGACAGAGAGTTAGAGAGACAGACAGACAGACAGACCGAAAGCTAAATAGAACATCAGACAGACAGATAGGAAGACAGGCAAAGAGACAGGTACAGAAAAACAGAAAGAGATAAACAAACAGACAAAAAGAACAAAAAATAGACAGAAAAAAGATACAAAGACATACAGACAGACAGTAAAACAAACACACAGATAAATAGACAGCAAAGTAGACAGATAGATGCATAAACAGATATAAACAGTGAGACAGACAAATACGTAAATGTAAAGGTACACACAGGGAGATAGACATAAGAATGAACAAATAAAAAGACAAGCAGAAAGACAGATTGATACACAAAAAGCTAAACAGAAAGATAGACAAACACAGACAAACAGATACCAGACAGACAGATTGATAATGGCCAGACAGACATAATCTGACCTACACACAGATAGGCCGACAAACTGATGGATACAGACAGACAGACAGACAGAGTAATTTTGTGTTATCAACTGAGTTGAAAATGTAAAATGGTCACCAAAAAAAGTTGAAAGGCTGATATTTCAAGTGTTAGCTCTTTGTCCGAGCAATATAATCGCTCTGATGAAGGGCTTTATATATTATGCTCTCCCACCCACCCACCACCAGTTTCTTTAGAAAAAACAGACAGACAGACAGACAGTAGATCTGTTCAGCTGGGAAGACAGATACATTCACAAACATATAGATAGACATAAAGGCAGTCAGAGGGATAGATAAATACAGAAATAGATAGATAGAAAGACAGATGGCTACACAAACAAACAAATAGATGAAGGGGCAAGTAGATGGACAGACAGACAGATGATCATGAAATACCTGAGTCCATCCAGTCCACCTTCAAAAATAAACTACTCACGCTTTGAAGGAGGTCCTTGTCTTTTTTATTGCTTGCTTCAGATTCTTTCTTTTCCTTTGGAGAGAGTGTAAGTTGTTTAATATAATAAAGTTTTAATATTAGTAATAATAATAATATAGAGTGTGGATATCAACTGGGGTGTCTCTATCTGTACTTTACAAAAACAAAACTAAAAGTAACCAATACTTACAAATAATAAATACTGGAACTAATGGAAAATAAATCATTGACTAATATAAGAACCCTGAACTATTGAAAAGACTCTCTTAAATAAAAGGTCTTTAGTAATTTCTTAAACATCTCTGTTTGTTAACCTTCAAATTGAAGGAGGCCACACATTTGTGCAGCACTCTAACTTGTTCTGAAGTCATGAACATGCAGAGAAGGCAATAAGAGAACAGTTAGTAGGGGACAAATATGACCTCTACAGCTTCTTTAGGAGAGAATAACCATCTCTTTCAACCAAAGGGAATAGCTCAAGGGGGGAGCATCATTATCAGCTGTCTATAAACCCTGCTATAAGCACTGAAAAGGATAAGCAATGCGCTTTTACAAAGGTATTATTTGAAAATTTCAACTAGTGAGTTATCAAAATCTTGACATTCTTGGAGAGTAAAAATTCTTAATATAACAGTATCTTTACAAACTCTCATTTATATATCTCCTCTTCATAAGCATTTGGTAAGTCATTTAAATCTAGATTTAAATTTGAAACAGAACCACACTCTTCAACCCAGGCATTTTTGTTATACAACAGACAAATTAAAAAAGTACACTCGTGCCTAGAGTTAACCCAGTAACAGGTTACGAGGGCTTACAATCAATCTCTTTATCACATTTCATATATAAAGAATTTGTTATTTAGTGGGTAATTTGCAAAGCATCACAATCAACTCTCTCTGACTCAGTTGCATCTGTGTAACTTGCAAGTTAAATGGTACCCTTCTGTATTTGCATGCAAATATTGAACAACCATTCACTAAAGAGGAGGTGGCTGGTGGTGGATGTTAACCAAGTTACAAAACCAAGAGGTATCTATTGCTATGGGCATGGGGTGGGTATGCTGAAGCTTCTAATTGATTGGCTCATGATCATGGGCCTATTTGACTCCCTGTCCCATGATTCCCTTGTAAAGCTTAACTTTCTAGGCTAAAATCAGCATCAAAACAAGTTGACATATCAGGGCTGAAGAATCCTATTAATGTATAGAATAACACTCCTGTTTATACCACACTCTTAATCATTGACAAGGCCCCCCCTCCCCTGCCCATTCAAAGTTGCCTGTATTTTGCACTAAAAGTTAATGGAATCATGACACAACATTGTTTAGGGGGAAGGGATAAATAAGTTAACTTAACAAAGCCAAAAGAGATGAAATTTAAGTAATAGGGGGTTGGAAAGGTCAATTTGTCAACAATTTTGTCACCAATTGTAGGTAAGCCCTTGTCTGTCACTTGCTGCCTGCTTCATATACAATGTGTGATGAAGTTGTCGAGGAAAATTACTATTTATATCAATCAAGCCTATCTGAAAGCAAAATGATCACAAATACCTTGATTGTTTTTTCCACAAACAGTGACAGTTCTTTCATTTCATTCTCCAGCCTGGCAATCAACTCATCCTTTGCAGTGCACATAGACTTAAGATCATCATATTTCTGCTTGACTTGCATGTTCAACTTGTGTACTGATTCCAGCTTCACAGTTAAGGCTTCCTGGTAAAGAAAATTTTTAAAAAAGTGGTGTGTCATAAAAATGTTTGTTTTCTCATCGTCAAGTTCAAATTTAAAAACTAACTTGTTTTGATATTGGTAACAAAAATTTATTAGTTATTGCCACATCCTCTCATAAATTGGCTGTGTAAAACCCGATTAAAAGAACACAGTTCAATGGAAATGTTTTTTTAAACTGTTTAAACATTGCTCATTGCAGCTGGAGAGATCTACCACAGCTGATTTCAAATCAATTGAGACAAGGCGAAATTTACAGTTTCATATCTCTCATGGGCTACTGAAACCATATTAACCCTTCCACTCCCATAAGTGACCAAGACAGAATTTCTCCCTACAATGCTAATACAATATTAACCAGATATTTAGTTGATCCAACACTAAATTCTCTGAACTGACATTATGAGAATTGTATGGTTGATAGTAAGGAGAATAATAAATTTGATCTGGGAATTAAAGGGTTAAGTACCATATTCTCTATGGCTGACACATCAAGACTTGATCACCTTGCGTTTATTTAGACCAGCCTTTTCTCACTGCCATAGGAATGTTGTTCAATTCCCATATCCACATCTCCAAATTTTTTACCCACAGCACACCTTAACATAATTATTTAACACATTAATTTAGAGCAAGTGATGACAGAAGTGATACACTGAATCACCTGACTATCAAGGATGGTGAAAATTTCTAGTCTAAGTGATTAAATGCAAATTTAAAGAGCCTGTGTTCTTTGTTCTAGGGTTCAAGTCTAAAATAGGGGCCCTACTCAAGGCCTTAAAATATTTTAATAAAATCACAATAGTCATCTTACCTTTTCTCTTTTTGATGTCACAATTTTCTCTTCAAATTCTTCAAGTTTTCTAGGAGTTAAACAATATAAATTCAATTAAAAATTTTTACTTCTTTTAAATGCTATTAATTCTCCGCAGAAACAAATTAGCCACTAAACACTTTTATCAATGACTTAATGCTTCCTAATAAAAAAAGAGATAAATACCAGTAACTAGTGTCATCCTTTACTAATTTTTATTAAGAAAAAATTTCCACACCTTTTACATTCCTCAAGAGCATTTTGATACTGCTTAATTTGCACCTCCAACTTTTGATTATCAGACACACAAGATTTGTATCTTGACTCCAGGAGTGACTTTGATTCTTCAATTTCCTGGTTTTTATTTGATGTTTTCTGGTTAATTTCTTCAAGGTGATGGCAAGCCAATATTGCCTTTTCATTACACTTAGCAAGTTCTGTAAGCTTGGCCTCAAGATCTTCAATATTCTCATGAAGCTGAGATTTCTCATTTTCACCCGACTTGTTGACCTCTTCTAGATACAAACAGCGCACTTCAAAATTTTGGTTTATTTTCCTCAGTTGTCCACAGCTATTGTCAAGGTCACGGTTTGCTTGTTCCAGTCTTATTGACTTGTTTTTCATTTGCTCACAGGTTTTTTCCAAAACATTGCATCTGGCTTGTAGTTTGTGGATTGCAGCTTCAAGCATTTTGACAGGCAGTGCATGATGAAGATTTTTCAAGTTGTCTCCTACTTCATTAAGTTGTTCACAAATCTTGTCTATTTCTGCTTCAAAATGGCTTGTGATATCTTTCTGCTGCCGAGGGTGCTTTTCACCATTATTCCCCTGGTGACCACTGTGAAAAAAAATATATTATTGTAATAATCACTTTAAGTGCAACTCTCTTCTGATAGCTCACACCTTTGTTAACTCAAACTTTACTCTAACTTCAATCACAATCTCCCCCTAAATTTCTTCCATACCTTTAATTTTTTTTTCACCTTTTCATTAATAACTTAAACCCTATGGTTAACTTTTTTATCTGTCTAGTCACTTCCACATCTTTCATTGTCCTGATGTTACTCTCTATAACTAGTTTTACCTTAAAATAGTTTTGTCCATAAGTGTAACTATAGCTAAGATCTGATTTTCGAAGATTCTTAAATATTATAATAGAATTCTTTGTTTTTACATGTAGGATGTCTGTATAGTTTGTGTGCATGTTGGCCATACTGTACCTCTACTATAAACATGTAATTTATTTAACTTTATCCAGCTCCCTCTAATTTTTAGTTGCTAAGTTATTCCATGGTCTTGTTACCCTCTAAGCATAATAATAATAGTCAACTATCATTTTCTATTTAACAAATTGCTAAAACTTGTGTACAATAAGGTTGTTTTTGTTTTTGTTAATGTTGTAATATCACCTTATCCTCTAGAGCTCAAACCACTATTGATTAGGGATCTACCGAATGTTCAACCTTCTTTGCTTGAATTTATATCAACACAAGTTACTCTGGGAAGCTTGTTTACTTACTTAAGTTAGAACATAACCTAATGACCAATAGGACAAACTAAAAGCTAAATCTTCAGGTGGATCAAAACTGACCAATCACATACATGTGGCAATTCACAGCTCTATTACAGAGAGAACCATACAGCCCTCACCAGCATCTTTTCAGAGCATTGCCAGGGAAAACCTTATTGGCTGTAATTTGATACTGTTTGGCTATAATTTTCAACCACATTTTGACTGTTCCTGTGGAATGCAATTGTATGCCAGTTCAAAAGATGCTCTCAGTTTGATGCTGTTGAAGAAACTATGCATAGTTCCTTTCTTTCTTTCTAACTGTTTGTTTAGAAATGTCGTGCAATTCCAAAGATCATTTTTGTTTTTTAGAAGCTAATTTTCCAAGCTTGTGCAAACCATAAAATTGCTAGATCAAAAATGTTTTCTAAGTATTGAAAGCCTGGCAAAAACTGTGCAAAAGCTCAGAACATTTGTCCATTTAAAAACCCAGAATAATTCTTGGAATTGCTAGACATTTCTAAAACTCTAGATCTTAAACTCCAAAGAAGTTTCAGAGAACCTTTCATAAAATTTTTGTGAACATTTCTGACCATTGGGCATTTAGTCCACTTAAGACCATTTCTTGCTGCTGGGCATTTTGGCACTGCATACTTTCTACTTGCCAAGATAAAGATGATGTAGTTCCTTGAGAAAATTTTTCCTTTCCAGGTTAAAGGCTTGTTAAAAACAGAGTTATTATATGAACAGAAACACTAGAATAAGGCAAATTCTCACTTACCTCATTAGTAAGGGCGATGATTTCCATCCGAAACCTCCATTGTAAGACTGCATGGATGAGAAAGCTTTGCTGCCAACTGTTGAAGTATCATTGGGGGTTTCAGGACTTGATGAGACCTTAACACCACTCGGATTTTTCATAGTGTTTATAATCTCATCTAGAGTGTTTTCTGTTCGATCCGCATGCAGTCTCTGTTGAAAATTTTGGATTGTTTGCCGATGTGTGCCATCAGATGATTGGCTGACAGTCTTCTTGTGAACTGCGACCTCTTCACTATGATCGAAATGAACTGCTGGCAGAACTGTTTCCTCATGAAGAGGTTCGCTTCCAGTCATCCCTGTAACATACCTGCCATCATCAGAAGACGACTGCAAAGATACTACAGATCCGCTACCATCAGAGTCTTGCGGCCGTACTGGCTGTTCTTTGTTCATCTCAACATCCTTGTGCTCCGAGCGATTCATGCAACTGAAGCCAAACAGTCTGGAATAAATATAATCAGGGCGAGTACAAACCAGTTATACAACTAGCAGCCGCAACACTTCAGAGTTCTGCAGAGCTAAAGGACGTAAGCAATTGTGACGTAGGGTTTTGCGCAACATAAGGCAGCGTGGTTAATTAATCGTTAAAACGTTTCATTAATTGCTACACGAGATACATAATTAAGTAAGGTCCGTTTGCGCGAAAAAAAATCACCGCGTCTAATCGAGCTGGACGCCTCAAAACCTGACATTGCGCACGCAGCTCTGCAGCTCTTGATGTCTTTCTTAGTTTCACTTCGAACCAAAATCCATAAGGCCATCCTAGGCTTCTGTTTGCGATTTCACGTTCTCTTGAGTATCCAATCCGAAAAAGAATGAATTTCACACCGAAAATTGGTTAATTACCCAAAGAGGGACTTAAAGAGACAGTGGAGTAGCTCGCGCATGCTAGCTAAGTAAACAATTAACAGCTGACCAATTTGAATCTCCCGCGAATCTGCGTTCCTTACCCAAACTTGGTTTACAAGGAAATTGACTGGTTGATTGGCTTAGGTTAAAGGAATTTTCGTTTCCATTCCTGCTATGACACTACTTGAAATCGAAAGTAATTAAAGTAAGAAATGTTTTGTGTAGCCACACGAACATGGAATGGTCTAACCAGAATCGCTCGACAGATATCAGTTGAAGGTGAACATTTTGTGACGGCTTCCAGGATTGGGTTGCAAGGCGCTGTAAATTTGGTTTGTTTGTATCACAGAATACATCTCAGCGAAGATGACTTGGAAGAAAAGTTCATCAAGGGTTGGGGACCAGGAGGTCAGAAAGTCAACAAAAGTAGTAACTGTGTTCAACTTCTCCACAAGCCCACTGGTATCACGATAAAGGTAAGACTAATTTTTTACTGGTGGTTGTGACAAGTTATCCTATGAGCCTTAGTGGGGAATATTGGACGACACTTGCTCATCTGATTTACTCATTCATTAAAGCAGAATAGGACATTTCCCCCCTCTTTCCCTTGCTAATTTTGAATCATGCCCCAAAGTATTGTGTAAAAAAAAACCTGTGTTTGCTGGTATTGATCCAGTTTTTGAAGTTTGCATTCATACACATGGAATTTGGACCTCTATCTGTAGTGTTAGCTCTTTCCTCATTTATACAATAGACTTGTTGTTGGATGGGCAAAAACTACAAATTGCACTATAAAACAAGTTTTACTTTAATACTGGGAAAATATGGCATGACAGCCCTTATTATTGGTGACAATTATCATCCAAATAAAAGTGATGCTTCTAAAATTGTTATTCACAATCTATAGATGCTGATGATAACAGTTGGACAGCAAAATTCAAGTGTAGCTCAAAAAGAATGAAATGCAAATTCATGTAAATGATAAATGAACAAAAATTGTTTATTTAAATTTAACACCCTTTAAGACTATGCTCTCTGAAATAAGTACCACGATATTATCACCCTGAATTAAAAACATACTGCAAGGTGTTGTCGAAGGAGATACCCTTTTGCTAAAAACAAGGTTATATTCTGAAGTATCAACATTGAAAATATCAGCAATTAAAAAAATAAAATATACAAATGAAATGATAGTTAATAGCAGTATCAGTACATATATCATCTGATCTGATCATTATCTGCAGGCTAAACCAACATTGCAACTAAAGAAAAAACTGAACACTGTTGTAAGATTAAAATGATGAAATGGCTTCATGATCATTTTCAAAGGAAGTGAAACATGGTTGGAGGCTTAAACCAAACTATAAAATACATATTTGTGCAGTTAAACACCAAGTTGGTCTCAAGTAATATCTGTTATCCCTTTCCTCCCAAACATCAATATGCATATTCTTCATACAACTCCCTAGACATTTCGTAGCATTCTGACAAGGAGAATTTGTTCAACAATCAAGAGCTTCTTTAGTTGGTGATCATCTCCTTTATTCTTATGACCTTAATGTTTGATTCAGGAGTGATATTGTAAGGAAAAATTAGATGTTAGTCACTCTTAGGGGTTAAAGGGTTATTATCCAACTGCACAAAGTATTGAGTACAAATAATGCATGAATAGAGTACAAGTATCCTGCAATACTGTAGGATTATTTGGTTATTTGGTTATGTTGTACTTAAAAAAACTTGTCTATTTAGTTAACTGTGCATGCTATGCTTCTCTATCCACTTTGCTTTTCCCACCTTATGAGAAATGAACAGAAAGACTTCGCAGAAGCAGTTGGATAATAAATAACTTATCAGACATTCTGGTGTATAGTATTGCTGAGTATTTTTACAAGTTGCACCACATTTTGATGAGTCAAAATAGGCCACAACTCATTAAAATACTCAGCAGTACTGCTCACCAAAACTTGTAATAAGATATATTTATGTGTGGCTTTTAACAGTACTAACAAGGAGAATGACTACTACTGGGTTGTTAGCTGATTTAAAAAATGAGAAAAATAGCTGTACTTGTGATAAGAGTGCCATTTGTAAAAGTTTTCCAACGTGCAGAGTCTGATTTGTTTCTCATGGTCTTGCAAGGGTCTTAGTTTCCATAGATGTAACTGCAATGGAGTTGGATTCTCGTGGAATCATTTATGTTTTCATTGGTGATTGCATAGCATGGTGTAACAAACATTTTATGTAGATTCAGGACTATGTCATTTTTTTTGTTAATCTACTAATCTTTGGAAAAAAAAAGAAACCTTAAATTAGCACTGAAAGGTGATGATGATTGTTCATTTTTATTTCAGTGCCACGAGAGTCGCTTACTTGCAAGAAACAGAGTGATTGCTAGAGAAATTCTGAGAGAAAAACTTGACTTGCTTTATAATGAGAAGGACAGTGTTGTTGCAAAAAATATTGCAAAGATAAGGAAAAGGAAAGCACAATATGCAAGGAAGAGAAGACAACAAGGAGAAGCCTATGCCAAAGGTTCACAAAACATAGATCCTGGACCATCAGATTTGGACAAAGGATGAAAAGTAGTATATTCATCCAGAAACCAAGGGCAAGGGCTTCACTGAGAATTTACAGAATAAAACTACCAATAATAACCCTTTTTAATCTTGGTGGAAAAGCTTAAGTTTCACTTTAAGGAATTGACTCTCTTCTACTGTACTTGTATAGCAGGTCCTGCTATAGTGTAAGAAAAAATTGACATCAGAACAACTTCATACTAAGGTGAACCTTGTAGGCCTGTAGGAAGGAAGTTGCCAAAGGTGCACATGCACCCCCTTAAGGGCTGCAAGAGTCTGTCTACAAGATACTAGTGATTCAAAAGAAAGTGAGCTATTTTAAAAAAGCTGAATGCAAAGTAACTATAGTATTCACATTCTGACTTGCTTACTGTGTATTTTGAAATGAAAACTAATTAAATGAACCATTTTAATTTTAATTTTAAGACACATGAAATTCAGTCCTAGACAGCCCAAAATTTTCAAGATTATGCAGTGTTTGCCTGAGACAAGTTCTAGTAAATTGCAAAACGATTGCAACCTGACTTCTCAGTCTGTTACAGGATCAAGTGACCTGTCAGGGTACCCTTTTTGTTGTGCTGGTTCTTTAAAAGCACATATTTGAAAAGTTAGTCAAAAATATTGTTGGAGATAAGGAGGGTGGGTTTTCCATGTTGTAGTTTGTGGTTCAGTATAACCAATCAACAGATCTGTCTTTATTGCATAACATACAATATAAAATGCAGTCAACTTAGCATTATTTTGCAGTACTGCAATTTTCCAAAAACAAGGAAAATCTGGAAAACATGGAAAGCCTGTCGGCCTCTGTTAAAGGAACATGTTCATACCTGGGACACAAGCCTAGTTCTTGCAATTGAAAAATTCTCTGTATCTGTTATCACAATAAAAGACACTCTTCTATAGGCAAATGGTATGTTTTATTTTGACAATTCTGGTTGGCATGGCAAAGAGTGAAAAATGTGCTGTTGAAAATGTGCAGCAACACTACAATTAAACTTGCTGCAACTTATTGCATTTGTACAGCAATAACAATGTGTAATCAAAGGTTCTACTGTACACTACATGATCTTCACATCATTTTTCCTCATACATCCAAAAAAACCTCCTATGAGTGTGACCAAGACAGAATTTCTCCTTACAGTATCAATACAATGTTATCAATACAATATCAAGTAGACAAGTGATGAGAATAATGGTTATATCTATTGGGGATAACTAGTTGGTGAGATACAAAATCAACAAAACCGTCATTGTAGGAATGGTATGCCAGACAGCAAGGAGAATTACCATTGAGATCTTGGGAGTAACAGGGTTAAGGTGTGTCAACTCAAAAGAACAAAGCTAGGGGAGGTTGTTTTATAATCATTCTATGGTTACTTCATGGTATTTCTCTTGCGAGAGTTAGGAAATGAACAATTTCATAATCAGAAATGAGTCATCAAATTACATCTGTTACTTGATCTACATTAGCTAAACATTTGAAAGGAATACTTTCACGTGTATTGTTGCCATGAAAATCAGAAAAACTTCCTCTGGTACATCATATAGTTTAAAATTTGCAGCAAACCATTCAACACACCATTGAATTCTGGCAATTAATACATGTACATCTCTAGCAATAAATAAAGGTGTCCTTCATATTGGATTGATTACTTTTATTTGCAAATCAATTGTAATTATAAATACTATATCAATATTAGTTACATGTACTGAGTATACAATAGGTTTGAACCTCACAGCTCTAATTATACATAGTCCTTCTACTGATATTCAATAGCACTTCACTGTTTTTTTATTTCTTGTTGTTGTTGTTTTTTTTTCTTTTAAGTAATGTATGTTAAAGGAGAGGTTTGCTGCAGATATCATAATTTCCATCTCTGCCATTCAATACTCGTTGCTTTTTAGGACCTCTTTCAGATCACTGACCTTTAAAAAAAAGTTTTCTCATGTGCTAACAATTAAGCTTCCAATGCCACCATTTTAAAAACAGCTCAGTAACCTGGCTGCATATGAATGATGTCTTAAAATTCAATTCAGATGGCAGGATCCAAAACTTGTGCTTCTCAAACAGTTCTTGCTTCATTATCCACCTCTATGTCCTCATTCAGCCTGAGCTCATGTTCAAATTGATTCCATGTTGCAAAGTAAAGGTTTATTACTTTATATGTTAGCAGCCAGTTTGCAGAACAAAGTTCAAAGTGGTGACATCCCTGGACAAACTTTTAACACCCTTCACAACAATTTTATAAAGGTTTAAGCTTATTATTAAAAAATATGAATAAAAACAGCAGCAAGAGAAAAATTTCTTTACAATTTTTCATTGCAGAGAGGAAAGTTATATGCTTTCTGGAGCATACTTCTCTATCAAAATATCATCTACATGATTGTATAGTTTTCTTTAGCTCCCAGGGTGAAAAAGTTTGGACTTCAGAGATTGAAAAATGCATTTTTGAATCAGAGAATTTTGCTAATTGCTTGATGCATCATACTTCTTCTCCAGTTACAGCTTTCCATGGCCACATCTTCCAGCTTTCTTGAAATGTTACTTCATAACAGACATTTATTCTTGACAAGAGCTGACCTGGTCATTGGTGTTACTGTCTTGCACATCTGTCAGTTTCCACGAGGCATTCCCTAACCAACACCCTAGCATGCATAATACCTAGGGAAATCACGAGAACAGATAACTTGAAGAAGTCTAAAACTTGCATTGGGAGAGGGGGGGTCAAGGGTTTGAAATTCATAGTCAAATAAACATCAGTGAACAAGTTGAAATAGCATGGTTACCTACTCAAAATTTAGAACTGTAGGAATCTATCATTTCAGTTATACCCACTGATAACTTTCTGTTGTTTGAATGCCTACAGTTTCAGTAAACGTACAGTAATAGCTTCCTTAATTAATAATGGTAATGCAACCAAGTGGAATCCAATTTGGTCTGTAATCATACAGGTGAAAAACAAAATCAGACGACTGTGAAGCAGGAGTCTGATTTGTTAATCATGAGTTTGATTGCAGATAGAATTAGATGACGCAAAGCTACAAAGTCTTGTTACCAATTAATCAAAATTATGACAAAATTTGGAAGGAAACTAGACATCCGTTCTACATTTTCATTCAAATAAATAAACAACAGTTAACTCAGTGAAACGAAAGACAACAGTGCATGTGCATGATGTGTTCTGATTGTGCTAATCTTCCCTTTAACTATTTTATTACCATTATCAATTATGAGCATGATGCGTGCAATGTCCTATTAGTGCTCAAATTGAGCTGGTGGTAACCAATCATGTTCAAGAATTTTGTTTTAGTTTTGATTAATAGTGGTTTATAGGTCCAAGCGGAGTTCAATTTAGTCTGTAATCATACAAGGGATTAACAAAATTGGATGACCACCAAGTGGGAGTCCGATTTGTTTATCATGAATATGATTACAGACAGAATTGGACAAGAAGAAGTCCTGTTACCAATTAATCATAATCATTTCAATTTCCGAAAAAACAAATACATCTAGAACAAATATCCCCAGTGGAGACAATGTCTTAATTTGAAAATTCCTCCTCTTTGTAAATTCCCCAGTTTTTCTATGGATAAGTGGTTGTTGCTATGATTGTTGTAATCAATTCTGTGATTGCTGGATTTAACTGAGTGGACTTAGTATGGTTGGCTGCTTCCACTGTCTGATTACACAGTCTCGTAACAGCTGTGCAGAACAATTAGTGGAAAATGAAGTTGCGAATGCACCAAAAACATTTGAGGAATTTCTAAGGTTTTGATTACGGAGATAAACGAGAAATCTTTCATATTTTGCAAAGGGTAATTGCCAACAAGGAAAAAATTTTCTTAAGTAGCTTTTGTCTTACCCTTCTTTAAACGTTCAGCGGCGTTTTTACTGCCAGCATAGGTAGGACGAATATCTTTTCCTAATTCTTCGATCACTGCTAAAAGCTCTGCGTATTTTCCAGGAGAATTTTGGCTGGAATTAGTGGTGCTCTGCGGATTGGCAGTCGAAGAACTCGCTCCTTATTGACAAAAGAAAGAAAAGGTGAAAAGAAATTGAGAGATAGAGGAATGTTCCAAGACATTTTTCTATGATAAAATTTTACCTTGTGCAGGTTGTGGCATTTTACTCTCCATTCTAACCAGGAAGAGTTTCAACTGAGTACAATACCAAGCTTTCGGATTAAATATGGCGTCGTTTCACCCGCTTTCGGGAAATTTAAAACTTCAGGGAATGCCGGGACTAACCGTGTGAGCTGAACAAGAGACTGGGACTAGTAACATGGAGTCTTAAAATTTTGTTCACTTGTAGCTTACACCATCCTCCCATCCTCGGAGACCCAGGGGCTGTGAGTCGATTTCAGCTCTCCCTCCCTGACTTGAAATCAACTCACAGCTCCTGGGTCTCCGAGAATGAGCTTACACTTGTAAAATACCAGCAGTGAGAGAAGATTGCCGTCCTGAGTTTAGGTGATTCCTAAGTATAGCACGGCGCATCCTCTGATGCGCATCAAAATCAAGTAATCAGGCGAATAAGCACGTGCGCCTTCCGAGAACACGGTATTGTTTTCGATCATCAATGGACCAGGCAGAGAGGAACGATTGTCTTTAGCTCTTGAACAAGCACGGTGACCTACACTTCTTTTTTTGGCGTAATTTTAGCGAACAATTTATTCCTTTTAAATTGAGGAAATTATTCGAAGGGAAAAAAAGATAAAGCTAAAAGCGTGCACGAAGCCCGTTACTCGAGAATACAAATTATCACCTTGAAAGAAACGACCAGAGGAACGTTTGAGTTCAACCACGTTTTGAGTTGATATCATTAGTATTTGCATCTTCCCAAAAAATTATATTTCAAGTTGTTCCACACGCTCGAGACCTTCTATCTATCAAGTTTTTTTCAAGTGTTTCTTTAAAAACCCTTGTTTCCAGCTGCAGCAAAATGTACCATGAACCGATGAAATGACGCGCGTGATTAATGCCAGTATAAGCATAAATGGGTTAAGTTTGGCCCATTACATCTCCTAACCAGGCACTGTAACGTATCTTTTTTATTTTATTTTTCGACACAGACATTGATAAGGAACATTTAAGGAAAGTTTAAAAAAATTGTTCGACAACTCTTTTTTTCTGAAGAATCACCTTAAGCTAGTAATAGTTCTCTCTAAAACCAATTTGACGTTCTAAGGACAATATATGCAAACTTTAATTACAGCACTGTTAAACCGCCTTACAACCTTACAGAAAGGAAACGTTAACGTTACACACTGAACCATAGTGAAACTTTTCTAAAATGCTAAACTAATGAGCAGCGCTGCACAGCTGCACGAGTTGAAATATTGAAGTTTTTGTTATTCTCCTACGCGTTTCGTCGGAAAATAGTAGACTTCGTTGGGGAGTTTTTACAAGTAGGGAAAATAAGCTTGTCTATAATTCATCAAATATTCTTCCTCGTGTGCGGTTGTTCTAAACCAATCACGTGATCGAATATGCCTCATCTAAAACTGGGGAATATCCGAGGACATAATGTTGGAAAGTTAGTAAATTAAGACTGAACCTGTATTAAGTGGCACCCTGTTAAGAGGTCACCCTTTAATGAGCGGTCTGTTTTCAAAGTCCCGATATTTTTTGGTCGTGGTCACCCTTTACTACACTTTTTAAATTAAGTGTTTTTTTTTTTTAATAATACTCTGCCATTCCCATGCTTGATACAGGTTTGACTGGCCATCAACACTCCGCCGATAGCTTCGCCATCTCAAGCCCTCAGAGATCAAACAGGCAATTTTATTTAGCGGTTGAGCGTTTATGTCACTAGAACACGTTACCTTGTAGCCGAGGCAAGGAGCGGGAAATGTTGCGAAGATATTCTCACAAGTATAAGCAAAGCTGCTGGAATATATCTCCCATTCAAGGAACAAGGATGCATGCATCAATGTATGCATCGAATTGGGACCAATTCAAACGAAGAAATCTGCCAGATTTTAATCCCGTTGTGCTTATCAGGAATCAGCCCGACACTCTCTCAATCTTGAATTGCATTCTGACGTCCCTGGTACACAACTAATTCTATCAACAGGTATCTGACCGACAACCCACAATCATTGTCAATTGTGCCAACTGCGTATTTTACCATTTTCGGACTTCGAGGAGTTCGTGGAAGCATATTGTCTGCCCTTCTTGACAGGTGGGAAGGAAATGTGCGCTGTAGAGAGGCGTATACTCGAGCTCTCCCCAACATTCCAACGGCAGCTACTGCTGATCAGAACAGGAGGCTCTGAGCTATTAAGAAAAGTAGAGGCCTTTACGCACGATGGAGGATTTTCCTTGTCTTTGTGTTAACATCGGATTGTCGGTTAATCTTTGAAACCGTTAAGAGTGGCTGCTATGTCTGACCACCACGAATAGGCTCCTGCCGATACTTACTAAGCAATGGAGCATTTTCTGAGCTACATCTCGAAGAAAAGCCAGATATGTCCAAATATGTCCAGATATGGAAGTGGAGAGCAACAGATTACAAGTCAAATATAAGAGGCAAAAATTCATGAAATATTCTCTCATTTCATATCCAGAACATTGAAGACGCGGTTGTTTTCGACCCTTGACCCCCGCACAACATTTCAACAAGGCAACGAACAATTCGAATCTGGCACATTGTTGACACGATGCCTAATCTGAGAAATGATGTAAAGCCAGTAGTTCCAACTGAAGTATCTCACTGACATGTACCCCATAGACATGTATGTACTATAAAGTTCCTTCGTTAATTTCTTTTGACAAAAAGTTGGATTACGTGCGCCCCTGATGTTTGTCACTGATCAACTACTGCGTGTACTCGAGAGTATTGCAAATATGGTTGCGGAAAAAGTTCTCGAAAAGGGCTCAATTTGCGCTACTCAGAGATTCTTTCCTGGTTCAGTTTTGAGCGATACTCTTTAAAAAATTATTTCATTTTAAGTTAACTAAACAAAGATGTGGTGTACGTTAATTGGATGAAAAGGACAAAATGCGGTTGGTTACATGGACATTTCAATTCATTTATTTGACGTCAGCAAGGAGAAGGAAATCAGTTGCCCAGAAATGTTATTAGTGTTTTCGGAAGTCAAGTGATGGCTTTCAATGGTCATTTAAGAATTATGATCAGAAGTAGTAGCTTAATTGAGATACTGGGCCTTTAAATACTCTTATTTTTGTACTTTTTCAAAAGCAGGGAAAGTTGAAAATAGTTCGTTGCCCTTGTTCTTGTTCTTAAATTTTCAAAAAATTTAGGAAATGGGGAATTTCCGGAGGGAACCCCATATCTCCGAGGGAATTAAATAAAAGCGGGATGTAAGTGATTGACACAGATTACCGAAAGCCAACTCGAATGATTGATGAAACATATACCGCGACATAGTTTGCTTCAGGTCATTCCATACGAAACTTCAGTAGTGTTAAAAGCTTTCTTCTCATTTTTGAGCTGGACGAGGAGCAGGGGTAAAGGTTCAGGCTGTCAACTGTTATGAGAGGAAAACTTTTATCCGGTAAATGAAGATGAAAGATTTGCTCCTATTGATAACAGAGTAAACATGGGTGCGCTTTTGTGTGTACCTATGAATGGATTTTCACTGATCATTCAAGGTTTGGTGGCTCCCAAAGGTTGGTTTTGTAAATTTGGAAGGTTAATGTCTCTTCTTCTCGACCTTCTTTAATAGCAGCACGTTTCGTATGTTAAGAAGAACACTACCCTGAGCTATCGTTACACCAGCTAGAAGTTTTTTCAGTCCTTCGTCGTTTCGGACGGCCAAATGTAGGTGTCTAGGGATGATTCTGGTCGTCTTATTGCCACGAGCGGCGTTTCCGGCTAACTGTCGAATATCTGCAGTTACGTACATCATTCTTGCTATATAAGTGATAATGGTATTCACAAGTCGGCATTTCGCCTGACTTTCTTACCCATATGTTTCCCGTGAGGTCAAGCCAAACATCACAGGATTTCAGCATTTGTCAAGAGCCGACATATCGTCTGTAACTGGTACATTCTCCACTTTCGAAAGATTGATTGCAAAGAAAAAGGCAACAACAGTAACAAAGAAAGCAAATCATATCTGGGCGTGGCAAAGGAGGTTAGGAAAAGGAGGCACCAAGCCTCATCAAAATATTCCACAAGACAACATCCAGGGAATCAGCAATCCGACGTCGGCATTTCTGGTCTTATTTACGAAGAGAACCGCGGAGTGCCTAAAGTTTTCTTGATAAACGTTATCTGTGATGCTGTGACCTACATCGTTTTTGTCGTTGTCATTGTCAGTGTCACTATATTGGTTTCTTTAATATTCAGTGTAAAAGTCAGTGTCACTGAGATAGTCACTGTCCTTATTCAACAGCACTCCCACTCCCACTCCCACTGTCACTGTGTTTTATTGTCACTTCTCTCTCACTGTCACTACGGCTGTCACTTAGACTGTTACCCTCTCTGTCTCTGTTCTGTCTCTGTGACTGACATAATCACTGTCAATGTCAGTTTGGGTGTCACTTTCATTATCTCTGTCGCAATCAATTTTATTGACACTATCACTTTCTGTCGCTAATTGTCGGTGTTGTCTTTTTCCCAGTCTCCGTCAGTTTATACGTTGTCGTTAATGTTTGTCACTGTCACTCTGACTGTCTATGTAACTCTAGCAACGTGAGATTTGTTCACTCCACCACTAGCAATAGTGCTCTTGCAGGCTGCCTTAGTGGCTCAATGGTGCTTTTCTATCAGTTGACTTCGGAGAAGTTTTCTTAGCACCAGCCACAGCTAACAAGAATTGACGTTTCGGTCATAAAACTTCGAAAATTTTCGTCTTCTCCATATAATGTTTTAAGAAATTGATTTGACAAAAATCAATCAACGATCTGAATGGTTATCCAAGGTTTGTTTTTTACTGGCTGCAGTGAATTTCTTTGTTCTTGTATCCTCTTGACAAGTTGGCCTAATTTCCCCAAAACTCAAAATTGCCCTCAGATTTCAGTTGTTCACTTTCAATGTGTGCTTTTGGCAATGCAAAAATTTTTCGAAGTGAAAGTGGGTGTACATCACTCTCATACATTATATATACCAAAATTTAGGGCAATCTGATGTCTAGTTTGCTAATATGTACTGGAGAGTATGAGGCTTTGGACCCAGAGGAAATTACCCTTGCGAACTGAATTCCCAGTTTTCTGGGAATTCCTAGGAATTCCTAGGAATTCCTAGGAATTCTCAAAAATTCCCAGTTATGCAAATGACCCTTGCAAACTGAATTCCCAGTTTTCTGGGAATTTCTGGGAATTCCTAGGAATTCTCAAAAATTCCCAACTATGCAAATTAGCTCTGATTTAAAAAGCTTGGAATTACTGGGAATTTCTGGGAAAGGAAGACTCCAGTTTTGTGAGGACTTGGAATCCCTAGGAATTCCTAAGAATTCTCAGCTTTACAAACTACCTATAATTTAAGAAGTGTGGAACTCTTGGGAATTTCTGGGAATTGAATTTGAGGCAATTTTAATACCCTGAGGTCCACATAAATTCTAAGAAATTCTCAATACCTTGAATGTGAAGGTTTTAAGAAAAAAGAGTAATTTCAGAGGCTTAAAACTTTGGCTCAATAAAAGGTATGCTATACAAAACTTACCAAGAGATATACATACATGTACATGTTTATAACTTAAAGATCATGAAATTTATTACTCAAACTAAGTTTTAGTAAATCTTTACATTAATATGGATTTTCTCATGAACCAGCTGTCAGTTATGTTAAATGGAAATTGCCAACTTCCACAATAATTAACAATAATTACATTGTTATCTTACTTCCCTAACCTACATTACTGGTTGCCTTTGTTAGAAAACCTTGGAACAGTCAAGCTCAGTTGCCTCAAACGCTGTCAGAGACTTTTTGTTGACAATACTTTTAGTAGAAATTTCATGCCTTAGACAAACAAATTCAACACCTAATTAATCTTTCTTTTTTTCATGATTGTTGTTGCTGCTTTTTTTTTTTCAGTTTTTGCTCTATTTTCATGACTAATTGCTGTAATTTGTTTTGCTGTTTTTATTCTTACAAAACATTTTTGTAAGAGTTCCAATACTTGTGGATCATCCACACACTTTGCAAACGTTTGGCATGCAAACAAGACAGAGGTAGTCAATGTTCCCTTTGAGGAAAAACACCTTTTATATGATGTCTTCAATTTACTTTATTTGAAACTCTGATCTGAAAATATTTGTCAACAAGACTTGTTAGTAGTGAGAAGTACCAACCAAGCTTCCTTTCATAACTTAATTTCTTAAATGTCCCAATCACTGGATCTCCCAAAAAACATTACATCTTTTTATTTTTGGTGCAAATTACAAGTCCTTCTTTATATAAAAAATGAAAAGTGCTAGTCACACTTCAATAATAACAGCTCTTAAGTTTACTTGTTGTTCTTCTCTGTCGGTCAGCTATCAACAAAATTGTTTTATACTTCGGGCAGTGCATAACTATTTGTGGACCAGAGTTCCAACGCACCTCTGTAATCGCATATAGCTACTTCTGTCTCTTGTACAAATGTTTCTCCTTTGTAAGACGCACTCTACTCTGTTGTCAATACTGCTTTAAGTTCAGTGGAAACGACTGACTGAGGAATCGAGATGGCGGTGTTGGAACGTGTTGCTGAACGCTTGCTACGGTCAAGCTTTGTAGATTTAGGTACTGGTACACTGGGATCATCTATGTATCTCTTATACTTCCGAATGTGGTATCCTTCTTTTATAAATATGAGGGTAAAAGACGATTTGTAGTCGCATTCAAAACTGTGATTGGCTTGTGTTATTTCTCACCTTTGCCATTAACACAACTCAAGTGAGTTTCGAGTCTTTGTTTCCTCGACAACTTTCGGTCACAAATCGTGCATTTGTAATACGATCGATTCTTGTCGATTATTTCTACATAGAGTGAGCTCACATCTTTATTTATATCACCAAGCTATCCATCTTCTAGAAGCAGAGAACCGGTCGGAGAAATCAAAATAAAGTCGGGCACTTCTCCTAACACTGCAATCGGCAAGCCAGCGGATTCACTCTGCTAGCCAATGACAAGTCCTAAAAGATCCACGTGATCATGCCCGTGATCGGAAACAAAGAAGACTCCATTTGGTGCTCATCTTTGAATGTACTTTTCATCGGTTGATCGCTTTTCTCAACTGTTTTGCATTTCTAAGGATAGGTTTTATTGTGGTTCAATGGGAAAACGAGAACAGCGTGAGTGTTGTAAAAGAAAAGAAAGTCGTTGGTGCCGTGGAGTTAAAAGAAGGGACAACAGTTGACATATTGACTGGTACAAACAAGGGTCGAATGGCCATTTGTAAAGCTACGATTTTGAAAGTTTGTGGTGAGTAAAAATTGCGATATTCGTTACGTGATCAAAATCTTATAAAAGAATAGATGTAGCGGGTTGAATTAAGCTTACATAACGCTCGGCGCAACTGAAACTAGAATAATTCTGAGAATCGAATCGGTCACTTGCATGCCGCAGTTTCTTAAGCTTATTATGCTTTACAATGAAATAAACCTATCAGTAAGGTTTCAAGATTCCTCTAGTCACGTTTGGGAACATTCAAGATTCAAAATAGGAACTGTTATTAAACAAACCTTAGTACATAAAGAAGCCCTCCTTGGTAAAAACAAAATAATGTATTCAGCCCTTTTTTAGTAAAATCCATGAGAGAGATGTACTAACTCCAATATGAAAGTCACTCAATATAACAGAGATTTCTCAATTTGAGAATCCAATGAATGCCCTTTTCCTCATAGCCATCTTAAAAGCCTGGTCTGAGCTTTAAATATACATATTTTAATATATTATTTTTTTTCAAATTCAGATGTCAAGGAATCCAGATACAAAATGGTCAAGGTTCTTGTTGACAACCTCATTCAAGGCCAACTCATTGTGAGCCCAGGAAAAAAAATACAAACAGTACAAACAGCAGCTAAGTTTGCAGTTTAGGATAACTTCATTCTAATTTATTGTTACGGTTACAACAAGATTTTAATCAAAAAATCAATTTTATTTGTCTGTAATTAGCCCCTTCACTCCCAAGAGTGCTTGGTTTTCAAATATAACTTAAGATATTGTATTTTATGGAAAAGAATCAACAGATTTTATTCACAATAATATTTGTGTCAAACCAAATTTAATGATTGATTAGAACTATTTTATATGAATAGCTGTAATTGAGGATTAATCTGTATGAAGTTTTCAAGAAAAGAAAAATAAATCAAATTCCATCCTAATATTACAACACATTGATTTTAATAATTAATCAAAAATATTTTACATGTAAGCCTTAAATTAAGCTTCTAAATAAATTTCATTGAATACTTGAACTTTAGCTGGGTTTTTTTAATTCAAAGTATTTATTTTATATCATTAGCCTCAAATTTTTGCTTAAAATTCCCAGTAATTCTATAAACATTCCTAAAAATTCCCTAAAATTCCCAGAAATTCCCAAAAATTCCCAGAAATTCCCAGAAATTCCTAGGAATTTTTTAGATTTACAGCTTTTCAGGGAAAGTCATTGGTTCTCTGAGTTGGAATTCCTAGGAATTCCTAGGAATTCCAAGTCCTGTTGGCTATAAACTTGGAATTTCTGGGAATTTCTGGGAATTTCTGGGAATTTCTAGGAATTTCTAGGTTTTTAGAACCAGAGTTGTTATGGTTGGGAATTCCTAGGAATTCCTAGGAATTCCCAGTCCGAATTTACCGTGAAAATTCACACCTTTATTCCTAGGAATTCCAAAAGCCATTTCGCAAGGGTAAGGAACCACCATTCTCTATCGTTATTTACATACTAGCTACTCTATCCTAAGTTTCTTGGCTGGGAAGATCTAGTTTTGGCAATATGTTTACATTTGATGAACTACACAAAAATATGCATTGACCTTTAATTGTGATGCCAAACATTATCAGAGGTTCTTTTGACAATAATTTCATCACAACTGGTGCATAACTACTAGATAAAACTTCATAGTCAGCCAGCACCTAATAATGGTCACTATCCTTTCATTTAAAGGTCGTGAGTCTATTTTCCTCTTTTCTTTGTTTTGGGACTTTTTGGTGGACCGGAAACATCTGCAGAGATGCCCATCTTCACTGCAATTTCTTCATCTTGTGCTTTTAATTGCTGATCCACACTTGTTTTCAGCTGCAGAAAGCAAATGAATTATTAGTGGATAGGGCTCACTCTAGATACTACTTGTATTTGGAGACTAAGAAGTCCACATCCGTGACTTGTACAAAAGTGAAGTATAATTCTTTTTGTTTAGGTAATCAGTGTCCATCAATTACACAGTAACCTCTTACTTCTGATCTTACCTACTATGTTACTTGAGTGTTAAAAGATTCCATTTGTGGAAACTGCTTGTCTCAACAAAGAAATGTTGACACCAAGCTTTTGTTAGTGTTGAAAGAGTTTCAAACAAATCAGCAAAATCCTGTGCTTGTAATTCAGATGTGAACAGCAATGATATTCAGAGTTTGTGTAGCCAATCAGAGCACACCTTCAATGCTATCCACTGTTTTAGTTTATGCTGAAAGTTATTAGGTCTACTTACAGATAAATTAGTTTGACAACATTTATTCTTTTTCACGAAATTGTCTCAGTCTAGGCACATGTCCAGTATACTTCTAGATCTACCCTAGACTTGACTGATTTTTTTTTAATCGTTTTTCTTTTAGAGAGGAAGCATGAACAACGTTTTCAAGGTATGGGTTGAAAGCACCATCGTGACTGGTATCTCATGTCCCAGGGTGCCTCACATATACCATATTTCCTCAAATCTGCACTCAGATGGTTAATTACAATTTCAGCTTAAAAGAGGAGTACTTATTGGAAAGTGGGTGCTCCATCGAGAGGGGCTCTTTTTAAGTTAGCCCAGCAATAGGGCAAAAACAAAAAGAGATAACACACATAAAGGAATTCTGCTAGCAAAAGGAGATAGGAATGGGTGGGACAGAAAATAAATTATCCCCCTGTAATGATTCCACTGTAGTTGAATCTTAAAAAGTTGTAATTAAAGTGGCAATAGAAACAGGTTCTCCTTGTATCCCTACTATTTAAGAGAGTGAGGGAGAAGGGGGGGGGGGGTCTCATTTGAGAGGGGTGCTTTTTTGACATAATGGTGGGTGCTTATTTGTCAGAGGACACCTTTTGAAGTGCAGGTGCTTATTCCAGGATATACAGAAGTTTGCACATCATTTTACATTTGTGATTGTTTGGAAGGAATACATACTTGTTGAACCTGTTCAGAAAGAGCTGAGGTTATGATTGCTTTGAGTTCCTTCACTGCTGGAGTGTCTAAAAAGTAAATAAGAAAAAGAGAAGTATATCCAAGCCAAGTTAGTACTGACTCAGATCCAAGTAACACCACTTAAACTAAAATTTTCCTTCCCTGATTTGGCGATTAGTATCTACACCAAGAAACAAACTAGGAAAAATTGTCTTTTTCTTTTATGGTTTACCAATAATTCTCAATCCAAATTGCGCCAAGATCCATCATTAGATTGATCCAAGGGATACACCTAGAACTGATGACTCCCAGATTGGGAATGCCACAAAGTGTTATAGATCAAATCATTCAGCACCTTCTTCTTGAACAGTGATTGCTTCTGCTTCTGTTTTCTCAACATCACTAGTAACCTTTATTTTGCAAGAGGAATAAAAATATGAGAACCAGTCATACAACTACAACTGGAAGGAAGGGATTCTGGGAGGAGTAGGGCTTCCTTAAAATACCTGCACATTTGCTATTTTTGATTTCAGGCAAATTTTCACGCATAGAGAATAATTAACTGCAGAAATTCAATAGAACATTAACAGTGTTGGGATCCTGACTGACAGGTGAAAAAACAGTCAGTTATTTCAATGTGGACAAGGAGGGTCTTAATTCCAAGACCTCTGAAACCAGACTGTCCCAACCATTTTGTTATACAGGCAGAATGTAATCTTGAAAATGGAGCACTGTCACAAAACAGAACTCAAAGCACAACCAATTAGGCCAGACAAATTAATTTTTTGGCAACACAGAACTTTACATCAAAGGGATGATAACCTTGAAGATAAATGTAAAATTGCTTTCTACTGGAAAGTAAATGTAAAACCTTTAAGGTCTTACTCTGAAAATTAAATCCCAAGATATTTGAGACAATTTTTCTCTCTGCAGCTGAATATTCACTTGGGTATTTGTTCTCTTAATTTAGTGTGAGATATGGAAAATACTGTCAAACTGGATTCCCTCATTCTAATCTTCTGCCTGCCCTTAATATTAACTAAAAGTGTGAGTAAAGGGTCTTCAACTCACCTCTTCAGCACCACCATCAGCTCCTTGGTCTGCTTCATCAACTAAACAAAATGTTCAAATTTGAAATTTTTGTGGGCAAGATGAAATAACTCCAACTTTTTCAGGTGCAAAAAAACATACTGTTAACACAATGTAAAGGATACAGTGCCTACCTTAATTTGGATTTTTGATTAGGATCATTAAGAGGAAAAAAAGTGTTTTATCCTAAGAACAGTAAGTGACAAGATGTCACAATGAACCAGTGTTTGAAGAGCATTGTTATTTGAGAGCTAAAGATAGCAAGATGGAACAGTGTATTTAAGAATCTCTGCAGATAATTTATTTTTAGCTTACAAAGCTTGTTTTGTGGGCAGTTCTGGCTAGGAGTTGCATAAGTAATAAAAAGAACAGCTTGTATACCTTCAGAAGGTTCTGGTGTTTCTGGCAATCCAATGTATTTCAGACTAAGGTCAAGACGAACCTATCAATATAAAGAAATTACTTTGTAGCACAACTTCTATTAAAATTCCTCTTTTGTAAGGTAATGTCCCCAAAGACTGTGAATATATGTAAATCATATAACAAGCCAACTGGGAGCTACCAGTTGGTTTGTTAGCTTAGTTGCTAGAGCACTGGACTGGTACTGCAAAGGTCATGAGTTCAAATCCTGTACAGGCTTGAATTTTTTCAGGCCTTATTTTCACTATGGTGTAAGCAATGTTTGTTACTGCAAAGATCTCTTTCATTTTCAATGTCCCCAAAATTGTATTTCCCACATTTCATTTTTTTGCATCAATAACCAGAGAACATACCTTTGGTGTAAATGTATACTTGTACATCTTAAAATGCCTGAAGTACCTGATAAAATCAGAAAATATCAATTACCTGCACACTCTTAACATTTAATTTATACAAGCATTGAAAAATCATAGAATGGTTATGACCGAAGAAGTTCTTTTCACAACAATTGAAAATCTGTACTTACTTCACTTTTCAGTTTTATAGAAAGTAACAAACAATGAACAAAGAGTAACATTCATTGGCAGATCCAGACCTCAAAGAAAAGGGAGGTAGCACACTCAAATGTATGTGTACATGTACTTCTGAGAATACTTTAATTGACTAGTAAAATATATGTAATCTATGGAATCATAGGCCTTTAAAAAGTAGAACTAAAGGAGCTTCATGGAAATCTCCTCAGCCACATTGTTTGTTCATCACAAAAGTAATGCCACATTGTGTAAACAGTTGTACAATATTATCACAGCCACAACCTGAGTTAAGTAAGAACTAGTTTGACATACGTGTTGACTGCATATGTGGTTAGCTTCTTCACTTGATCAACTGAGAAAAGAGCAACACTGTAGGGTGGTCTCTGTGATGGATTTCGATATAAAAATGAATCAAAACTCTGAATATCAGTTGGCCTCAGGCAAGTTTTTTAAAACCTTTTGTCGTAAAGTCATAAAGAAAAGAAAAACTTGTATCCTTGATTGAACTTCGTTTATTATATGTGATGGTCTCGAAGCATCAGAAACTATATACAAGTAATTTGATATAAAACAGATGAATCAAAATCAAGCCACAAAATCAAAGTGTGTCCTGTACAAACGAAACCGCAAACATGTGGCTAAAGGTTACATGAAGAAATTGATTAAAAATAAATGTGACTGTTCATAACACCTTTAATTAGAAAAATAATTACAAATTTTTATTGGCCATTTATTTTTAAAGCAAAGTGTTGTATACCATAATTAATTAAATAGATCTATGCACATAGGTTGACAAAAATGAAAAGCCACAAGAAAAGGTGATTGTTTAGAATCATGCAAACACACAATTGTGGAGTGAGTGAAGGAGTGGCTAAGTGAGGCTGAAATGAAACCAACAATTTGTAATGCTCTATCTGCTATCTGACTGTGAACTTCCTGCTTTCTCAAGTATTTAAGAGAGATAAGTAAAGTTTTCTCAAGCACCTATTTTGAAAATTGTTAAAAGTTATATTCCCTTCCATTTGCTGTTTATGGCCAAGACAATGAGGTGAGTGCCGGACACTTATCAAATAAATGTATGTAGATAGCCCCTTCAGTTCACATACAAGCAGGAATGTTGTCACAACTGGTGGTACAGGATTTTATTACAGCCTTCTTTGCTCTGTATGGAGTATGGAGGCCTGCAATACAGTTTTTTTCAATTTTTTCCTCTTCGCTCAGATACTGAGCTCATGCAATTGAACATTTTATAAGTAAGTCCAGCCTGGAAAAGTTTAATGATTGGAGCATTAGCATCCTTTAGCTAACATATGTTAATAGCTAAAGTGAAATGATCACAGAATGGCCTAACTTAAGCATGTGATTGTAGGAGTGCAGGAATGTAATAAAATCTGAACAACCCCCCTTCAACACTTGAGAATTGAGAACAATTGACACATTGGCTACATGAAGAAGAAAACAGCCTTGACCTCCACAGGCATAAACAACAAAGTTTCCTAACTGCCAGTTAAATGTGTACTAGGCTACAAGGAGAAGTTCTCTATTGCCTGACATAATGGCTATTATATGTCAACCACAGGATAAATCCTTCAACTGCACTGTAACACTGCTTTCATTGATGACAAATAACAATTACAACAACAGATTAGAAGAAGTCTTTGATAAAAATAATAATAATAATAATAATAACACTAACAGTCAGCCACAATTTAAAAAAATATGCCACAGCACCTTGACAGAATGACAAAGAAGAAGTCCCTTAAAGTATTCAAAAACTGGTTCCACATTCCCATATGGTGTATCTGTAAGACATCAATAATACTCTACTCTATCACATGACCAAAATGAACTTCTCAATGAATTATGAGTTTCTCCTTCTGGTTGGAAGAAAAAGAAGAAACCTTTTTGCCATAGAATCTCTCTAGTAGTTGTCCAGTCTGCACCCTTCTTTCATTTTTCTTACGAAATTACATTTCGTAGGGATAAATCAGTTTGTTAAAAAGATATATAACAAGTTTGACAAGTGATTATAGAATTTTGCTAATTTTCAAGTTGAGAATTCAATCAAATCTCTTCCATTCAATTAAAATGCAAAATTTATTACATGTCAATGATAAATTAAATTTTTTAAGATTTGTAGATGATTCCACATAAATTTGGACACAAATGTTTTAATATCACAGTTTCCTCACATAAAATTAATGGTTCTTGTTTTCAAATAGATATTTTGCTCACCAACAGCCATCTCGTGAACACACTTGATAATAGAGAACCATGCTGACATCTGTTCTGCGGTAAATCCATTTTCTTTACCAAATGTACAGTTGTTGGTCAAGGAAAAAATTTATGTTGAAGCCAGTTCAAAATTATCAACTGAAGCTTTATTTAATGTGACTGACTTATGTATTCTAGATATTGGTGGTTAAATTGCTGGGAGACACAATGGCCTTGTGGAAGGTGCACTGAACTCCAGGTCAGGTCACTTTTGATGAACTTGAATCCCATCCAAGAGGGTACAATAAACTCCTTCAGCTTGTCATTACATGCCTGAGAAATCAGGAAAGCTAGGCCCCATGAGTGCCATGCAGCCCTTTATGCACAAAAGAAAACTTTACCTTTTTAAGGTGATAAAAGGATATTGCACAGTATAAAAATAAAGATCCACAAGGATCCCCTGCCTGAGGTCATCTTTCCAATCTTTTAGGTGGAGGATATCTGCCAATAGACTTAAGAATGAAAAGAAAGGCTTCAACTTATTTTAATGCTTTGATCAGTTTCATTTCATATCAAATAGTTGAATAAGGAATAACATATAATCAAGCACAGGTTAATAGCTAGCAAAATTGAGCACTTCTCTGTAGTTAAGTCCCACTAATTTCTGTTGGAGAAAACTTGTTTTGCTACTTCTAGAGTTATACAATAAATGGTTTGAACTCTGAGTGGTAACATGTGATGGCTGGAGTATTCTGATTGTCTGGGTGAGTGTAGTCCTGAGAGGGACTGATGTGAGTAATGGTGACTGCCCTTTTGACAAGCACAAACTGAAAAACAGACAGGGAGCAGTTGATAAGATCAATTGCTCTGACTGCCACACCTCCCACATTGGAAAGACTGGCAAAAACCAGACAACAAGACTGACTGAACACAAGTGGGCAACAAGGAAAGGTGATGTCAACAATTGAATTGCTGATCATCATCAACTTACAAACCACACTATTGACTGGGACTCTGTACAATGCTTAACCTACAGCACTAACTACTTTCAACAACTGACTCTGGAAAGCTGGTGTCCTAACACAAAACAGACTTCCCTCCACAGGTGTGATCCACTACCACCACCATATGCACAACTTATTCACAACATAAACATTACAAACAAACTGAATAGAACCACCTTACTTTACCAAACAATCAAAGCAGACCTATCATGACCGACTCACGCCACCTGAGTCTTACAGCCAATAACATCAAGGCAAATCTGACCAATCAGTTCATAGGAACTGGACTAAGAAAACTCGACTGACAACAACTATTTACTTGACTCTGATGATGACTTCTGCTCAGGTTGTTGAAACGTAAAAGTAATTATTACCAACAACAGTCCTTCTCAAGACTATACACTAACCCGAACAATCAGAATACACCATCACAGTTATGAAGTTGTGGGTGATTCCCAGTTTCCCCTCTTTTCCATGGATAATGCTTACAGTTCTGAGGTGGGGAGGTGGAGGGGGAGAGATAATTCATACAACAGGCTATAAGAGTATGCTCTTTCTTTTGCTTATTTTAAACTTCTCACACACCATTCTGTTGAGTATGCATCTGGACCTGGACTTACTGTCCACAGCAGTGGCTCACTAATTACCCAGCACTTGTGTTCTTACTGATGCTTTTAGTCATTTATTCTCGGTTACTTTACTAAAAATAAATTCATATTTTAATTAGTTTTTGTAGTGACAGTAGCTGTTAGTTAAGTATTCTATGGCCAGTGGAAATCTTTTTTTTCATTTGGTTTATTTTTGCAATAATTATGTTTCTATAATTAATTCATCTCAGTTCACTGTAAATGTTTTTGATTTAGTAAGATTATTGTTATTGCTAGCATGTACTATATGCGGGTTTTGTCTGTACTTTATTTGTAACTATAGAAATAATAATAATAATGTTTGTTCATTTGTATTGAAAATTGTTTGTCATATTATTTCTCATGTAACTAACCTTTGTACATCCTCTGGAGTTTCACTTCTTTGAATGTCTACCACATTGTCTAGAGTTAAGTCAGTCCTACAATAACAGACACCAGCAAACTGCATTATTAGAAGATGAGTTCATAAACCTCAAATTACCGAAGGTATTTAAGAGCCAAGTTTTTCCATAAAAAGGAAAAACAAGCATAACCATTGGTTTGCAAATTTGTACAGATAATTTGTCTCATCGGTGTCCATAACGGAGAGGTCCAACTGTAATTGTTCATCTCTCGTTAGGAAGCGATAAGCAAGCACAAAATGATCAGGAAATTTCGTGAACTTAGAAGAAGATTAATTTAAGGTAATGTGTTATTACGCGGAGTCCGTTTTAGGTCATTTTAAGTGAGGACATTCTGGTTTTGTTTTTGGTAACAGCTGGGTCAGTGTTTCATCGGGTGTCATAGGAAACAAGCTCTTACCAAACAAGCACTTTCGGCTTGAAATTCTTTCCCTGAAAATAAAAGCAGAACGTTAACTGTATCATCCTAGAGGCAATGAAAAGGAAGAAGGAAGGAAGGTACCTCGGCTAGTGAAGGCATTATGATTGTTTCCTCAGGTTTCTGTTTTCGTCAGTCAAGCCGCCATACTTTGTCTCCAAGCTACTGACTAACATTGAGCCCGCAGTGGTTATAGACACAAAAACCCGCATGAACAACTCGAATGCGCGGTCCCTTAGCACTATTGAAGTAAACAGAGAGCTAGAGAGGTTGACAGATCTGCCTCGAATATGTGAAGTTAACTTAAATTTTAATGATAATGTTTGGTGGTAATAAAAAAAAGGACCGTGTCGAATTTGTTGAAAAAGTGCAGGCTGCTCGACAACAACGATCCGAAGGAAAAGAAAGGGAAAGAGCTGCTATTTGCATTCAGGTATTTATATATAGACTGCTAAAGATAGATATTTGATCGCTAAGGAGGAATATGCTCCAGAAACCACATGATCACTATTTATGGGTATTTAAGAACTTTTAACCATCCTTGAAAAATTAAATTAATATTTTGAAAATATTTGCTGCCGGAATTCGTGAGCCAACTAGTACAACAGCTGTTTTAAATAGTGCATGTTGTGCTTTTCTATTTAAAGGCTAGATTACTTAGATGTCTTTAACCGACATCCGAAGAGGAATTTTTAGCACCAGTCAAACAGAGAGGTTACTCAAAACAAGTAGTGACTTTTGATAGGAGAGATGAAATTTGTAGTGTTTACGCAATGATTTACTTTTTGAAAGAACGTAAAAATACTTTGATTGCCAGACTCACATCACTTACTGACTTGACTTAACCTAACCTAAATAACATGGACACCTTAATATATTTATACTGTTACTTACATAAAATTACATGATGAAAGGTGATCAAAATAAATTTCACAAGTTAACAAATCAACACCACAAATTTTTTTATAGAGCATGTATACTACTCCTTTATATGACCACACTTAGCAAGGTGCAAGATTGTGCCTGTCTGGTAGTAAGTGTGACTGAAAATTGAATGTCAGTGACTGGAATTTTAAAGGTAGTCACAAGAAGGCAAGTTATCCAGTGTCCCCACTGGACAACTTTTTTTTTCTAATTGAAAACATTCACATTTGGTTCCCAAGAAGAATTCTAGAACCTCCACTGAAAAATAAATTAAAAGTGTTCACAAAATGTACTGCGCTTTCCACCAGATAGAGATTTATCCAGTATGTAGTGTTACTCTCCTTTTGAACAACCTGTGCCAGGAAAGTTGCAATAATTGATTTAGAGGCAGTCATGTTTTCAGCTGTTAACATGACAGCCATACAAAGGGCACATTCAATTTGTGATGGGTCAGCTTTCCTGGTGCTCTGTTTGGCACTGGTTTATACTCTGGAAATGTTCAAAAGTGTTTTAAAATGAGAAGGGGAAGAAAGTGCTATTTATTAATAAGAAGTTCATGTTAAGTTTGGATATTTTACCAGCCTCTTAATTGTAAGACAAAGATTTCTCCATGTGAACTGAAAATGATCTTTTGTATACTGTTGTACACTACTCATATTGTTTAAAGGAACAGCACTCTAAGCTCAACTATTTTCAAAGTCACCATAAAATAAAGAAAATGGTGTGGCTGGCATTTATTTTTGCAGAAAACAAAGAAAATAAATGAACGTTGTCTTCTGACCCTACACTTGTAAAAAGTATGTTTTAAAAACATTACAACCTGCTACATAACTATCAAACAAAGGTTGCAAAATGGCCACTTTCACTGCAAAATTATTTGGCGAAAATTTTATTGTAGTCTCCATTGTGACCAAAATGGTCACAGCATGGAGCTTTGATGAGGAAAATATTTTCAGCAAAAGTGTGCCTTAACAATCTCACATTTCTTTGTATTTCACATTGAAGCTAAAATGTTGTGAGTGGAACTTTTTAATGACTAGTTTTTCCTACATGGTGATGTTTAAAAAAATTGTCTAGCAGCACTTTGTGCCCCTATAGTATTTAGTATTATATATATATATTTGCCCCAGTGCAAACAAATTTTGTTGATGTTGTCACCTAGTGGATATAACCTGAGATTGATTCATCTTAGATGTTACCCAGAGAGCTTTGATCCCTTATTTCGAGGTGTTGAAATTTGTTGAAGCAACCGTTTTGCTGTGTACATTAGGGTTATTATATACTAAGTCAATTAAATTTTGGAAAATTCTGCTTCCTTTTTGTGCTTTCTCAGGCATGGATGAGGAGGCTCCTGTGTATTGCCAAACTGAGAACTGAAACAAGGTATTCATTAACTTAGTTGGTGCCCAAAAACACTTTATAATGTTAATTAATCCCATTTTATATTGGCTTATGATGAAGAAGAAGCCAGATTATAATTTACCACAAAAATTTTGCCAGGGACCTTGCTATCATATCTTATTCATCAATTATCAATTAATTATTTATTAAAAAATTTTTTTCATTCTATCAAGCTTATAACATTGAAGCACTTATGTATGTCGGAGATCTGGGGCTTATTAAAGTGTAAGACCAGCCAATTAATCTTGTGTAACATGTAGTTGGAAAACTGCAAGTTTGTGTGCACTTTTCATTTTGCTGTGAGTGTTATTTCAGAGTGATCAACTGTATTTTCACAACTTTCTCACTCATCCACTAAATATTGTGAAGCAGCTTGTCTGAAATATAGACACTACTTTCAGTCAGCCTAAAATCTTCAGTCAAAAAAAGTTGGAAAGTAAATCAGTTTCTGAAAATATCATTTACCTCAGTCTAGCTATCTAGTCTTCTGTACACAACTTTACAACTCCAGTAGTAGATTTGCTGTTCATATTTTTCACCTTCTTGCTGCCATGAAAGGACATAGATTGAAATGTTTAAATATCCTTGTCTCAATGAAAACTCAGAAGCTTATTTTCACAGCAGTTAAGTTTACTTGTGGAAGTCTCTTCCTTCAGGGATTAAACACTGCTGAAACAATCCTCTTGATTCATTTGCATCTGCCATGCTATCATTGACTGCCACATTTGTGTGTGGAGTGGAACTCAAAATGTTTTCAAAAAATGTTATTGATAGAGTCTCCCATAAGAAAATTCAATTATCATAAGTTATCCAGGGCTTTCCCAATGAAAATGATGGCTCGATCATTCATTCTGGTAAGCTTTTCAGTGCCCCTTTGTGATCAGTAGAGAGTTTTTATGAAATAAAAAACTGCTTATAAACCCCACCTTGTTTTTAGACAATACATGTATAGGGGAATTTAGACACTTCTAGGTCATAAACTTCTAATTCTAAAGAGTATATCTAGTGGGTAAGTATGAAAACTGTCCAGTTGTACTGATATGAAATTTTTTTGGTGCAAAAGAAGTAGCATCAAGGAATTCTGTTTAGCTCCTACCCAATAACTGATGGAGGGGGCACTGGGATGGCATCCCATACAGAAGGAATAACACTGGAGTAACACTTGACTTTCACTTGTAGAGCGTTTTGCTTTTAGTATGAGTTTATTATAATAGTCATTGCTCCAAAGTATTGGATGATCGGAGAATCTTTTCTTAGGAATAATTGTGTAGTCAGTAAATGTGTCACTGTAGTTAACTTAAATTCCAGAGAAGTTTTTCATAAATAAGTTTGTTTCTTGCACATTCAGGGAAGAATTTGACCAGTTTATTGAGCAGAGTGGAACTAAGAAACCTTCAGGTTTGACTGTTATGCTCTTTATAGATCAGTTGACATAGATCAGTCTCAAAGATTTGAATGTTGTGCTTCAGAATGCCAGTATGGAATTTTGATGTTCAAGCAACAAAAACAAGACATTCATGAACTTGAAATCTGATCAATTCCACCTGTCAAATCAAATTATATACAATGCATCTTGTTCTGATATATAAGATACCCTGAAGTAAGTTATAAGGAATTACACCAAATTTGTTGTTGATTTTTTTTGTAAGAAACAGGCTCAAAAAGCAACTACAAGAGGTTTTCTTGGAGGTTTCGTTGTTGTTATGGTATCCTTATTTGTCATATCATGTGATCACAACTTTTTTAGAATAATTGGGCATTTTTCTGGGTAAGGATTGCAGTGGTGTGGTTGTACCAAAGAATTGATGTTTAAAACTAAACTGTTCTTTGCCACCTTCTTAAAATATGTAATTAATAGATATTTTTGTCTTTCTGCAGCAACTGATGTCTTTCACCTTGCAAGAAAATTTCTTTTTACTTTCCATTTGAAGGATGATGAGAAGGTATAATGGTAATCGAAAGTTTTAAATATAAAAATTCTTTTTTGTGGTAACATCCTAGAATTCTTACTCCTATTTTGTTATCTGAGTTATTGAACAGCTTAGATATGAGGTGTCAAAGAAAATGAGTGATTGACAGAAATAGTTTTAAATGGTCATTTAATTGAAACTGACAATAACAAACTTTACCATGATTTCAATAACTTTTTTTTTTTTTTTACATGTGCAGAGATTTGAAGCACTATGTAGACTTATACTTGGTAGCATGGAAGCCCAAAGTGAACCCAGGGTGAGTAGGGTTTTTTTGCCCCTTTGACTTTTGACCCAAGCATGGACTACAGGGACCATAAATCAGAGCAGAAAAATTAAGATCAAGTACTTGTGCCAAGGACAAAGACATTTGCAGCCATTGCTTCATTTATAATTACAACCATGATAAATTGCTTTCCACTTGAGGCTATCTTACCACAGAACTGTTATTTGTCCTGCAAATTGTTAGGAAGGAGACAAGAAATATCAAATTATCCTTTTAACTGAATATATTGAGACAGAAAAAAAATGGCACATTCTTTAGTTCAAAAATCATATAAAGGAAGATAATGAATCCAGTTACTACAACAACATGTAGGTATTGCATCAAGCTTAGTCTGATTCCTTATAAGAAATTAACTGTGTCTTGCACAACTCACAATAAATATTTTTTATTCATCAGGATATTTTCAAAAGTTCCCAGGCCCCTATATTGAAATGAGAATGTTGTTTGTGTTTTACTTATTTAAAATCAGTTTAACTTATTTTTAACTGTAATTTGTCTTAATACCAAGGTGGTAATTATGATGATGGTGATAATCTGAAACATATGCTGATAGAAATGAAACTAAAGTTAAAACTTTCAAACTAAAGATGAATTTGAACTACAAGATATAGATGTTTAGGAGCACCCTAAGTAAGAGGTGTCAGGTGTTAGAGGAGAAATAAGGTTGATATGTAAGTATTTTACTGTGCATCAATTAATTAAACACATGATTAACCCTGTTGGTTATATATGACTTAAAGATAAATGTCAAAATATGACAGGGACAGGGGGAAGAGGGGATCAAAAATTCTCCTGAATGTAGATGTGTCTTAAAGGAGATGTTTCATCTCATAACTGTGGATGAATTTTCTGTTGCAGCTCTCATTAAATGTTTTATTTTTCTTTTCATCTTTTCAGCTGTGGTATGTGTCAGTTGTCCTTTCACATGATCTTGTTCTTCTCTGGCTGCATCAACTCAAACACTTGTTACTGATTTGCTGTAAACTGCTTCGTAAGCTCAAGGTGATCATTAAGCTTTAAAGAAAGTTACTCTTTAATACCAATGGTACATTGACGTTAATAATTTGCCTCTCAGTCAATGTTTTGCACATTTTATCTTTGTATTCCTGTTTGTATGTTTTTTCAGCCTAGTGTTTCCACAGATGCAAAAAAGATCAGCATCTATTTGAATATGGTAGGTTAGATAATATTTGTCAAATATTACTTATTCAATGTTACCAGAAGCATATAACTTACTTCTAGGTTACATGCTTCTGATGTCAAATGATAATTGTTCGTCAGACTTATTTGTGTAGTAATCAGGTAATTAAAAAGGTACACAGGCTGGTATTTAAGCATTAAAACTCCCTGATTTCCAGTTTACCATTCTTGTGAAGGAGACTTGTCTGATAAATGACCAAGCCCTGGTACAGATGAGGTTGCTTTTTTAAGAGTATCTATGGAAATAAAGCATCTGTATTTCTCAGAGTTGCTTACTTTTTAAATACAACAATTTGACTGATTTCATGTGGTGGAAGATTCAGCAATTTAGTAGCAGGTAAATTAAATGTAACAAGGAAAATAGTTATAATTAATAATAAATGAATGTGTTATTTCAGCATTGTAGGTATGGCTTCTTTTGTAATGAATTAACATGTATCCAATAGAATGGTGCTATTCCATTCACTGTATAGCTACACACAAAATTTATTGTGATTTCAGCTGATTGTATTTACTGATTGTGGAAACTGGAAGATTTTAAGCATGAAAGGAGGTGAGAGAAGATACAAGTGATCACAGTTTCCTCTGATTTGTTTGAGTGGGCAATAAATGTCCAGAGTGTGTTTTTAACACCCATAGCAGCTTAGAGAGGACTATTTTCTAAATGAGAAATAGCGTTTATTATTACAACTGTAAGACTTGAAGCCATAAGAGTGATCAAAAGGGATCACATTACTACCATTCCTTGTCTTGTTTGTTGTTCTTTTAAAAAGTATGGCATCATACCTGTTGAGACAATATTTTCCTTATCCACCATTTGTATTGCCCAGTTTATACAGAGTGATCAAATGTGGAACTGGGATTGTAATCTGTATGTCTCGAAAGAAATATCCATTTCTTAGGAACATGGGATTCTTCTTTGCAAGTTGATTGCTCCCTGGATTACAACTGACCATTGTGTCTCCAATACAAATGGAATTTTAAGAATACTGAGGTTCAACTTATGCTCTGTTAAGGAGACAGATAATCAGGATAATGAAGTTGTTGTCAACTAAAAAATTAGAAAAGCTAAAATATTTGATAGTGTTAAACATCAAATTCCTAGATTTATTTTTCATTGTGATATCCAATAGAATTATCTAAGAAAAAAGCCTTTGTCTCATTATTTCAATTAACATTTAAAGGGGAGGCCCTTCGGCAAAGCTTGCAGCAACTTTGTGCAAATGTTCTGGGACATTTGAACAGTAAAGGACTGTATCCATCATTGAAGGTATGTGCTGAAGTTAAAATCATTTCAGTCTGAAGTGATTTCAAACATAATTATTTGATTTGTATTATCCTCTACTGAGAACTATGAGTGGTATATATGGGACAAAGAAAAAGCATGTTGAACTTTCTTTGGAAGCTAAATAGTGTGAAAGATTTTTTTTCATATGACCTGCTCTTTCCCTTGCTACAGTTTGACTGTCACTGGTAGATTAGTTATGAAATAGCCTGGCATAAATTTCAGTTTATCTCATGTGGAATAAATTTCATTGCTGTCAACTGCATGGGTTATCGTGACTAAAGCATGTGGTCAGAAATGCCTTTGAAAGCATTGGTGTGATTCTTTTTTGCCTTGTGTTGATGTAGCTAATCCACTGAGTCAAACATGGCGTGTAATCAGGCAGATCAAGAAAAAAGGGAAGAATTTTGAGAAAAATTGTTTCGAAAAATGTATTACATAAAAGAAATTAAGAAGAGCCTTGATGCTTGTACATTTTGCATTTATGTGCCTAGGACAGGACCTCATCATGTATGTTTTTGACTATTGCTTCAATAGTGTAAGATTACTGTTTTTTAATCAAGGAATATTATTATATACACATTTTCTTTATGAAGAAAGATATTATTTGTCTTCATTGTGGAATAAATAAAAAATCTGAGTCCCCCTCAAGGAACCCCAGACCTACAGATTCTGTACGCTAATTCTCTACCACTGAGCGACAAAGAACTTCAATATTAAGTTCAGATCTGATACAGTCCCTGCATACTGTTTGGTCATTAAAAAACTCTGAGTCTCTCCTGAATAATCAAACTGTGACTGTCAGATTCCACACTTTGATGCATTACCACTTAGCTACAGCAGAACTCTACGATAAGCCCCATGCTATGAATAGGTTCATTTGTCCCCATGCTTGTGACAAGAGGACTAGGTAAAATCTTTCATCATTTAATCACTGAGTTCCTTTAGACATGAAAAATAATTTTCAATCTTTTTCATAGGACTGAGCATTAATGATGTGTCTGATATGTATAAATACATTAGAAAACAGTGATTAAATCCATTTGTAGTTATGAACAATATCTATTATGTTATACCAAAATTATATCACTGTTGTTGATATGTAGGACCTCTTGATGAGTGGATTGGCTTGTAGTGAACCTTCTCTAAAGTGTGCATCATTTAAAGCAGTAATTACAATGGCTCTAAGGTAAATTATTTTTTTTACATAATCAGCCTTATGTTCGTGCACTGTATTTTCAAAATTGATTCTAATTCACTTATTTTTATACTCAGCACTGCTTAGAGGTTTTACCACAAAATATCAAACATTTTTTTACACTGTTCCTGTTGTTTTAGAAAATGTAAAGTAACCCCTTGGACTATTTTAAATAGTCCCACCATTTTATCTGGCACAATTATTTTAATTGATTGGACCATTTTAGCTACGGGTAGTTACCAGTTTATCTAGTTTTAGCAGTTGGACCATTTTGTCTAGGTACCCTTTTCTATCTAATTAGACCATTTTATCTACAATCAGCATCAAAATTAGTCAACACATCATGTTTGAACAATCCAATTTATGTCTAGAATAACAATCCTGTGTCTACCACACTCTTAATCTTTGACAAGACATTGCCTCCCCATTCAATATCTAGCTAAAAGTTTATGTGTCACAATATAATATGACATCGTTTTTTGCCTTGGGTAAATTGATGACGTTTCTTAAAAGGAGTCTTTCATGACACCTGTTCAATTCTCTTGGTTGACCAGCCCCCTTTTTTTCAGTCATAAAGAAAGACCATTTTATTTACTAAGACTATTTATCCCTGTGGACCATTAATGCTGCATGAGGATCATTTTACTTAGTTGAGCCACTTAATGTGGTAGACTGTTTAATCTAGTTGGGCCATTTTAAGCAGTTGGACCATTTTATGTAGTTAGACCATTTTAGGTCATTGAACCATTTTAATTGGTCTGACCATTTAAATGAATTGGACTATTTTTACTGGTTAGATAAATTTATCCAGTTCAACATTTTATCTCATTTTTTTAGTGAGACCATCTATACCAGATGTATTAATGTAACTACATAGTTTTGCATGGGCTATATTGTAAATTTCCTTACAGGCCCTTGGTACTCAGCAACTTTTCAGACAATCTCAGCAGCCTGTTTATACTCAACATCCTCTCTGTTCCTGGGCTTATCCTACATCTTTCATCAATAGCACCAGATGTAAGTTTTCACTCATTTGTATCTGCAAATTGTATGACTTGTTATTCATTTAATAAAAATAACTGCTGGTAACAACAATTTAGTAAAAATGATTGTGAGCTAACAACTGATTTTAAAAAACCGATTGCAAGAAAAATGGCAAAAATTTTTAATTATTGGAAACTTTGAAGCATTGTTTGCAAAAGGTAAAGAGTAAGGGCAAAGTTGGTATTACATAACAGTTAAATTGCTTCCTCAAACATACACACAATACACAATACACTAATTATTATTACGACTCCCCTATACAAAGCTATTCTGTTGTAATACAATAATATTTATCTAATAAATTACAATGGGTAAAAGAATATTTACATGTGTTGGGAAGAAAAAAGAAAAAAAAAAAGGAAAAGAAAAAGAAAAACCATTTTTAAGTCCTAAGTCAAAGAACCTTTTAAATGTTTTTTTTTCTGTTTATGGTATCTAAAATACTTATTAACACCCCTACCTTGAATTAAGACAGATTTTATTTTAAGAGTTAAAAACTTCACTTGCAATCAAGATTTAGATGTTTAGATCTCACTTACTTTTGAAGTCAGTGACACACGAAACAGTTTTGATTTTATCCTTTTTTTGGTTATTCAGGGTTTAAAGCCTTTGAAGGTTCATGGCATCTATAAAAAAGTTATATCATTCCTCCAGAAAGAACAGAGCATTAGAATTGTCTTGAATGCATTAGAATGTAGCTACTCTCTCTGTCTTTTGGGTAAGTACAGTGGCTGAGACTAGTACTGGTCAGGATTGTTGACTGTCTCCTATTTTTAAGACAATAGCACAAGTTGCCTTTTGATCTCTTCACGGAAAATTTTACATCACAAGACAAAGTGGATAATAAAGTATTCTTAACATCTACTTTTTCTGAATTAAAAACCAGCCTTTTTTCTTTCTCTGCAGCTAATTTAGTGGAACTTTCTCAGCTTGAAATAGAGGTAGGTGTTTAATCAAGCTTTACTCTTTTTCCTGGTCTTGATGGGTTGTGAGTTAACTTTGCCTAATGTTATGATATGGGTGATGAGTATGATAATATGTTACTCTGTAATGTAACTCTGTAACTGTTATGGAATGACTCATCTTACTTTGTAGGTCTTGAGGGAAGATTTAACCAGTTTTTTGGTGAGTACCATACAAGCCATCTAAGGATCCTTATTTATATTCTTTTCTATTTTGGCATGCGAGGTTGTCTTAAACTACACGATGAGATACAGTAAGATTCTGTTAGACAATGTAGATGTAAAGTTACATGGTGAAAGTGACAATAAGCAGATTGATACTTTCAGTTATAAATACATCCAGGCATGATGCCATGGTGCCCCATCTTGCTTTTAAGCACCTAGACCACTTCAAAACATGAGCTCTAACCCAGGGTTTTTGTGATTCTTAAACTAGTATTAAAGCTCCACAGATGGAGATGTTTAACAAATAGATTCTATATATGTTGCACACAGAAGCACACAAGATGCAGCTAGGTGTGTCACATATTCTCTCCACATTTTGACATCTTTAGTGATCTGTTACATTAGATAAAGAAGCAAAGTGTTGCTCATGGTGGTGTCATCTAAGTATGCATCTGTCCTCCAGTAGATCATTTATGTAAGAACCAATCAAAAGGCTTGTATAATTTAGCCGTACTGTCTCTTAACAACTGTTGCATGTTATGTTATTTTCAGGAAATAATTACAAAGATCCTCAACTATTGCCAATCATATGTTGCTAAGAAGCAGTCCAATCTAACAAACTGGCATCCCATATTAGGTTGGTTCAAGCAATCTACAGATGAATGGTGAGTCATTACATTATTACTTGTTTGTTCTAAATACAATTAAAAGAATTATAGCTGATGCCATGCTCACTCCTTTGCTATGTCACAGGAATATTAGTTGGTGGCAATGATATTATGCTTCTTCACACCTACTGCAGGGTGGGCCCTACTGCAGGGTGGACCCTACTGCAGGGTGGGCCCTACTGCAGGGTGGGCCCTACGGCAGGGTGGGCCCTACGGCAGGGTGGGCCCTACTGCAGGGTGGGCCCTACTGCAGGGTGGGCCCTACTGCAGTCTGGGTAGTGGTGTCCTAAGATCAGTTCATTTCCTGGTCCCTCATCCCACAAAAACTCAATTCAAAATACAAGCTATTATGACCCAAAACTAAAATTTATCTCATTACCATGAAAGGTCGCGAAAGGTCACATGATACGTACGCTAGTATTCAATAAATGAGGGCTATTAACTAACTGTTCCAAAAAAAAAAAAAAGAAGACATTTGTAGGGTTATTGGAAAGAGCAGCAAAGCTTTCTGCTTAATTTTCTTTGGAGGAGAAATTCATACTTTTCCTAACTATTTAGGGTGGTGAATCTTAAGGACACTGTTCTTCAGTTTGTGATATCTGTACAGGGGAGTGATGGTGATGTTTGGGACCGGATTGGGTCGAAAAGTTTTAGTCCACTTTTAAGATTTCCACTGAGAGACTGTGGTCCAAGCAATCTAATCTGCTTGGTGTCTGTCCAGATGACTTGAATGTCTTGTGCAATGGAAAGATAGTTTATTTATTATCTGATGTTCCTAAATCGTTGACTTAGTGATTGAAGAAAGTTCCAAGTGAATTCAAGAAGAATAGCACCTATATAGAAATGGCCTTTCATTGATATATTAGAGGTTTGGATAGTGTCGGCTATACTGGACATGTGACAGGAAAACTCAAAACTCAATTTAGTGATGTCGTAATTGCCAGGAACCACAACACGCGAATTCCATTCTTTTCAAAATATAATATACATTTGGTGTGTACAGTTCAAATGGGTTGAAGAAATGGTGGTATTATGGTCAGTTTCCTGGACTCTGGAATGAAAGGGCTAAGTGTAAGCGTGGGATGTGATATAACGCGTTTTTAGCAATTACACCTCACCCTCTTATTACACACCTCATTCAACCTCAGAGTATAAATGGCTCTAAAAGTTTTCAATTTAATTTTTGTGACACACTGCAGGGTATCAGGAGATGGACAAGGGGACTACCAATACTTCTTGTCACTGCATGCCAATTAGTTCGTAAGTGAAACTCGAGCTGACACCTTCCCTTGTGTTTATAGGCTGAACAATTCAATTCCTCATATAAGAAAGCAGCTTCAGTCCCTGTGGAGTCAGAAAGTTGTGAATCTGTTGTTTGAGGCTCTTTTAGTCATCAGTGAAGGTGAAAGCAATGAAATAAAGAGCAAGGATGACAAAGGTCTGGTAAAAAGAGTACATTTTCTGCGTTTAAAACAGTTTTTATGTCAAAAAGTTGAAAACGTGGTCAGAACTACCACCGGGATTTGGGAGGGGAAGGTCCTCAATAATTGGTCAGAAGGTAGCTGTGCCTCTCATTAAAAGTGGTGGGTTTATCATCCAAAGTCTATAAAGTAATACACACAATTTGTTATAAAGGGGTGTTTGCGCACAGGAAACATTAAGCATAGCAGTACAATTATAAAAGATTAACACTTATGCTCTCAAACAGGGCCAAGAAGCAATGGCCTTAACTGGAAGCACCTTATCACTTCCTTACCATCATCTAATGGGTTCCTGTACATAGCTGTTAACCCGATTATTGTAGACTAGGTCTTGATCCCTAAGAGAGAAGGTCTCATTCAACCTAAAATACAGCCCTCTTTACTTCGTGAGTGAAGACCCTTATCCAACGTGAACTGTTGTGAAGATGATTTTGTGGAACACAGTCAACAAGTAACAGGAGGCTGTCGAGGTTGACTAAACTCTAACAGTTGCCGTTCCATTCAGTACATTTAATGTTTCCAATCACCTGTTTAACCACAGGTAATTGGAAACCATGGTCTCGTATCGGCAGAGGTCGCTCCAGATGTGGTCAGTCCAGTTTATCCAGTTCGCAGGTTGAGGTGATACAGAAATCTTGTGTCATGTATCAAACTGTACTGTGTACTTTCTCTCAGATCAAGCTGGATATTTTGACAGGTTTGTAGCTAAGACTGAATTGCTTTATCTTTTCTTTAAGTTACTTAGTATACATTTCTTGATTTGCTGATGGCTGCAGCTCCTTCAGTGAGCTGGTTCTGCTAAGCAGGCGTCGTAAGCTTGCATGATTTCAAATCCTTTGGCAAATGCTCGCTTTACGGAAGAAATAAACTACACTTTCCCATGGTATGGCGTCCTATATTTGAGAGAGCTAAGAGCGCCAATTAGAGAAAAAGGGCAATATTTAGTTTTTTTTTTCTTGTTGACTTCGCGGCTTGTGTGCACCAAATGTGTGACAACGTCTGCATTTGCAGTGAAAAGCAGTCTTTTTTTCTATTTCTCTGCTTCATTAAGGTAAGTCTATAGGAATAAAAGAATATTAGAGACAGTTTCTGGTATTTGCCAGGTGAGGTTAATGTCTTGTGCTCAACCATGAAATATATTCGAAGAAGTCCGATTGTTTTAGAGTTCAACTTGGAAAACTGCACTTGCTCGATATCCTTCGTTAAAACTGGATTTTAGGTTTGGAGTGTTACCATACTTCTTTAGCTCCTAGGGGGTTAAAAGGAGTTTTACAAAGTAGGTAATACGAGGATTTTCTTCTTTTTGTTCTTGTAGGGTTGAGTTACCAAGAAGGATTTGTGGTGCATCTTTGGAAGTTTTTTGATTCTTTTTGTCAAAATGACCGCGTGGAATCTCACTTGTGGAGTCTTGAAAAGACAGGCTTGTTTAACAGCCACGAGCTTCAGGCCGCTCTTGTGCTTTTCTGTGACTGTTGCAGTCACTTATTGCCGTAAGTAAAATTCATCTCATTGAATTTCAACTTGTTTGAACAAGATATATTTCGTTTTCTTCTTTGTAGCTTAGTGCATGCCTCCCTAGCTGTTAAATATTTCAGAGAAGTTGTCAGGAAAACTTTGTCATGAAACTTCCCCTGTAATCTTAATTCACACGAGAATAATACGAGAAATTCCCAAATGTCTCGCACGTTTCCAGTACACACTCCAATAGGAAGATAGCAGTCTAGACCCTTGTAATTCAAATCGGTTGAGACATCAAGATTGCCAGCTCGGTGTCACGATTTTTCCAAACGAAAGCTCTTCTTGGATAGTAACGTCAGATCGGCCTATACTATACTAGTATATATATACACCTACACTAGTGTAAATAAACAAATACTTCGAGTTGTAATCGAATATCCTTATGTTGAACTGGTAACTGTTAATTTCTTACCCGTCTAGTTATATAAGTATGAAAATGTAGCCGCTACATTTTATTTCTTTTACCATTTTAACCCATCGTAGCAAAAAAAACTTTCAAGTACATTTAATTTTGTGGCTCAGCCGGCTAGATTAGCGCCTCAGACGTTCTGAGAAGACTTGCGCCTGTTCCTGTTGTTTTCCACTACGTTTGCAGATATTAGATTTAAGGTGAAACAATCGAAATTCTACTCTGTGATCAATGGCCAAGTTGCTTTGACACAGTATCTTCAATTGATCACTATTCTTAACATCACATATTGATTATTTTTTCACCTTAGCATTGTTGATGATTCTGAAATGTACGAGATACAAAAACCGTTTCGTTTAGACGAGCTGAATAGAATATCTGCCTTCCTCAATAACTTGGTCTTCAAAATGTTGTGGAACGAGATGGTGGAGGGTATGTTCATGTTTCTTAATTCAAGATGAATGAGTTTCCTCTTCTTCCAGCCCCCTTCCCTCTACTTAAAACCATTTCTAGAATGAACTTACACAGTAGCCTTCTTTTCTGTAATAAAGTCAGAGTTGTCGTTGTAAATGTGGGTGCTGCTCGTTTAATATTAGCTCTAGAATTACTCCTCTGTTCTTGTCAATGATTGGTGATGAGATATTTGTCACCAAGAGCCTACTTTCGTGGAATTTTTTAGAATCAAGAGAGCAGATGTTGAACTCAGCGCATACATTGCTTATGATACTGTATGACAGAGATTGCAGACGCCCTTTCACCTCTCAAGATCAGTGGCTTGTTAGGTTAGTAGATATTTTTTACGTAAGAACTCGATCTAACCATGTACGGTCAATGCATTTTATGTTCGTGGGCCCTGTCCATCGCGGCTTAGCCTCAGTAATCGGATGGGCGAGGAAAAATCATTTAGATCTCCGCTTTAAGGCTTGGCCCAATGTATACATCTGACTTTCATTATTACGTTACTGGCCATTCTACCAATGGCGGTTTAGGGACGATGTACGGAAACATTAAAACAAACTTTCATAGAGCGCCGTCAAAGAAATTCACTTAGGGCAACATGGAATATATCCAACATGTAACAGTGCGAAGTCTTCTGGGACCACCATGATAGAAGGCCAGCGCCCAAACTGCCCGGCCATGCTACCCACAAAAAAGCTCCCTCTTAACCATTTTTCAGTATTTCAAAAGACCATTGTCGAGACAAATTTATCATTTTTGAATCATTCAGAGAGGAAAGAACGTCTTAGTTGACGAAAAATCACAACACTCAGATTGCGGCGTTTAAGTTTTTATTTTGTACAAATGCATACTATTGTTGTGGACACAGGTGCCTTTAGTTCCGTAAATTTATATTTATTTGTCTGCCCTCCTTTTACACCATAGGAGCATTAAAACGAGTACGTTTGTATCAGAACTTGAAAAGCGGAAGAAAGGCGCCCTGATGGTGATTCAGAAAATACCACATGTTCTGCCTCATAGAGAGGTATGTTAACTTATTTTTAATTTATTCCCTGTAGCTGTTTGCGAGGTTACTGTAACACAAATTATTTCAGCTTGTGCTGTTCACAGAGGTCGTTATTATCGAAGCCTATTGTTATCAATGTTGATCCACTTTTCTTGATACGTTAATATTCTGCAGAGGGTACAACTGTTTAGGAAGTTGGTCACCAAAGACAAAGTGGAACTTGGTATCACTCGTCCCTCAGATGATTTTTTTCCTCAAGGGACGCTTATTACAGTTCATCGAGCGAGACTGTTGGAGGTGAAGCACGTTTTTATGTCGCTTGTTGTGAATTCCTAGGGAAACAATACCGTTATCTTTTATGCTCGTCAGCAGGAGTGGTAAACCTTTCAGAAATTCATTGTTCTACTTAACGTTTCTTTCATTTTGCAAGAGATAAGTATTTCATTATTTGAGGCTACATTTACGTTAGTTTTAATAGACATTGTGTTCAAAAGAAAGAGCTGTAAAGGAACACAATCCATAGTGAAAACGAAAAACGACCTATTCAGCTGTTAATTCTGTTACTCGTGAAGAGTAAACGGCAAAATTTAGTTCATAAAGATTAAACCTTTTCCTCACGTCGCTGCAAATCAATTGTCCAGTTGTGTATTAATTTGAATAGATACATTTTGTGTGACATTTGTCAATTTTTGTCTCTTGAACTGATCAGGATGGCTATGAACAGCTGGCCTTGCTCCCAACTCGTTCATTTAAAGGAATCATCCGTGTCAGATTCATTAATGAACAGGTGAGTGTTTTTGGACGGAATAACAGAATAAGGAAGACCTTTAAAAATAAATTTGGAATGACACACGGTACTGGTTTACACATTCTGCATAATTTAAACTGTGGTTTGAGTTTGCTTTTTGTTACAAATAGGGTCTCTCCGAGGCTGGTATTGACCAAGATGGTGTGTTTAAAGAGTTCCTTGAGGAGGTGGTAAAAAAAGGATTTGATCCCTCACTTGGTTTATTTAAGGTTAGAAGAGTTGTGTGGAAAAAAACTGTTCTGTGGCAAATAAGTGTGGCTGTGTATTTCCATAAATTTACGTTAGTGTGTGTCATAATTGTTCGAAGTTCGATTGTGTTAAGAAATAACATTGATATCATAGATAAAAAAGGGGGGGGATTCTAAGCTAAAGCACATGATAATTGGGAGTGATCATTTACTGACCATCTCACTTCCTGTCCATTAAACCGTTTGACATTTAAACAATAACATAGCTAATTGTAAACAAGGACAGACTGAAATTTAAGTCGCAGATGAAAAGCAACATCCCTAGTTACAACGGTTAGAAAACCATGCATTTCTTGATTTTTTCCCCCCTTCCCACCCCTGTGAAATGTTCATTGATTAATTTTATGCGGTATATTGATCTGACAATATGCTTTTACTTGGTACTAAACCCATTAAATTGACATTGAATTGCATTAAGTTAGAAGAACTGTTACTTGAATGTTGGTGAATCGAACAATAATGTCGTGTTACTTCTAGATGACCAGTGGCGAGGAAGAGCGATTATTTCCGTCAAGCACATCGTTTATTCACAACAATCATTTGAAATTGTTCGAGTTCTTGGGTAAGGTGCTGGGCAAAGCTCTGTACGAAGTAAGTAGAGTATTTCTGATTACCTAAATCCATCTTTGTTAGAACCATTACCGTTTCCGTGGGTTGGAGTTACCAACATTGAAAAAATGATACTTGTCAACTGTTAAGGTCTTCTTTTTGTATACCCACTAATTCATGCCTGCTGTGTATGCTTCATTCCATTTAGGGTATGGTCGTCGAAGTACCGTTTGCATCATTTTTCCTCAACCACATTCTTAGTCGACAGCACAGCGGTTTGTACAGTTCAATAGACGAACTGCCTTCACTTGATCAGTCACTGTACAAAAGTTTATGCTTCATCAAGGTTTGCATCTTTAATGAACATTTTACTTCAAATTTACATGTGTTATAAGAGATAAATCAAGTTAACTCCGCCTTGTGTAAGTCAACTGGGAGAGAGCACCGGGGTTTGATCTCCCAACAGGACCAACACCTGGGGTCTGGAAATAAATTAGGACAAAGTTCTGCTTTTACAGTCAACAAATTGGACCCTTGTTGGTAAAGAATAGGGCACAGAGTTGCCGGTGTTGCGGTGCGGTTTTTCTCTATTATGATGTCATCGTTGCATGGATAGGAAAATGCATGGAGATTTTGGCTGATAACAACAATTTAAAAATCTGAGAGTAGATGAAGTACGAACTCTGCTTGACTAGTGAGCTTATCTTACCTTACTCTATTTTTTCGAACAGACCCATTCCCACCTCCTACCATCGATAGCGTTTTACGTCATTAAATCTTTCTTTTTCGGTATGGAAGGATATTAGCAATACATTAAATTTTGAATAACTTAATAATTCAAAATCATTGATAGTAAGAGAACGGAGTCGAGTGAAAGAATAATGAAAAAGTGAACACGATTCGTTAACTAATATTAAATATAACAAATGAAAAAGCCTTGAGAGTGCTTTCTTCTTGTGTCAAACTTATAGGAAGCGGTTAGTTATGTGTGACATTCTTTCTTTATTTTCAGCATTATGATGGCGACGTTCGAGATCTCGAACTGTCATTTTCCTTTGACGAAGATGTTCTTGGCAAGGTAGGATCTAACTCTTAGCGTGTGCTTGGCCCAGAAGTAACCTTCTTCCCTGGCTCAGCCAAATCTGATATTCAACCATTATGATCACAAGGCCATAACACTTTTCCGAGTTACTATTAAACTTCTCTTTTGATTCATCTATGGACTCAATACCAGGCTTCTGAATCAAGACTGGGACATACGTTATAAGATGAAGGCTTATTTACAAGGTCTCTATTTTGAATATTTGAATATTGAATATTTTTTGGCTAATTTTTGTGTTACGTTCAGGTGATCACTCATCAACTCATGCCAGGCGGAAATGTTATTCAAGTCACAAATGATAATAAGTGAGTGGAGTTCTGCATCCTATCCGCTAAGTAATTCGTTTGGACCTCTAATTTGATTCAACGTTACAACTTTTACAAACAATATCCTCAACGTTTTAAGAAAGTGTTTTTGCTTAAAGTTGCAAAAGTGAGCTCGCAGTAACAGAATGAAGGAAAGTTATAGAACATAATCAACTGTTTCATGGCTCAATTTCCAATGGCTGAATACAAATAAGCAGGTCGAATAGGAATTTTGTAGTGTTGATTTCTAAGTAGAGACGCCATTCGGGCTGCAGTGCGCGGCGGGGGGGGCCTGGGGGTCAAAGTTGCATATTGTCGGTACTGCAGCTCCTCACTCAGATCAGAATTTCACATCAGCTACAAAATAAGTCTTGTATCTGCCGTGGAAAGGTGAAAAGATCATAAGAATGGATACAGTTAAGGCTATACAATTTGGCACTGGTGTACGAACATCTATATGTTTTTGTGGGTCGTATGAACAATTTCAGAGTGTCACTTGAGGTTCATTGTGCTACAATTTTCTCGAGGTTGGATTGTGCTCACATACGCTCAGAACAATATTTTCTATTGTAAGTACTAAAATGTTGTTCCTCATCCTGGAAAAGTTCATTTCAGGCCAATGTTTTTGACAGCTCTCCGCGCGATTAAGAATGATATTGATCCAAAATGGGCGCCAAGATATGACATCATTCGCTGTTAATCAATCTCAATTAACACTTTATGTCGTTGAACTTGACCTGTTAAGTTTTCTATATTTTCATGCAGGATAAGTTATGTCCATTTGATGGCTCACTATCGCATGTGTGTTCAAATCCGGGAACAAACGGCAGCCTTTATACGGGGTTTCAAATCTATCGTGCGACATGATTGGTTGCAGATGTTTTCCGGTCCTGAACTTCAGAGACTCATTTCCGGTGACAATGCGGCAATGGATCTTGGTGACTTGAGGTATCGTAAGTCGTAATGATTATAAGTGGCAGTAAAAGGTTAAGATAAAGTTTGAAGTCACAGTGAAGTGAAGTTTCGATTCTAGAAACATGATCTTATTTAACTACTCTTCTTTCTTCAGGAAGCATACCTTAGTTGAAAAAACCGTCTTTCATCTTCGACCGTTGTCCCGCAGGTTATGAACCAATATGGTGGACCTTAGGAAGTTCTGTCATAAACTTTTTGAGAGACTGCTGCTTATTTTAAATTCAGGCAAAGATTTCTGAGCTCAAACTTTTTTTCTCTATTTCTTTCTCTTTAGCACAAGAAAAACTAATATCATGTTATCACGATTGTAAGTTGTCCTTGGATGAGTGTTGTGTTATCCAACCCAGATCAACCCATGGTTTGTATTTTTAATTTTGCAGACGTCACACAAGATACTATGGTGGTTACCATAGCAATCACAGAGTAGTCAACTGGTTATGGGATGTACTGGAGAAAGACTTTTCTGAGGACGAAAAATCCAGATTTCTTAAGGTAGGGTTTTCATTGTTCACTCGTCATAATCCTCGCTAAAGCAAGAAGTTCGCCTGTTAAGTTTGGTTAGGGTTTAATACAGTTTTTTTTTTCAGTTTTTGTTCGATGGTAAAATATGCTGTTTATCCCCCTAATTTTCATATTCATTTCCATTTCGTATCCTTGACCACTGTTCTACAATTCGCCTTGCCTGTCTTTGGTAACCTCAGCTTCAAAAATGATTCGCCGCTTGGTAGACATATGAATAATGACCCTAACACTCTCATGACTGGGACGTCAATTGGTGAACAGAAAGCTCAGATAATTCCCCACAATATTACATCGCAAGGGCGTAATGTATTTTGTGGTCAGTAGTTCAAGCTCACAAACTTCTCCTTGTCTACCCGCAGTTCGTTACGAGTTGCTCGAAACCTCCGTTGTTGGGATTTGCTCATCTGGAGCCTCCATTCTCCGTTCGATGTGTGGAGTGTAATGATGACGAGGTGAGTGATTACTTAATCAAAACGTGATTAGCTTCGTACTTCTCTGTACAAAATCAGTCAAGATCATCCGATGACTCGCTTGACGGTTCGCTCATCGTAGCGACTTTCCTAGCATGCCAGATTTCTTTTGACTAACTCGTCTGGTGTGCCTTTTTCTGCAATTTTGTTATGCCCATCGCTACTAATTGCCAGAAAACGTCAACCATTTAGGCTAGCTTGTTTTGTTGCATGGCTGCTCAGAATTGTCGATAACAAAGATGCTTGGCTTCGGACAAAGGAAAAACTGAAGGAGCAAATAGGCAAAAAATCTTCACGAGTCTCCACGCACATAAAGATGGTGAAATTTACTCTTGCTTTCCGCTGGCAATGAAATTTGCTGAAATCGGTGCTCAAAACCTAAACGTATGAACAGAAGGGTGTGAGCGTGGTAACGCTAAAAGGGTAATTGCATCTTTACAATACCACATTCAAGCGGCGGTGTTGAGGTAAAGAGAAAATGTAGTTACGATAGAATTAATTCTAACCTTAAGTGGACCTTATGTGTTGCCTGACTTAGCTCCGACCGAAAATATTCAGGACCCTTCTTGCTGTTGATTGATTTTCATACCCGTTGACCAAACGGTATTAATTCCACCCTCCCCTCCGAAAATAAAAATTCCTGAAGTTGAGAAAAAGCCTACCAGAGATTTTTCTTGAGCGTCGCCAAATAACGTTGAAAGAGGACTTCGCTGTAAGTTAAACATATTAATGTCGATTTCCATGCCATGCTCACTGTTTGAAACTTCAATCCTATTGTGAACACGTGTCAAAATTGTTTAAATGCTGAGAGAGAAAGTTAGTTTTTGAGCGCTCTGATTGGGAGCTTAAGAAAATTTTATCAAACAGCCAACTCAAGTTGGACGGAGAAGTAAAGTTACTGCTGATTTATCGATTCAATGAGTTATTCAAAAACTCCTCGTTTTTTCCAAGGATGAAGGTGACACTGTTGGCAGCGTGTTTCGCGGGTTTTTCAGCGTTGGCCGGCGGCGTGATCCAGTTGGGAGACTACCCACCTCATCTACTTGTTTCAATTTGCTCAAACTTCCCAACTATAGGAAGAAAAGCACACTCAAAGAGAAGCTCCGTTATGCAATCAACGCCAACGCAGGATTTGAACTTTCATAATCGACGACAGTGAAACAGGAACAGTCCCTTTATTTGTTACCCCCAAAGATCCATTCTCAGATCTATCGCCTCGCAAAGCTACCTTTAACTTATAGGAAGCTTCAAAATATTGCTGTAGTTGGTAATAAAGAAAGGTCAGTGAGATGATTATCCAAAACATTGAAGGAAAATTTGAGCTATTTTGCTTAACGAAGTTACTTCAGCGCTGAATGAGACTTGGGTCGGTAAAGCAGATCTCAGTCAATGTTCTTTTTATTTCTATGAAAATTGGTTTATATGAAAAATAAATGTACATACACATTTTTAGCGTTTTACAATTAAATTACTTTCTTTGTGTTTGACTATAATGTAATAGAAACCTTGCCATGAATTATAGAAGATACCCAACCCATCAGATGAAGAGTACAAGCTACAGTGCAGTCAAATTTACTTGATTTTTTTTTAGTGCGTTAGTAATCGGTGCACAAAACTGACAAATCTGGTTATGGGAATGCGAATAATCTAAAACTGTTTCAAAGCGATGAAATGAAACCTCCATGAAGTGGAAGCTATGTTTCTTACATGCCGCCAGATTATTTTAGTAGAACACAGTTCTAGTTAAAATTAGTTTTTATCAAGTAGTTAATTTGTAGTGTGTTAAAATGAAAACTGAATGTACCGTTAGTGACTCTGACGCTTTCCTTGCTCCTCTTTGGTTGGAAATGTACATGTACATTCGGCACTCAGTTCTCTGAGGTGTTCATGCCAAAAATAGCGTCAGAATATGAGGTTTACCCGAGCAACTAAAATATCTTGTCGTGCGACGAGATTTAATCAGTGTCTTGCTTAGCATTACTTGGCTCTCTAATTGGTTGAAAGTTACGAAACACACAACCACTCCAATTCGCAGACAAGACAGTAGGGTTCCCCTGGCGCTGTTCAACTGTACTTGTGCTAAGCTTATATTCGTAGACTTGTTCTTTTCGTGTATTGCAGTTGGCCATTTTGATTGTTTTTAATGTTGAGTGACATCACCCGACCAAAACTGAAATTTGCACTGCGCTCTACGTAATACTCTGGAACTGAGTAAATATGTTGGGTCGAGTTCTTTGCTTAAAGATAAAAAAACAAACTTTATAAAAATTTTGAGGCAGCTTCCAAATCCATTTAAATACCGCAAAGTCGACAAAAGGACTCTCTCCAGCAACATAAACTCTGTGGGAAATGTCTTCGCAATGCCTCGAAGGTCCTCAGTGGATGAGACCCTTTCGCTTTCCGTTGTCATCCAGTTGTGATTCACCTTAAAGTTATTTATCATTTTTCATCGACCCGTCTCTCTTCCATGGACGTTGGCGGGCATACCTTTTTAATCTTTTCCGTAAGTTGTAACGTTCTTTGGAAATAAGATGGAAGTAAGGGCGTTTCGCAAGGATGAACAAATTGTTTGATTCTTTTTCGGATAGGAACAATAAACTTAATTAATGCTTTGGTATGGTGTTGAATATTTTGAGCGCCGGTCCAAGCTTGATCTTAAGAATATTGACGATATCGTTCTGCGTCAGCAAGAGGAAAGCTTCTCCGTCGATCAGCTGAAAGATAACAAATAAACGTTATGCAAAAGCTCGGCAAGGTAAGTGGAGAAGAGGACTACAGAAAGACGATCTAATTTACCAATTTGTTTGACTGGTATACCACCCGTAATGCACCCTCTTTAAGCACTGAATATTCACATCTATGTAATGAATTTGAGAAGATGTTATTCCTCCCTTTACGAGCGTAGGACAACGAAAAAATCTGAGTCCCCACGAGGAATCGAACCTCGGACCTTCGGATTCCTCTCTCCGATGCTCTACCACACTTGAGACCATAATGCTCTACCACACTGAGACTCTATGGTGAGCTACTTAGGACTAGTTTCACATGTGAAATGCGTCCTGCAAAGTACTGGCATGAGTTAGGATCAAGTATTGAAAGTGGTCTGGGAATTGCTTATGACACACATGTAAACACCTGCCGTCCACCTTCATCGCCACCACTTCACTAAATTCTGAGTTCTTGCAATGCAAAATGACGGTCGGGTACACAGACAGTCCACGAAAAAAACGCCTTAAAATACACGCTGTAAATGTACAATGACAATACACGGTAATGGCAATAAATATCATAAAAATGTACCTGGTCTCCAAATATCTTAGCCTGTTCCGTGCAGCCGAGCGCGCGCACGTGACTCATAACGTCATCCACAGTCCACTTAATCATTCGTTGCCTTTCGTTGGAGGCCACCGAGTCATTTTCTAAACTGATGGCGGCCTTCAGCTCGCTGAGACCCATCATGGAGAACTGGCTTCCCAAAGGCCAGGGAAACGAGAACGGTGTGACATGCTGAACAGCCTTGTCTGCGTCTGAGACGACAAAAAATCATAGCCACAAACGTTTAGCAAAGTTATCAGGCAATATTTTTACATTGTGACGGACCTCAAAAACAGAATGGTAGACTCTAGCTTGATTACAGGCAGTAGATAAATTCTTGAAACCCTGGAAAATTGAGTTTAACAGTTCGATGAATTGGATATCAAAGAAGCTACTCAGGAATCCCCTCAAATACTAGCCACTCATCACCTGGACCTCATACCAATTACCGAGTATGAAAAGAATCTAATTAGCTGTCGTCTCTTACACAAGCAACATTATACATTCTTGAATACAACTAACAGCAGAACTTCAAGGAGAGACTTACTAGTAAGTAATAAGAGTGACTTACACTTCTGGCGCATTCCATGGTGTTTCTCATCTTTAACAAAAACTTTCCTGTTTGAACAAAGGACACAAAGAAACTTTTATTTGAACTCGTAGTTATGCACTGACGACTCGAAACAAATTGGTTGCTTGACTTAGTGTAACATGCCTTCGAGATTTCTGATCATGAAAAACTATTTCATGACAGTTTCAATAGAGAACTTTGAAGTTGACCTTTAAGCACTTCCTATAATCCAAAAAGGTGCAAATGATTCACCGAGGTTAACAAACAGTAAGACAGGTTCTACTACTGAAGGAACAGCGCTGTTTCGATGAATCTGCAAGCCGTGAACATCCATGCGGCTACTGATCAAATAGGAGATTTCAACAGGATACACAGCTTACCTAGCAGAGCTTCGGGTAGATATAATACTTCCACCAACTGGTGCTTTGGCACCTGAGTGGACAGAAGGAGGACTGTTGGGGGCGAGGTGTGGAATTTTCTTGAAAACGGGAGACTTGCTGGTATGCTTCGAAAAGATCTTGCCTTGGTTTGCTTCATTGTTTGGGCAGCCTGACAGACTACGAAAACAAAATAAGATATTAGACCTGGAGAGAGGCATATGAGTGGCTCTTGGCGCAGCGAATTATTGTAATTCCTTTGAGTTGTTAGAGCCTGGATACTATTCTAGTCGTTAGATATAGATATCAGTGGCACAGTTAAACTGTGTGCTTCCCTTCTATCAACTCTAGCAGAAGTTCAAGTTTGAGAAGATCTGTTCATGTCTATAACGAACTTAACAACAAATTTACCATGACTTTAGTCTAAGAGGAAACTGAGGGCAAAGAAAGCGAAAATATTTGGAAAAACAGAAACAGAAACAGAAACTATACGACGACAATGCAATCGATTTGTGAGAGAAAACCACAACTGATTAACTTAACGACCTGCTGGACTGGTCTCCCCTTCAGAGGAGAGGGAAAATTGTTCACCGTATGCCATTCTACAAAAGTTATTCATATGAATCAGTTACATCACAAAGCCCAGTTGTTAACCAAGATTCTTTCACAAAGTTACGACCAAAGGCACTTAGAGATGAATACCACAATTTTAACCAGCTTATCTAGCATCAACCAGCAACCAGCATCAAGTTTCTTTTTAAACTCATCAGTAAAGGTTTGAATAACCCTCTCCCATTTCAAAGTTTTTCCGTGATACGTGCAACATTTTACAATACTTCCCCACCCACCCCACCCTCCTCCTGCATATAGATGTAGCTTACGTGTAATGAGTCTTCCAGTGTCCAGTGACGTGACCCAGGCCATTACATCCTGGTGTGGGACACACCCCTTCCACGGTTGGACTTGAAGGAATCTCAGCTGAAACATTAATGGGCAAAAACAATTCATCAAATCAATCTTGTCATGACTAGTCAGTTATTGCCTCAGCCTTACGTTTTACTTCTTTGAATCCAGTCGTTTTCTGTTTAGAAGCATAGGACCAGTCGGATTCTTCAGTCATGGAGTTGTTGGAGAGCCGATCCACTAGGCATGAGTCTTTGTTCAGGTTCTGCAGTGAGTACGGGCAGCCAAACGTGCTGTGATGAGTGGAATACTTAGCGCCCTTTACATGACCAATGCCTTTACATCCGGGAGTCGGACAAGCAGCACTTGAGATCTTTTCGCGGGTTGCTATAAAGAAAAGACAACCATTATAATGAGATTGGCTGCTGGACTGATCTAGGATAAAGGTCTCTACTCGACATCGATAATGTTATATATGGAATAACGGTTGAAAATCATGCGGTGTAAGGCTAATTCAAAAATTCCGTAACAGGCAATGAGAACTCCAGCATAAGCAGCCGAATACAACTGAAGTTTACAAAGAAAGAGGGGTACACGAATACCGACCTGAGTGCGAGCTTCGTATCGTCTGTTGACGACACCTGTCATTTGGTAGAGTCACTGACACTTTCTTTTGAATCTTTTGTGGTTAACTTTGAGTAACGGCAGGCAAAAAAGATTACGATTTGCAGCCTTCTCCCCCCTCCCCCTTAATGATGGAAATACGATCAAATGGTGATACAATCGACACTCACTTAAGGGCGTTTCCAGAGGATGTCCCGTTTTTTCGCACCACCCAACTGGGTGTAGGTCAGTAGAATCAGCATCAAACCAGTCATCATAGATATCATCCCAGCCATCTAGATGCACCTTGACTCTGTATTCTTCCACTGCAGCTACTCTAGCTGCTCGGACTAGAGATGGATTCCGTTTATCAACTGCTTCCATTCTCTCCCCAGGCTTAAAACTTGGCTTGGGGCGCTACAAAGAAAACAATGCATCAGGGTGAAGCTTAATATTACTTCATTGCATCCATTTTGAAATCACAGTGATCCTACAATCTGATAGGCTCTCAGCAGAACGATTTGTAAAGGTAATCGCAAGAAATCAAGTGCAATTTGGAATAAATCAGCAGAAGTAAATTTTTCAAAGGCCAACCAAATTGCACAAGCCAGTGGGGCGAGTGCAATTTGTAGTCTTTGAAAAATCTACAAGTGCTGATTTATCCCAAATCACCCCAAAAAATTCATGTGATTACTTGTTGATAAAAATATAGGCAAACATTTTCCTCTTAGTCGTGTTTATTTCGTGTCCTGACTTATTGGTGGGTTGCTTCTGGAATTATCGGGTCTTTCCCGCAAGAACTTGCTTTGAGCTTTTATACTTTCTGTCACGAATAGTCAAGTGTTTAGACTTTTTCTCAGTTAGGTATTGGAATCCTAGACTTCCGGACCTTTGTTCAGTTTTTTGTGCTTTGCTGGATGTTTTTCGTTCTTAGCACCCTCCTTCAAACTCAGAATTACAACGTTGTTACTTCCTTCTAACCTATTTCTTTCCAATCAAGCTATTTACTTTCAACCTTTTTCACTCAATTTCAATTTTCTGCACTTTATGGGTTGAATTGACGTGTTCTCAGCCAATGAGCATGCTCAAATTTTTGCATGCAAATTGGTTATTCACAAATCACACAATGTTTTGCTCTAAATCGCATCTATTCCAGCCAAAACAACAAATCAGATTTCGAGACTTCTCTAAATTGAATCAAATTGCAGGAAAGTGCGGTATCACACCAAACCGCACTCCAGTTCAATTACATTAAAAAACCAAAAGAGCATGTAAGGACTTAATATAATTTTCTGTCATGTGCAGCAAGTTTATTTCCATAATATAGACCTTGAAAGATGGATTAGGAGTGTTCAGTTTTAAATTAAAATATTACATTTTGTGGCCAAATAATATTTAAATGACGTGGCCACTTAACCAAAATTTCACATAATAACATAAAAGATGATTCAAAAAAAACTCTGAAATATTTTTATCTAGTGGTTATAGCAAGAAACCTAGCAGATAATTTAATTAAATTACCCCCTTTGATCCAAAAATAAAGGCCCTCAAGGATTAACGTATAAATCTGACCTTTTTGAAGAGATCTGGAGGCGCCGCAACAGCACCAGTCGTCCTCAGGTACTCCTCCCACTGGAATGTGTACACTTCGTCATCTGAAATGTGCGATATTTTGAGACAAGTTAGCTTCAATGAGAATTGCCTAAAAATTTAGTAAAATCTTGAGATAGCAGACAATAAAAATGCTGGAGGATCATGGATTGCAAATGATCATCTCAAAAACAAACTACCATAAATATTACCCATTTTACCAAGCCTAAAAACGAACGCTCCAACGTTTCCCAACTTTTTTTCGGCTGAATGGTTTACCAAATTTGAGCGCAATAACAAATGCTGTCAGCTTCCAAATTTATATCGAAAATAGGACAATTTAATCAAACTATAAGTTCAATCACGCTCGTTAAATAAGAGATTAATTGTCGCCCACTGAGCGCAACGCGTTTCATTTACTATTTACCATCTTATATCCGACATACACCCATGGAATGTTTCTTTTTCTTCGCATGCAGATATATTATTAGAAATCATATCACCTTACTACTACTAACCATTAGGAGGGTTAAGTTTCTTGCCGTTCTCTGCACACCACCCGACAGGGTGAATGTACGGACAATCGTCCTGACACCAGTAGTCATAAGAGTCGTCCCACTCGTCAAAATGAACTAAGAAATAGTTGCCAATCACGTTGGTCACCGTAGCAACACATATCAGATCCGGGTTCTTGCGATCGACAGCTTCTAGTTTCATACCGACTTTAAATCCGTGTAATGTCGGTTGGACCTGTCGTGTTAGGATGAAAAATTACACATTTAGAAGCTAATAGACCGTTTTTCGTTAATTTTAATTTCATTCATGTAGATACAAGAACATCTAAATGCATCAGTAACTACATCCATGGTAAATTCAACTATCCATAGCACCATCAATGTTTCGGTAATTTGACGTATTTTTGCATAAACTTACCTCTCTGAACAGATTTTCTGGAGCCGCCTTAGCTCCACATTTCTTCAAGTACTTTTCCCAGTTGAACTCCTGTTTCGTGAAACCTGAAATGGAAAACGAACTAAGAGAAAGCATTCATCATACACCAAGCACCCGTGACCATGGCTAAGCAGTTTACGTGATGTATTAGTTCTCTTCGGTCTACCCTGCCTTTTATCCTTTTAAACTTCTCCACAACTCTAATTGAAGATTTCAACTTCGATGGGCTGAATCCAACTCCCAAAGCCTTTATTTTCCGGAAGTTTCAGTTGAAGTGTTCGTATTCTTTTTATTGGACAACATGAAATCAGAAAATGTTCGGGTTCTTCGACGAAGACCTCGAAAACCGAGTTACTTTGGGTGACTTACTTCTTGGTGGGTGCAGAACCTGGCTGTTCCTTTCACACCAGTGCATGGGATAGATAAACGGCGAATCCACGTTAGTCCAGAAGTCGTAACTCTCAGACCAACCATCAAAATGAAGCCTGAGGCGTGCTCCTTTTACTTTGACTATGGTACACACACAGATGTAGGACGGGTGTTTAGGGTCAATACATTCCAACTTGTAATCCTTCTTGAAAGAGTGATTTGGTTTTGGAAACACATCCAGAGAGGGATTTTCCTGCAGTGTACAAATGTGAAGTACCTGTCACAATTGTGCTTTGTACGAAGAAGTGTATTTCCATTTTTTTTTTTTTATTTATTTATTTATTTTTTTATTTTATACACAAGGAGTTGACAAGACAATAAGTGTAAAGTCTATATATGTTATACAGTCTTATCGCAAACTATGGGGAAACATAGGGTTCCAAACCTGATCGCTTGGGATAAAGAAAACAAAACTCAACAAAGTGTAAAGGTGAGAACTAAAATTATACAAATAAGAAAATAATTACTGACAACAAACCTGTTTAAATACAATATTAGGGACTGCTTTGGCACCACACGCTACTAAGTATTCTGACCATACGAACGGTTTGGTAGAGTCATACGGAACTAAAATAAAAAAAAGCAATGAAATAAAAGGTTAGTTGACTGAATCGTGGAGGGTAAGGAGATTCAAGAGAAAAGGAAGTGAAGATCATTCAATATCAGTTGTATTTACCGTCTTCTCCTTTCATCAGATTGGAGGGTTCCAACGAGATCTGTTGCTTGGCCGCCTTGATTTTATGTTTTTCTCCTTTGCCTTTTAGTTTAAACTTGCCCACAAGCGAAGCATCCTGAACTGACGTTACAGAGTCCTACAAAACGAGAAAACGAGTAAGTGAACAACAACCGAATGTATCACTGACTGACCAAGCTAAGGGATCTTCCTCATGCGCCATACTTTGAGAAGGAGTGACCATATTGGCAGTGACTCTAATTCTTTAAAAAATGCAACACAGGCTGAGAACAGAATATCGTTGAAATTTTTCACATACATGTGCACCAGCTGCCACCGGTGGTTTCTCCGCTGTCCCGATTTTCTTTCCTTTTCCCTTCTTTTTCTTCTTCACGATCTTTCCGTCTGCAGTTTTGACCTTGCGCACAAATTCCCTGCCCTTGTTTCTTCTGCCGGTGTACACTCCCACACAAGACAAACCACAAAACCTTCCTGATGCTGAGAATTCCTGCCGCAACCCATTCTTCCCGCACACTTCACAGCATAGGATGTCGGTAGCATTAGGAGAACTGTTTTTTGTCGTATTAGCTTTCTTCGGAATACCTGAGAGAATGTCGAAATGTTTGATCAACGGATACGAAAAAAAATAAAAACAATCCTCTAATGAAATAACAACAGTAGAATGTTGTTCAGAGTAATCATCAATTGACAATAGGTAATAATCTGGAACTGCGTTACCAGTTTAACTGCGCTTTATGATTGGTCTAATAAAACTCACGCCATCTCTTACTCAAACATATGTAGCATTAAAACAATCACCCTGTTGGTCACAATCTTCTCATTACTGTACTGCTACAAAGCAGGATGTTAGATCACAGAGGTTTTCCTTGTGCTGATAACATCCTCGTGTGACCTCTAACCTTGCGTAAATCAAATGCGGTGTTATATCATTCCGGTTGATTTACACTGAGAAAATAGAGAGATTGTTAACAATCTTCACTTAAAATAACTGTATGTGGCAGTATCTTTTCAAAAGCCATTTGTCTTAAAAATGCATACCACTGTCTTTCTTGTCATCTAGTCTGGTTCCCTCGCTTGATTTTTCATTTGTTTCCTCACTTCCTGTTTTTCGATGTTCCGTTGGTGTACTCCACTGTATTTCACCTTTCTCTGTTTCCACTGTACTTATTATCTCTAGAGTCCCAAACTCAGTCAGTTTAAACTTCAGATTGCTCCCTGTTGAAAAACATGCCAATGAAAAAATTAAAAAGCAATAACAATTTTAACCACGTGCTACTTGTGGATATGTCAAGTCTGTTTTCTCCTTGGCTGGAAAATTGTCATATCGAATGAAATTAAAAATCAATCAAGTGAAGACTTCAAACTAAATCTACAAGGAACATTAACATACACATTATTTTAATTTGTAGCAGACACATTCACATGCTCTTGATGAAAGTGGAAATTAAACAATAAACGTTAGAGTTTCTAGGAATCTCCCATATGATATGAAAATCAGAGTTGATGTCAAGTGAAAATGCCTTCAACTGAAAGTCACTTAGACATCTCACTGATTTTTGTACAGAGCACCTACACAATAACATATTCTGAAAATTTCTGCAAGGATCAACAGATACTTGGTGATTATTGCTTGGAGCCAACTTTATGACCGCATCATTGTCAAAAAGGTTGTGCATGCTTATCATTCATTGTGAAACACCAGAAATGAAGTATTATCTTTTGTCTCATGATTTTATTACTTTTAGAATGGATCATGACATCTCAATGGGTATATTGCTGATCTTCACCCAGTGATGAGGTCAGTGGAGTACATACCACCTTATGAGTACTATTCTCCACTGTGATTGGCTGGTTTTTCATAATAATTTGTAATTGGAGCATTTCAAAGATATGTTCCCTCAGTCATCTGCTGAGGCATTACTCTTCTATTGTTGTGCTTCTTGATCATGAGCATCCATGCTTTTGGGATTTGTATTCTACTATCTCTGTTGATGTTGTTGGGGTGAGTAACCTCTTTTACTTTGTTCTTGCAGGATAAAAACTGCTCCTCGCATAAAACTTTGCCCAAACAAACACACCAGCTTCTGAGAAATATATATCCCAAAGGTATGGATACCCAAAATTAAGAAACACAGCAACAAGAGAGCCATGCAACAGCAGACTACTACGAGGATAATCTTCCAAATGCACAGATTGCAGCTGTGGAAAACCAGCCACTTCAATAGGTATACATATCTAGTTGCTCTCATCTCATGAAATAGACTGACATTTTGTAGTGGAAATGTCACATTCCACATGGGTAGTGACTTCATGGTGAGACAAATGATAATACTTTAATCAATGAGAGCCAGTGCCTCACTGGCTTTCAGCCATTCCACATCAAGTGAGCCCTGTTAAATATTTCACAAAGGTGTTTTGGAATGTGATTTATTCTGCTGTCTGGCTGAGAGCAAAATAACTGTAACTCGATCGTATTCAAAAGTACATTTCGAAAATGTTGTTCAGATAAAAATCCTCTCTGCAAGATCCCTCTTCTTTCCCTAAAATATCATATTAAGAAACTTTACTCTAACTATGGTAAATGATCTGAGTGAATATTATAATCATGTATACATCAATACCTGGAAGGGTAGCAATTCCATCTTTCCAGTCCAAGGCTGCAAATGGATCATCCTCCTCAAAACTTGGTTTTTCTTTTTTCACAATAGGCAAATCTTTTGAATCACTGGAAGCTTGGGTCTTGCTGTCTCCTATATTGTTATTTAGATGCTGCTGGCCATTGACAACACTTTTGTTTCCCTCTGAATTTGGGTCCTCCACATTTTTAATTGGATTATTCTTTTTGCTGCCTGCAATTGGTGTGCCTTCATTGCTAGGTTGAACCTGGTCATGGGTGACAGCTGTGATTTGCTCTTTTCCATTACCACCAAGGTCTGAGATTTCAATTTGGTCTGTTATGCACAAGATATAAAGCAGGAAACTTTGGCTTTTCAATACTAGTCATGATAAATTCAGAGTATCTATTGATTGAGTATAGTTTTCTTCTCATATAGCTACATAAAAACAATACAATCATAGTTACAGTAGAACCCCCACAAACTAAAAACCAGTTCACTGGAACCCCTGCTAGCTTGAACAAGATCCACTTTCCCTTTGATTTGATCCCATTTTTCCAGGCATTTGCTGTCAGCTGTCTTGAACTTGGGTTCACTCAAACTTCCCCTCAACTCAAACAAATTTTATTTCTCTTGGCTAAAACTTACACTCATAAATCAAACTTATGTAAAAACTTCAAGTAAAAACAATGGTTGATAAATGTCAAATTGTCAGAACATAGCTGACTGATACTTCCCAACCTTTAATTGCTACTGATATGAACATAATAACATTTATGAAAACCTAACACATTTAGATTAATTTTCCAAACTAAAAGTAATTATAGGAGAGCGCTTATAAAAACAAACTAAATGTACACAATTAATTAACAAGATAATTGAAATTCAACACCAATCCCAATAACTCAAACCCTAGCTACCTTGAACTATTTTTCAATAAATTAATGATAAGTTAAAATGTAGCAACATCATAATTAATAGCAGATCGAGGTAGACCAACTTTCATGTCTGCATCCCTTTACTTTTAAAAGTGTATTCAAGACATTATTGTTTTGTTAGGACTCACTTACATCACAAATAATTAAAAGTTTTCTTCTTTTTTAAAATGTGAACATGATTTTTCTTTTCCTTGTTTTTTTTTTTTTTTTTTTTTTGAAATGGTACTATGCAATCAGCTTTTAGATATGTATGTTAACATACATTAGGCCTCCAATATTTTATTAGTTATGAACATATAATTCAGTGAAGAGAAAATGCATTAAAGAAGTACGAGGTATTGGAAAAAAAGCCAGATTTTCAATCATTTTTTAATTATTTTAGACCAACAACTTCACCCCATTAACAGCTGTTAATTACCTTGAAGGCTTTTAGAAGGCAATGAAGTTTGAAAGTCTATTTTCTGTTCACAATCATTATCCAGTCTCTGTTTCTTGGCATGTGGCTCAAAGTTTTCACTCACTGAACAAGTGACTCCAACTGCTTCTGCAGGCCCATTCATTCTGATCACCAAGTACTGTAACACATTCCTGCTTTCTGTCATAAGAGAACATTATTTTGTCAACCTCTCTTCTGAGTAAAATACCATTACTGAAGACATTTCACATCAAATTAGTATTCACTATTGACTCAGAGAAAAGAATTGATAAGAAAAAAAATGTCCAGAGAAGATAAGAACATATTACAGTATGCAATTGGTTTGTATGTTACTTTCTTGACTAGTGCGCTACTCAAAAACCATAAATGTAAAACAATTTCAATCATTTGACTGGTATACAAACCTAAAAGTGTTCAGTGGAACTAACAGTCATCACCTTTAGCACATTTAAAATAATTTAAGTCTCTATAGACATGATAAATAAGGAAATAACACAAATATTCAAAGTAGACATCTTTTCAAAGATAAATGATTTGCAAGCCATAAATAACTCTGGCTGTCACCTATAAAATAAAACATTCTTAAAAGTCCCTGAAGTAAGCAAAACCAAAGAAAACTATTGGAAATTGCAGGCTTCCTTATATCCCTTAAATACATCTTTCCATAAAACCTTTATCTTAATATTTCTCAGTTTATCTGATTTATGACATAGTTAAAAGCCCAGCTTTTCAAATGGTGTTCTACAAATGCTTCACAAACAAAAATAGATATGACTACTAATAATATTAAGTTGCTAAACACAAAAAAGAAAGAATGTACCAACTCTGTTGTTGAAAGTTGATAATAATTACTATGCACTTCTATGTTTCATGAGTTTGGAATGTAACTTTTTTCCCTCAAGGGGAACTTTCACATTTCTTTAAGGAAGTACCTACTTGTGCACTGTGGTAGTTCATTACCACTATCACAAAACTGAAATAAACACCTTCACTGTTGACTTAAGACAGCCTGGTGCCAATAATAGTCTTTTGTTTAACCTCACGTGACAACAGGCATGTGTGCATTTCTCGCTTTTTTTTCTTAAAAAAAAAATAAACAGTGTTCCAACTATTTCCTCAGGAAGCGCTTGAAGCCTAAAGCATATTGAAAACGGTCACTTACAAAAAAAAAATACAACAACAACAAAGCAAAGTAAAAAAAAAATATACGAGGCCGTTATCTGCGAATTCCATTTGTTACCTCTGGTGTTAAGAGAGCGAAACAGCCATTAGAAATCTAGAAAAGGGTTTCATGTTCGTCATTTCTACAAGACACGAGGTTTTTGACTGTGGTTATGTCATGAAACACGCGGCCGCGGTTTTTTAAACAAATCGCCTGCCACAAAGACATTCGAAAACACGGCTTCCGAATAACAATCTTACTTCTTCGAAGACAATCAATTTGTTTGGTGTTAATAGATCACCCAGATAGTCAGGAAAACTCGAGAAAAAATTTTTAATAATTTTTTCCTTTTTTTTTTTCCTTTCTTTCTTAACAGTGAAAAAGTTTTATGTCGCGTGAAACATGCGTCAGCGTGTTACAAATTGGCTCGTGGGAAGACGTTAAATAAATTTAGAGAAGGCAACTTTGGGATTTTAAAAATAACACTTGAAAACATAACCTTAGAAGGTATGCTTCCGAATAAATGATGTCATTCTTTTAAAAAGATTGCAAAACATCGGCAAACTCTATCCGAAAGACAGACTGCGCGATCTGACACTTTTTTTTCGACACGGCTGATGGCGAAAACAAGCTGGCCACCCGATATGAAAGAGAAAGTTTTTAATACAAATCGAAAACGGCTTTACAGCGTATGTGCTCCGGCAAGTCCCAACATTAAGATCGACACAACACTCGATAGTCACATTTAAAAATGGGAAACGTTAGTTCCTGAACGTCGCTTAACAATCTGCCAAACAAGAGCGGACAAATTGCGACTCAACGTGGAGAAATCAATTTACACTCTATTTTTGTAACAACCCGCGCGCGGTACCAAAAAGCGTCTAGTGTTAATTCTAATTCGTAAAAGAATCGCGATAGTTCAACACTATTTCCTCGAATCGAGGACAGAACATTGTTTACATATGAAGAACTGTTCTTACCAGATAAGCTACAAGCGCGATGCGTTAACTAGCTTACCGTAAAGCTTGTAGTTTTATCAGCAATCGCAAGCCCTCCACGCTTGAACTGTTTTCGATTCTTTGAATATTCAATAACCTTTTAGTTTCAGTCGTGTTTCTCACTCGAAATATTCTTTATCTCTGTTTTGTTCGAACAGAACACTTTCAAAAGTAAAATATAAACTCTTTGTCTTATTCTGACTGAGTTTTTTATCGCTTTTGGCGTGTTAATCGCGGACACAAAAAATGAAACCGTACTCTTCCCGTGTGTGAAATACTTGACCTCGCTTCCATGTAAATTCTTGTTTTGTTGGCTTCCTTGTACTCCATCTTGGTTTACATCAAGTTTTAAACGCTTTTTCTCGTTCTTGTCACCTTAAAAATAATCTTCAACGACGCCAAAAATCCTGGAGAAGCTATTTCTGTAGTTTTTAAAAAGAGGTAGTACTAAACAAGGACGTTTTAACTGGATTAACATGTGACACCCTACAACCAGAAATGGCTTTACCTGAGAAGAGTTACAACATATAACTTACACTGAACTTACTATTAAAATCATCTAAAAATCCCAAAAAGACCGCAAAATTCGTTTGAAAACAGTAGAAAAATCCATTAACCCTCAACCAATGTTATTTTGATCCCTTTTTAAGAACAAAAACGGGCAATAAAGAACAGCTTTTATAACCTTACCACTTAGCCAGACTGATCTCCCTGCAGTAGTGAAATGACGGCGAACAATAGTATATCTCGCCTTTCGCTTGAGCTGCCAATCAAATGACAGCGAACAATCGAGACACGTGATTGAAGTTTTTATTATGCAAAACCACCGGAACTTTCCGCAGTGCCAGAATTTCAATTTCGTGCGAAAAACAAGGCAAAGAATTCTTTTTGACGAATCAGAAATGCAAACAAAACACGAGCTGTTTAGCATGCCTTGTGAACTGTTTCACGGGAAATGTGCATTGATTTCATTTGAAATGTTTATTTTAGCATTTCTAAAAGTATGCAAGATTTGAAGACACCCTTCAATTACTCCGTTTACGTCACAAAGAACAAATAACAGTTTTGATTAGACTAGACAACCACAGTATTTCTTTAAAAAAATCAATACACGTTCTGCTACGTTTTCGTGGAACTATTCCTACACTGCGCAATTCATCCCACTTAAAAAACGCTTGAAGCCGGTAACCATGTTAGAAAACATGTTAGTGGTGCCTGTAATTTTTGTTCCGCGCCAAACGCGTCTTGTGAAGGATGCCCCCGACGGCGACTGTTAAGTTGAGTCAGAAAAGGGAGACCCGTTAATGGATATAAACCAAAGAAAAATAAAATGAAAACAATCGCTTGTTCCAGTTATCAGTACAGCGCTGAATTTTATTTTCCGACACTTTCGTGAAGAAATATTTGAGTTATCAATATGTAAAACTTCCTCGAGTTGTTTATGATATTCCGTATAACGTGGTTGAAAAACGAATCGAACCTTTACGAGGTCGTGATATTAAAAAAAAAGCATGAAATCGCAAGACCTTCAATGTCTTCGATCTGTGCATCATTTTCCGGCTTGAGGTTTTCCGACTTCCGTCGATCATTTTCGATTTCGGAGACATTCACCTTAGCCGCTGATATTCAAGCCACACTGTTTCTTTAAGTACTCTTGGTTAACCAGCTGTGAAGGAAATTTTTTATTTGAGACCGTTTTAATGGTCACTGATATCCCATTTTTTAAACATTTGCGAGCGAAGATGATTAAAAATTGACAGAATTTCCCACATTATGTTTCACGCCTCAACACAACACGCCATTAATGCGATATGACCAAAATATGTCAAAGGTATTTCGCAATATACTTTTCTGGGCCGTCTACAGAGGAAGCGAAATAGGAAATAAGTCAAAAATTTTAAAATTCGACTCTTAATCCAGAAAAGAGCGACCTGATTATTACACAGCATTGTTGATAAAGCACAGTTGTCTTTGATGTCGGTTCTGCTTGTTTCAGTTGCTCTCTTCTTTTGCTTATAGGAACACTCACAGACCTCAGGGTAAAAAAAACAAAACGAAATAAAAAACAAAGCAAAACGTTTCCACTTTTGAATGCTCTAAAATGGCTGTGTCATGTCACGGTACCTTGAGTTCATGTGAATTTCTATATTGATGACTCGATATTGTTATATTTTATGTTCTATTCGCGTTCCATCAATAATTAGACCCTAATTACGCGAGTCCGGTAAGAACCAATGTTAGACTTTTACAATGGCTTTTGTCGTTCAATTCTCTTCTACTAACACCGCAACAAGGACAACAAAACGTCTCTAAATCATCATTTTCAAACTCAAACACATCTTTATTCATGAGTTTCAAATTTTTTTACTCATTCATTTGATTATATGTTTCTTTTCACTAGACTATCCTTGCATGTTAATATAGCGATGAAAAGAAAAAGATAACAGAACATACAGAATTTAGCTGTGGTATATCCACGGTAACGTTTTTCGTTCATTTATTCTAGTGCAGAAGGCGTTAAAATGGTGAAACCAAAGGAAAACCCACAAGTTTCCGTAATTTCCCAAGAAGGAACCGATTGAATGAACAAAGTTGACTCATTATTGCGGATTGTGCTCCTAGTGTCTTTATATCAAGGTTTTACCTGTTTGTCCGCGAGCTGCTTTGTTTTGCGGAGCTCAAAATCAAAAAGCTGCGAAAAGGGCTTCCTCGTCCAATTTGATTTAAACACCACAAAAAGAACTTTACATAAAGACAATAAACGAGATCACGTAGCCAGTCAATGAGGGCAAGTGGCTTACTGCGAAATGACCCGACTTAGTTTTTCCTGCAGCCAAACAATGTAATAAAAAAATTTAAATGATGACAGAATGGCAATAGGTCTTAATGTGGAAAGGAAAGAAGAAAAAAGGGTAGACTGCCATTTGGGCGAAAGTGCTAACCCGGGTTTACTAGTCTACTGGGCTAATTAAATTTCAACCCACGATCTGGGTCTGCTCGGGTCGAAACAAGGATTATTCGGCGGCAAGACGGGCTAATTCGACATTTGACCGTTTAAGGATTATCCCTCTCTTACAACGCAATGATTCAGCTCAAGTGAAAAAGCAAACGTATCCGGGGTCGCATGAAGAGTCCACACAAGGTTTACACATGTAATAATAACGTACATGGAAATATTTCTTACTTCTGACTTGACAAGAGAAATGCAATCTGTATAGGCAATAACATGATTTCGAGTGCAATTTGGTGTTAATAAGCACGAGTGAATTTTCCAAAGATAGCGAAACTGCACGAGCCCGTATGGCGAGTGAAATTTGTAGTCTTTGAAAATTCACAAGCGCTTACTTAAACCAAATTCCACGTGAAATCATGTTCTTACTTACAAAAAATTTGCATGAAAAAAGCATCACTGAAAGTCAAGACAGGCGAAATTTTGACAGCGCGTGCGCCCTATTTGTAATTTGCATTCGTGTTACACTTTCGTATTCGACTTCCATAAAAAATACACCCGTTTTAAGCCAATCGGACGCGAATAATTTCTTCATTTTTATTATTATTTTGATAACACAGGGCAGAAGGGAGGTAAAGTGCTTAATCAGAGCAAAGGAAGGTAACAATGTATATGGTCAGGCTTTGAACTATTTTGCAGCTCAAAACTTCCAAAAAAAAACATTTAGAAAATTGATGGTTTGATATAACCGAACACGCAATGGAATTTTCAGGTTAGGACACATTATCCTGCACACGATTAACGCGCTTTTGCCACTGCATAATTATTCAAGGCTATCCCAAATTTTGTATTTAGACATACTATCAATAGGCAATCACTACTTTTCTCGTGCAAATTGGAATGACCAAGCAATCATAAATATTTCCCTAGACAACAAATTTCACCCGCCCCACAAGCTCGTGTACTTTAGTACGTCTTAGAAAGAAATCACTCTTGCTCAAATACTCCAAATTACAATCGAAAGTATGTGATTTCCTGTAGTAATCCTACCAAGATCAAAGAACGCCTTCTTTGTACTCCAAAACATAATGAGAATAGGACACGAGAAAAAGGAGAATTTCCGTCGACAAGTACCCTTTCCAAGTAACCTCTCTACCGACAGCAGCCGTTGGACCCTTTCAAACACTCAGATCTTATATATATATATATATATATATCATAATTTCTTAACATTTCGACCTTTTGTTTCTAGCCTGAGGAAGCTACCCTTTTAGACTAGAACATTTCCTTGCCGTCTATCATAAGAGGTACTAAATCCCCGCTGGGATGGAGAGTTGGAACGTCATCGCTACGAAAACATACAGCCGTGTATATACATTCGGCCATGAATAGCAAATGCCTTGTACCTTGCCGCTGTTATTACCTGTAATAGAATGCATCCACTGCTGAAATTGCCGTCAAACTGACAAGAACGTTTATAGAACGAAAGGGAAACATTAACTACTTCATTTGCAAGAAAAATACAGATAAATGGTGGCAACCCTGCACGTTATACCATCTCATATGGCGGCGCGCAGAAAATTCCAGTTTCAAGATAGCTTACACCACAGTAAAGTTTCTCTTACACAAGACTTTATTCCCATCAATACCTCCAAATTGCAATTTTAAAGACCATTTTGACAATTTGGTTCAACAGTAGATGTTTAAGTCAAGATTTACTTTCCGACTCACGCTAATAAAAATGGCGACATGTCATTTGAATGCTATCGTACTCGATTTCAGAGATAAATCTTGAAATTGAAAGAAACATGTTACTCTCAGAATAAGTGAGAAGCTAAATAGAAAGTATAAATACTTTAAGGATTCAAGCAAAAGAAAAGCGACTCGCACTGCGCGCGCGTACGATTTTGTAATTACACGAAAAGGGTTTCAGTTAACATTATAAATTAATGGAACAATGAAAAAAGGCAAGCTTTCATAAACCTGTGGCTTTTAATATAATTGTTCTTACACTGTTGGTGTTCGGAAACAACTCCTCTCAGGGTGCTAGTCAACTACTGGCTGTCATCTTCGCATTCCGGTAGATTTCCTCCGAAATTTGGCACCATTTTCAATATAGATAATATGGCCAATAGTTAGCAGTTGTTGTTTTTTTTTTTACCCGCAGTGTGGTATTTATGCTTTTAGGGTTGACATAATTAAGAACCATCGGCGTGCTTCTTATGCCATAGTTTTGTTTTCATTATTAATTAATCTTGCTTTTAAGTCATAATACAATCGACTATTGATAACATAACCCCTCCGCTAATTAAGAGCAATTTCTGTTTACCTTCTAGACACTCCCCGTATAATTTGACACTTGATGACTTTAACCAAAACATAACACATGGCACTGTAGTCCACAGATTGAATCATTTTGAAGCAGTTGTGCATTTTTCTGTCACCTTCCTTTTCGCGAACAACAAAAACGAGTTTTTCCAGTAGGATACATCTCAATATAGTGCCATATATTTTGCTGTCACTGTGCTGCTTTTAGGGTCTTTTCAAAGTGTTCCATTTTAACTCCACGAGTCTACGTTTTGATCAAAATTTGATCAGAATTTGTACTATAAGAACAGAGGAACAGTTAATACCATTTCGCCTCTATTTTCTGCATTTTTTCCCCTAAACTCCCGGTAACTATAAATTTTTTCTGTTTCCCACATAGGATCGAGTTATCAAGAGTCGACTGCATTTACATCAGCTGAAAGTCACAATTGTCGTGAAGGAGCATGTCTGACAATTTGACGGTCTGCTGCAACAGCATAACATTATAACGAGATGTAAGAACCTCTAGGATCTCTATTAAATGCGCATAGTACGCATATTCGTATTGGATATTTCTCTATGATGTACATCATCATCATAATAATAAAATTATTATAATACGTTTGAATGTTTCTTTTATACACTGTATATATTAACTGAACTATTCTCAGAAATGCATGCAGGAGCGTGAAACACTTCGATATATTAAAAAATATATTATATTAAAAATCCGTTCAATAAATACTGTGCAGGAGGGTGAGGTGAAAGAGATCATATGTGAAAAGGGTAGGGATGCCTGTCGTCACACAACATCACCAGTTTTCCTAATTGTTCAAAACTCAGATCTTTTGGGGCTCACACCACTTTTAGCTACGGCTACCTTGATCTCACCAGGCGGTTTAATTCAGAACTCCCAACCATTATTTATTGATTCTACCTCATGGACCCTGAGTTCTTCTGGTCACGCACGAAATAAATGCCCCAGTAGCCAGAATATGGTCCACCATCGCGGCCTTTCAGATCTTTAACACTTCACCTGTAACCATTTTCACGAAGCCACTAAAGACTCAGTTCTGGCGCCCTCCTCTGTGTTACTGCTGAGCGTTAGTGTGCGTAGACTTCCCAAGTCAGCTACAAGCCAGTCCATGTGGGTTTTATCTCGCACAGTGAAGTTTCCTGGATTCGCCCACGACAACGGACGGGGCTATATGCGTAAAACGAGAAAAGAGATTGCTTTAAGAGTAACGAGTTTCATGAAAAACTCATTGGGGAGGGGAGAGTGCCTGAGTAACTTTTGCTTAGTATATGTGCAGAGTAGAAGCTTACTCGGAGACCAATAATGAGGCCTTTGCCTCTGGCCGAGAGTAGATGTCGCTGCCATCAAAGGTCACTTGATGACTGATATATCAACTACAAAACTCCTGACTGGTTACTGCACGGAAAAACCCTTCTGTCAAAGGAATAGCATTTATACTAGTGGTCGTAGTAGACATACGACCAATGTTCAAATACAGAACCGTCAGAAGTGTGGATGTTGCTGCCTGCAGCATTATTCATCCTTTAAGACCCACCTTCTTCTCTCGACGATTTCTTTCGATTCTTCTGGGGAAGATCCTGACAAGAAAACAAATACAAATAAGGCTACTTCACAGAAGTCTAACACTGCAACTAACCATGGCATCAACAACATGAACACCGACAACTCACGTTCTAGATCCGATGCTTCTCCGCCTTAATGTCTTGAGTGTTTCCACGGTAATGGGTTCTCGCTACAAGCAATAAGCTGATTGAGTTTAATCGTTAACGTCGAAAAAGCTGTCGACACACTGGGGAGAATGTTGTGGGGGCATGAAACGAGGAAAAGCCCTATGTCGCGTCTAATGTAAAAAACGTTAGTAGCAGGGACAGTGCACAAACTGGCGCACACGGAACAAGAGCATATTAAAGTAAAACTAACAAAATTATAGAACAAAACCCAGGCACCTAACAATGAGCCTCACAAACAATTTTTTAACAACTCTGTTCAAATTCGCAGCAATAGCAGTTTTCAAAAGTAATGCGTTTGATTCGAGTGGAACGTGAGTGGTATCCTACTGTGCTTAATGTTACACGAATTAGAGACAAGTAGGAAAACTGAGGCTGTCAATCCTTAACGTTCTGTGTCAAGAGTTCCTTTTGTATGTGCAAATGTACTCCCTTACGACTGCGTGGTGTTGGAACCTTGGAACCAGTCCATAAACTCACCTTCTTTTCCAATACGTCCTTGAACAACAGATCACTAAAATACGCGTGCGTCTCAAACGATTCAACACTTGATATCCTACAAGCGGGGTCCTTCTGCAAGAGCTATAAAAGATTATGTAAAGAATTCATCCGTTGAAAAAACTTCATCTCAAATTGGAGACGTAAAAAAAGGAAAGGTAAATACCCCCTGAACAATGCTGATCGCATTAGGTGAAAGGTCTGGTGGAAAGTCAACCTCGACACCGCTGACCACTTTGAACTGGGTGGCATGCTCTTGTGTGACTGGGTATGGATACTGTAGGTCAATACAGACAAGAAGTATATTATCTATAAATTAACCACTGATTTATAAAGATGACTTTCCTGTCGTTTTGGCTGACATATTTTCGATACCGTTACAACTTTCGACATGCCCAGTTTTGTAAAGGTATTCAAGGTTACCTGGTGAAGAAGAGTTATGTTAACACCAACAAAAGGAACCACCACATTAGAGAATTTAAACTTCCATAAATTTCGGGCCCGGCCCTTATCAGTGAAAATTGGTGCTACTTTCCAACTCTCTGACCGCATGTGCTGGCGAGCTCATTAGGGCAGGAGATATCGTGAACATCTAAAGCTCTAATTCTTCATACTTGATATCCACTTTCTGCCCGATCTACTGCGGCACCAGCATCTAGGGCCATAAAAGATAACCTGATCTTTCTTGATCCTTGAGGTCATATGGGTAAACTACGTTACCCATTCTCTAGAACCTTGGATGCACTTGGCTAAAATTAGACCTTTACAAACGGATAGAAATCAACCTGCAGCCTCATGACTTACCACCAGAAGCCGAACAAAGGTCTACCTCAAATAAACGCCTGGACAATGCTTTCGTTTAGAAATGAAGACAAGGAGTGTTCCGAGACTGCTGTCCAGTGTTTCTTTGAAGTTCTATTAACACTCACTGACCCTTGAACATGAGTTGTCTCTTATGACCCGAAATCGTAAATTTGACAACAGTAGCGACTTCAAGCCCGCCTAATTGCAAAGAGGTTACCCACTCCATGTCTAACGATAACGCGAAGATGGGACAAGGCCTCGATATAGATGTGCCCTACGTTGGTATTGTTGGTAAAGTTCGAGTATCTCATACACAGTTTATGTTCTTTTGTTTCTTACTAATCTGGGTTGCAATATACGATTCGCGTGCCCCATGTAATAGCTGTAATCTTGCCGATGGTAATCCTTGAAGAAGACCCAGTAGCAGTTTGTTGCGAATGAACGAAGGGGTAAATGGGTCCGTCTTGACCAAACACCACAGGCTTTCAGAGGATGGATCAATAAAATTAGTGTAAACGTCGAGTTTGAAATAAATGTCGGGGATGTTTATTCGAGAAAATACGGTACTTTTTTTCATCATGAGACAAGCTACCTTGGGTGCCAATTTAGCGTCCAGGTATAGCCAAGATTCAGACAAAAATATCTATCGAGTAACCACAAAAAGGGGATAAAAAGTCGTTCGCACTTGTGTTACCTTTCCAGCGAGAAGAATGTACATCACCACACCTAAACTCCACCAGTCTACACTATGGTTATATTCCTTACCAGTCAAGATTTCAGGGGCTGTAGAATAGGCAAAAAACGCCACAGTTAGATCACTTGGGTTTCATCTTTGTGTTTCCTACTGTAGAAACTAGCGATCAAAACTTTCGATTTGAGGGAAAGCCTTTGACCACCTTACCCATGTACTGCAGGGTCCCACAGATAGTTCCTGCACGCTCTCCATGTTTCACTAACTTTGACAGACCAAAGTCGACCAGTTTGATGTGACCTATAGCAACAGTAAAAGCAACAGAATTACAACTCTAGTCATCCTGAATTTGTACAGCGGCTTAAACTTTGTGGAGAAAGTGATAAAACAATTATGGATTCGAGTATTGGGGCGAATTGAGTGACGATGACGACACGCATGTTGCTCGCATAAGAAGTGAAGTATCGGAAACAGAAGTGTTCACAAAGGCTAATATGCATGATGAATGAAAACATCAAAATTAATGTTTCCCTAGGACAACTCTTATGAAGAGAAAAGAGTAAAAAAATTCCCCTACCTTCATTGTCTATGAGGATATTCTCAAGCTATATGTTCAATAAAAAGAAACACGCGTATAAGTAAAAGAGTAAAGACAATATTCCCTGACTTGATATTTGCCAGCTGAGAAATACTTTTTAATAAATGACAAGGAAGTCCTCAGGTAAATTCGAGCGTTCTGATTGGTTCTTCCTTATTATTTTGACATACGGACCACGGAAACGGTCCGAAGCCGTTTTTTTTTTCGGTCGCGAAAGCCGAAAAATTAAAAACCAAACCAATTGGTTCAAGCGCCGTGAAACAAACTACTTACTAATCTCGCTAGCTCGAGCCGTACTAGGGAATATTGGCCCTCGGTGCCGCACTTGCCTCGGGCCAATATTCCCTAGTGCGGCCCTCCCTTTGCGGGCGTAAGCTACCTTCAAATCCCTGTAAATGATCCCTGATTTGTGCAAGTAATCTGAAACACAAGAAAAACAAGAACTGCACAAACTACAACTGTACTTTGCCTGTACCATCTCTCTATTCTTAAGTGATACTACAGAGCATGCCAGGACTTAATATTAAGGGTTAAAACAGACTTCAGCCATGCTCATAAAATTTGAATCCTGTTTCATGTTTCTGTGTCCATCTCCACCCCAAGAACAAGACTTCACTCTTGCAGCGCTTAACTCCACCTAAAAGTGTACGTGACCACCAAAGAAAAGGAGTACGTAACTGAAGGAAACCTTCGAGAGGGGGTAGAATAAAGTCAAGCCACTGAAAACAGCTGCATAACAGCCTCCACCAAAGGTTTGCTCAATTAACAACTCCCTCTAATAGTGGAAGTAATAAGGAGTGATTGATCTTAGGAACACGGCTGGTTTACACTCTGTATAGATGAGGGTATTAACAAAGTAACATTTTGAAGAACTCTCAGCTTTGAGCTCTTACCTAATGTAATGGCTAATTCAGCAGAATACAACTTGACAGTTGTCTCATTTATCCTCTTTTCTTGACGCCATAATGTGTACAGATCACTGCCATCAACAAAATCTGAAACTTAATTTATTAAAGTTCACTTAATAGTTATTATGCACGACATTTGTTGCCATGGAGTCTCATCACCCAAATGTTCAGGTTTGAAAACTTTTAAAAGTAGAATAACTAAATGCTAACAAACGTGTACACCTACTAGCTCCTGCTGTAAAAAAAAAAAAGGAGACACATACCAATGAAAAGATTGTGTTTAGTTTGCCATGTATACCAAGTTTTCACAAGAAACGGAAATTCACCAAGTTGTATCTGTAAAGATAAGATCAGATAACTTAATAAATATCCTGCTTATAAATAAGCTATACAGTTTTAGATTTCTAATATCTGAATTAATAAGTAACAGTGTATGGTTAAATGACTGCAAATTTATGAAAATCATTGGTTCAAATTGCATACAGGCCTGAATTCTTTTTTCAGGTTTTATTTTTACTATTGCTTATTATAAGTAGTATTCATTTCTGCCAAGATCGCTTCCATGTTCATTTCTTAATCTGCAATTCACATACATGATTTTCATTTATTCACAGTCATTTATTCATCACTGCATGGGTTTATTACGAATCAACATTATATGACCAGTTCCCAATTGGTTTGTTTGCTCAGTTGGTAGGGCACTGCACCGGCACCGCAGAGATCATGGGTTCAAATTCTGTACAGGCCTAAATTTTTTTTCAGGCCTAATTTTCACTACTGCTCAAGTAGTGTTCATTACTGCGAAGATTCCTTTCATTTCATAATGTTAACAGGTGAAATAATGCATAGACACCCATATAGGATGGTCATATATGCACTCACCTGTTACCTACAACGGGGAACTTACTGGCTGAGAAATTTTATTGAAATTCAGAACTACTTCTAGCAAATTCAAGGTTTCACAATATTTTCAATTGATTAACAATTACGATGAATTTCATATATACTTCTAACGCAGGTAGATATAAATTATCTGTAACAAGTGAGGGATAAAATAAGAACCTCAGTTTTTCTATGAGGATTAGGACATCAGCCAGTTCCAATTCTTCAACGGGATAGTCCTTTCAATTAACTGTATGATCTCTATAGCAGAAAAATAACCTTTGAATGTACACTCCCTAACCTGAATATTAACTTCATCTTTACACTGCTGAACAGCATTCCCCTTGATTATTTCTGCTTTGTTCAGTATCTAGCAAAAATAGGAACAATGAACCACAGTGCTACAAATAATTTCACAAATGCAGCTTTAAATAGGGCACATCAAGAGTAACAAAGCACACCTAGACGTTTAATCTCTTGGCACCCTCTCCTCTCCACTCATATCTTCCCTTTAAAGGGCATGTAAACCCAAAAAACGTTCATTTTCTTTTCACATAGATGTTTTGTAAATATATCAAGTACACCAAAGGTACCATTCGTTTATTCTCAAAAGTCCATTTTCACTTTGTAAAAGCTCTTCCAAATTCGAAACATTCGCCATCTTGAATGGCGCCATCTTTCCTGTGACGTCACGGGTGGACCCTCCAAAGTCTCGTTTTATAATCGCGTGAGGCACGAAGGAGTCTTTTCTACAGCCGTTGTTTGCTGGTCTCGTCATGATTTTTTTACTTACAGTTTGCTTCAATATATTCAATTTTTTCGTAATGGTGAAGCGTTGTGTCGTCCAGTTTTGTACTGATTCAAACAAAACTGGGCATACAATGCAAATATTTCCAAATGAAGCAAATTTGAAGCGACAATTTGTGAAATTTGTTCGAGTGAAAATAGCCAATTTCGTAGAGCCGTTCGAACGTTCTGTTGTTTGTAGCAGTCATTTTTCTTCCTGGTGCTGTACCGACGATTCAGGCCTCACCAGAAGCAAATTATTTGGAAGTATAAAAACGACCCATACAGTCGGCAGACGACGAGGATTCGGAAGTGGCCGACCGAACTGAGAAAGAAGTTGAGCTCTTCAAAAGTTAGAGGTCAACAGAGAAAGTAAAAAATCGATTTACATGAAAACGTTTCGTTAATTAAACAACAATAGCTTTATTGGTTCTCTAAAAACATCTTTTTTCTCATCTAATGAAATATTATGGGGGAGCCAGTTGTTCAGGAGCCAGCGCTGAGCCCGTAAAAGACACTGACATGTCTGAACCTTTGCCTGAATTCGAAACACGTATCAAAGAAAGAGAATTCGTTGATATCAGTGTGTAATAACGTGATCTGGAATTTTGTCGGTTCGATACAAAGAATTCTATACAGGATCCCATAATCAACCCTTATGTTCTATAAGAAAATCCAAGCCAGCCCCACTTGGTGCTTCCTTTGAGAAACCCTGCAGAGAAACAGCAGAAGAATTTGTGTCACGGTTTTCACAGCAGTGAAAATACATTCAAAGGTCAGTAGGACAATATTCATCATTTTGAGTACAACTTAAAAGATCCTGATTTCAGCTTGCAAAACTATCTTTTCAATATTTCAAATCGAAGCAAACACAAACAGGGTTGGATAATTATGAAGGCCACACAAGGAAATGTACATGATACAACTTGTTTATCGATGGAAATGCTTCTGAGATGAAGGATATTGTTTACCGCACAAGATAGCACAGCGACCCTAAAGTGTTTGCCGAGATATCCCCAACACCAACGAACAAGCTATCTGTAGGCAATTTAGCGAAATTTCCTGTCAGGAAAGAAGCGAAAAACAACTAGCTCTAGTACTGTATTATTAAATCAATGGCAGAAACAACTCAAGTAAATCGATCTCAAAATGTAACAAAACAGATGAAACAGAAAATATTTAGCTTAGTCGTTTCCGGTGTGATTATCTGTGCTTTGCTGCTGCCTGTACGCGTACTTGGCCGTCTCCAGCACCCAGAAATCGAGGCAAATTGACTGAAAACCTGGATGCTCAGTGATACAACTTATCTGGGTTTCAGGCCATTTTGCCACAATTGCCCGATTTCCGTACAACAAACACTTTCATGAGTTGTCGGCATTGGTTGACAAGTTCCACACTCGCACCTTTGATAATTTTATATAAAACACTTTCAGAAGCTCAAGTTAAAAAAAATTCTGTTGCATTCCTTTAGATTGTACCCTCGCTTTATTGCATTTTCATGTTAAATACAAATAAATCACAAAGTAAATTAAATACCAGTCTGAGTTTCCGAGACGGTCGCATCGCTGTCGACATGTTCTGTACTGTCTTCGTGCGGATCGCTTCGGTGAACCCTACACGGCTCATATTGTTAAGGACGTGGCCCAGACTCTCCTGAAGATTCTGGATTATCCCCAGCGCTGTCATGTACTAAGCTTAAGGCATTCGAGTCGCTATCTTCTGAAAAAACATCTTCCGAACTACCGCTACTTACACGAACTCCCACACCAGTTCTACTGGGGAATATGTGTTGCGCAATATTTTGGTTCCACCGCTTACGTCACGACTTCTCGCTATTGTTTTTACCGGAAATGGAATTTCAGTTGAAAATGCCGATTTTCTCCTAAAATAAGTCGAATTGGACAAAACTAATTTCAAATTCGTTTTCTACGCCACTTTTTATATAGTATAAGAAAAACATGTATTTTTGGGTTTACATGCCCTTTAACTTCTGTTAAGTAAAACATTAGTTTTCTGCTATGAAATAAGAGCTTATGCAAATAATTACCTTTATAGCAAACAATTTATTAGATTGTTTGTTTTGCACTTGAAGTACCTGGAGGAAACAGCAACAACAACTGAATAGTCTGAAAGATGGTAACTTTTAGGCTGGGTGATAAAAGAGAGAAATAAGTTTTTTTTTGTCTTGTGTGTAAGTGTGAGAGGAATCAAACCTTTGCAATCCACACTCAAATGCTTTACCACTGAGCCTTATAGCCTCTAACCTGAGCCAAGCTATTATAAGGTTCACATGTGTAACACCTCCTGCATATTACTAGGATCAACAATGTCCAAATTGTCATATGCATCAGCAGAATTAGAAAGATGGTAAATTTTGAACTTTGTGATGAATTAGAGAAAGATGTTATTTTGTCTTGTCACCAGCTGGGGACAAAGAAAGCCTGGATTCCCACTGAGTCTCTGTTGGACCAATTTATCCTAAAAACCACTTGCTGTCTGTTTTTGGATTCATCCTTGTCTTTAAAGTTGGCTAGTAAGTGACACGGCTTAGCAACTGGTTTGTAGCTAACATGAACATTGAAGGGTAACATGTCCTTTATGCATTTTATGGTCACTGCTGTTACATGGGTTGCACTGTCACAATTTTGTTTCAATGTTCAGATAAAGAGTAAACATTGATCCATAAACAGGAATACATATGATAAGCTGTAATGAATACAGGTTCATTCCTTTTACCATGCCATACACTCTAAACATTACAGCTGTCACTTCAGTAAGGCATTTTAAAACAAGAAACAGACATTTTCTCAAATGACATGAAAAGCTTTCTCAATGCTAGAGACTAAGCAATACATGTAAATACTTACATGCCCAAATGCACCTTTACCAACTGTTGCCAGGATCTTCAAGAAAAAAGAAGTAACAGACAGATATACTATAGGCATCCACAAGTTAGAATAACACACAATAATTATATTTCAAAATAAGCATAAGTTAAGAATCAGTAAGGAGTATATCTTATCATTACTAGGAAAAAAAGGCATCATCCACAAGAGGTTTCCACAGGACACTAATATAGCTTTGACAAATATTTCTACAACCTTCATTTGCAATTTATTTTTGCATAGGGTTTATGGTATGAAATTGCTTTAAAGTGGCATCTTCAAATTTTTTCATCAATATATTGAGTAAGGAAAAGTCTTCAAAAGGGCATGGCCTGCTGTAGTTCATGTTACATTTAAACCACAAGTATGTTTGATTTTCAATGTTATCTTCTGTGTGGAAATTTGCACACTATAAATTAAAGTGCAATTGAGAAAGTAAAAGGGTAACCATGTTCTCACCATCACCAACCATTTTAAAAACACACTCCTCTTCTTTTTTTGTTCTGTCAAATACACACTTGTACACCAAATTGCAATAATGTGTTAAAGAATAAGCAAAAAGAAAAAAGAAAAAGGCAAATGGCCAAATAGGATTTTATCAGCATGTACAGGTAAAACTACCCTCCAGCTCTATTCCCAGCAGGTGAACAATTTTCACAGAATCTCCACCAAAAAATGATTTCAAACTTCTTGAGAGTATATAAGATGTTCTTGATAGATTTCAAGCAATTCCAAAAATTAAAATATATATATGTACCAGCCAAGAGGTCTGTATTGGGAAAAACTAAATGCCCAAGGTCTTGAGTACCACCCTCAGCCAGTACTCAAGACAGAGGGCACAGTTTTTCCCAATATGGACTGGCCTAAGCAAACAACATTTGTTTTCCTTAACTTCATGAAATTCCTGCCAAAATAACCTGAATGAATTAGGGCTGTAATTACAGCAAGATCCTCCTAAAACTGAAAAATATTTGCGAGTAAATGGTAGTTAAAACAGTGATAATGCAAATTAAAGAAAGAGACTTCACCAAAATATTTTTATTTGTATAGCAACAAAAGTGGTTCAAAAGGCTTCCAAACATACTTTGAAACATTCTTTTTACAAACACCTGTCACAATCTGATACCTGTCAATTAGAGAGTGCGTAAGAAAAAAAAGTGCAAGTACACTTTTGAAAGAGTGTATTGGTTTGGCAAACAAACTCAAGTTCAATGACTGTCACGACAATTTTTTCTTCAAAACCATTAAATGATCTTACAGAAAGAAAAACTGTTTTTAGGCCACTAGTCAACCCATTTAATGACACATTTGCTACCATAAATTAATTTTGAAAACAATTTTATACTGGTAACCAAAGTGATTTGAGAGTGAGAAAAGAGACAATTAGTAAGTTATTAACGGGCTTGATTTGCTTGAAAATAATGCTCAGCTACAAAAACAAAACTTTATATATGAAGAATGGAAACAAACCTAGAAATGTTCTCAGTGACTCATGAAAGTGTTATGGTGCCCACGGGCAGAGATAGGAAAATATGGACTACGCTAAGAACCAATCAGATTCTGAGATTCGTTACTGTGCCCACTGAGAAAAAAGTAAATATGCTTATGTCATATGCTTATACTATATGATAACTAATTCAAATTTGGCTTTTTTTCTTTTTTGCTTATTTCTAAGACAATGTCACTGCAATTAGGTGGATGTTTTTGCAACAGAGGAATGAAAAGTGGCACTGACAGTATCCTGATTGTGGCAAATTACACTGGTATTTCTGAAAAAAGGAAATTTTTTGATCACTTAAGGCCTGATGATCGTTAAATTCAGATGAAATGCCTTCATGTCGGCAGTTTTGGGAAAATCATGGACTCCACTTTCTTGCAGGAAATTCTACTGCTCTTACTCGAGAGAAAAAATTACATAATTTGCAATTTTTTAAAAACAACCATTGATATAGAAATATCAGACGTGGAAAGAACGAAAAGGTCTCTGTGGATTCTACTCCCAAAAATTGAAGGAAACAAACTGTGTTCAACGAAATCAACTCAAGCCTTATAATCTTATGCTATGTTTATCCGTAAATACTCTGTCTGGCAAAATGATGATACAACGAATTTCTGTAAATGACGGAAATTTTCTGGACAAAATCCAAAGTGTCTTGAAATATTTTCTCTTCAGCAGGATTAAATTAAACGTGGCAATTTTTAATTATTACTGTTATGTAAACAAACCTCAAAGTCGCTGATCTTGACTACCTGCTTAAAATCATACTCAGGCAAAAAGACAGTGTCACTCAATGGAACAGGCCAAGGTGTTTTGTAAGAATAATTTCCAGATTCTGAGTATCGCCTTCGTAAAGATCCTTGACTGGCACTTCGTTGTAGTTGTGATGGTTTGGACGCTCCGGGCCGACCAACTTCTGTTTCTCCTACTGCTTTACGGTGCAGTCGATTTTGAGTTTTCCTTTTCTGTAATGAACACCTACTTTGAACATTCCCCATTACCACTCTGAATCATCAAAGCCCTGTAGTTTCCGCGTTGAAACTCCTCTCGATATGACTATTCTTTCTTCTTTTTAGTTCTTCTAAGTGATGGTATCGGATTTCGTAAAGTATTTTGCAAACGTTTAGATGAAAGTGCCCTCTGTCCCTGAATAGGTCTTTTTCGAACGATGCTCGATGCACCACAACTATGACAGGACAGCAAATCATGCTTTGACTTGCAAGTTGAGGCAGTTTGTTTTGCGGCGCGCTCTCAAACATAGAGACTGGACACTATTCTAGGCCCAAATATGGCAAACAACCCTTTGTCCATCCGGGAACTTTACCTGGCCTTATCGGAACGATCAGAACATGGAGAACGGTACAGGTTACGGTTCTTCTAAAGAAAACGCCAAAACCCAGCAAAACTCGGCATTACAACTGGTAAGAACTAATAGGGAGGGTCATTCATTCAGCCAGAATCATTTAAGCCTCATCAAGCTGCTATCATCTTTTAAGACAAAGTTGAGATTTAAAGTTCTAGTTCATTGATCAATAGATGGTTTTGCATCTGGTGTTCACATATTACACTTACATACTTCCCTTTAGATAGCAGGAAACGAAACTTGGCAATGTAGACGGCTAAAATTTTAACTGTGTGTCACTTAAGCCTTTGTACGTTTAAATGGTATTTTTTTTTATTATAACTTAATAATTTTCCCCCTGTTTCACGTGTCATGTATGCTTCACGGAAGCCCGATCGGGAAATATTATTTTCTTGAAAGAGAAATGTTAAATTCCTGAGCTACAAGATAAAACTATTGTTTTAATGTTAAAATTTTCGTTTATATCGTGGCAACAGGATTTAGTTTCGCTGATCGCAATAAAGTTGGAAATTACAACTTAAAACACCTCAATTAATTCGACTTGCTTGAAATTTGGTGAAACTACTGCATGATAAATAGTCTAGTGAAACTGTAATGTATATTCTGTTCAATGCATCCAAAGGTGGCCCACATGTTTCATTTCTGGTTTATTAAAAAAAAGAGAGAGAGAGTTAATTTTTTTTTCTGGAAAAAGTTTGAACTTCGAACCAAATTCAAGTTGTCTTTTTAAATCACTGTAAAGAGTAATTGACAATATTTAATGATTTATTTCAATTTAGAATTACTTTTGGTGAAACATCAAACTTTCTGGAAACAGGTAAGCAATCTCTTTAGTTCAAATTATTCACTGGTAACTTTCATCTAGTCTTCATTAAGTTAATGAAGAAAAACCAAATATATTTGTTGTATATTTGATTGGTTGATGTAATTGTTTGTCTAAGCAGAGGAAAGGGATACACAGCTTGAAATTTCTGTTAAAATGGAGAGTTACCCAGTAAATCAATGCGATAATCAGGAACCAGAGAGTGGTGAGCCACAGGAGGCAACAGAAAATAGAAAGGAAATGTTGCATCATTCTTCCAAAAGAAAAGGCTCTCCCAGGAATCAACAGCGAAATTATCGCAGGAGGTCATTTTCAGAATCACCTGAAAGATCCCCAGAAACATCAAAAGAGCAGTCTCCTGTTTCACGAAGGCAGAATAGACATTCAGATCAAGGTGGTAAGTCATTAATAAATCCATGGTTGATAATAGATAAGTGAAGTATTTAAGTTAAAACAAATCAATAGAATTAAGCATCTTTTGGATAGAAAAATGCTGTTGCTACTTATGAATGCCTTAGTTTTTGCAAATTGCTTTGCTGCTCAAACATCTGGAGCAATACTAGCAATAGGAACATTGACAAATTACAAAAAGTTAAAAACTTTGCTCGAGGAATTTTTCTGGGACTTAGAAAATATGATCATATTTCTGAAGGACTAAGATCATTGAATTGGCTTTCTACTAAAGATAGACTAAAATTGAATTATGCAACTACGGTTTTCAAATGCATTTATAATCTTGCTCCAGATAACCTTGCAAATAAGTTTAGGCTACGTTCTTGTGTTCATGACAGGCAAACCGGATCAACTAGTACCCTGGATATACCCTTTTGCCGCCTTTCAACTGGTTAGAGGTCTTTTGCTTATAGAGGAGCAAAACTGTGGAACTCATTAAGCACCAATCTTAAGTGTCTAAAATGTCCCTAGAAATTTAAGTGTCAATTTACTAAGCTGGAATTAGGTTAACTTCATTATTCAGTATTTTTATTCTTCTGATATATATATATATATATATATATATATATATATATATATATATATATATATATATATATATATATATATATATATATATATATATATATACACACCGCAATTTCTTGCCGTTTACCCGCACAGCCGATTACCCACACCGGCCATTTATTGCATACAGCGAAAAAAAAAAAGTCAACAGATTACCCGCACTGGTGGATAACCCGCACGTTATGTTATTCAACTTTTTGGTGGCGAAAACATAGGGTGATACATTTCAGTCTTTTAAAAGTTGTCTGATCTAACTTTCGAAAACTGGAAAGCGTCTTTGTCGAGTTTAAAGATCAAAGAAATTCAGACGTGCACAATTCTGTGTCAATATTAGTATGTACTTTACTGATAAAATTATACAATAAAAACACTAGCGGCCCATGGTGATTGTTCAGCGCCATGTTGATTTGTTGAAAGAAAGCTGGGTGAGTGTTAAACTTGAATTATAAGGTACTGTCGGCGATTTCTGATAAAAATCAATATCTCCAGTTCTACTGAGCCTAGCAAGTCCCTAAAAACGGGGAAATTCTCTTTAGCTCAAGCTAGTGTTAAATGGGAAATTTGTTACTGATGCGCTGGATATCTTTGGATTATTTTTGTCACCATCAAGGTTTTGCTTTCACACATGGTGATAGCAATTTGTTCGTCACGCAACTAATTATGCATGAAATAAACTTGAGTTGGCATCATGTTTTCGTGCCGCTTTGTGGCACTCTTAATACAATAAAATTCATTTAAGTGGTGGAAACGCATGTTGGTGATATTTTTTTTCAATTCAACTGCTAGTAGATTTTAAGATTGTCACATAACCCGCACCTCCCTATTACCTGCAGTGGTGCATGTTTAATGCAAAATCAACAGATTACCCGCTGGTAAATGGCCAAAAATTATGGTATATGTATATATATTTAGCTGTAACTATAGTTTTATGTTCTTTGATTTTAGTCTTTTTTTTTTTTTAACCATTTGTATTGATGCTAAAAAACCCATTCAGGGAGCTTCAATAAAGATCTGTATCTGTAAAGAGGTGTGGTGGCTTTATGGTTAGTTCTGGGTCAGGTTGTTCAAAGCTGGGTTAGAATAGCCCATGGTTAGTGTTAAATCTGATTTCAGATTTTTTAGTCCAGTTCTTTTTGTCTAAATTCGATGATTGCATGCCCCAAAAAGATTAAAGAAAGATATCCAAAAAAGGCTTTTCAAGAAACAAATTAAGAAAGCTGGTATAATCAGGTCCCAGCAGCTGCAAAGGAATCTGAGGAAAAGCTGGAAATAGCCTGGGATTAAAGAAGAGAAACACTTATCAGGGTTTTTTGTAAATATACCATTTTGGAATCTGAACCACAAAGAAGCTGTCAGAAATAAATTAAAGTCATCAACAACAAAAAAACAACAACAACAAAAAACAAGAGAGTTGAAGAATAAAGAAGAGTAGATGTAAAGGGGAAAGGGCATTTGTGTCTTGTTACAAGATGTTTTATACATACATAGTATAATATACTTACTTGTACAATACTGGTCAAAGAAACCTCATAAACTTTGAGGAATTGATTCAATGATTATGCAAGAGCAGACAGGTCTCAGAGGTTGCACATGCCTTGGATTGTGAATCATGCCAAAGCCATCTGGCAATATTTAGCTCTTTTTTCTATTTTCTCAGCTTTACATTTAATGAGGTGCCTGAAAGGACTTCAATGCTTTAATTTGTTTGGTGGACTCATTTAAAACTTTGTGTTTCTCCTTGAAAGATTACCACAGGTACAGAAGGAGTCGAAGCCGCAGCCGAAGTAGAAGCCCAAGGAGGAGAAGGAGAAGTCACAGTCCAAGAAATGTAAGTGAAGCTGTAGAGCACTGAGTACATGCTTTTTTATATGATTTACCACTGAAAAGTGGTTTCTTGTTTGTGGGGTAGGATGTATGGAGTAACAAGATAGGGAAGTGCATGGAGATCTCTGTATAAATTGGTTAACAAGTGAAATGTTGATGTACAAGCAAGCTATTTTCAAGGCAGAGCTTTGGTTGACATTGTCATAATAGCAGTTGGCTTTTTTAAGAATTGAGCAGTTAATGAAAACAGATCTGACCCATTCTTTCAAATATATGTTTGGTCCAGTGCAGCCTAATATTGCTAGATTACTGATATCATGATACTATTATTGAAACACCTGATGTGAATTTAAATATTTAATTCTAGTAAACTTACATGTACTTGTACTTATAATGCAATATTCAATAAGAATAAGCCCAACACCTGTAGTGAAAACCTAAATGTTAATCTCTTTGGCTCTGATGAGAGTTTATAACTTAGGACAACAAACATAAATTTTTCATTACCAGCCATCAAAACAGAGTTTGTAATTAGAATTAAGTGCTCTAACTATGGAAGTGCACATACACTGTAGGAGATTAGAAAAAGTAATCATGGTAAAATACCTGAACAGCTCAGAAATAATTTTTCCTGGCACTTTCTATATCTTTTTTTTGCTGGTTTCACAAGCAAAGCAAAGGAGTAATCAACTTTTAATTGAAATAGACAACCTGCAGAGTATAATATGTGGCCTTGAGAAGATGTGGCTTTGAAATTAATTTCTGGAGGACTTCACTTCTCTATGAAGTAATTTAATGAAGTCAAGTTATACAACTGCACCTAGGAGATTGATAAAAGCCAAAGACAAGTTACAGGCACTAGACAACTTGAAAAGTATGTTTTTGGTCATGATCTGTTTACTTTCTTACTTGCTGGTTTCCTTGGAAAAGCAAAAGCTTAGTCAGCTTGTAAATGGAACAAAAACCTTGCAGAGTTCAATATGTTGTTCCAAAAGGAAGATGCTTTGAAAGTAATTTATAGTTGTCTTCACTTCCCTACGGTGTGATACAATCTTTTAAAACAAACTTTGAAATATTTTTACTCTATTGTCTATTTTAATTTTTGGTCAAGTTACTCCAAATGTATGGGGTAGCAAAACAAGTCAATTGAATGACTGAAAGTTGTAGGAACAAATTATTTAAGAAAGTGTCCAGTGAACTCCATGAAAATATTTTTTTTAAAATTCAGATCTGCTTAATTCACGTTTAACAAAAGCATTTGAACAAGAGCAAATCTTTATCAAGCAGCCTTTGACAAAGTGGTCTTTAAATTGTCACTTGTTAGATTCCCAGAACCCAGTACCCCTAGTTGTTATGAATTAGACCTCAGTTTAACACATGCCTCTATTAACACTCTAACTCCCAGAATTTATTAACTTGTAACTTTTCATTGTGATCCTTGCAAACAAGTTATGAGAACAGAGGAAACTTGTCCGCCAGAGGGTGTTATCTTGAATTAAAATGGATCCACCTTTCCAAGTTACAAGGGAATGTATGGAAGTCAGTCAGGAGAATAGCTAATTGGATCTTGAGGGTTAAAGGGTTAAACAGATGTATTTACAATTTTGGCTTATCAATTGGTTAATTTTTTTTAAATCCACCTCTATTTAACAGTCACATAGTTAAATTAGAATCAAATTATCTGTATAGGGAATTTAACTTCAATCAACAGCAACAAATATGAGCTTATTCTTAAACATAAATGGCTCTTTTAGGAGCCACCCAACTTGCAGAAGCAATGGTCAATTTCCATCCATGTGTAATTTTTTGGAAAATGAGTGATTTTAATGGTGAAATGCTTAAAATTCAGACAAAATTGTCTAAGTTTCTTTGATGAAAAAATCCTGTAAAGTTCATTTTTTGTAGGGGAAAAATGTTTCTTTGGAGGGTTTTGGCAAGGTGCTTGAGGACTGTGTGATGACAATCATTCTGTAAGCCTTTAGTAAGAGATAAACTAGTTTAACTAAAGGCAAAATGCAATTATTTTGGCCAAAAAAATAAATCTAAAGGTGAGCAAAGTATAACATGGTGACCCCTGAAAGCAAGCTACATTGTTTGCTGAGCACTCGTGATACATTTTTTTCCCTTTGGGGTCCTATGTTTCTGAGCTGTTCTCTAGCTTTTCAGAGGTTAAATTTGTTTAGACAAGACTTGTAGTTATGGAAAAGTTCAGCCTGACACTGCTAATCTTTCTTTGAAGTTATATCACATGATGGACTTAGGGCCTGAGGTGAATGGGCAACTAGCGACACTGTTATGGAAAGTGGAAAAGCTACTGGAAAATCAGGAAAGAGTTCTGAAAAATCAAGAGAAGTTAGTGAAGCTCATGGAGCATCAGCAGGTAGCAGTTCTTCCCAGAAAAGTTGTTCCTTCTGGAAGGAGCATGTCAAATGGGGTGCGAACTGCAGATCACAAGCATCCAAGACCTGAAAAGCACATCAAACAAAGCCCTGGTGAAGTAAGGCTTTCAGCAAGTGTCCTTGGAGCTGTGGCACATTTGAAGAATTTAGCACTCTCCCCTACTAGTCATACAGGAGTAGTACCCAGTCTGATTGAAAAGCCATTGAGAGGTGAAATAAAGGAGCTAACTGCTTCATCTGACACTGAAGAGGTTAATGGTACTTCACAGAGTGATTCAGTTTCTGGTGATGGCAACACAACCCTTCAAAATCCACTTTTAGTGACACCATTTTGTCCTCTCAATACTGCTTGTGTTAACTGTGACAGTACTAACAATGCGGAAAGTCAGGTTGAACTTCTTACTGATAGTGATCAAATGAAAGAACTGTTGTCATGGGCAGAAAGGATACAAAAAACTAGCTGCTCTGTGGGAAATTTTAGTGTAAACCTGGTGAAAGTTCTGTTCGCAAAAGATGAGATCTTGAATAGAAATTGCTCAGGCACCAGGGGGAAGGAAGCACTTGACAGTGATAAACTTAATCTTGTAAGATATTGTGCATTTAAGTTGTACTCTATTCCTCCAGAGGACCAAGATAAAGTGTGGAAACAGAAGTGTGTCATATCAATTGATGAGTATTTAAGAAGAGGCAATAGATCACGTGTTCAAAAAACCAAAAGTGCTCCTTTGGACTACTCAGTAATAGTTGAATGTGAAAGTAATGATGTTAAAGATAGTGACATAGGTGAGAGTAAACCTCTTTAAAAAAATAACATTGATACCCATCTTCTGTGGAAAGATTTAGCTAATGCAAAACTATAGAAGTGTGTTTTGTTGAAGGTTTTTTTTGTAGACTTGTTTGCCTAGGGGTTTTTTTTTTGGTTAGAAAGTGTAGGTTCCCTGTTTTTTATTGAATCAAATGAGAGAACAGATTATTTACACAGAGTTTTTTAAAAATGGCAACGCAGATTTTTCAACACAGTTTTAAGAATTTACACAGAAAAAAAATTTCACTTGTTCCCAGACATTTATATCCCTAATGATTGTTTTTTTTTAACACATGCAAAATTATGTGCTAGTTCTATTTCAAAAAAGAAAAGTAGCTGTTTATAAAAATTTTGAAGGAAGTGTTACATTTAACTACAGTAACATTGATGTATACAATATACATACCAAGTTCCTGCATGTATTTTGGATGAAAGCACATAAGTGATCATTACTAGAACAGTGAAGAATGTTTGAATTTGAATTCACTTGCAAAAGTTGGCCTTGGGAAAAAATAAATTATTGCATATATCAAAGAGTCAAAGAATTCTCATGCAGGTTAAACTTAGTAAGCACTACAGATTGTACTCACTCGAGAGATTATGCAATTTCTGTGGTCTTTGAAAAATTTTTATGCTTACTCGGTCCAAATTGCATGAAAAATCATTTGTTGATATATTCTTATCTAGGGTTGATGAATGCTGTTGTGAAAATAGTATAAGTTATTGAAAAAAGTGCATGGTAACCTTCAGTTGTTCCCCTTTATTTATTGTGTTTTAGCAGCAGGAAAGTTTACAATAAGAAAGGCAATCTGTGTGCCATGGTGTTACTTGTACTTGAATAAAGGTGTGAACCTTTCACCGTTTTGGGTGACCATATTGAATGTAACTGTAATTGTGATTGACGTCCTTTTGTCCTTAGTATTAAACTTAAGGTGTGACTGAGACTCATTTGTAAGGCAACATCAGTGACATGATAGAATTTAGTTTGAAAGTAAATCATGATGAAAATTATTCTTAATACATGTAGAGGTTATTTAACACGGTTTTAGGTTGTATGGTTGAGTCATTAATTTGTAGGTTAGTGGCATGCATCAAGCTTGGATGTCCCATAGTCTCAAATGAAGAAGTGAAATAAACCATTGTTAGGCATATTTATGTGACTTTTAATGGTAAATATTGATTTGTTTTGGACTGTTTAGTACATAAACAGTAAGAACATTTAACTTTTAACTGATGCTGTGATTGAAGGGCTGCACTGGACCCAACTAGTTTCAATTCAAATATAGATTGAAGCAACAACCAATTGCAATATATGCTAATGAGTTACATCAGTGACACACTCGGCTGCGCCGAATGTGCCACTTTTTCGTTCTTACCACATTTTGACGTCATCTGTGATCTATTACTGAACAGACGCACTACAACTTGGAATCTATATGTTAAATATTTATATGTGAATCTTGATTATAGTTTATCCTTGTGGTATAGTGCTCGATGCGTTCGCAGAGCGTGGAATATTTGAAAGTTGGACAAATCAATGAGAAAACTTTTCTGTGACTCTGAGTTTCGTACTCACGCGATCATCAGACAGATTTTAATTAAAGTGATTTTAATTAAAATTATGAAAATCTGTCGGATGATCGCGTAAGCGCGAAACTCGGAGTCACGGAAAAGTTGTCTTATTGATTTGTCCAACTTTCAGATATATATGTGTGTGTATATATATTTATGTATGTGTGTATATATATACACATATATATACACACACACATATATATATATATATTTATACACACACATACATATATATAATATAAATTTTCAATGTTGCAAAGTTTTTGAAAACGGGTGTACAAATATATATATATATATATATGTATATATTTATTGGTTTTGTCCTAATGTAAGTTTTGTAAATTATTACCTACAACAAAATCCATTTAAACGACACTTGCCTTGGTCCTTAGCTTTTTCAGTCTACAGTGCCTTAAGGCATGGTAGAGTGCCTGTGAGTCCGTCTAGCGGCCTTACTTACGCAAACGTTACAGTAACTCATTTGGGAATTTGGCTTAAAGAAAATTTCCTAGTTATCGTGACGCTCTTAAATGCACTCCTTGTAACCATCACTCAGTCAATCACCTCTTTCCACTCCTGTTAACTTTATGGTAAGTCCGCTAGCGTGTAAGGCTTTCACATGGTTTTGGTCGAATTCCGGACATAAGGCTTAAGTGGGCTTGAAACAAATTCGGGACTCTGACAACCGACCGCTTAATACCGGGTGCACAAATAAGTATAATAGTATAGATCCATCAAAGAACTGGCGTCTAAAACTAACAAGACAATTTTCAGCCTATTTGAAAGAAGAAAAGCACCAATTTTTTTTCTAAAGGGTATGATTTCTCCTGTTAGGAGAGAGATGAAACTAGTGATCAAGCTAAGGAAGGGAAACACAGCCAATCTCTCGGAAAAATTCCTAGCGAGAGAGAAAAGGCACAACAATTATCAGTTAGGCGTGGCAGTAATACTCGGGATGAAGAAGACATGGAAAAAAGCCCTCCCAGAGGAAAGACGTCCCGGAGCAAATCTTCAGATAGGGATAGTTCGTCTCCTCAGCGGAGGAATTCACCTAAAAGACGCAGTAAAACACCTGATCAGAGGCGAAGGCGGAGTCCATGTCGAGAAAGGCGGGTTTCTTGTGAAAGGAAATCTCCAGAAAGGCCCAGAAGAAGAGATAACCGGAAGAGCCCACAGAGAGATTCAAGAGGTAAGATACCTTGTGGTGTCCTCATGGTTAGCTTCTTCGATCGCAAACGTAAAGTGCTTTAACAAATTCAAGAACTTTAACGTATATAAGAGGATCTGTAAAAACAACAAAACAAACATGCCGAAAAAATCTGAGGAAAGTGACTAGAGCTTTATTTCTGAGGGAGATAGCGAGTTGTTTTAACTCATTCAATACCGGATCAATCGATGATTCTGTTGCAAGTATAGACTCATTGAACTGAAGCACTTTCAAATCTTATCTTTGGTTTCTAAGATCGGCGAAGTAGTGGTGATTACAGCAGGCGGCACGAGAGAGACCGGGACCGAGCCAGAAACCGGGAAAGGGAAGGCAGAGGCGGTAGAGACTGGGGAAGAGACAGGCGGTATGATAGAGACCGAGATGGAGACCGCGATAGAAACAGAGAACGAGATCGTGACCGGAGTCGAGAGGACGAAAAAGTTGCTTCTCCTGGACAGGATAAGAAAACATTTGTTAAAGGTAACACCTCCAAGCCGTTTTCCGTAGTGCTGGTGTACTTGAACATAATCTGTTGTATTTTATCGGTTATTTTATTTTTTTTCGTGAATTAAAACTGTTAGGAATAAGAATTTAAGTGTATTTAAACCTATGTCCCCTAGTGTGGCTGCGAAAACCGAGCCTGGCAAAGAACTGAGCAACGTTTTTTCATCCTGGATAATTTAAGCTCACTCAGTCCATCGTTTTAGTTTATCCTTAGCTCAGACTCCTCTCATTCCAGGTCAGCGATAAAGTTGGAGATCGATTCCTTACACATAGGGCTTTCAAGGTGGAGCGTTTCTTTCCTGGGATAAATAAACCTTATTTGATAATATAAGATAGGATACGCAAGGAGATTTTGTGAGTTGAGCAAAATATCTAATGATATTTAATTTTGAAACATCGAATAAGGGATCTGTTATTCTACTTTTATTCATTTTTTAGTATTTAAGCTTCTTTTTTTCGGAATATAACCAACGACATTTCCTGTCAGTCGTATCTGTTGCATAAATTGCACTCAAAAAAAACCAAAACAACGCCAACGAAACCATTTAAGTGACCTTTATGTCCGTCCAAAACAGTTTGTTTCAATTGATAGTTCGTCGCTTATAAAGTCGGGCCTAAGTGACGTAAAAAATCAACTTTGGATTTCTTTACTGCCGTAATTGTGTTGCTGTGCTTTTCCTCCGTAATTTCGCCCTTTTCCACAGAATATTACTGTCGCATGACCTTCGCAGACTTTGCGGGTATTGTTGCCTCGAGATGAAAAAATGGGGTAACAGCGAAGTAATCATAACAGAAATATTTGTAGTTGTTAAATCTTAAACTTGGTAAATTGAACTAAAACGTTGTTTTTGTTTCATTAGACGACCCTTACATAACATATCAACATTTTATTCTTCAGCGTCTGTTAACTGTTCATTTACAGCAACTTCGACTGGCCAACTGGAGACGTTACCACGCCCCGCGCGTCCGCTTACCTCAGAAGAGGTACAGGCCAAGCTGGCGGCCCATGCAGAGTCACTCAGGAAGCAAGCGCAAGATGCAGCCTCTATGCTAAACCTGCCCAGCTATCTGAACCCTTCTGTCGTGAATCCGCACCAATACGCCGTACAGGCACAGAAAAGAAAGCTATTGTGGAGTGGCAAAAAAACTACAGAGGTATTTCTGTCTATGTCGACTTCAACTAACTGAAGGTTTAAGGTTACGATATATCGCTTTGTTTTTTTTTGTTTTTTTTTTTGTTTTTTTTTGTTTGTTTGTCTTTTTGTGCCCTTGACAACTTTCATTAAATCGAAGGAAACCCTCACATTAGTCACATTAGAAGATAGAAAATTCGGTAGAAATGAAAGTAGACATTAACGAACCGGAACTAGAAAAGTGAGAATTTGAAACCATTTGAAAATTTGAATTTGAAAAGATTTCAAGATGCATGAATAGTAATGTTTATCATTTGCTCTATTGGGCAGTGGAAAGGTTCGTCATGACATCATCTTTTACTGTTTGGTTTTCAACGTAAACTTACGCGTTTGCAAATTTAAAGCTATGGAACGTGTTGTAATAGAGATTTGAACCTCAAGGCTAAAAGAGCTGGTCAGCCCGACCTATCTTTCTCTCTTACCAGGCATTATTTTACAAAAAAAAATAATAATCTGTGAATGAGTGCTGATGTATTGGACAAGAAGACTGCTTTTGAGGTGTAACATTGTAAAACTGCTAATCTTACACGATTATTTCACTCAGCATAGCTGGCAGTCAAGCTACTTTTTTCAAAGGATTGTGTTGTCATATCATGCTAAGAAAAATAGGTATAAAGTTTGCTGTAATCCTTAGCTGTAAAAGCTATTTCCTTTTACATTACCGAAAGCATCGTGCTCTTTGGAAAAAACAAGGACCTCTTTTCTGGTGGGGGGTTGAGTTTGAGTTTGGCCAGGATCTTCAACATTTATACTTCTCTAAGTCGCAATTTCTAAGTCTTGTGTAGCATCTTTGTGTTATTAAGCTAAATACAGATGTAATGAAGTTTACTTGTTTCCACTTTGTTTTTTAATTTTTTCTATAATAGGCTACTGCGAGTACCAGCAGCAGCGTGCCAAAATCCACAATGTGGAACAGCACGACGTTCAGTAATGACCAGGGAGGGGAGATGCAGGCGAAATTCCGGCGCTTGATGGGTATAAAAGGAGAAGGTAATGCCACCACGACGGGAGAGGTCACACAACCTCAGAACCAGAAACTAATGGATGACCTGGAGAAGGAGTTCGAACGATCGCGCGCATTTCAGTTATCAAGGGGGGCTGGTGGGAAGAGTGGAATCGGACTTGGTTATTCAGGCACGTGACGTAGGCTCCATTTCTGCGGAGTACAGTTCAGCCATTTTCCAATACTCAAAGGAAAATTCCATGCTCACTTACAAAGAAGTTGAATCCCTATGATGGGCAAAAATGTAAGCAGTTATTTCCACATTTTGTAATTTTCGTGAGGATTCTTTTTATCTTGTTTTTGTAGTTTCTTGCAGCCGTAGTGGTCTATTTGTATAACTTAAAACGATAAAAATGTTAAGTAAATATCCTTTAGTTGAATAACTGTACCATCAAGTGTTTCTCTTTGATTAAATTTGAGAAAGCACAAAACCGCTTGCTTGATACTTTGTGTATTTAGATGCAATCCGCGGATGAGGAATGTGGCATGTACCAATTCAGTTTGGGGCCGTATAACTCTAAGCTTTTGAGTTTTTATCCAGCGACAACCTGTGACAAACAAGTACGTCCGCAATGTGTACAAGTGTGGGACCCAGATTTAAAAAAATTGAATAAATAGAGGAACTTTCACGTAATTTTGCAAAAGCGATCAATGTAAAGAAATTTTAAACCTGATTTTGAATTTTGTCTGTGAGGACTGGACTTACAACGTGCTTGTAAGACTTTGGTTTCGTGCATTTATTATAATGTGCGCTTTCAGGCTCCAAGAAACCATTCCAGTTGTAGAACAGCTGACAGTCTGTCATGTCTCTTGCATGGTTTTCAATGGATTAGCCATTTTTGAGCCAAGTTCCACTTGATGTTTACGTAACGTGCATTGTACTCTCGACTTTTATCTTTTTGCGGTTACTACTACGCGCTTCTTTATAAACTTGTTTTGGCCGGGGAAATTGTCGTTATTCAAAACTCGTCAAATGAATTAATTATTCACCGAAGTGGAAGTGAGTGGTGGTGGATATTTAAATATCTACAACTTTCATCGACACTGCGGTGAATAAATGTCTTAGTACATACCACAGAGACAAAAAAGTTTGCAAAATGGGCGGAAATTGAACTCTTGACGCAAGATTTTGTCTCGTCGGCTGCTCGGAGGTGAATAATGCTTGCTATTCACTTCCGAACCAGCCAATCAGCGCGTGCGAAGAGCACTATTCACTTGTGTGGTCTCAACTAAAAAGATCTTATCTAATCAGCTATAACTGCTGATTTTGATTATAGCCGTCCGCCTGTATTTCTACTCACAAGATCGCTTTTGTTTCCGCCTTTTTCACTTGTCTTGGTCAACATCGACTCGAATTCTGGGCATTTTTTGCCTCGCTAGGATAAAACCTTTACCTTTCGGGGGAGGCTAGATCTTGCTAAAAAAAAAGAAAAATATTGAAATAAAAGCGCAAGGTCAAACTGTGCCTAATATTCCAACTCTCCGTCCAGACCTCCAACTCATCAGGGATGTAATATTGCATCTTTTGCTCTATTATGTTTGATTGGCTACAAGAAAGCAAGGGTATGTACTCTTTTCTTTAATAACTGTAATTAACGAATTCAAACTCTACATTGACCCTTCATAACTATTTAGTGTCTGTGATATGAAAGAAAATAAGCAATTGTTAACTTTGGCTAACATTTATGCTCCTGGAAAAGATAACCCAACCTTTCTGTCAAATTTTTTTCACCACCTCGCTGATTTCAAAAGCGAGAATATTGTTATAGGAAACGATTCCAATCTTGTGCTTGACCTAGAAAGGGTCCTCCATATAAAGATTAGATAAAGGACCTTTTGCAGGGCAGAGCTGTTTTAACCTCGCAAAAAAAGAGAACTATGTTGAAATTTCTTTAATTGCGAACTGTTGGGCTGTTTTTTTTATCTATTTCTGAACGTAAAGCTGTACGAGGATATTTGGCTCTTCGTTTTTTTTCATAAGACCTTCAAAGCTTCTGAAAAGCTAGAGCAACGTGTTTGAACTGATGCCGTACGACTACTGACAGATGTTAGTAGTGAGCATGAAAAAACGTTTTAAACTGCTTTCAGAAATCATCAAAATTCCCCTTGATCCAACCAAGTTGACCCGGGTCAATCCTTTCAAATATCTGATGAAATAACTCGGTTAACACTCCAGTGAATTTAAATAACCCTCATAGAACCAAATATTTTTTAAAGATGTTTCGTGATTAACAACAAGTTATTGTTTCACAAACTCGTACTTTCAAAACGAAGCACTGGTGATACTTCAAGTTTTGGAAACTTTCCTTTGACGCAATTTCCCAGGTGGGGAAGGAGTGGGGCCAAGAGTTTTATTTTCCCCTCTAGAGTTAGTATTGGATTCTGATCGGTTGCGTCCTGCACTTGGCATACCACCGCGAAGCTTTCGTATTTTTGCAACATTGTTCCAGAGCGACTCCTTCCTTTGTCCAGATTTAGGTTTGGAATCAGTACAGGACTTCGATAACGTCTCTAAGCGAGCTGTGGAGAGGGCAGCCATTTAACATTATAACTCAACCATTAATCTTCATGCGATTAAATGGGCTACTTTATGTCGAGTGGTTGCAAGCAATAACACCCGTCTGCGTGGATATCTGTCCTCCGGTTACTTCCGTCGAAAGGAAGCAAAGCCATCGGAAAAAAGCCAGCTCAAGACCAGAGATTGGTTTGCGTTCTTTCATTCTATCATAAAAAACACGAAAAACTATCTAATGATCTTTTCGCTGATCAGGCTTCCTCAGTACTGATTTTCTGAAGACTCGCCAACACCTCCCTTTGGCGACTTTAACCCACAGTTCTATTATACTCCAAGGGAGAAAGATCCCAAGAACAAAACAAGTGGGGACCTTAGTTTCGACCAGGGCACTTGTTCAGTTAACTCAGTTTACCCACCAAGAAGTTTAGGGTTTGATCTTTCCAGATCATTCAACAGTGCTGTGTACGTCGTAGGCTGATCACCTTGGCCTTCTGTAGAAAGTATATACACGAAACAAAACAAAACAAAACAAAAGATAAAAGAAAACAACCAAAAAGTAAGCAAAACAGGATTATTATTTGTATGAATAAATTTTACCTGAAATAAGCAGCTTATCTTATTATAAATGGAATTCCCTTTACGTCAATATCCAAACTTATGAACTCCACGTTATCTCGACTATGGTTCATTCCCTTTTCAGTGGACTTGTGTCATTGTGCCCCCCCTCCTCACCCCACCCTATCCTTAATTATAACCCGGTATCTCAATCAACCGGTATTTGAAAGCCCCTAGTATCTCAAACATCCAGGATCTCAAGCACATCAGGGTTTTGAACCTCGTGGTTCGAGATCCCGCGGAAGCTCATACCATTTTCTTGCTCTCCAATACGTCACTCCGATCTCTTTTTAGGTTTTTGGTTATACGGGTCAGTCTCACAACTTACTTTCAACTTTGATGAGAACAAACACTTCCCTTCCTTTCAGGAATCTGTGAGCGTACTGAGTTGGGAATTCGTTTAGATTTTTTATTTCACCATCTTCATCGGACAAGTCCACCGTTACTGCCAAAGGGTCAAGATGAAAGAATGAACTGTTTGTGAAGTTTATAAAGAATACCACCCTCTCTTAAGGGAGGATTTGTTATGAACGAACTATTGTATGGTTACTTATAAATTTTAAATGAAAGCATCTTTCTTCACAACCCTACAGATTGCTCCTTTATGAATCCTCTTTGTCTTATCCCACAATTTCAAACCAATGATTCACAAAACGGGCGGTCTTGTGAAAAGAACAATCAGATATGTGTAAGCCACTCGGTCGCCTAGCAACTCGGTCTATTTGTTTCAAAACACGAAAATCATTCTTTGGAATTCTTGCTTGATAAAACAATTATGTCAACGAGCTTGCATTTAGTTTAGATCGTATAAACTGAGTTGACTAATTATCTTCGTAAAGTGTGTAAGGAAAGTAAAGGCGGTAACGTCTTACGAACAATCTTTTGGGATTTTGACCGACATCGAGTAAAACCGATTCTCGCTTTGATCGCAGTAATGAAAAGTTTAAGATAAATCTGTACAATTTCTACGAGGAATTTTTGAGTGAAGACCATCACATTTCACTCAACTCATGCTTATGTGCAAAAACGTCGCTCATGTCTCATCGACAATTTCAGGTCACAGCTGTCTGAGCGATGCGATAAAATTTTTTTCCAGATGGTGACAAATGTTTAATTAAAAACTAGACGTCTCAGTGACACCATTTTCTAGAAAATCATAATGAAGATAGGGGGAAGACTTCACAGAGTTGAGTGAATGAACATAAGACATCAAACAAAAATATCACAACATAGAGTCAGTTTGAACTTTCAAGTTTGGGATTAGCCTGCGTAAAAAAATTACACAACTGATTACAAACACCAAAGGAAAGGCTTCCGCAGTCGGCAAAGACTTCAAGAATGAACACAATAGCCAATTTCCTGCGAACGTTGAAAATTAGTCAATTTTACGTTCTTGCTGAGAGTAAAAACAAGTTGACAAGAAATTCTTTATACGAAAGCTACTTCTGAGTTCCGGATTTACGATGTAAACGTGTAGTCTGACTCCGTTTGTGCTGTTTTTTTTTTGATGGTTAATGTTAATTCCTGCAAATCTGCTTAGTTTTTCCGTTATCGAAGAATAAGTATTTGCATGTCTTTGCCGCTTACGCAAATCTCTGTTAATCAAGAGTCTCCAGATAATAAATCATTATTCTCCAATTGCTCCTCTGATAACGTATGTTTGGATTTCTGTTGGTAAGTTGCAAGGTGAAGCGGTAGTCATTGTGTTTGTATGCGACACGATTAACTAGCTTTACATTTCTTGAGAACAAGGAAACCTAACTCAAAGAAAAATGTAATTGGTTCTCCTACTTCCTTTTTGACAACCGCATCTTCTTCTCAGGTTATCCAGTAAATTGACGGTAACACAATTCGGATTAAACAACTCTTCTTCATTATCTGCCAGAACCGATCAGAAACAAGTAGTTAAGTACGACATAGCAAGCGCCTTCACCAGTAACTCAGCTTGGAAAAAAAACCCTCTAGATCAAACACTCATTTAGATTGATAGCTTACCACCAAATTTAACGGTTATAAATGACATGGGATACGATAGTTCTGCTAGTTCATTAGTCACTCAATCCTTTCCTTCGCCGTTGTTTATATAAACGAAGCAAGGTTCTTAGTGCCTTTTGATAACACTTCCCACGGGAATAAAACAGATAATCAATTTGCTTGACAACAGAAGAAAGAGAAAGGACCCCGCAGCAAAAAGCATCCTCATAAAGTCTGTTTTGAATTCAAAAGATAATGAGGCGTTTCTTTTGAGGTATCCTTACCGCCTTTAAAATCGATACTGGCAGCGCAATTGTTAGATCCTACCAGCATAAACGGCCCCATAGATGGGTCCGCAGATTTCACTAGAAATCTCAAAGGCTGGGACAAAGAAGAGGAATTGAGTTTAACCCTTCAAAAAACAGAGCCGAATTAAGAATAGGTAAACATGACTTTTTCACTATATTGAAGGATTTTTTGGAAGGAGCCGTTGCTCCATTCTCAGCTTAGCTCTGGAGTATTTTGAGGCTATCTAGTTGCTTTCCTCTCAGAGTCAATTCTTTGAGCAATCTGTATAATTTAAGGCGGACTGGTCTGTGGTTCGAGATGTCGAGGTCAAACCCCCCTTCCCTTGGAAGACGGACTTCTGTATAACGACTAGATGGGGACGCTCCGTTATGAAGGGACAGTCAAACTTTATAGTTTATAGTGACTTTCCTCAATGGGAATGCACGAAGACTCAAGACCCAATTATCTCCATGTTAAGTTTATCTTCTTTAAAGTGTCCTTTACAATTCTTAAAAATTTCCTTTTTTGTTACGTGCCCATAAAAACGTTGTTTTTTCAATCTTAAGTCCAAATATCACAATCTTAAAAGTAGCCAAAAATTACCAAAATCATCCGAACCTGATCTCTTCGATTTTACATTTCAAGTGGCTCTTTTGATGTTCTATGGTATGAGTCTTTCCTACATCACTTGACTAGCAATTGGTGCACAGCCACAACGGAGGAAAATTGCTATTCGTCGAGCGGACAAATACCGAGGTTAAAATCTTAAAACTCCAGTTAATCCCAATCCCAATTTCCCCGCTCATACATCTTAGAGACCTCAGAAACTTTTCTTCCCTACCCAGGATAAAAGCTTCCTCGTGTAAAAAAGAAACAGATTCTCATTCCACTTATTTACATCACTGTCTATTAGAGTCGTACTTCTTCAATTCGACTTTGAATGCCTCGATTTCTTTTTTCCTCGCAGCAATTCCGGCATGCAACGCGCCTTCCTCTTGAGCAGCAGCAGAGACTTCTCTCCAGTTCTTCTGGAGTTCTTCCAACAACTTTCGTTTACGTTCCTCTAAATCGCTTTTTCGCCGCTGCACTTGAGCCAAAGCGTTTTTATTATCAGCTAATTCTCTTTGTGACTGGGTCAACTTCGTTTGCACAGAGTCGCGCAAAGACTTCACGAGGCCCGGCATCCTCATGATTACAGACAAAATAGAAGAATCCATGTTCCTGTTCTTGGACACATTGTTTGCGTCGGGGTCGGAAGCCAATGTTATATTGTTTTCCGTTCTACCATTGACTGACGAGGAAGCCCTAGTATCCACATCTTGTATCGCGGGCGGAGACAAAGCAGGGATCATACTCTTTACTTTTCCAGGTACAAATTTGGTAGCAGTGAGAGATGGGACATCAGCCAGCACTTCAGAAAAACCAGAAGAGTCGTTAACTTCATCGGGGCTTTCTCTTGAAGGTTCCGCCGAAAAACCGTCTTCTGGGGGCTCCTCCTTGACTAGAACTTGAACACCAGTGCTCAAAGAGCTCTCCATAGGATGGAAAAGGGTGGCTGGTGGCGAGTTCATGGCTGATAATTCTGGTGGGGCATTTCTCTCAGGAGTCGGTGGTGACTCCTCTACAGGGTTATCGCAGGCCTCTTTGGCGGAAGTCTCCTGGTTGCGTGGGCGAAGAATTTCCGCCATTTCGTAGGAGCAAAGATCCTCGGCGAGATCCGAAGGAGTTTTGCCATCTGCATTTACTGTCGCCTGGAGGGTGGCCATAATGTCTGGTTCGATGTTCCGCAGTAGGTTCTTTATAACACGATGACCAACTCCGTGTCGACAGGCTAAAATATGCAAGAAGTTTTCTCGACTACCGTTAGTTTTCAAAAGAAGGTCTCGCACATCCTCTGACGTCAGCCTGTCAGATCTCCTCAAATGGTTTAACTCTTTCACTAAATGTTCAAAATAACCTTCGAAGGTGTTCATTCTCTCCAGGTCTCCCGTACTATCGAGTATCACCTTTGCCAAGCAGTGAAACGGCGAGTCTCCCTCTTTGTTACAAACAGTTATTATACTAGGCAGACTGTCGGTTAATATTCTCAACGTCTTGGAAAACACTTTTAGTATTGCCTTGCTAGGGCTTTTCTTTCGAATTAAGGCTTGATGAAGAGAGAAAAGCATTCGATGCAATCCTGTTTCTCCGGTGCGTGCAGATTTAACACCCAAATCAAATTCTTTCATGGCGGCTAGTTTCTCTAACACTTTGAATTTGCCCAATACACAGACCCAGTGCACCAAGGGGTACTTGAAGGAATCAACCGGGTCGGGTAGGTCAGCATTGGCGCGAACGTCTGAAAACTTTCCCAGTTGATTAACGTACTCTTTGACTTGTTTAATGAAGGAGTCGACGGAACGGTAATTGGAGGATTTCAAGAGACCCAAAAGGAGCCTATCGTGTTGTACATTACAGTTCTTCCCGCAAAACGGCGTATGCTTTAGTCCTGTATCAACAAAAATAAATGTAAATATGGAGCAATATTCAAGACTTGACCCAAACGTGCTCCGTTTTATTAACTGAATAGGTGGAACACCCTTCGGCGGACTAATAAGAACTTTATTATCTTCCAAGAAACTGGCATCTTATCTACTGCTAAGTCAATAACAGAACAATAAAAAAACCCAAATGATTTTTTACGCAAATCAGCTTCGAGAAACTTGCTTACAATAAGACTTTGTGGTAAGAACGTTGCTTCTTTGCTTTTCCAGTAAATTTACAAATCACTCGAAGTGCAATTTTCCTCATTGTTTCTCTGGTAGGTCCTGTTTTCATTGTAAGCATAATTACAGTCTAAAATGTATTGAGCAATACCGCACAAATTCTCGCTCGTTTTCATTTAAGCGATGGTTGAGGGGATAAAGCGAGTGGCCTCGCCCTGTATTCGGTAGCTTTACACGAAGGAATTGATATCTTTCCCTAAACAAAGTATCAGAAGCCCTGTATATCATAACATTTGGGGAGCAACAGTAGAATCCAGGGCGGAAGGAAAACGAAAGGAGAATACAATTTTGAAGTAAACAACAACAGCAAAAAACCTCAGGTATCGACGCGACTCTTAATAGGAATATCAATGTTCACCTCGCGTCGCCGTACTACTCCTTTCTTGTGCTTCACGTACACAACGTGAAAAAACACGGCGAAAGTAAAAAAAAAAACAAAACAAAGAAACAAAGAACAAAGGCATAAAAAGAGGAACGAACATATCGATATCACTTACCTGCTTCCTCCAAATCTACATCAGTTTCCACTAGATTCTTTCCTTCCTTTTCTCCTTGTTTAAGGTCATCATCTTTATTGATTTCAACCACCATATCTTCTTCATCCTCTTCTTCGTCTTCTTGCCCAGCAGATTCAAGGTTATCATCTGAGTCATCGTCAGGGGCTACCCAGTCTGCATCCTCTTTGTAATCGCTGTCTGAATCTGACGACAAATCAGTACACACTCTCTTCTTTCTAGGACCCTTAGCCCTGCTGGATCCTGGAGCTTTCCTCTTTTGAGTGACATTATTAATGCTATTTGAAAGACTGACAAAAGAGTTGCGCTCGCCACGAGTGGGATCAGCTTCCAGTGCACCAGATGCACGAGACAAATCATCAACAGTTACAGCATTAACCAGATCCATCGAATCGGCAGGGGTTGACACGATGTACTTAGGAACAACAGAAGGCTTTTCTGGTGTTATATTCTTTTCATTTGAAACATGATAAAGCTGAGGAAATGGCTCGAGTGGTCTTTTGGTTGGCGCACTACAATCGTTCTCCACAGAAGATGGCAGAGGTTCACATGAACTCATTTTGAAATCTGCTGCGTGTAACTCTCTATCACTGATGATTGGCACTTCAGGTTGTTCTGCACATGACACACCTAATGCACCTTTAACAACTGAACCCAAATGATTGGGAGCTGCTTTAGAGTTTCGATTCTCCTTGTCGCTAGATGTGGCATTTAAACTCGAGGAGGGTTTAGACACCGTTATTGGAGTTTCCTTATTGTTTTGTTGGGAAGCCTTACCTGCGGCAAGAGAGTTCTTTGGTTTATTGGAGACAGCCTTTTTTAAAGTGTTCATGACCAAATCCGGTGCTCCAAGAGCCTTGAGCATTTTTATAGACCTTTTCTGTACAGCAATCTGCCGAGGTGTCTCACCAAGACTGTTTCTGACTTTAGAAATCTTCTCACCAAATTCGCTGAAATTTGCAAAAAAGTATGTCAGTGTGTCAGTGGACATTTCATCCGATACCATAAGATGAAGGAAAGTATCGCCTTCCTTGTTTACCGCTAACAATATTTCTTCTTCTTTCTCAGGTGGAAACTTCTCACTCTCCTTGATCTTTACCAAGAGAACTTCCAAATATTTTCTAGAAAGCGAATCTTCACAACACCGTTTGGCACAGAAATGCAATATGGTATTGTCGTTACTTGATTCTCTCTCAAACAAGCTTTCTGGGCTGTACTTCATGAAGATATCTATAACATTTCCAAACATATTTCCGAGCTTTTCTCTGGAGCTCTTGGGATGCATACCACTACTTAGATGCTGAACCATAGAAAACAGTGGCCCCTCCTTGTTCCTTCCGACGTTTACCTTGAGCTCAAAGCCTTTTTCACGAACGAGATACTCCAGGTGTTTGTATTGTCCAAAAATGCACGCCCAGTGTATTAATGGAAATTGGAGTTGATCATTTTTATCGGGGATGCAACCATCACGAATCCACCTTGTTTTAATAAACTTATCTAGAATGTTTTTGAAGTCAGATTTTTCAATGTCATTGCCCTGATTTGAACATTTGAAAAGTGATAAGATCAACTCATGATGCTTGCCAGAGTATGAGCATCCTGCTGACCTGGGGCACAGTGGCGTACAATTATTGGGTGGCCAAACATTTCCCGTAGAAGACTGCATTCTTCTGGTCGCAGTGCTTGGTGTCTATGCAAATAAAAAACAAAAATTAACATATAACTATAATTCTCTTAGCTAAAAAAAAAGAGATGCATGCATTTCCAATGGGCAACAATTATACCACATGCCACTATAATAAAAAAAAGTTATCTTCCAATTGATTTTTTATTGTTTCCTAAGCTAAAATAAATAAAACAGAATTTGATAATCTCTTGAGTAATTATTAACCTTATTGTGTCAATAACAAAATGCTCACAAATGATTGGTTCTCAGCATTCCATATTTGTGACACATTTGGCTATTTAATTCTTTTAATTCTATCTGTCCAATTACAGACACTTAAACAGGCCAAATCAGACAGTTAAGCAGCCAATACAAATTAAGTACCAGTACCTTAAACAATCAGGTGACAAAACTCAACTACCTAGCCAATGCTAGCCAAACAAAATGGAGAGGAATTCTTAAGTAAGTAGGTTGAAAGGTTCACATTGAAAACAAACAAGGACAAAATATAGTGGCTCAAGGACTATTTTTAGCCTCAGTGATGAAAGTATATGCTTACGCTAAATTTTTCACTCCCAAGTTTCTGGCATTTTGTTATTGACACAATTCATTGGTAATCTGACTCTGTGTCATACAATTCTGGAGTGATCATGTTCGTGATTTCAAATTAGCCCCACACAGTGCACTCAGCAAATTAGAAATCACTCACCCAATTACCACCTCAATTGTACTCCACTCAATCCTATTACCACTACTACTACAAAGTCAAGAGTTATATTAGGTCAAGTTTAAAACTACTTCAAGTAAACCAAGCAAAATGTCAAGCCTTTGATGTGGCACAAGGGAGATGCTCAAATATAAGATGACAATACCATACATACTTTAGTGTATCAGAATCTTGATCCATGCACATATGGATCCATAACCACCAATAATGAATTCAAGCAGCCTTATCATGAAAACAACACCCACTAGCAAAGGGGAAACTTAGTTGTGAATAAGTTGTCTAAAGAGTTCCGCCACCCAATTGACAACCTCATTAATTGTGGTTGCAAGCCATTGCCATCCTCATGTTCAGATAATTACACATCATTACTGCATTATCTTAAAAGCCCACATTGTAGAACAGTGCAGAGTTTCAGTATGCTGCAAAGCCTGGGTTTGTGAGAGTACTAGATTTCTAGAGGTGGATAAGATAATAACTGGTCATAAAAAAGATGGTCTGTATTGGTATATTGGACTACAGTTCGCTATTTGGAGCTGCAGGGACAGGAAGACAACATTCACCCCTTTGACTGTGTAGATGCAATTTCCAAAAAGCCCCCTACCTCAAGAGTCTCAGAGAGTTGGCCATAGTTATTTGGAGGAGAGATATGATCCACCATTGAAAAGCAAATATGATGTTGTGACACTAACAATAGCACAAGATTTCAAAGAGAACTCTATTTTTTAATGGTCTTCAAACACTCCAAAGATTTAGTAACAGATGTCTGCATTTTGAATCTTTCCTAAGAATCTGGTTGCTTTCTTATGAAGAAACAAAGTCTCCTTTCCATCTTATTCATCTCTTGCTTATTTGATTCAACAATCAGGGGGAAACAAAAGAAGGCAATCTAGGTTTAAATAATGGTGCTTTTGTGATTACCAGGGCAGTAGCTCTTAATGATGTATTATATCATATTATATGATATATTTCACAGGTCCTACAAGTGACTGTGGTCTTTAGAGGGAAATCATGGCCCATTTCAAAAGCTTCCAAACAAACTTTGAAACATTTTTTTCAAGTATCTGTCACAATCTCACACCTGTTTTCAAAATGGAGAAACCACAACACTAAAGCCTTTCCAAAAGGTTAATGTTTAGGAGGTTTTGTCTAACAGAGCTAAAACTGAAATAGCCCTTGTTATTTTGGAGTTTTTAAGATGTCACTTGAAAACCAAGGATCATAACTGTTGATCTAAAACAAATGTGACTATCAACTACAAACATAGGCAGGTGATGCATTACAGCTGTTTTATCACTTGTGAACTACCCTCTAGGTGTGCTGACATATGAGACAAACTGTAGAAATATACAAATAAAATAACTGTAAAACTGCATAATAAAACTTTATATAATAATTTTTAAATGGATCTTTAAGTCTGAAAAGTCCCAAAAAGTGAATGGAAATGTTAACACACTTCTGTGTGAAGGTTTTTTCCCTCTAGTGACCATCCAAAATGTCCTTTTTAGAGAATTGTTCAAGACTGCTGGCTTCTAACATATGAAAAGCCAAGATGAGGAGAAGAAATACAGGGAATTCGTATTATCTATAATTACCAATCAGTGTAAGGAACAAGATGTCAACAGAGATGCAACATGGCGAAAAGGTAAGCACTTTTAAATGAAAAATATTATGACACTGACCAATTATTACAAATCTGATTTTACTACTACAGACCTTTACAAAGTGAAACTACTACAACACAGCTCCCACTACTGTAAGGCAAGAGTCACATTTTATTTATTCAAATGACTGATATATATATATATCCTTCTTCTCTCCAGAAAAATAACTGCTGTCCACTTTCAGTAAACCTCATCTACCATTGAATTAATTTTATGTATTTGCAAACAACATGGAGACTTTTTTTATAATGAAAACAACATTAGAAAATGAGAACAATGGTATTTATTGGGAAGAACTTCACAGTGTGGAAGTCTTGGGAAGAACACTTTCCCTTTCATCTAAAGCATTTCCCATGTGCCAAGGACCTTAATCTAGGCAAACTCTTAGTTCTGTTTCTTTCTCTGGGAACACAACATCCTTGTTATGATGTCTCCTAATATTTGCTTAAGTAATACAATGGCCCACTTCCAAGTTTATCATGAACATTGACGATACTACACGTTATGTATCTACAATACAGTTACAATTTCAGTATTTGATATCTCAAGTTTGTATTCCATTAATTGCAGCAACCATAAGAGCCTGTCATCCTTCATTGTGCATGTGCAGTAAATCTAAACCAGACCCACTTTACTCAAGCATAAAACCAGTTTGCTTGAGAAATATTAGCACAGCTTTGCCACAATTACACCACCCAACCACTTGTACACCAAGAAACAAGTCAACTATATTGATATAAGCCACACATTAAACACAGACCTTGATACAGTGTATCAGTTTTTCACGCTGAAGCCAAGGTGTTTCAGTACAAATCTTAGCAAAAGCAAAGCTATCATGATGTACAATATAAGTCCAGGTCTTTTGTTAAAGCCAGTCCAAGTTTAGCTGAATTGCTGGCTGCCAGTTTACTTATTAACAAATCTGCATGAATTCTCTTCTTGCAATGATGTAGAAATGTTTAATTTAGCTGAAAAATACTCAGTCATTCTGCCAGTTCAGTTCGAAGTGATAAAAGAGACAGGGAACCCTCACAGGTTTTGAAATTGTTTCACTTTATAGAACACAGACAGAAGAGAAGACAAGTTAAACTTATTTTCCAAAATTATTTTTCTAGGTCATCAGGACTTCATTACTTCTGCAAAAGGTTTAAAATCTGGTCTCCAAATTCCAAGATACTGCTATGAAAGTTGTGTTCTCTACTATCACTTTGGATCAAAGCTAAATGCGAAAAAGTTCCAGTTAGAAAGAATTTTTTTCCAAAATTATAGTGTGATAATTCAAAGTCTTAATTGAAAACTCCTCTAGGGTTATACTTTTAACATCATTTTCTGGTGGTATGAATCTAGACAATAGACACATATCTCAAATGCATACAAATGCTTCTAAGGCAAGTGCTGAAAACAGTTCATATGACCAAATTATTAATAGACCATGTCAAAAAGTTTTACATGCCCTTATCATAATAAGTACTGGGCATCCCCCACTGACCATACCTTGCAGAATAAAACTTTTATTTACCCAACAACACCAGGCATTGTCCTCGCTCACTTTGGTTATAACTAGCTGAACCTGTATAAAGTGGTCAGCCTGAATTAAGTGGTCAGTTGTCAAAGTCCTGAGTTTGTTTCCCCTTAATCACCGTAATTTTCACCTCTATTGATTGGTCACCTTATTTTAGAACCACTCAAATAAAACTAGAAATAATCTTTCCATTAAAATTTGATCCATGTTTCTCTCCCATAATCAATGTTGGAAGTATTTTTGAGAGAGTGTTTATACATTAAGTGGTCAACTATGGCATAAAATGGCATTTTCATCGCATTTTTATATATAACTCCTCCTCTGTGAAACCTGTGCAAAGCGGTCAACCTGCATTAGGTGGCCAACTAATACAGGTTTAAATGTACTAACATTAAGTCGCGCAAATCGTGATGGGAATCACTAAATACAGGTTGTCTTCGACCTCATTTGTATTAAACTAGCTTTCCGCTCTGAATGTTTATAGTGAGGGTTGGCCAACCTCGGGCTTTCATAATTCTCTTTAAACTAACTGTTATGAACTAATCGTACATTGCTTATTCAGTAACATTCGTGCAAAACTATACTGAAGTTCTTTTCTTTGAAGTCCATGAGCTGAATGCATTCAAGTGAACATCTGCCGATTAAATAGGATCTTACCTTTGTTGCGTTCTTGGACGCCATTCACAATAACTGATGATCGTAAATAAAACCGACAGGGATTTCAAAAATCTTTTCAGAAATCTTGATAGTAGGAGAAAACGCTGACAAGATCACAATGTGTAATTGAGCTCGTTCCACAATGCACTCTCCCTTCATTGAATGTAAAAGATGTCACGTGATCAGAAATGTGTACTACAACGAAACAACAATTCGCCTCGCACGTGGTTCATTGTCAAACGCAATGCCTCGATACCTCACTGTTACTGTGCATACCTTTGATAGACAACATAGGATTTTATGTCGACAAGTCTTAACTGTCTCATCGGAATGAAAATGAGAAGAGATCCAGGCTATTTCAATGCAGCTTGGTACACGCAAAGATTTGTAGTGCCCACATCCGATGTGAAGATTTGGTCGATCCAGCTACTAAAAAACGCCGACGGAAAAAAGGAGCAGTTCCTTCTATCTTTTGGACAAAAGATACGAATAAGAGAGAAAAGATACAAGATAATTTAGCCAGAGGCAAGGTGGAGAAAGAAAGGTTATAGTAGACGCACAGATACTGCGTCCGAAGGTATTACAAAGTTCCATGAGGCCGGTCTATTTCAGACAAGCAGATTATTTTAAGGTCTGGATTCCCTGGATACTCTTAAAGCGATACTACTCACTGTGGAATTGCTGAAAGAGGATGCTATCATGGCAGACAAGGGCTTTAATATCGCAGATAAAATGGAGAAGCTTGGTCTGTGTTTAAATATTCCTCCCTTCATATTTTGATGAGGGTAATGAGCTCAAAACAAAGACAATTAACATACTAAGGATTTATATTGAGAAATTATTTTTTTTCTCAGTTCGTGAGCGGGCCGTATTCTACAAATCCTACAATCTGATTGGTTCAGAGCGGGCAGTATTCTCCCCATTCGGCCCGCTCACAGCGGGCGGTATCCGATCCTTTGCGTGATGATATTACATCAATTGCGTCGTTGCAACTTTTCATTAACTTATCGTGTAAACTTTTCACTTTTTACGATAAATATTAATTTCGGCGTGGACTCAAACCACAGCGAGAGCGTGTTTTATTACCCTGATGAGGTAGAAAAGTTCAGTGACAAAGAAAATATCGGTTCGCAACATAAAGAAAACCAACAAAAGGCTCAGTTTACGATAGCTAGTGTGCAAAAGTATATTTAACACAACGTCCAGAAAACACGGTGAAAAAAACAGAATACGACCTACACGTTTGGAAAAGATTCTTTCTTGACTCCGGATCAGGTGGTCCGGGTTCGAGCCCTGGCCGGGGTCATTGTGTTGTGTTATTAGGCAAGACACTTTACTCTCACAGTGCTTCTTTCCACCCAGGTGTACAAATGGGTACCAGCAAATGTGCTGGGGGTAACACTGCGATGGAATAGCATCCCATCCAGGGGGGAGTAGCAATACTCCTAGCCGCTTCATGCTAAGAAAACTGGAGTTAAGCACCGGCCCCATGGGCCACTTGGGATCGTATAAAGGCTTTTTACTTTTATCATTCACGTAGAGTGTGTCGTCGGGGATAGACAATTTTCTCACAGGTGCCTAAATTCACAAGACGAATTTGACCAGTCAAGGATGGTACACCTCTACACCTACGGTCTTTTGGTATCAATGTATTCATTGTTGGTATTTCACACCCTATCCTACCCTACAATGTCCCCATTGTAATTGTGCATTACGTCAGCTTGTTAATGAAGAACGAATGGGTATCTCCTAACTCACATCACATCTGTATAAAAGTAAAGCACAAGGTCAATACGTTCCAACCCGGGGTCTTCTTTGGCATATCGATGACACTTTAGACACCATAGAGAATGAAGCAGACGACGACGATCTGAGACATATGTTAAAAGAAGATTACACACTACCTCCTGACGAAAACGATCCCGAGTATGTAGAAAAGAGAAATCGAGTCATGGATGCATTGATGGATTTCCTCAGACTTTTGGTAGAAAGAGAAATGAATCGCGAACCCTGCGATTGTGAAGAATGTAGAGATACACCGGAACGATAAATAATAAAGCGTATTTCATATATATATACTCTTAGTTGTTTGAACTCATGGCTTGTGATGGAGCTCCCAATACTACTAAAGAATTGACCTATCGCAGTTAAGCCTGTCCACACCGTGAGTACAAATTCGATATAGATGAGAGTAAAAAGACAGGTCGCGCTCATGTCTTGTTACATCAGATTTTGGGATGGGAAGAAAGCCCATTTGAAGAGGTAAGACATCGCATGGTCTCGTGTGTCCAAGATTACCACGATATCTGGATGTTTTTAAATGTTTTACGCGAAGTCTTTAAACGTCAAAATGACATTCCTAAACGCTACTATGGGGATCCTATAGGTCGCGAAGATTATGAATGGTTTTGTGAAGAAGTGATTCACGAAACCATTTTGGATAAAATGCAACATTTTGCGTCACCCGTGGAAGCTCATGGGTAAATGAATATATTTACGCACTGGTTTGATTTCGGCCGTTTGGGAAAGAGGATCCAAGAATGGGGGCATGAGTTTGAGGATGTCATGAAAGCCTACGACAGTTGGAAAAATTGTGAGAAAAGTGTGCCTCAATTGGTGGGTGAGATTCAAGCCATGACAACCGTCAAACATTCATCAAGTTGGTATGTTTTTACCTTGAATCTCAATTCAAGGTAAAAACAGGAGAGAGAATTTCTATGGTCACAAATCTAAGTACCGTCTTGGATGCACATGTCTAAAAAAAGGGGCAAGAAAACACGACGCTGTCGCATAAGAAACCTGTTTCGTGTGTTAAAAGTGTTTATAGAAGATGGGAGGATCTTCACATGGTAAAAACGTGCGTCGCCTTAAGCGCAAGATTCGTCAGCAAGCATTGAAACATGCACAAGATGTGGAAAGGTATCAGAAAGAAATTCAGGAGTTGAAATTACGGGAGAGACATCATGACATTATATTCCATGATGCCTTGCGGCACATTTACCACCCCTATGGAAACGAACGATGTATTTACTATACTAACTGGGATAAAGAAATGGCAGACGGCTTTTTTTTCTGCATTTTAGATAAGACAACAAACATGTAAAAACCAAGGTAAAGTTTATTTTTATACAAATAGAGTACAATAAAAATGAAAAATGTTATGACTGTTTCTGTTGGGAATGGTAGCTAACCATGTACAATTCTCTAGATGTGGTGGTACCTCTTGATAGGGGACAAAATTGAAACAGATAATGTTCATGACATTATAAACGTAATTGACATTCATAAAAAAATCGAAATGGTTTAAAAGGACCAAAATTTCATCCTCGGGATCTTGATGATATAAAAAAAGATCCATAGCGTAAATAAAAATTTGTAGTAATCCATAAAGGGATACTCAATCTGAAAAAGTTGAAAAAAATCTAGCGTTACAAAAAGGATAATTGAGGAATACAATCAAGAAAAAATATGTATGACCTTATGAGTATCTCTGTGGTAATTGGTGGTTAACCATATAATCATAATGAATTATAATATATATAATATATTATATATAATATATATATATAATATATAATAATATAGGTGGCGCTACATCTTCTTCATCATACTCGACGAAACCAAAACTTATTAAGGGTATAATATTATAAATATTGGTGACAATCATAAAAAAACCTAAACTGATTAAAAAGGACACAGATTTCATCTTGGATATCATACCACCATAATGATGATTTAAATGTTTCAAAAAAATCCACAATGTCCTCCAATGGAAATTCAGTCTAAAAATAAATTGTATAAAAATTAATTTCATGGTTATTGCTTGACCACATAATGGCTAACCATTCATATGGGTATATTCATATGGTATTCTTGCATATCATGAAAACAATCTAAAAATTGTCTTATGTTATATAGTGAAACTACACGATTCAAAAAATCTACATCTTGAAATTGTATAGCTATATTGATACCGTCTACTCTTAAAACCATTTTTAAATTACTAAAGAACCAATAGAGGACATCTCTGTCTGCATTGTTTTGATGTATCTAAGAAAGAGAAATACCATATAAATGAATATGAAAAAGCTGGCCAAAAATGTAGGTTCGAAGGTGGTAGCTATAAAACAGAAAATAAACAAACTTGCATAAATAAATTGCTATGACAGTACACTTGGTCTAAGCGTCTTGTTTCCAAGATACCTGCATGTATTCCTAATCTATGTCTAATGATCGTTTTTCCAAAGAGAACATCAAAAAGAAATCGATAACAAAAATGTGAGGAGATTGATGATGGGCTTGAAAAAAACTCGTTTGAAATTCCCTACAAAAAGATATTTGAATTACATAACATTCCATTCTACATCTTCTAATGATTAAAGCTTGAAAAAGACTTAAGAGCGAATCTTGAAAATAACCTCTATCTGTCACATAGAGTGCACATAAAGTATAATTAGTCACATAGAGTGCACATAAAGATTACTTAAAATAGTAATTCATGGGAACCGATCTGAAAACATAAAAGAGCTGATGTATGGCCTAGCTGCAAATCTTTTGGACTAGTGTTACAAAGCATACTGTATACAGAACTAACTACCAACTCAGATAGCCCAGTTAAAGGGTTTAATTTCTGTTGATTTAAGGAGACGATGCTGTTAACTTTGGGATAACTAAAGGTTGAGATGATGATTCTAAGGTCGGAAACAACAATATTAAGAACCTTTATTTTTGCGACCATAAATCGTAAAAAAAAACTAAATCATAAACACGATGATAATCAACTGGTTACCCTCTGTTTGGACTCCAAACCAGTCTCTGTTCTCTGTCAAATGTGAGATTTTGGATGTGGAGTTGGAGGAGGGACGACGGTCAGGAAAATTGACGGCAATAAGGTGCATTTTGTACTCTTTTGTACATTTTGCACTGGTTTCCTAATTTGTATCATAGCTAAAGAAGATTTATGGCCCAGCCACAAATCTTTCAGTGTTACAAAGCATACTGTATACCAGGGGCGTAGCGTCCATATGCGCACGTACGCCCGTGGAAAAAACATTTTTTATTCCCTTATAGCATTTGTTACAGTTACCATAAAAATAGGATCGATTTTTAAATTTCGAATTATAATGGTGTGTGTGTTTGTTTTTCCAGTAGCTTTTCATTAGTCCATAAACGACAAGAAACGTTAGTTGGCTTCCTAGACTTGTTAACTGTCCAGTTATTTTAGGAAGCCAACACCTTTTTAGCTTTAATTGTTATTTGATGTAAATGTATTCTTTTCTAAATCTAAGGGCTAATAAAGTTATTGTTGTCGTAAAGTAATGGTGGTGAAAACGAAAGAAAAAATTCTACCCTCTGCGGTCCTCGCCTTTCCCCAATCCCCTGTCCAGGGCTATTTTTTAAGGAGAAGTTACCCCTAAATGCTGTGTGGCTCCAGAAATAATTGCACTCGACTCAGATCAGGAATATATATATGCAAATGCAACTGAAGTCATTGACTGTGTAAAGCCTGAAAACCCCAAGAAACAATTAGAGATCCGCGGAAATAGTTGGAAATGGCATTTCCGAGACCCTAAATTTCAAAATTTAGACCAGACCCCCCTGGTTTGGGGCGCCTTCGGCGCTCCCAATTTCCACGCTGTGAACACCTTCAAAACCTCACGCTACGCCCCTTTATACGGAACTTATAATACAAATGGCTCAAAGCTCGAAAAGTTAAAGGGTTTAGAGAAGACAAAATTAGAGACTAATATGCGTAACTTTTCTACTTTTTTAAAATTTCTGATAATTTAAAGAAACGATTCTTATGAATTTTAGATAAATACAGGTTGAGATGATGATTATAAGGACAGAAACAACAGTACCAAGAACATTTATTCTCATGACCATAAATCTTCCAAAAAAAAAAACAAACAAACACGATGACATTGATAATGATGACCATAGATCAACTAACAATTATAGTTTCCCATGGAAAAAGAAATCCTTTTCAAATGTTGAACAAGTGTGGGATAACTTGAATTTGTTTGTATGATGAATATTACAGAAGTAATGAAGAAATTTTTAAAATTTTTTCCCAGGCCACTTTTGATTATGGTGCACAATACTAGAGTGATTATAAAGAATACAACCTTCCCGGAGGGGAGACTGAGTTCGACGGACAAGAAACAAAGCTGCCCACCTACTGGAACACATCCTTCTCCAAGATCTGTCTCGGTATGAAGATCTGACATCAACTTAGGTACATTGTCATCAGCAAGCAGGCCGACTCTTTGTACTCACTGATCGCTGATGGGCAATACCGCGTCACCTCATTGAGTTGTGACGCGTGGAAGGCGTTAATTGGCTCACAAGCCTCTTTACAGTACTACTGCAACAAGGAAGGGTTCAATGCCGTTTGTAGTTGGAGCAAACATTCTAAAGCCAGAATTGGTATTGTTGGCAACAAATATGATGACTGCGGTGCGTGTGACTCAAGGATTGGATTTGGCACAAGAGGATACCCCGATGACCTGAACACATGTTGCAATGTGGCTAAGTGGTATCCAGATAACGGAGACAAATACATCAAGGTTGTGGGATGCATCTTGGTACAATGATACCACAATTTGAAAAAAGTCCAATAAAAATTTAACCATGGATATGGCAGTGATTCACTTTAGTTGCCTCGAGTTTCGGATATCTCACATACTCGGTGTGGACGAATGTCAATCTCACTGGTTCTACTATGGAGACTTCTATTGCTTAAATTTGTTAAGAAAGATGCACAAAGAAAGACGCTAAATGATGTATAGATTCAGCCAAGTCACAAAGCGGAGCTCGAGTTAGCTCAGTAATTTTTATTGCATATTGCTTTGTTGGAACTATTCACAGGCAAATGTTGAGTTTATTTACGACAATTTAAGGACCAGGGGGGAGGGAGGAAGAAAAGTGTAGAATAAAGAGGTTTTTTTTCTATTAGTTAAAGGTCCAGCTTTCGCATTCTCAGTTAATAACAAATAAAAAGGATGCCCTTGCTAGGTTCAGTGTACCGTGGATTTGAGAGTGACATGATAATTAGATCTTGTTGGAAAGTGACAGCATAAGGAGATAGTCCATGGGCCAGGGCCTCAACGATGGCCTTTCAGTACCACTCAGGGGTCAAATCCTATCCTGCATTTTTGAAAACTACAATTACTCTAATTTAATATTATGTGTGATAGCAGTGTCCAATGAGTAGCTGAACAGGTATTATCACGTGATAAAGTGACGTCACTCCTTTCTGGCAGAACTTGATCGACTTTTAATCGACCGCAAAGTTCTAGGGGAAGTTTAGTCGATTCAGTACAAACTGAAAGTCGATTTGATACAAGTCGATTCAAGACAAATTGAATTCGACTCGATACATCTTCACAATCGATTCGATACATCGACAGATTCCATTTGAGACGACTTCAGCAGGTTGATCCCAGTCCATTTTTGGTCGATCTTACAGATATGTTTACATTACAGCAATTTAATTGTCGCTATTTCAAAGAAAACAAAACTAGAAAGAGACGTTAATGAAATAACCTATGAAATTAGCGAAAGAACCTATGATGATAAGTTAGTCAACTGAAACGTTAGTGAACCCGCCTAAACCGTTAGCGAACTGTGTCGTTACCGAAACGACTGCAATTCCCTCAGTGGTAGTTTTGCAGAAAAAGCTTGGTTAAACTAAAAAACAAATACCTTCGCCTGAATGCTCTGCCGGGCGCCCAAATACATCATGTAGATAGGTGTTCGTTTTGAAGAACCCCATAAGAAAGCGTTGTAGACGTTTATACAACAAAGCATAACGAACAATGTCATGTGTTTTGCGGCCTGACTAAGCGTTTTGGCAAACGTTTTCCTTTTGTAGTTAAGGCTACTTTTCTACAACACCAGGACCTAAACGAAGTCGGGGTAGATAAACACGAAAAAATGAACTAGGAAATTATCTAGCCATCTTGACCACACAAGTAGGCTAATAAAGGATTTCTCGTTATTTGTATTTTGACTCGTCCTACGGGCTCGTCAAAATACGGCACAACTCATAAAAATACTCAGCGATACTACACAACAAAACGTCTAACGAGACATATTTATATAAATTATTTAAAAAATATTAAAGTTACTCTTATGAAATGGACTCAAGTTATAGTATTATTATAGTTACAGGTTACATTACGAATGAGATGACGTATAATTTCACCTATGCGGTTTACTCCTTAACTTGTTATTTATGTTGCTCCTTGAATTAGCTCTCTGAGCCACCCCTCAGGGGAGCACTAGCCTTTACTGCGAACTGCAGACGGGCTCTCACTGTGAAAAGGACTTTCATCGTGACTAGTAAATACATTTGGGTGAAACTGCTGACATTGCTGATAACCAGGATAGATTGCTAGGGCCGGACGGTCCAGGTTGATGTTCGTTAGATTCTTGTGTCTGGTATCGCTGCAGGCGGTGTGTGCACTCCGATTGCATTGTGGTAGCTTCATTTTCAAAATGGCGGTGAAAGCAGCAGAATTCGGCAGATTTTGACTGAACATTCCGTAAAAGTTAGGCCGTTCCTTTTTCCTTTCACCATAGGTAAATGTAATTAGATTTATTCTGAATGTGTAAAAGTATTTTTTGTTCGTATTTGTCGGGTATTCTATGGTTCTCAAGGACAAACACGATCACTGTTTTTTTGTATGTAGTTTGAGACCGGATTTCAAGAAGGTCAAATTTGATGTACGTCGTAGTTTGGAGCCTTTCAAAGATTTGGATGGCTGCTTTGATCCTTCTTTAACAGCTCTGACTAAACGCTCTCAAATGCTCTCCAACGGTACATGTGTTTCTCGCATTTTAAGTGCGGGTGTTTGAGATCGAGTATGGCCGAGAAAAGGCTTATTGTTGCGTTACACAGCGTTACTATTATATACTCAATTGTGTTGTAAATCTACTTTCCTGAGTAAAAGGAAATTAACTTATCGCGAGTGTTGTATGGTAAATCTACTATCTTGATCATTGAATGAAGGACAGTTGAATTTGAGCCATGAACGGAATCACTTGACCAATGAATAACTCTACAATGCGCACGGCGACACACCAGGTAAGCCGGAAAGCAAAAGGTAGTCGATCGTTAAACGGTGTTGATTGCTTGAGCGACTTCTGCCATTCGCTTGCGCTTTTAAATCTTCTAACCTGAAAGCTTAGCTGTTATTAGGATATCCTTTAATGACTTCCGTTTACGATGTGATATTAGGGGTTAGTTTTAAGGTGTCATTTCCCCATCTGTATGTTCTTGAGGTTTGGCAAAGCCGGATGAGATTGTGTTACAAAAGGTAATATTTTCATGTGTGCGCGCTACTTTTTTTTTTTAAGTATCAGTCTCTCCCGCAGAATATAACTCCAAAGATACGTTTGTCAAAACCTTATTCTAGGTATTCTATATTCTTTAAGCATATTTGAAACTCTGTACGTTTTTTAATAAACGTTGAGCGTTACGAATTTGGTGTTAGGAGGTGTAAGGCTTCTCCTTTCGCGAATCCCGTATTCACGCCTTTAAGTGTATGACATGGAAAATAGTTCGTGTATTAGAAGGTCGCTGCCTCTTTGGAATGCATTTGCATGTCAAGGGAAGATTCTCCGTTAAATAACTCGCGGATTTGATATTATTCACATAGCCATCAGCTGTGTGTGAAACTGCTGCCAAATGAATATTCTAATGAAGATTCTGGGGCAAGACTGCAGTTTCGATTCTTTCTGAATGTCTTCAATAGCATCCTAACAACAAATTTGTCACGGAGGAATAAAGTTAAAGAGAACTCCATAGTACAAGTCACCATGCATATTCGAATTTCTAACAAGAATAAAAATACTTTTGGTTTTAGTCGCTGTTAAAATAGCCAGTCAATCAATGGAAAGACATAGAATACTCACAGCATTGCCCGAAATTCCGCCATCTCCACAATCTCAAAGCCTCAGATATTCATTCCGGCGCAAACGAGTTTGTCATTTGGCGCGAATGAAAGCTGCGAAGAAACGTGTTGTTGTCAAACGGAGCATCGTGATTGGCTCTTGTACCTCGGACATCAAAACACCATTGCAACTTACCACGCTAAATGTCGTGGGCGCTTCGTGTGATCTTTTTGACGTATCCATGGATATTTAACAGGAGAAATTTACCTCGGGAAACGTCGGACACGCTTCTAAATACAATTTCCCGAGGTAAAAGGACAATTTACCACGATAAAAGTGCCCCGTGTAACCGCCACTATTGACTGTGAATAAATGAAAATCATATATGTGAACTGCGGTTTAAGAAATGAATATGAAATGGCTATGAAAAGTTGCCAAGTCAAGTCTAACGAGCAGAGTAAAGTCTCTTTCTCCTCTATTTCCCACCTTCTCCTAAATGTGCCTCCAGACAGTCCATGACCCCCCTCCCCCCTCCCTCCTCTCTCATAATTTTCTCAACTTGATCCGTTACACTACGTTATCACTGTGACCATGACTGCGCACATGAAAGTCAGTCTAAAGTATTATTAAATGACAACAATACACGAGCGTTAGACTTCTATATCGTGATTCAGGTGTCATGTCAAAACTCCTCTTAGCCAAAACAAAGAACTTAGAAACTCTCATTGACTCGGGAACGCCTCATGCCGCTCGATTCCCAAAGAAACTAAAAATAATATTAAAAGAAAGTGGGACAAAAGATGGCTACCTTAGAGGGCCTTGGAACTAGGTTGCAATTCTCCTCGCCGTGTCATCGTTTGCATTTGTAGCGTTGTAATTGTGACTCCCGTTATGTCCTCACACCCAGTAACCAATAGAATGCGGTTTTATTTCTTCCAATCAAAGTGCTTTGTGATTATGACTTCTGCGAGTTTCTTCCAACCAGGGGAGGGGAGCATTGAAAAAGAGTATTTTTCCTCGCTCGAAGTTTTGGAATTTCACAGGCTATCTTTGATGCGTTTTGGGATGCTTCGGATTGGTGAAAGAATAAGAGTCTGGTAGTGTTTTTCGTTTTTAAGTGTGAAGTATTCGCGAATTTTTTTTCGATACGTTTGAGAGCTTAATAGGAAGCCGAAAATTTGACATTGTATCGTGGCTTTCCCTGTTGGTTTTCATCAAGCGTTTAGAGTGCGCAGGTGATCGAAGTTCTGCTTTTCTTTCGGAGCTAGTATAATACATTAGGTAAGGTATTAGTTACAGTTCATGTCACTATTTTTGTTAAATATGAGAATGATGGTGAAGACAGAACGGCACGGACTCCCTACGTGGCTTTTGTTGCGTCTTGAAGGGATTTTCCCTTTTTGTAAAAGATGATCGGAGGTTTGTCCAAGATTCCATCTGGGGCATCAAAACCCAATACAAGCCGACCGAGACCTTCCAATTTACGCACTTCGCCTCTTGCCCCCCCCCACCAGGCGTAAAATATGGTTTCATTAAACATATCAAACTCTTTCCCTAGTGCGACGAACATTTGTTTTTCTCGGTTCCAGGTGTACGCAACCACTAACCCCACGTAATGCGCATGCTCCCCGTTACGAATTTTCAAAATGGCGGACAAGCCAAAGAGGGAAATAAAAAAAAACAAAGCAATTTTGCAATGAATACTCAACATACACCCTCGTTAGAAAGGCGAATCCACGGAAGAAAGATACAAAACTGTATGATATTGAGATCGATATAATATTAAATCGATACCGAGGGCCCGTTTCCAACTTGCTAAGAAGTGCATTTAGTTACCTTCCGCCACGATTACTAGCTTTCTTGACAGCTTTCTAAAGACAGAATACTTTCTTTCTGAAGACTTCTGATATGCCGCTATTGATTATTACACCTCGTATATCTGATTGCTCAAACACTTTGTTTACGATTGTTGAAAGGAACGACTCATGGTTCTCCGTCTTCGTCTTTACATTGCTTTGAAATAGTATAGATTAGTAAGCTGAAACGAAAAATTAATAAGGGAAGTTTACGAAAAATACAGCAAACAAGCTTAAAAAAGGCATTTATTCAGACTTCATAATTCAACGAACTTCATAAATCTTACTTGTTTAGCTTGTAAATAAACGATGGCAGATTAATTCCCGAAGCGCTTTCTGAGTTTCCCGATCCCTCTCCTACTGCTTTCACGCTTACAAAACAGGAAAAAAATCAAAAGGAGGAAGATACAGCTGTTTTGAAACGCCATTTGACGAGGGTAAATCTGCTTTTTGTTCGACACTTTACATATCAAAACAAAGGAAATTCGTTCCTCTTTTTAATTCTGGCGGTACATGTTTAATTTGCGCCTGCGTAAAAGAGATATCGCCCGAGACCCTTCGCTCGGTCGTGTTTTGATCAAAAACGCCTTGTTAATTTCACGCAACCGCTCGGTGAAAAGGTAAAAATGACGAGGGAAAAACTTTACCTTCAAGTTAGAAAATTAGCGAAATAGAAAGCCACAATATAATAGTTTAATATTTCAGAGGTAAATTGAGTGCTTTTTCCGTAGATAATCCGCACGATGGTAAAACATTCGAAAATTACAATCGATTTGAGTGGGGTGTTGAAGTGGGCGTGGTCACCGCATTCATCTTAAGACTATTTGTACCCCATGAGTTTGATATGGTGAAGCAATAAGATTGTTTGGAACTAATTCTTCGTAGGAGACATTTGATGAGAGACTTTTGAAATTCAAACAACGCCCCAAAGCAAGAGGGTACCCAGAAAACACAACAGGAAGGTCATTGTAGGGGGGTCAACTTTGCCTTCAGACAGTCGGCTCTTGCACAAACACAAACGCCAAAAGGTCACGAAAGTTTATTGCCATTTGTCATACCGTTCCACCCGGAAGTCAATAAATTTTAAAATATGGATGGAACAACGGAGTTTGATGCACAATTAGCCCATGCTAAAAACAATCTAGCCGATACGGGAAAATACAGGTCAAATTTTCCACTTATCCTGACCCGCTTGGATAAGTACTTTTGCTCGAAGACAACCACAATAACGGGTGTATAATAACATTGTACACAAAAAACACAGGATTTTGGATCATGTATTTATTAAAAAAGAATATCCATACGACTGCGATGAAAAGAAACATAAGATTCACCTTTCTGATCGTAAAATTAATACCATTCGCACTGTTATCTTAGCTACGTTCCCTGGCATCAAGTGAATCCAACATGGCGTCTTTCTTCACGAGCAGTTTGCATCTATTAGAGTTTTGTTCTTCAGTCTCACGGTAGTAGTGTTGTTCAATAGATTACATAGAGTATATGAAGTTTGGTTTCAGATTTCAGATTTTGCTTTTTACAACAAGTGTACGTTTTTCAACTAAGACATTGGCATATTTGGCATACTTGACAAGGCATACAAGGCATACAAGGCATTCAAATATTTCATGGCTTTCAAGCGTTGGCGAGTCAATCCGTTCCAAAATCACCGCTCAATAACATCTTTTAGTGTGGATTGGCCGCGAACAATACGACTTGTGTATGCGTCTGTAAGTATTTTGAGCGTTAGCGCCATAATGCTCCAGGTGATCGTAATCCAATCAAGTTAAAATACAAAATAACTGACCAAAAAGTTTTTAAGCAAAAATCTCGTGGTTCGTCATGTGACCCGGCCCTGTCCGTGCATGACAACGTCAATCATCATCAAGATAACACGCGTGATCAGCATGTGAACACCTCATTGGATCACAGTTAGTTGTCATGGTGCTGATGGCCCAATGACCACTGGGTACCATTGCGCAATTTTTCCATTTCTTGGCGGTGGAAAAAAAAGACGACAAAAAAACAAAGGTATTCTATGACTGGACTACCACAGGTATCCCAGTAATAATTTCAGCATCAGAATCTTTATTTTGATCAACATGTTTCGTTGTGGCAATTCCCTTTCGAATAACATAGCGTGGTGAACAGCTCAATTTTTCGCTGTTTGTTCAAGTGCGAAATATACAACTTTGTCTAGACAAACTGTCGCGCTTCTTCATTAACAGTCATAGAAAATCCGTACTGTCATGCACGGACTTTAATTTGTACGCGTGAGAGGGCTATACAAACGACATTAAACAGGATTCGGCGGAAAATAAATCTTAATTAGGAGTAGTATGTACGTGCAGAAACATAAACACGGTAATGTGACGGTGTGTACTTGCATGTTTCACGCTTGAACGAATACGTAGAAAGCTGAATGCTCTAAACAAAAATACTCCCTGTAGCACGCTTCAAATTTCGAAACTTTGTACTCGTGTACGTTTCCAAAAAGCTTTTAAAACATTTCTTGGTTACTCTATTGTCTGATACGAAATGTTCATCATAACACGACAGCGACTTTAACTTCAGTTGGACGATTAATAAGCATAATATTTTCTATAAAATTCTATTTCCTTGGTGAAAAATTAACGGCAAGTGTGCTAAAAGTTCCAGCTGCCGCCGGCAGCCGGCTATTATTTTGAAGCCTGAGGATAATACCGGAAAACGATGTAAATTAAAGTATCCAATAAGGCTAATAAAAGAATTATAATCGAGTGCCACTACTGTCCGCCAAAGAGAAATTGTTATGTTTTTAAAGATTCCCACTTTTAAAGATTCCTTGTTTTAAAGCCTCCTGCTTTTAAAGATTCCCCGTTTTAAAGATTCCCGCTTTTAAAGAATCCCCGTTTTAAAGATTTCGCTCTTAAAGATTCTCCGCTATAAAGATTTCCACTTTTAACGATTCCCCATTCCTCCATTCTCCCATTCTCCCATTCCCCATTCTCCCATTCCCCATTCCCCATTCCCCATTCCCCATTCCCCATTCCCCCATTCCTCCATTCTTCCATTCCCCCATTCCCCCACTCCCCCCATTCTCCCATTCCCCATTCTCCCATTCCCCCATTCTCCCATTCTTCCATTCCCCCATTCTTCCATTCCCCCATTCTTCCATTCCCCAATCCCCCATTCCCCATTCCCCATTCCCCATTCTCCCATTCTCCCATTCTTCCATTCCCCATTCTTCCATTCCCCATTCTTCCACCCCCATTCCCCATTCCCTTATTCTCCCATTTTCCCATTCTTCCATTCTCCCATTTTCCCATTCTTCCATTCTCCCATTCCCCATTCCCCATTCCCCCATTCCCCATTCCCCATTCCCCCATCATTCCCCCATCATTCCCCCATTCCCCCATCATTCCCCGTTCGTTATTTTAAAGATAGCCACCACAACTGCGTCTTTAACCAGTCCCAAGCCGCTTGTAGCTCGATAGATTGCAAGATATGATTGGCCACTGTATCACATTACTTCAGTGGACATGGCTACATGGAGGGGGCAAGAGGTAGCTTAAATGACGTGAGAAGACTTTGAGAATTTGTAACAACCTTTCAACATGGATGAGAAGACTTTCAAAGTTATTTTTTCTTAGTCAAAGACGGTGATCAATGGCGACTAAATTCGAACCCGATCATTTCGGCCTTCTATGCCACCTGGTAACTTTCTCAGATTGGCATCGTCCAAAGTTTGGACGGTTTGAATTTGAACCAACTGTGGATGCTCTTCGAAAAATACTTCCTTTTGAAACCAATTTTATTATTGAGCGCAGTGGAAGTTTAGCGGAAAGACTGTATTTACCAAGGCTGGAAGTGGCCGAGGAAAACGAAGGAAATAGCGTTCGATATGGAACAGATCTTGATGTGATGTTCATGCCACAACTAGCTGTAATCAAGGAAATTACTGAGTCTGATGAGGAAGAAAACAGTGCAGATGAATCAGTTAGCGATGTTGTTGCTTTCATTGAGAATGCAAAAGAACCAAGGTATGTAAAACTCCGTGTTAATACTGCTTGCCGGTGGAGTTTACCCGATGATGTTTTAGAAAGTGAAGGGGACTGTGTTTACGTATCAAGCTCTAAATTTTGCGACGTATTTCGGAAGAACTTGAACCAAGTTCAAGAAGTTGCAAAAGCAGCTGGACCTTCCTTGTTAGTCACAGAGCATTTGATTCAGGAATCCGGCATCAGCATGGATAGTGTGGATCTTGTCTTTGCTTTCCGTTGTCCCAATTGGCCTTCTGTTGCTGATGAATGGGCGAAAAGAAAACGGAACTGGCCACAACCAGAAGTCGTGCAGATGATTCTCCATCAAGGTTATGCCGTGGTCGCAAAAGGGTCTGGAGACAGCAGCGCTTCTCATCTGGAATGGAGGTTGTCATTTTCTTTTGCTGAAACAGTTCTGGCACAGAATCTGAATTCAGTGCAGAGGAAATGCTATCTGGTTGTAAAAGGTCTCGTGAAAGATCTCCATTGTGAAGGTATACCTTCCTACTGGGTTAAATGTGCCTTCTTCTGGTTCTTAGAGGAGGCAGACCCAGACATCTGGAACAATTCAAACCTTGGCCACTGTGTGCTCGGAGTAATTGAAAGGCTTACAAAATGTCTACAGAGTTACACGTTGCCCAATTACTTTGTCATACAGCGCAATCATCTTCAAGAAATTTCCAAAGAATCTTGTGCAATCATTTCCAAGGAGTTGACACAAATCATGCAGAAGCCTGTCTTAGCTCTAGTAAACTCTCCTAAACTTACAAAATGCATTGAGTCAATTTTAAGTCCGGCACCTGAGAAGTATGGATACAGCACTCTCGTTGCACTTGTAAAGGAATTCTACAGCTCCCCAGATAAGAATGTTTTGAATGATTTTCTTAAATACCACCTCTACAATCTTGGCTTAGTGTTGATGGAAAATCCCAAAACAGCACAGAAAGGGATAGAGTACATTGAGTGTGTTGTTCAAATTTTGAAAGGGACTGGAAAGCAAACAAATGCCAATGAATTACTGTGTGATTCAATAATACAATGCCTAAGACGCCATGATGATGGTGATGCAGAAGCAGCTGCCTGCCGCTTGATTTCCATGAGGAGCCTGGGATTTTCAGATCAAGAGGTAATTGCAACACTGACGAAGGCCACCAATGGTATTGATCTTCCTGCCAGTCTATTCCACAATGCTGGATGCTTCTACCATGTACAAGCATATGAAGATGATGTTACTGAACCTAATGGAGAGCTTCTAAACCATGCTGAGATAATGCTGAAAAAATCAGTGGAGTTGCAGCCAACCAATGCTTCTCACTACGTAGAGCTTAGCATGTTTTTATACAGAAATGATCGTTTTGATGAAGCTATAGAGGCTGCAAAGCAAGGTATAACTTGTAGTAAGACCTCTAAAGTGTTGAAATACCTCAGTTATGGTCAAAGTGAGGAGATTACATTGGATGGTAACCTTGGTTACCATATTCAGCAAAATGACACTATTGAAGCTCCAGCCCTGATATTTGCATATTATGTCTTGGTAGCTTGTTTGGAGGAGTTGCATAGAGAGGATGAAGCACTAAAGTTCATGGGCTCTTACAAAACAGCTTGTGGTGATCCTCGTAAAGCTATTGATGAAGATGATTCACTGGTGCTTTATAATTACTCTTGTTTATTGCTCAAGTTACCCGGAGTTTGACTTTGATTTAAGAGAGTTATAAAAATCATTGACAGTGACACTGTGAGTATGAAATCCAGAGCAATTTTTAGCTGAATGGCAATCACAAGTAGTTTTTTAGGATTACATTTTTTAGCTAAAGAACTTGCATTGCTCTCTAAACCAATCACATGCAAAACTGAATTCCTTCCCAGCTAGTGAGTACTCACCTATTTCAGCCCCCTGGAAGTTTGCTTGTTTAAGCTTTGGAATCTCTTTGCCTCAATGCAATTTTTTTTTCTGTTCTGACTGGCCATTGTAATTTCTTTTGTTTTGGCTTTTACCATCACTCCCTTTAATTGGAAAGTATACCATTGTGTATGGCAGGCGAGGCGTAACCCTTTAATCCCTAAGAATGACTGGCAACTAACTTCTCAAGACCACCAAAATCATAGGAAATGATAAACAAATTCTCCTTGTCAGCACCCTAGAAAACATATGGAGAACAGTAAGGAGAATATGAATACTGATTTTAAGTGTAAAAAGTTAACCCTGCAATAGATTAGCATCCCACCCAATAGGGGTCAGAGGCAAGTTAGGGGAAAAATCTTTGTTGATCTAAGCCAATAAAATCTGGATAAGCTCTGGCAGGAACAGCCCTATGACTTATGCACTGATGTTACTTTTCACATGATTTCAATTTTTCAGCAGGGTTTTTTCCTCAGAGCAGTCATAACTGTGTATAAACTCAACATTTTCAATTGTTTACAAATTTGGACTCATTTCAGCCCCACCTTTTACAAAAAAAAGGTGATCCCAACCTCTTGAAGCCATGTGCCTCCTACTTTCTGAACAGTTGCTATAGACACCCATACCACTGGCTCGGCAGTAGTGTTTGGTATCACTTCCCTTGAATTCAGCTTTGCGACAGTTACAGGCTATAATTTGAGAGTCTGGTACCCAGTAACCTGGCCTTGCTTTGTTTTTTAATTTTTAGATTTGGAGACAACAATCTGATGTACATTGGGATTTTCAAGTTACAATTCCTGATTTTGAGGATTTGTTAACATTACTTTGTTGTCAACTTTTAAGATTTATGAGAACGGTCGTATCATATTTACCACCTAATTTTCGCAGATTACGTCTGTCTCCTTACCATTCTTTTCCAACTCATGGTATTTTGTGTAATGTAGTGTATCGTAGTTTTGTTAATTTCTTAATTTTGTTCTTTCCTGCGGGAGTGTGTCATTTAATTTTTTTCCCCTTGCACAAGACCAGAGGAATTAATCCCTCATGATTATGTTTGGTCCTTAGAATGTGTGTTTTTTTATATTTAGATTTTTTTAATTAGGGATCTTTTTTATGTTTTCAGATCAGTTCCCTTAATTATGTGCACTCTATATGACAGATAGAGGTTATTTTCAAGATTCGATCTTAAGTCTTTCTCAAGCTTTAATCATTAGAAGATGTAGAATGGAATATTATGTAATTCAAATATCTTTTTGTAGGGAATTTCAAACAAGTTTTTTTCAAGCCCATGATCAATCTCCTGACACTTTATCAATTTCTTTTTGATGTTCTCTCAGAAAACAGAATCACTAGACATAGATTAGGAATAAACGCAGGTGTCTTGAAAACAAGGCGCTTAGACCAAGTGTATTGTCATAGCAATTTATTTATGCCAGTTCGTTTATTTTCTGTTTTATAGCTACCACCTTCAAACCTACTTTTTTGGCCAGCTTTTTCATATTCATTTATATGGTGTTTTTCTCTTTCTTAGATACATCAAAACTATGCAGACAGAGATGCCATCTATTTGTTCTTTAGTAATTTAAAAATGGTTTTAAGGGTAGACAGTATCAATATAGCTATACAATTTCAAGAATTAGATTTTTTGAATCGTGTAGTTTCACTATATAACATAAGACAATTTTTAGATTGTTTTCATGATATGCAAGAAGGAGAGTTATACCCATATGAATGGTTAGCCATTATGTGGTCAAGCAATGACCATGAAATTAATTTTATACAATTTATTTTTAGACTGAATTTCCATTGGAGGACATTGTGGATTTTTTTGAAACATTAAAATCATTATTATGGTGGCATGATATCCAAGATGAAATCTGTGTCCTTTTTAATCAGTTTAGGTTTGTTATGATTGTCACCAATATTTATAATATTATACCCTTAATAAGTTTTGGTTTCGTCGAGTATGATGAAGAAGATGTAGCGCCACCTATATAAGGGGATTATATATGGTTAACCACCAATTACCACAGAGATACTCATAAGGTCATACATATTTTTTCTTGATTGTATTCCTCAATCATCCTTTTTGTGACATTAGATTTTTTCAACTTTTTCAGATTGAGTATCCCTTTATGGATTACTACAAATTTTTATTTACGCTATGGATCTTTTTATATAATCAAGATCCCGAGGATGAAATTTTGGTCCTTTTAAACCATTTTGATTTTTTTATGAATGTCAATTACGTTTATAATGTCATGAACATTATCTGTTTCAATTTTGTCCCCTATCAAGAGGTACCACCACATCTAGAGAATTGTACATGGTTAGCTACCATTCCCAACAGAAACAGTCATAACATTTTTCATTTTTATTGTATTCCATTTGTATAGCAATAAACAGTACAATGGTTTTTACATGTGTGTTGTCTTATCTATGATCTAACTCGTGAAATGCAGAAAAAAAGCCGTCTGCTATTTCTTTATCCCAGTTAGTATAGTAAATACATCGTTCGTTTCCATAGGGGTGGTAAATGTGTCGCAAGGCATCGCGGAATATAATTTCATGATGTCTCTCCCGTAATTTCAACCCCTGAATTTCTTTCTGATACCTTTCCACATCTTGTGCATGTTTCGATGCTTGCTGACGAATCTTGCGCTTAAGGCGACGCACTTTTTTCCCATGCGAAGATCCTCCCATCTTCTATAAACACTTTTAACACACGAAACAGGTTTCTCATGCGACGGCGTCGTGTTTTCTTGCCCCTTTTTTTAGACATGTGCATCCAAGACGGTCACTTAGATTTGTGACCATAGAAATTCTCTCTCCTGTTTTTACCTTGAATCTCATACCAACGTGATGAATGTATGACGGTTGTCATGGCTTTAATCTCACCCACCAATTGAGGCACGCTTTCCTCACAATTTTTCCAACTGTCGTAGGCTTTCATGACATCCTCAAACTCATGCCCCCATAATATTCTTGGATCCTCTTTACCAAACGGACCAGATCAAACCAGTGTGTAAATATATACATTTGCCTATGAGCTTCCACGGGTGACGCATAATGTTGTAGTTTATCCAAAATGGTTTCGTGAATTACTTCTTCACAGAACCACTCGTAATCTTCGCGACCTGTAGGATCCCCATGGTGGCGTTTAGGAATGTCATCTTGACGTTTAAAGACTTCGCGTAAAACATTTAAAAACATCCAGATATCGTGGTAATCTTGGACACGCGAGACCATGCGATGTCTTGTGCTTTACTTTTGTACAAATGTGATGTGAATTAGGAGATATCCATTCGTTCTTCATTAACAAGCTGACATAATGCACAATTACAATGGGGACATTGTAGGGTAGGATAGGGTGTAAAATACCAACACTGAGAACCCAGTGCTTGCTTGATAACGCACAGATAGCAAAATTTACTATCCTGATTTATTTTATAACCAAAATAAAAGAAAATTGACTGTAACAACTTATCTAAAGACTTATTATATCTATAATATTGCTAATCACTTCAATTTTTTGCATTTTGGTATGTCAAAAATTATTATCACACACTACAAAATTTTTCCTAAAAAACTTGAAAAATTGACATTACAGATGAGTAATTTACTAGTCAACAACTACCACTGAACTTTCCACTTTAATCGAAACAAGCGTATTTTTAATAATAACATGGACAGTTTATTCTTTAGATCTGTTGAAAAATTTACTCCAGAATTATGATAAGTTCAGATAGTTCTGGTGGCTTTTCTTTGTTGCCAGAGCATCGTACAGCATTGAGATCAGTTTGATTTCGTCTTTCCCATTCCTGGTGAAATCTTCTGTATTTATTCTAGATTGCTGTGTGGCTCATTCACTTCAAAGAAAACGAAAGCCTCAAACAGATTGGAATACTGACTGTACTGTACAAACACAATGTTGCTAAGAAGTTTGGAAGTTTGCAGTACCGAGTGACAGTATCACTGGTTCTTGCAAGTGGAAATGTAAGATTTTTGGAAGTGAATTTGTTTCATAGAGCATCATTTGGTAAGTATGCTAAGGATATCAGCATAAAATAAAGATCGCAAACAAGAATAGCAGCGCTGGTTTTAACTTAAAAATAACCTTTTGGAAGGTTGTCACCTGTAGAGTATTCATAGGTCAAGTGACTTCTCTCATTCTGGCTCAAATGCAACTGTCCTTTACTCAATGATCAATATATTTGCCATACAATACTCGTAATTAGTTATTTTACTTTTACTTATGAGGGTAGATTTACAACACGATTAAGTAATACAACGTGCCTTTACAGTGGTAACGCTATATAACGCAATACACAACAGCACCTTTTAAAGAACGCTAAAATGCGCTTTTATTGGTAACTTTGCTTCTTTCGAGAACAACAAATCTCTTGGGTATCAATTAAGTCGATATGCAAAAGTACCACTGTTGTGAACAAACAGAAAGCCGGTCGCTAGAGGGATTTTGCCAAAATCCCTCTAGCGACCGGCTTTTTGTTTGGTTGTTGGCATGCAAATCTTGAGCGACATTTTTAAAACAATACAACGATTCCAGTTCATGCGAGAATATTTCCAATTTCGCTTATGCAAACTCCACCAAAAGAAGTGTTCCAATCTAACACAGGTTAGTGCGTTTCATGCATGAGATATACAGGAAGCCATTCAGAGGTAATATTGACTTGAAATTTAAAGGAAACTACATATTGAGGGTCACGTACAGCAGTGACCAAAAGGTTTCTCCCAAAGCATTGTGATTTTCGACATCTTGTTTCAACGTTTTTAAGTCCGAATCTTTCTTTTGAATGTCTGGCGAGCTTTGTTTTAACGCGACTAAAAACGTTTCAGATGGAACAGGCTGAGAATCAACGTGCCTATTTGAAGCTCGACAAAAAAGAATGAACGCGAACGTTAATGAATCGCTTTTAATAAACATGAAACCGACATCAACTAGTACCACATAGGTACTTGCCACTTTTACTTACGAAGTGAATGGTCGGCTAGGCTTCAATCTATTTCTAATGGGAACAAAACAGCTGGCTGATGGAAGAAGTTTTTCAGTTGTGCCGTATTTGAAACTTTCGTATCCACACGATGGAGTTGAAAAGGGTTCAGTACGAACACATTCAAGTAGCCGCGTGATTTTCCTTGATGAGAATGGGGATAAAATTACAGAAGGGGACAAAGAAGTACCTTCTTTAAAGGAACAAGGTCAGAGAACCTCAAAGGAAGCAAAGGCAAGAAGAGGTAGTGCTTTGTTGGTTAAAAGACGAAGTGTATCGCTGGACGCAGCGAATTTCATGGCATATTATGTGAACAGGAGAAACAGTAGCCTACGTCGAGACCACTTCTTACGATCGTTTGGTAAAACAACTCTCCGGTATCCAAACTTAAACGACGAAGATATCGAGGGAGATGTTTTTAATGGGAAAGCTGCTCCACCGTACATAGAAGATAGAGAAACGCCTTTAAACGAGTCCGTAAAGTCTTTCCTAAGAAGAACTGCATCTGCCAGCCCTGTCTTAGTTCGTCCAGCTTCAAGCAAGAAACCCTGCTCTTCTACCCCGGTAAAAAATTTGCTCGAACTCAGAGGTTCTACATATAACGGGGAACCCTCTTGCAGTGATTTAACGGCAAAGATACGAAAGCAATCGGCAAAGAGACGAATCAAGCGCATTATGGAAGCAGAGAAAGAAAAAGCAGAGAGAGAAAAAGCGGAGGAAGAACTGAGATTGAAAGAGCAGGAGAAAAAGAAGAAAAAGAAGACTTTTCGAGGCGCAGCTCTTGCACTCATGGTAACGAACGTTTCCGCTGCAGGATTCAACTTTAAATCTTTCTCAGAAAAGAAAAAATGGCTCGCTGAGAAGAGGTTGTGGACCAGACAAATAGTAAGTGTAATTTATCTGCCCCTCCACCACCCCCCTATCTTTCATTGTAGCATGGCTTCATTGAATGCTATCCAACCGTAGCATTCAAGATAACAAGTCTAAAAAGGATAGCTAAGATATCCGAGGATTGTAACAAGAAATTATTGGCCTGAAAACTATTTAAGAACGTTGATAAATTATAGTTTGCCAAATGGTAAAAGCGTGAAAGAGGTATGAATAAACTACAATGTTACAAGAATGGTTGACAATGGAAGACTGACACGGATTGCACTTGAAATGTAGACTTTGTTCTACATTTGCAATCCGGAGAAAAATACTTTCTTCTTTTATAATTTAATATTTGAAAATTCCGGGGAAAATATTTAATATGTATATGCCTTGATTTTGCTATAGAAAATTGTGTCTGCTGAAGATTGATACAGACATCAGGCAAATGCTATCCGGCGAAATTAGAGAAAATGTAAAAAATAATCATTTCTTGCGATGGAATGCTTTTATGCAGTAAATTATTGTTTATAATCATTTTTATAGGCGAGTACTAAATTCCGTTGGGCCGTTCGCGTGGTTGTGGTTCTCGGCCGTGTATTAAAGGCATTAGTATCCTACTCCACCGTTATGGTACCAGAGACTGCAGCTCAGAGGTCCTTTCGTACCCTGCGTGATAATTCAGAAGTCAAGGAAATGTTATTTAACAAATCTTTGTATCAAAGGGGAAAATCGGTAAGGTGACTCATTTATTTTTCTCTCAACATGATCGTTTGATTAAATTCAGCTGTTGGATGTTGAATTCTTCCAATATTGCAATTTCCAAATAAAGGCTATGTTTGCCTCGCAAAGGTGGAGGGTACAAAATAACTTTAATAGAGTGTAAAAGCACAGAACTTTGGCTGATTCGTCAGTGACTTTAGCTATCAGTTGAACTAAAATATCGTTAGGTCCAAGGCTTCCAGAGAAATTGACTACGTTCTCTATGGACATCTTTGCAGTCATCTTATTGATAGGTTATTTCAATTGAAAGATGAGGTGGCCGACGAGTCTACCTTGGTAGATTAATGATAATAACTTTATTTATCCTGATTAAAGACCGGTCAGTCAATCAATAGTGATTGACTGGTATCAATCGGTGACCAGAAAATATACATAAAAGTCGATAAAAAAAATATAAAGCATGCAGTTTACAATTGAATAATAAAATATATTTAAGAATTATTAAATAAAATCTACGTTTAACTTGTACAAATGTGATTGGAGCTGTCCATGTGCATTAGGTAAGTAAATGTTTTGCCCTAAAACTGTGCAAGCGTTGTGAAATCACGTATATCTCTTGGCAGTTTGTTCCAGGCACTCGCAGCTGAGAACTTAAACGAGGTCTGTCCACATTTAGTCTCAACTTGTGGTAGATCTAATAATGTTGGATCTCTGAAGGATCGACAATGTCTTTGTGATCGTTTCATTGAGTACCCTGTCAACTACTTAGGGCAGTTAATGTTGTTAATGGCGTAAGTCGGTCGTGATTGGTCGGTTTCGATCCTGTCGGTAAAGCTAGGTCGATCTCTTCTGTATGTTTGAAATGTTAATGTCGTGAAAAAATCGCTTGTATGGTGCCGGCAGTACTTGACAGTACTTTAGGGGCGTGACATCTTATTTAGTTCACCAGCTTTCCAGAGTCAGTCGTTGAAAGTAGTTAGTGCTATAGGTTAGGCATTGCGAAGAGTCCTAGTGAATAATGTGGTGCGTAAGTCGATAATCTTCAGCGATGTGATTATTGACATCACCTTTCCCGCCCGCTTGTGCTCAGTTAGTCTTGTTGTGAGGTTTCTGTCAGTCTCTCCGAAAGAATGGATGCTTGGCAGTCGAAGAAAATGATCTTATAAACCGCACCTTTGGTCGGTTTCGATCCTTTGGCGAGGTGAGGTCGTTCTGTATGGTTCGTTTGTAATGTTCATGTGATGGGTATAGTGCCGGTAGTAGTTGACAGCTGTTGAGGGGAGTTTCTTCTAAGTTAGTAAACCAGCTTTCCAGAGTCATTTGTCGAAACGTCTGGTTGTCGAAACGTCAGTCAGCGCTACTGATAACAGTCCTTTTCAGGATAACACTCGCCCGGACGATCAGACTACACTATCACAAGCTTTCTGTTAGCAAATGAAAAACCAACTATCTTATTTCCAGATCTGGGCAAAAGAACACCTGTAGCAATGTTTGATCGTTTGAAAATAGATCAACGTTGACAATCGATTTCAAATTCGATTGTTGTGTTAGTACCTCCCGCACTTTTAAGTTTCACTTTCATTTGCTATTTACGTTAGTATCTAGCCCACTTTTAGGATTCTCCTTCATTTTATTGTTACATTAGTGCCTTAAAAAATTTAAGGATTGTTCAACATTTGATTTTAATGTTGGTATCTTGTGCACTTTAAGGATTCTCTTTCATACGATTGTTACTTAAGTGTCTCTCACACTTTTGGGATTTTATTTCATTTGATTGTTGCAGTGGTATCTTTCTCACTTTTAGGATTCCCTTTCATTCGATTGTTGCGGTATTATCCCGCGCACTTTCAGGATTCTCTTTCATACAATTGTTACGTTAGTATCTCGCGGACTTTTACGATTCTCTTTCATGCGATTGTTACGCTAGTATCTCCTAAACTTTAGGATTGTCTTGCATTGGATTATTACGTTATTGCTTGCGGACTTTTAGGATCCTCTTTTATTGGAATGTCACGTTAGATTAACGCGCTTTTTTAGGATTCTCTTTCATTGAAAATTTTTTCGTCAATATCTCGTGCGCTCTAAGTACTCTCTTTCATCGATTGTTTCGTAATTATCTGGTGAATTTTTAAGATTTTCTATCCTCGATTATGCGTCATGTCATATCTCACATACTTAAAGATTTTCTTTTATTTGGCTGTTATGTTTGTTGCCAGCGAATTTCTGGCTTTTTGATTCATTCGATTGTTAGTTTGTATTCGCGAACTTTTAGGATTCTATTGAATTTGATTGTTACTTTACTTTAACTATTCTCCTTCATCGATGGTTAGTATCTTACACACTTTTATAGGATGCTTTCATTGATTTGTTTTTTATCACGTGCACCTTTTAGGATTCTCTTTCACTCGATTTTTACATTATTATCTCCCGCACTTTTAATTTTCACTTTCATTTGCCCAATCCTAGGATTCACTTTCATCCCGTCGTTACGTTAGTATCTCCCGAACTTTTAGGATTGTCCTACATTTGATTGTTACGTTGGTATCTCGTGCACTTTTAGGATTAACCTCACTTGTTGGTATGTTTGTTGCTCTTGAACTTTTAGGATTCTCTTTCACTGAGTTGTTACTTCAGTATCTCGCACATTTTTTAGCATTTACTTTCATTTGATTGTTCCGTTGGTATCTTTTGCACGTTCAGGATTTTCTTTGCGTTAATATTTCGAGTAGGTTATAGATTATCTTTCATTTGATTGTTACCTTAGTATCTAGCGCACTTTTAGGACTATCTTTCATTCAGTTTGATTGTTACCTTAGTATCTCGCGCACCCTAGGATTATCTTTCATTCGATTATTACGTTATTATCTTGCCCACTTTAATGATGCTCTTTTTTATCGCTTGGGACATTAATATTACTCGTATTTTAACGATTCTCCTCGTGCACGTTTAGGATTCTCTTTTTTATTTGATTATTACGCTAACATCTTACGCACGTTTCAAGTTTAGGATTTTCTTTCATCTGTTGTCATGCTGGTATCTTGGACACTTTAAGGATTCACCTTTTTTCGATTGTTGCATTAGTATCACCTGCATTCATAGTTACTGCCCAGCCTTTTTATCGTTATGTTAGGATCTCGGTCACGTTAGTTTTCCTGCACTTTTAATATTGGTCTCTCGTGCACTTTTAGGATTTTCTTTCATTCGGTTTTTCCGTTAGTATCTTGCCCATGCACTTTTAGGATTCTCTTTCCCTCGATTGTTATGTTGGTGTTTCGCGCACTTTTAAGATTTTCTTTCATTTGGTTGCCATTTTAGTTGCTCGCGCACTATTTCATTCGATTGTCACATTCATATTTCGCTTATTCTTTCATCGATTGTTTCGTTAGCATCTTGTCCACATTAGAGATTGCTTTCATCGTTTGTGACATAAATATCGAGTGCACTTTAATATTCGTTGGTATCTTGCGTAGTTTTAGGTTTCTCTTTCATCCGTGTGTTACCTTAGTATCGCGTGAAGGTTTTCGATTCTGTTTCATTCCATTGTTGTGTTTGTATCTCGCCCATTTTTTGAGATTTTCTCTCTTATTCGATTGTTACGTCAGGATCTCGTCTATTTTAAGGATTCTCTGTACTGGATTGTTTCTTCAGTAGCTCGTGCCTTTTGAGGATTCATTTTTATGGATTCTTTGGTCAGTATCTCGCGTTTCAAGGATTTTCCTTCATCGATTGCTTCATTTAAACCTCGCGCACTTTTAAGATATTCTTTAGATTGTTTGTTAATATATTGTGCACTTTTAGGATTCACTTTTATCGCTTATTTTTTTAGTATCTCGTGTAATTTTAGGATTTTTTTTCATTTGATTGTTATCTAAGTTGCTCGCGAACTACTAGTTCTCAATTTTCATTTCATCGTCTTTTAGTATCTCAGTTACTTTTAGAATTTTCTTTCGTCGGTCTTTCCCATAGTGTCTTTCGAACCGTTGGGGTTCTTTTTCTTTCGACTGTTACGTTAGTGTTACACGTATTTTCCTTACTGTCCTTCATTTGGCTTGCTATTTTAGTACCTCACGCACTTATAGGATTCTATTTCTTCTGGTTATGTTAGTGCCTCCTTCATTATCAAGAATATCTTCCATTTGATTTTTTGCGTTAGTATCTCGCAAATTTTTGGGATTTTCGTTGGTGGTTCTCCCATTTTTAGGATTTTTCTCATCTGTTTTCGATTTTCACGTTAATATCTCGTGCATATTAAGGCTTCTCTGTCATCCATTTTTTCGTCAGTATCTCGCGAATTTTTAGAATTCTTTTTTATAGAATTATGCGTTTGTGCGTCGCCCAGTTGTAGGATCCTCTCTCATCGACCATTACGTCGCAGCTTTTGGATTTTCTTTCATTGACTCTTACGTTAGTGTGTCCTGAAATTTTTTAGTATTTTCTTTAAGCGATTGTGCGGTCAGTATCTTGTGCATTTTAGGTACTCTCTTTCGTCGATTTTTTTTGATATCTCGCGCACTTCATAGATGGCCTCTTTGAGTATCTCTGGCAATGTTAGGATTTTCTTCCGTATTGTATCTCGCACATTTTTAGGATCATCTTCCATCAATTGTGATGTTGATGTCTTGCGCATATTTAGGATTCCCTTTCCTCAATTGTTTCGCTAGTATTTCGTGCAGTTTTAGGATTCTCTTTCATCGATTGTTACGTTGCACTTGTAGGATTTTCTTACCTCAAATTGTTACGTCAGTATCTCCTTACGTTTTAACATTCTTTTTCATCTATTGTCACGCGCACTTTTAGGACTTTGTTATTTGTGATGGTTACGTTAGTATGTCGCCCAGTCTTTGGAAATTTTTCGTATTTATTGTTATGTTTGTATCGCGCTTTATAAGGAATGCGTTACATTTGATTGTTACGGTAGTAAAGCGTGCACTTTTATGATTCGTATATACGCAGTTACCTGGTAAATCGACAGAACTGTTTCACAAACTCTTTCTTTGTGCCCAATTTTATCCGCTATGTTTTACAATAATTGGTTCATGCTTTTAGCCATGCGTATATCAAAAATGGTCATGAATGCACTTGGGAAGTTTGGAGAACACTCAAGACCTTAAAGGTGTTCTCGGCTGCGTCTCGGGTAACTCTCCGCTTCTCTCGTGCTCTCCAAACTTCCCACCTGCATCCACAGCTCGATATACGTACGCTAAGCATGGATCAATTCTCGAGTAACTCAGGAAAAAGTAAAACAATGCTACAAGAAACAAGAAAAATTATAATAATAAACGTGTGAATAAATAAGAATAAAACTAAAAGAAAAGAGATAAATCTAAGTCTTTTACTGTAAGTAAAACAGAATGATAATGTTGTAATTCGTATTTTCTGTAATAGATCATAGATGACATCAAAATGCGGTAAGAACGAAAAAAGAATAAAAGGGGCACACGAAGCGCTGTTACTAATGTTTTCACGCACTTTGGCATCTTTTGTAATATAATACTGTTAAGACCCACGGCAATATAAAATCTAATTGTTAAAAAATAAAATCTAATTGTTAAAAAAAAAAAAACAAAATGTTTTTTATAGTGACGTCATCTTTGCTCTTGTTCTTTAAAACATCATAAGTAAGAACCAATCAAAATGCGTGTATCAAAGGGGTAAGTTTTTAAAGAAAGTGAGGTGCTGCTTGGGTGGGGGAGTATAACAGGTTAAGAACCAATCAAAGAGCGTGTATCAAGGGGGTTAGTTTCTAAAGAAAGGGTGGTGCTGTGCCAGCGGGGGAGTATAACAAGAACATTTTGGTTTCATCATCAGATAACAAAGGGCTATCGCTGATACATTTTAGGGCCTGTTTACATGGAGGTGGGAGACCCTAGGTAGGTGAGGTAACCCACCTAGCCGTGGTCGAAAAATAAAACGCGTTTACATGCAATCTTACAACCCCGGGGTGCTGAGGTGAGGTTTCTTGAGGTTGTTGTTGTGCTTGCAATTAAGGACTTTGAGCAGAGGCATCCCAAGCTCACATCTCGACAAAGACGAAAGATTAATTCTCAAACACATATGAATTTATTCATGAAAGCGTCACGCGGTGTGTTACGCGGTATTTGGTTTCGCGACGAACCGTTGACTTAATACGTTATACGGAATAGTTTGGGGAAACAAATATGGTCGATTTACAACGCTAAATATTCCGAAATGTGAACATTTTACACTCCGCGTGTGTCTGTTGCGGTTTCTGGTGATTTCTGCCGCGAGACGGCTAGGAAATGTACAAAGTTTTGAAACATACATGTTTCGCTTTTAAGCTTTTTGCCATGAACGCGACCCCGGCTGGGCGGGTTACCCCACCTTGACACGTTTACATGGGAAATTGTCACCCCGGCTGATAGGGTTACCCTACCTGCCAGACCGGGCAACCCGCCTAGGCGGGTCACCCCACCTATCATGTAAACGTAATCAAAATAAAATAAGAAATTATATGGACAGGCGGGTTACCTCACCTACCTGGGGTCCCCCACCTCCATGTAAACAGGCCCTTAGTAGGAGGATGTAAAAATAGGTGCTGTCAAATTTTCAAATTCTCTGTACCGCGTTACCCATGAAATGTCGCTTTCCGATGCAGAGGTGATTTTTGTGTTGTGCATCTAAAGTAAAATGTATATGCCTTAAGCAATGACCTTCGACCAACTTAATTCATTCCTTTCAATTTTTTTTCTTTTTTGTCAAACAAGGTCAACTTTTTCCAAATATTCCAGGTGTTAGTTTTGCACCGATGTAAGTTTAAGGAGTTTGTATTTTTGATAATGCGATACCTTATTGCGGGCTGAAACTTTGCTTGTGAACTGTAAGTTTTGGGATGTTTATCATTTGGCTTAAAACTCGGGAATTTTGGTTTGAAGTCACATGATGAGATAATTTTGGGGAAATGCTGTTCGGAAATTTTTTAGTACCTTCCGAGGTACTCTTCTATTTTCGTTCAGAACAGAATAACGGAAAATTTCTATCATTTGAATAACTCCTCCATTTCCAGGCTTTTTCTTAAAAATGGTAAGAACCCTCTGTGTCTAAGTTCTATTAACAACTGACCCGATGAGTGATTTGACAATTATTGGACCGAACTCAGCTGTCTATTGGGTAATTTTCCGACATATCAGATGAAAAGTCTGAGAAATCTAATTGTATTCTCGAACTATTTACATTTCGAACGTCTTCCATATAGCAATATGCTTATGTACCTGAGTGGGCCAAGCGGATATTGACGAAATCTGCCATGGAAAGATCTGAGAATGAACTGAGTCAACTCCACTCCATGCTCAAGGGCCTCACATCTTATGACAAGTTCACCTACCGCATCCAACTCGCCATGTGCAGGGCTATGACATACCTTAAGTAAGTCAGAAGACCTCGACAAGTGATCTTGAATACTATTGACACTTTTTGACCCATTTTTACTTCACTTTAAAAAAGAAAAGTTTCCACACGAATTGTCAGCAGAGGAATCAAAGAACACACATGGTAGAGTACTTATAACCAGAAAAAAATTAAAAACCTAAAGTCCAGTGATAGAGCACCATTCTATCACTATGTGCCTTAATGTTACGGAAAGAGTGCTTAACTCTTATGGTTGTGAACATGTTGTCACGAGGCTTCCTTAAATTTACCTTTGGTTTTGAATTTCAATATTGTTCAGAATGTTGCAGCAACTGTTAAAATTAATTTGATAAGTGGGAGGAGAGAATTGAGAAAATGCGGAGAATTATTTAAAAAAACTGCTTCCATTGCACCGTTTAACGGCAATCGATATTTTGTTTTTCAGAGTGGAGCACCCCCGGGTAGTGTTGCGCAAAGGACATGTTGGTGTCTGTTTTTACTTCATCTTTTCCGGTTCCGTGTTTGTCAACGTCGAGGAGCTGCTCACGAAGACTGGTCACGTGATGTGGCATACAGCAATTACGTTGCATCGAGGAGACAGCTTTGGGGTAGACAGACAACAGTCACCATGTGGCGCTAAATGTGCTCAAATATACTTTGGCGAACAGTCTCTGTTCCTAGAAGCGAACTGAGTCTGGTCGGTGATAGTCTTCCTTCAAAATTTGAGTCCTAACACATTTTGCGCCACATGGAATCTGTTACGCTTAAATGTTTTGAATGACTTATTGCCAAAATTTCATTTTTAAGTGTGCGTAGGGCCTCCTTTATCAACAACGTAAACAACCACAACAACAAGAAACAAATAGGGAGGTGGAGAATGAATACTGGACTTGCCTTGGGTTAGCATTCTTTCGATGAACGATTCCGTCACCGTATTCAGGGGCGGATACAGGACATTTTCTAAGGGTTGATTTAGCTGATGATTGATGTAAACAATTTTTATAAGTGAACAACGAAGAAGTAGGCTGATGACAAGGTAAATAACATAATATGAACTGCTGAGAATGCAGAGCAACCAATACAGCAAATTTTTTTTTAACCGTGAAGTAATATCATAGACCCGTAAGTTATCTGGCGAGAGGGGGTGCGTACCTCTTGCACCCATCCGCAACATCCGCCCCTTATAGTCACGTACCATATTTTACCTTCTTACCAAGCTTTTCAAAACATATTTCACAGGCGATTTGATTTAACTTATGTTCAGTCTTCTACTTCATTGCCGCAATACGAATTTACAAATGTGCATGGTTTTGATGTCTCTGTCAGGATCTTCTCTCCTTTATTATCAAACTACGAGTATACCCAGGATTCTACTTAGTGTGATTGGAATGAGGCCATTTAAAACTTGACTAAAGGGGACCTGCTTGTGGCACTTTTTCTAATTAATTTGTTGTACATCCAATCTTTATGCCTAGCTTTATGATTGTGCTGCAAATTACGTCTACCACGTGATACATATGTGTTGCGTGTTTCACTTGTTCATGGTCCGAGTTCACTCGGCTCGAAAAACGGCTTGCACTCTTCCAATTTTGCTTCATCTTGCAGGAACTTGCTCTTCTAAGAAACATCAAAAGAACTGCATCAGTGGTGGTGAGAGAGGACACGGAACTCCTGGTGGTAGAAAAAAATGTGTTCTCTAAAACATGCCCCAGAATCTACGACAAAGAACTCTTTGACAAGATTAAATTTTGCAAGTATGTGTAACGTCAAACAGAGAAAAACTCATTGTAACTTGTTAATGACATCTTTGGGCTCCCTAATAAATTATTTCATTACTTCTCATCAGTAACTCATACTGACTCTTAAAAACCTGATTTAACTGACGAAGAACTTGTTGCATCTTATAAGCTTGTTACTTACACAATACTGATTTATGACATCCTGTATAAAGTACCAATCATATGCTTCGTCGATCTATCTTCTAAGCCTATGCTTTTTATCTAAAACGACTTAATAACCAAGAGTGAGGTCGTTACGGGAAATCACAAACTGAGGCTATTGTTCGGTCAATACGGCTAAGTCAAGGTTTGATTTTGAGATTTGAGGTTTGAAAAAAGAACTCTGTCAATGTCCAACCAATTTGACCTAGCCCTTGGTTTTTACGCATGTATGGGCTATATAAAGTCTAACACAGATGGCGAGAGCAATTGAAAATTTCCTTTCCAAAATTCCACTCTACAAAAAAAAAACTGATATTTTACTTGGATGATTGATAAAATGACACACATACATATGAAATGAAAGGTCACGCCGTAAGTGTTCAATTTTATTGCGTGGATAACCGGAAAGCCACAGCTTGCTAACTGCTTTAAAGAAACAAGATTTCCATTTCCTTTGCTTCCAGGAAATGATAGCCATGAATCAAAACGCCATTTCACTCACGAATTCTCCTGAATCTTATCTGTTGTAATAAACTGTGAAGTGTCTGTAGTCAAAATAGCATGATTTCAACAAGTTAGAGTTTGTGATGACTCTGTTTACTATCCGCGATTAAAGTTTAAATTTAAAGTTATTAGCCAAATTAAGCATATTTGGCACTTACTTTCAATTTTGACTAGGACTCAGTGAACGCTTTGAGTTAAGCATAAGTTGTGAAATTTATGAAATGATAGCCATGAATCAAAACGCCATTTCACTCACGAATTCTCCTGAATCTTATCTGTTGTAATAAACTGTGAAGTGTCTGTAGTCAAAATAGCATGATTTCAACAAGTTAGAGTTTGTGATGACTCTGTTTACTATCCGCGATTAAAGTTTAAATTTAAAGTTATTAGCCAAATTAAGCATATTTGGCACTTACTTTCAATTTTGACTAGGACTCAGTGAACGCTTTGAGTTAAGCATAAGTTGTGAAATTTATCATGTAAAGCAAAGCATTATAGTGTCAGGGAATGATCTTAAATACGATTGAACTTATTTTCGCGGCTGTTTTCCAATCTCGCTGCGTTTTATATTCGCCACAATTCTTAGAAGTAAGTCAGTTTTTATGGGGAAAACTAACCTTTATTTCAATTGCAAGACTTTTAAAGACACCAGAGCTATTTTCAAACTTTCGTGCAATAGTTCACCACTGTGGTTTCAGACTAGTGTTCTCACCACAAATTTTGCGTCCGATCACACTGAAGTAACCAGTTTCGCCTTCATTTTGCATTTCACGATTGTTCTTTATAAAATACTCGGATTCTTGGTGTCACTTTATTTGCTGTCGTCACTTTTCGCATTTTTTAAGGTTTTACCATAGAGGCGCGGTTACCTCATGGTTATTGCGCTCGACTCCGGGTCGAGTGTCCTGGGTTCGAGCCCTAGCCGGGGTCATTGTGTTGTGTTCCTAGGCAGGACACTTTACTCTCACATTGCTTCTCTTCACCCAGGTGTACAAATAGGTACCGGCAAATATGCTGGGGTAACCCTGCGATGGATTAGCATCCCATCCAGGGGGAGTAGCAATACTCCTAGTCGCTTCATGCTAAGGAAACCGGAGTTAAGCTCCTGATAACAAGACTAATTCAACACCTAAAGGTCTGAGTCTGCGCTTAACTTCATATCAGTTGTATAAAAGCAATAGACTACATTTTCTCGGGTTTTTTAAGAGCAATTGCTGCACTTTCCATCAGTTTACCGGCGTAATAACCCGCCTGGGACTTGACCCACTTGACTGAGTACATAGTCATTACTCTTCACAACATTCAAATGGTTAAGAGAAGCAACGTCAGAACATGCTACAGTGATAAAAAGTGAGAGGATTTTTTTTTCCAAATTTCTTTTCAGAGGTTTATCTTTTTTCAGACATTGGGCAGAGGAGGCACTAAGAAACGTTTGTTTTGAGGCACAAATCCAGGAGGTAGGCAAAACACTTTTGGTACTATTGTGTATAATGACTGTAAGAATAAGTTTCTAGAAATTTCTAGAATGCCTAGTCATGCTGATACACATACCGTGGAAATCTATCAAACATACTCTTAGGTCACGTAGTAATAATGTAATTCTACCAAAATGCTTATGTTTTAAGCTTCCGGAATGTTCTAGAATGCTTTATAAATGCATGTAAGGACTCAGTCGTGTGATAGTAGGTGGTTGTTGTTGTTGTCGGGAGTGACCGACTGTCTGGAAAGCTATACCGAGAGGGTAGAAGTACTGTGTTCGTTTCAAGAAGATTTGAAGATAACTGTGAATTTGTGTCAGTGGTGACCTTAGTTATAGTTTGTAGTGGGCTTAAGTAAGTTTATTAAGGATAATAACGGTACAGCTGTTAGGAATCGCTCCTTAATAAGAATATTAAACATTGTTTAACAAAGTAGTAGGATTTTTGAGAGTATAGCCTCCTTTTCATTGGTTAAATTATACCGTAACAGTACATAACAGATAAAAGAAATCTCTCTCACCTAACCGTCTTTTACTTTCAGTGGAAATCGAATAAGATAATCGTGAAAGACAGCAGTAAAGAGTTGGAATGGATTTACCTCTGTATGCAGGTAATTTCTATCGTATCAGTCAGACAAAACCAATCAGTCAGTCGCTTATTCAATTTGTAAGCAGACAGTTTTTGAGCTAGACAGCTGGCATTAGAGCGAGCGAGCTAATCGTCAGTCACTCGGTCACTAAGTCGCTGAATTATTCAGCTTCCTACATTCCTTCATTCAGTCAGTCAGACACTTAGTGCGTCAGTCACTCAGTCTATCAGTCAATCACTCACGATCAGTTAAGCAGGCTCTCAGTCGGTTAGCTACCCACTCAGTCAATCGATGGAGTTTCAACTTATGGCTTGCGAGCAGGCTTTCATCAGCGCTGCAACACGAGTTTCTCACCCCCGGGCGAAGTGAGCGTACAAGAGGTCTATGAGGGATCCCGCACTCAAAATGAGAGCTGGTGACGCCAAAGTTCTCGAATACAGTGGCAGTAATATAATCGGTGAAAAATGACAGAGAACAGCGAGTTATCGACAATCAAATGCAAGCGTCGCTTCCGGTAAACCAAACTTTGAATCTGTGCCCGACTTCTAGAAAATAATTATTATCGAAGCAAAACATGTAGTCGATATACCAGACGATTGTTCTTTATCAACTATACCATGTTCTTACTGTGTGGCACCTGACCGGCCCATTGAAAGAATTTGCAGTGGCTCTTTCGACATTTTAGGTAAATCCTCCAATGATATTTCTCGAACTTGGATTCGCGCAACTTCAAATGTTTGTTGCAGAAGCATTTCAGATTATCACGATTGCATTTGTACCAATCTGGTATCTGGTCTTGGACATTTTGTAGGTACCGAGGAGCCTCTTGCGGACTTGAGAACAAGCAACAATCGCCATAAGGAAAGACCACAAACTCCCATCCCGTCTTGTAACGATGAATACATTGTTGTTCATAATCAGAAACATACAAACTGTTATTCTTGCAATCTCTTACACAATGGCCCTCGCTTTTATTACCAGGGCAAATGTTCAGTAATTAAAGCACTTGATCTGCGCGTTTCACCCAAGCCAACCCGTCTGAAGAGAGTAACGAACGATGACATTTATTTTCCTTCCGGCGTACTGAGAAGAAAGCGTAGAACCCAGTCTGATCCGTCCAAAATTTGGAGAAAAGAACTGAAAGAGAGTTTGAAAACACCATTTAGCTTTAATGAAAATGAAACGGTGGATGAAAATCAGGAGGATAATGAAAGGCAAGTAAATATTTTCTTAACCTGTAATCTATTTATTTTGTGCATCAGTATTTACAAATGAATTGGATACAGACAATACAGCTAATATGTCAGTGATCAAGGAAGCTCTAATTGTTTAATCAGCGAGACGTCCACTAAGTCAGAAATACAGTGAGTCATTCTTTCCGTCAGCCATTTCGTAATGGTAATAGGACTGAAGGGAATCCAGTTTGGTCTGTGATCATACGAGTTAAACAAAATCGGACGACGGCACAGCGGGAGTTCGATTTGTTTTTCACGAGTTTATAATCATAAAAATTACAATTTTCGAGAAAAGAGGAATAGCCAAATTATGAAAGAAAGGGAAAATGTGCATCAAAAGACTGACAAAGGAGACGTTAATTGTTTAATTTTGTGATTGGTTGATATATAGTACAACTTTGAATGCGATTGGTTGATTTAAACTAACTTTGAATGTGATTGGCTCGTTGAACTGTCCGATAAAAAGCTGTCGAATAAAAACTTGACAACCCAGACAATTATTAAAATAGATAAAACCAAAATTTAATTCTACATTTTCTTACAACTCCTGACTGTCGACACTCTGCAGAACTTCCATGTCAGAATCTGAGTGGTCTGATTCAGAAGGTGAGATTGCAGGAGCTGAAAGGATTTTGGAGGTGATGGACGTGCCATATAAGGATGCACCTCACGCTAAGGGAGACACCGATTATATCGTCAATGAAGAAGATGAGGATGATAAAGCGGAAGTGGAAGCTGAAGTCCAACAACCTGTAGTCCAAACTGCCCCATCTGAGCTAGAAAGACGAGATAAGAGGGCATCGGAGAGTTTTTCTGAGCTGATAGAAACTGAATCAAAAGCAGGAAAACTGAATAAAGACGTGGTTTACTTAAATATAGCATCGTTAAAGAACGGCGACATCTTCGTAAGTAAAAGAAAACTAATTTTGTTATTTGTTCTTTCTGCGTAGTTCGGATTTATTTCAAGCACGCGCGAGCGATATTAATCGATTGTTTGGTAAGATATGCACGTCATGCAATGAACTATCAATTTAGATACCTTAGTTTTGCTACCTTTACTTTAGTTTTCAACATGGAGCGAAGTAACTTATGTTGGGAGCGAAGTCACTTATTTGACGGAGCGATCTAACTTTTGGTTAGAGCAATCTAACTGGGAGCGATCTAACCATGGTGTGATCTAACTGTAATTCAGTCAGAACCAGACCGCATAGCTCGCAAATGGCTATTGCTTTGATTATTTTTTAAGAAAAATGTTTCAAAATTGACTAAAGTAATCGCGTTGGGATGGAAAAAGAGAATCGCGACCTTGTTACCTCGTCAGAGGCTTACTATGAATGGCACTGGCAGTGAAATATATGTTTGGCTTGTCAGACTGTTCAATCACTACCCTACCACAACCAGATTTATTTACCAAATTGAGAGGACTCATGGCTCAAGCAACGTAAATCATATATTTTGTTCATGGCTTGCTGAAAAAGCTGCACAATAATCTCCAGCCACATTTTGCTTTTTCTTTTGGGTTAGCTACTGTATCATTGATAAGTCATTAATAAGTCAAGATAAGTCATTCCTCAAGAGGTTCTAACCTTGCTCACGTATAAATTTCACGTCGTGAAATGCTCTGCAAAACCGCTTATGTCGTTTTCAATTAAAAATGGTTAATTGAAAAAGAAAGAGAATCATACTAATCATACTACAGGCACTTTGCGAAAACTATGTGCTTCGTCACCAATGTGGCTGCCAGAATTTAGAATTTTTAAAGAGAGGAGTCTTTTTAGTAAGACATTTTGGCTTAAAAAAATTAGCTCCTCGTTCGAAACAGCCAGAAACAAAGTCAGCTTGAGGCATTCCACGGCTTTCGGTCATCGATTACGTTTGACACCAATACAGCGATGACATGTATTTGTGCTTCGATTACCACCAGGTGGCCTGCATATAACGAGAGGTGGTCTGAATGAGTCCGATACGCGCCTTCCTGAGTTAAGCTGCACTTTAACTGCCTTTTGTGATAGGTCCAAATTCTACAACAACTTGGTCAAGCCCGTTTTATCCTAGATCTGGGTTTACATATCAAAGTCCTCCTTCCTCGTCGGGCTGTATTATTTGTAATCCTTGTGAACATTTCGGTGCGACTTAACAAGTACTTTGATATTTCAATTTTCATAATTTCTTCCTCTAAACCTTTACTAGTACATCCAAGTTTTGGAAGTAGAATTTAGTTCGTTGTACGGTGATTCTGTTTGCAGGATGTCTCTGAGGTTCTCAGGCCGACGGGGCGAAGACTGATGCTCGTCAGCAAAGGGGCGGTCATGTTAAGAATTAGAAGGGATGACTTTTTCCGCTACTCTTCCAAGACGACGTTAAGGGTGGCCAGAAAAATGGTGCAAGAGCTAGAGTGAGTATCAATAGTTTTGCGATGAAGTGACTGTATATAGAAATTGTTGGCTTGATGCTTTTATCCTCTCTTAAAGCCTGTACAAATTTCTCTGTTTGCTCTGTTGTTTTCCAAAAGTGCAGGAATGATACAAATAAGTTATTCGCTAGCCAAGTCAGCCAGGAGGTCCGTATTGAGAAAAACTGTGCCCTTTTTCCACTCAAGAAAAAGAACACGATATTTCCCAATACTAACCGACCTAGGCTGGAGAATAACATTTTCATTTTTTTTTTCTAAAACTCAACGAAACTCTTGCTAAAAGAACCCGAATGATTTAGGGCTGTAATTACGTCAAGATCCTCTCGAAACTGAACATTTTTTGAGCGAATGGATGGTACTGAAAACAGAGGTAATGCATTTTTAAAACATCTCTGTTTACGTGATGATAAAGGTGATTTACAAGTATCTGTCACGATCTGTCAACTAGAAAGCGCGATAGATAAAAAGCGCATATACAGTTTTAAAAAAATCATCGGGAATGATTTGGCATACAAACTCAACTTCAATGACTGTCGCGACAATTTTAATACGGCTTTTTATCATATCTTCTAGTTTCTGTTGTGTAATTTACGTTCTAAATGTCCAGATTTAACCTGGTAAGGTTTACAAAAGTGTATTTATAAAAGAGCTCAAAAATAACTGTTTTACGCCAAACAAATTGTTTAGGATAGTTCAGATATCAAATAAATGAACGTTCCATCGATTTATTCAGTTATGAAAAAACACCTTACGTTTTGACATTATGAGTTACTTTTTGTAAAAGACTAAAAATAATTGTCAACGGTTTTAAGGCCAGGCGTCAACCATTTAACTTTTTACACCGTAACATCAGAATGCATATTCTTCATCTTCATACTGTCCTTTATACGTTTCCAAAGAGGCTGACAAGGAGAATTTGTTTAACAATGAAGAGCTGCTTTAGTCGGTGATCATCTCCGCTATTCTTATGACTTTCATGTTTGTTTCAGGGATGATACTGTAAGGAGAAATTAGATGCTAGTCACTCTTAGGGGTTAAAGGGTTAATAGCACATCTGATACCACAAATTTATTTGAAAGAGAGAGAAAAGAGAGGAATGATGAGTTATTGATCGGCTTAAGGTCGTAAACGACGTATTCACTTATGAATACTGCCCAGCCGGCAAAACGGAATATATTTATAAGCAATGACAACGAAGCTAGGAACTCGGCGATTCACGAAAGGAAAATTCGGACCACGCTAAGAACCAATAAGACTGCAGGATCCTTTTCCGTGCCCTCTGAGAAAAGTATAATACCTCATTATCTGTTTTCAACACGAACTATTTTCTCTATGGTAACTGGTCAGAATAAAAGGTAAATTGCGAACTGCAGAAAATGTATAGATTTAGCCAAGCCTAGAAGTGGAGCTCCCGTTAGTCTATTTTCTATTAGACCTCCTAATGGGCTGTTGAAGAGGTTAGGCAAGGAAAATTAGGACTAACGCTCGAATCTTCGGATTTACAAACTCTCTATGATGGCCAATTTACATTATCAAGTCAGTTGATAAAGCCAAATTATCCTCACATCTATTAGCCTATGACAAGCCTCTGTGTAATGCCTTACCGTGTGTGTGTGCGGTAACTTCACTGGAATTCGGCATTCGTGTATGCGTTTTTCATCATCTTCTACCAGTGTTTCTTGGCGCACACGAATGAGATTTCCAATTAATGCACCCAATCCATTACCTTGTTCCTTTCCCTTCTACTTCCATAAAGCCCATTTTTGTACCCACAATGCAATTGGCCGCGCATGCTAGAAGTAGCGCCTTTTGCATACGGTCACACTCTCCAACCCCTATCATTTTCTTTCGGCTTGATCTGCTACTGTCATTTTTTACTTCGCTTCGCTTTTACTTCGCCGCAAGCTCGCCATTAATAAAGATAATAGGCCTGAGTGGAGTCCAATTCGGTCTGTAATCATGCGAGTGTTACAAAATCGGACGACCGTGAAGCGGGAGTCCGATTTGTTAATCACGACTATGTTTACGGACAGAATTGGACGACACGAAGTCCTGTTACAAATTAATCATAACCATTATAATTTCCGACAAAAAATACATCTAGAAAATAAATCTCCAGTGAAGACAATGTATAAAGTTAAAATTCCTCCAATTTGGAAATTCCCCAGTTTTTCATAGAATATGTGGTTGTTGCTATGGTTCTTGTGATCGATTGTTTGATTGGTGGATTTAGCTGAGTGAACTCAGTACGATTGACCGCTTTAACTGTCCGATTACACTGTGCGATTACAACTACACAAAATCATTAGTGAAAGATAAAACAGTTAGTGCTCCAATCATATTGAAGGAAATTCTTGTTCTGACTGATTAACAGCAATTTTTCAGTTTTTCGCTTCATTTCAGCTTCTACCTCATCGTTCAAGAATTTCCCTTGCGAATTTGTTTCATCTATTATTTCAGTTCAGCCGTTAGGGATAGGTTCTCATAAAAAGCATGATCAATTTTCGCAAATTTCAAAATAGCTTTCTTTAATATAGGAGAGATTAAATTAATTCTTTCCTACAGCAATGAAAATTGTGTTTCAATTTAGCAATAAACCAATATTTATGAAGAACCTGGGTCTTTGCATGAAATATTGCGGCTTTACATGCTAAGAAATGGCATTTAATCAAGCTCAACGCGGTTGTGTGAAAAATCCACTACAATTTTTTTTTCAAGATAAAAACCTCACGTAATCATAATACAAGATCGTATTTTGCACTCGGCCTCTGGAGTGCAGTCCGTGTTTCTTATTTTAGTCCCCGCTTTCACCCGGTTCCTTGCTCGTAGTCTACATTCTGTATTTATGTTTTACATTGGGATGAAAAGCAAGAAAATTAATTCTCGTTTAATACTTGCCCGATAAGTAAAGAAACATTCCTTACCGACAAGAGTTAGTAATTCCAAACCCACGTATCTTTGAATCCATTCCCTCCTAAGTTAATCCGAAGGATCGAATAACTAAGAAAAAGCGCTCAGCGAATGCTGCGACAAATCTAGATTTACGAAGCCACGGTTAAAACGAGACGTAATGTAAGGCAAGGGAAATCGAAGATGAAATCTCTTCTGGTACCCAATTTTAATTGACAAAGAGCAGTATAACTTTTAAAACCAAAAATTTGTTCCTACATTGTTTTTCCTGGACTAGGGAATTTTTCTTGCCAAGGTAAAAAAAGAAAAAGTCATCCGGCACAAGAGTTACGCCACCTATTATACATAGTGACTAATACGAAGTCTGACTTAAATTTCATCTCCATTTCAGTTATCCTTCTGAGGACATTATCTATCGCTCTTACAACGAACGTTGTGCGTGGGAACAGGTAAAAAACACACAACTTCATTCTACTATGAACAGCATACAGGAGAAATGTATACGACACATTAAGTCGTTCAAACAAGGCACACCTGGGGCAAAGAAACCGTTGACACCAGCTCGGTTTTCTCGCGGTCAATCGAACGAGGAAGAGTTCGATCAGTATCTGTCATTTGTATATGACAGCCACAAGGTTCCCGGAGATGTCTTCGAATCAGCTTCATCTCCATTTAGGAAGTCGACAAACGAGCATTTGACTAGTAGTACATTCAGAAAACGTACATCTGGTGTGAATGCAGGACAACCGAACATATCAAGAAAAGTTACTTTCAGCCCTTAGTAATGTAAATTATTCCGAAAGTCGACATGTTAATGCCTTTCACGCTGATTACGCATACTTGAAAACTTACAGCAGCCACTGAAGGCCCAAACCGCAAGGGGGTTGAGGTACCCCAAGAAATCTTCACTTTGATTAAGGAACTCCGTGTAGCAATTTCTTAGGTTTTTTATTGAAGATTTTTTGAATTGAAATCAATGAATATTGAGAATTTAGTGACTATTGATATTAGGATATCAAACCTTATTATATCTCTCGGTAAGTTCGAGTGATCAATTTAGCTGGCCGTATTTCACTGTACATCCCGCTCAAAACAAAAGTTTGTTTGAATTGAAATCTTCCAACTCTATTTTAATCCAGAGATACAATAGATATGTTATTAACCTCACGGTCCGTACTAAAAGTTATGTAATCTCGTGTTTTCCGCTTGGACTTACGACCCGCGCGCAGTGCACAGCTTTAAGACCCACATGTCTGCAAACCCCACCCAAAGCCATGCTCACTCTGTACTCTCTGCTCGGCTCGCTACTGACCTCTTTTAAACTTTTGGGTGTATTTATGAGCAAACACCAGAACTAAGCCAACAAAAAACATTCAAATCCTCTGACTATTTATTAAATATACTTTCACCCTTTCCAGGCAGTAACAAAAATCTCACCAGGCTCTCCAATCTTTGCACGCAGAAGCCTCCCCTTGACAATGACAGCTACCTCTGAGTGAACCAAATTAAGATCTCCTACATTCTATTTCTCCTTCCGCTGTTGAAGGTGTGTAAAAAAAGTGTGAAATTATAACTATATCGCTATTTTGGTCAATTTCTAGGTTAAAAGCCGAGCTTTGCTCGCAAGAGCGCAGAAATATATAGAAACCAGACAACTTTGTGTCGGGATAAATTTGAGCCACGCAAGATGGCCGATTTACTGTCTAAAATTTAAAACTTACATGATTAGCTACTAACGATTTCAAATTTATTAAGTTCTAGCAAAGATGAGGGCACAATAAAATAGGCATATGCCCAGAATATATAGACACATCAACGAAAAGAGGAGGAGCAAGGGAGGAGGAGATTTTAAATTTGCTGCGAGCGAAAAAAGAATTTATTAATTAGCTGTAGCAAAAACACATGCACACTCTTATTGTCAACCTCATTCCATATTGAAAAAAAAACAGGACGAACATTAAAAGATGAGACATTAAAAAAAAAACAAAGAAATGGAAAGGAAACCATAAAAAACTTGCCGAAGCTCTGAGACAACAAAATAAAGCACTGCCTAAAAGAGAAAACTCCCAATACCCCGCCTGGAATTCAGGTTAAACCTTAGCCAACTAAGATCAAAACCCAGTGCTTCTCCTGATAGTCAATATTGGAAAAGCATAGAAACACATACTCAATATTCAGTTTTCTGATCCACCCACTCCCCTGGATTTTTTTCCAATAACCCTAAATGCTCCATAACCATCAGAATTTAGAGTGGGCACTGGTGCAGATGTCACAGTGGTTCCACCAAGCCTGTATTGCAGCTTAGAACCAACTCCTGCACAACCTCAACAGGGCAACCAAGCTTATTATGGGTCTATGTAAACAGAAACTATTGCTAGGGAACAAGTGTATGTTATAGAAAATTTAGAGTGACCTCTACCATGCAGGGAGCCAGCTGAACAACTCAAACTCACAAGCAGACTTGACAGCTTAAGCAGTGATGACTACAAGAGTAAAGTGGCAGACAAGTACCCTACGTTATTCCAGAGACTGGATACCATGAAAGACAGTTACTATGTCAAACTCAAAGAAAGCACTAAGCCCTTTCAAGTTACAGTTCCAAGAAAAGTCCCCTTACCATTGTATCAGAAGACAAAAGAAGAATTGGATAGAACGTTAGAATCAGGTGTCATATCCAAAGTTGATGAGCCCACAGATTGGTGTGCTCCCTTAGTGGTTACCCCAAAAAGTAATAGCAAAGTCAGGGTCTGCGTGGACCTCAGCAAGCTGGATAAGTATGTCTAAAGAGAGAACTATCTACTTCCAGCAGTAGACACAACTCTGGGAAGATAGGCAGGTTTCAAAGTCTTCTCAAAATTTGATGCAAACTTAGAATTTTGGCAGATCAAGCTTGCATGGGAATCAAGACCACATTAATCAAGCTATGGGGCCGATTCTCGTTCAATGTTCTACCCTTTGGTATTAGTTCTAGTTCTGAAAAACTCCAGAGGAACATGAATCAGATTCTCCAGGGATTAGAGGGCATAGAATGCAACATAGATAATGTTTTAGTTCACGGAAAAAATCAAGAGGAACATGACGAAAGAATAAAAGACGTACTTAAGTGTCTGGTTGAAGCCGGCATTACACTCAACCTTGACAAGTGTAAATTCAACAAAGACAAAGTTAAGTTCCTTGGGCACATCAGTAACTCCCATGGAATTGAGGTGGATCCTAACAAGCTCCAAGCAATCGTAGAACTCCCACCACCTCAGAATGTGCGAGAAGTCAGCACATTTCTGGGCATAGAACACCAATTAAGCAAGTTTTCTAAGTATCTTGCTGACAAAGCAAAGCGCATCAGGGAATCAGTGGACATGGGGAACTGAGCAACAGAAAGCATTTTAGTAGATCAAAGCTGACCTCACATGAGTTCCAGTACTGGCGCTACATGATCCTAACAAAGAGACCACGATAATAGCTGATGCCTCATACTATGGCCTAGGTGGAGTAGTTCTTCAGCTCCAACCAGACAACTTCAGGCAATCAGTTTCCTCTATTTCGAGAGCGATGACCCCCACTGAGACCAGGTATGCACAGATTGAAAAGGAGGCTTTAGCGCTCACATGGGCATTTGGACGATCATGGGAGTGCATCGTGGGAAATACAATCTCTGTGGAAATAGACCATAAACCCCTCATACCACTACTGAATACGCACACACTGGATCAACTCCCACCGAGGATCCAGCGGCTCAGAATGTGACTGATGAGATTCCACTTTAAAGAGATCAAGCATGTTCCTGGAAAGAAGATATACATAGCTGATGCACTTTCAAGACTCCCAAGCCAGAAACAAAACAATACAGTCTACAATTGATGACGATGAAATGTACACACACATAGAGAGTGTGTTCTCCTCAGATACCAGACTATTGCAGATAAATGAAGCACAGGAAGAGGATCCTGTCTCCAGACAGATCAAAACCTATTTTCTTCAGGGATGGCCTGACAAACATTTGCTAAACGTTGCAATGAAACCATATTAGTCGAGCAGAGGTAAATGTTCTATCATGCAGGACATTCTACTCAAAGCATCCAGGATCCTTATCCCATCCTCCATGCATCTTGAGATATTAGATAGGATTCATAAGGGACATCAGGGAATCACCAAATGCTGCGAGCGGGTCAAAAGCTCTGTTGGGTGACCAGGACTTAGTAGAGAAATCCAGGATCTGGTTCAACAATGTAGGGTTTGCGCTTTGCATAAGAAAAACAAACCAGAACTGCTTAAAGTCAGAGAAAATATAGGTTTAGCATAAGAAGATTCTGTGTTAAGAGGTCTGATTTAGGCTGTGACCATGACCTATCAGACTTTTTCCCTACCCTGGGAATAAATAATGTGATCTCTGACTTTAAACAATTGTTTTATATTTCGCTGAGGCCTTGTAACAAGAATTAGTGTTACAGGGGGTACTAGGGTACTAGAAAGTCTCTCTTAGAAACAGGAACGTCCTTTCGAATAGGTGTTGCAGCCTCTGCTGAAACTTGTTTCTCCTCCAGGCCTGCTGATCTGGTAGTGGGGTTAGGTGAACACGGTTTCTTCTGATTGTGCTTGTTGGTTTCTTAACTTTATATGACTGGGGTGTTGCTGCTGCTGTGATGACTTTAGCATATTTCCATTTCCCAAATTACAGCTTTCTAGAAATCTCTAATTTGGAAAATGGCAATATGCCAAGGATTTTCAAAATAGAAATCTGTAGTTTGCACAAAAAAAAGTTATTCTGAGACTCAAGAAAATAAAAGAGCTTGGGTCAGTTACATTTTCTGAGCAAAAATGATGTTTCATCTAGAACATGCTGTGACACTTTCCGTGTGCATTTCCAGTTAGGTAAGTGTTGTGTCACGCATTCAAATTATTCATCCACAATGTACATTGATAACACCTTATAGACAGTATAGTGTCAACATTTCGAATTACTTTCGCTCTATATGGCCTTAACAATGCATTGAGCTATTCATGAACATATTGGAGATCTCGCAACGTTCACCATGCCAATTTTGCAAATCATTAGCATATTTCCATTTTGCAAATCACAGACTTCTAGAAACAAAAGAAACGTAATGAAAATCTGTAATTTGCAACATGGAAATATGATAATTTGCAAAATAGAAATCATAGCATATTTCCATTTTGCAAATTACAGACTTTCATTTCGTTTCGTTTCATTTCACTTCTTTTTGTTTTGTTTCATTTTGCAAATGTGTAGACATTTTGTCTATATGTGTAGATAATTACTTCAGAAATTCCTATTTAAGCAGTATTCAGAAGTATAGACATGTAGGTAATATGCTTTTGCTTTATTTAATTGTAAGAGGTTTCTTTTATGTAACATATATCCATTACTTTAATTTCCTCCTTAACTTGCCTGCAAATAATCAACTTTCTTGTTTTAAGTCAAGTGTGAGAAGATAAAACAGAAGTGTTACAGAGTTCTCTTTCCAAACTGAATTCAGGGGAGAACATCAGTATACTAGTTACTGTTATATACTTCCCCTGAATCTTCAATTTTATTGCCTTGGTTTTTTTTCACAAAGCCTCTTTTATATCTGTGTGCCAGCTAACGATTAAAATCTCAGTGGATAAGATATGCTATATTTTAGCAGATTTTTTAAATTCCATCTTTAAGTTTTTGGCATTTATTATTTTAAAATTCACAAATGGCATTCCCTTTTCATCCTTGTAAAGAGATATTACACAAATGTGAATCATGAAGTCAAGTGGATTTCAATGACTTTGAAACTTCATTCTACATAAGATCATTTTACTGGAGTATTTTATATTATACGGATACTGATGAAATACCAGGATCTTTCTTTTTACTAAAAAGTCATATCCTCATTACGCGCAGTGAAGATACTATTTTTATCTTTCACATGTGAAGATATTGGTGTTGCCATGGTTACTAACATGATTAGCCAACTACAAGAGAGCTTCCTGCTCAGGCACGCTGCCGGTTATATTGAAATTTCATTCACAAAATGGCTTCAAGATGCAAAGACGGTACAGTTACCAGTGACTCTCAATGAGCTGTCAAATTTTCACATCAAAATTTTTCAAGCATGTAGAACGTTTAGGAAGATTTGCCGAGGTCTCAGAAAGTGATGTTGAAAAATTCATTGCAGGGGAAGAAAATGCAAACACTTAACAAAAGACCTTCTATGACTTAAAATTAGTAAAAAAAGTTTCTGGTAAAAGAGCACCATGAAATCAGAGAAATAGAGAAGATTCCTCCAACTGAATTAGACAGCTACTTGAGCCAGTTTGTTTTAGCTGCGAGGACCAAGACTAGCAAAGATTATGAACCGTCATCTCTCAGTGGAGTTCGGGCTAGTGTTGAACGACATTTAAGTCACTCCAGTTATGGCATAACTATCTTCAAAGACAGTCGTTTCAAAAAAACAAGAAACACGAAAGTGAAACAAAAGCAACTCAAACAACATGGACTTGGAAACAGACCAAAAGCCACATTGGCTCTTATGAATGATGAAATTGGGATTCTTTTTGACAAATAGTTGCTTGGATTAAGTTCACCGCAAACTCTGTTAAATACTGTGTGGCTAAACAACAAGATTCACTTTGGCCTTCACGAATGTAAAGAACAAAAAGAACTCCACCGGTGAGACATCGTTTTAAAAACTGAGTGATGGTAAAGAATATCTTGAGTACTTTGAACACCAAACAAAGACTCGAACGGGAGAGGATCCAAGGAATCAATGGCCGATCAAGCTGCAAATGTATGCTAACAACAATGCCATTTCTATTGATTGTGATTTGGTGCACGTTTACAACATGTTTAAAGAAAAATTGCCACCATCCATGCTAGAACTGGATTCAAGTTTCTACTTGTCTGTAAATTACTTTAAAACAGAAGCTCATGCATCAGTGGAAGGCAAAAACTGGTTCAAAGCACAACCAATGGGAGTGAACAAGTTAAACAATATCATGAAATATGACAAAAGTGGCGGGAATTTCAGGCAAAACAAACCATAGTGGTAGAAAAACTTTAATGCAAAAATTGCAGGACAGTTGAGTTCCTCTCAACCAGATAGTTCAAATAATGGGGCATAAAAACTTACAGTCAGTTGACAATTACAGTTCTCTGCAAGAAAAGCAAATAGAAAGTATTCCATGCATTCTTTCCTTGACAACCAAAGCAGCAACCAACGTCGCACAGAACGAAAAGAACTTGACAGCGCAACCCTTGGCTGAGTATTAAATTGCTTCAATGTCTACCCCTTCATCTGACTTGGATGTGAATTCCTTCGATGAGAGTAAGCTCCGAATGATGTTTCACAGAAATAACATAACTCGCTTTGCTCACTTGTGATAGATACTTTCAGCACGAGAAGATAAAATTTGCATCCCCAAGCGGCCATGTAAGATCCTATATTTATTTGCTGTCTTTCTGGTACATATGATTACCATATTTTTTACCATTTTTCTGGTACATATGATTACCATATTTTTTACCATTTTTCTGGTACATATGATTACCATATGTCTTGACATATAACATCCTCATATAACATCTTTAACATCCAAGATTTAATTAGTAAGTCTCCTAACTGTCTGCCATACAATTTATGTGATGTTAGTTGGGAGAATTTGGAATTGAATCAACCAATAATCCCCTAATTGATATTTTTCTTCTTGTTTTGGATGATCAACCTCAGGGATTAAAGGGATAAGAAATGTACACATTTATTATGCTCCTCGCATTTGTTGATAACAATAGTTAAGATTGTTAGTAAAGCATTCTCATTACTTTTCTGTTTGATATCATATTGATAAAGTAAGAAGAAACTCTGTCTATGTCACTAGTAGTGGGACACAAAGGGTTAAAATGGGGGATTTCATAATATTGTAATAATTCAAATATTCTTATGTTCTCAAATGTAACAAAAAATGTGATGAGAATGTGATGTTATGAAACACTTACAAAAAAAAAACCTGTTGAAAAAACCTGTTGCTGGTAGCTTGTCTTTAATGTTTAAATTTTCATGGGAAATGCTTTTCTTTGAAAGCTGGGATACAGAAGTTTTTTTGTTTCATCTAATTATCCTTGAAATGTTTCCCAAAATCTCATTTTCCTTTACAGTTAAAGGAAATTATTACTTCTTTCATGCAGCTACTCTCATGCATGATACAAATTTCACTTGGTCTTCGGTTTGTTTTGATTAATCCAACGAACTCTGCTGTGAGATATCAGAATAAAACTTTAGCGGTTGTTCCGTCAACAGATGATCAATTTTAGCTTCATAAATGATTTAGCCAAGACTGTTCTGTTTATCAGTTGAGTCTCTACTAGATCCAGGCTTGATAATTCATGATGATCTGAAATTGAATTTCCTAATATTGAGTGTGATTAAAACTCAACTAAAACAAAGCCTATTAAAGCTAGCTTTCAAAAATCGCCACTATACTGACTTTAGGAGGAAACATAAGTTTAATCAGTTCCTTACCTTGACTACTATCATAAAGCGTAGCATTTCAAAAGGTAAGACTTTGACATTTCTGCTATTGTTATTTCCATTTTTTATTTCTTTGAAATTGTTATAGATGAGCCAAGTTTTAGATAATACTCTGAACTGAAAACAAACCAAGAAAAATCAGAACTAAAAAGAGATCGAATTTGAAGTTAGGTGTTGTTACCTATCTCATATGAAGTTTTGATAATGTGAATCTTTTAGATTATCAACGTCAGGCTTTGAATGTATTATTCCACTGCTGTTAATCCTGAAAGTGTAAAGTCATGGGCGAGGTCTCTCTCACTCAACAGGGCCACTCTTTAGATTTGTGAGCTTTAAATTCAATCAATTCAAAAGAAAGGGATTTTTTTGGAGTGAATTTTATTCAAATATTCTCTTTGTTGTTGTTTTCTCATAGCAATGCAAACTGAACAGCACAATATTATACTGTGCAGAGAAGTAGTGTTTGAAAATCCCTACGTATACAAAAAGGGGTCTCCCCAGTGCAGTGAAACTTGGAAGAGAATTGTAGATGTTCTAAACAAATGTGCTTCCCCACAATTTAATTTTGCCCACATAGCCATCCGGGACCACATCAATGTCTTGGTAAACAAGTACAAGAAAAAAATTAGAGCTGAAGAAAGAGCATCAGGAATTTCTCCAGATGAGCCAAGTAAATTAGATGGCCTAATACAGCAGATTACTGCCCTTGAAGAGAGTTCTCCCATAGATACATGCAGTAAGGATAAAGCTGACAAAGGTAAAGCAGAAGATGCAAGAATGAAAGCTATGGAAAGGCTTTTCTAAGGCAAAAAGAGGGCGTCAGAGGGAGCTGAAGAGGGTGAGAACAGACCAAAACGAACAGGAAGAAAAACTGGAGATGCCATGGAGTTTCAAAAGGAAAGAGTACTGAGGTTTGCAGAAATTAGAGAAAAGGAACTTGAGCTGGGAAAGGGAAGACAGGAACAACAACTTCAAACACAACAATAACAGGCTGATATCCTGAAGCTAATGCACCAGCAACAACTGCAAAATCAGCACCAACAGCAAAATGACAGAAACAGGAAAAACATGTTGAGCTTTTTCCTATTCACCAGTAAGTTAATTAGATTTTAGATTCTACCTTCAAATTGAGGGAGATTAAATTTTTCATATCATGCTACATTATGGTTTCTTTACATGGAAAGGTAATTGTTTTTATAGCTTCACAGATGTTTTTGTTGCCATTGCGATTAGCATTCTGTAATATATTAAGTACCCTCTAGGGTTACTGTGTATGTACCCAGAATACATTGCTGGAATAAAGTTGTGTTGAAGCGGCCATGTTGTTTGACCTCGTGGGTTTATATCACTAGCAATATATTACACATTCATAACAAAGTTTCATAACATGTTTCAAGAACTCTCTTCCTTTTCTTCAATACTATCTACTATTTCTGGAGCACAACTAAGGGAAGCAGGTTAATAAAAATACATAACTTTTACTTTAGGTAATTATTTGAATATGTGAGTAACATTTGATGCTTTCACATGTAACAGGATGATCAAGTTGACAATAGCATCAAAAAAGAGTGAACTCCACTTTAACAATTAGGTGACTAATTTGGAAACTCAAGCACTTGGTAAATGCACCTTGGCTTGCAATTCTGATAACATTTTGCTGATGTAATTGAAATGTCAGTCCTCGAGCAGGAACCTTCCACATGACCTGTACAGTCATATGCTATGAGATAACTTTAGAAAAATGCATTTGTATTGCTAGAACTATTGTAAGTACAGTACCACCTAGTGACAAAAAAAAGATTTCATGTAAGCATGAACGATTGGGAGAAGTAATGCTGGTAATTGACCCTTTCTTTGCTGGGATACATAGGGTCTGATGATTGTAATGTACATCTTTTAGCTTTCAAACTTTTAACTTGGTATTAATTGTAACTGTTTAAAATATCTATTTCTCTATACCTTGAGCCCTCAAAGTTAAAAGAGGTGAGTCAATAACCTGGCTTCCTTTGTTTGGAATTGTGTGAATATATAATTTTACAGTAAATGGTTTGAACCCAGGGTAACATGTAATAGTGTAGTTTGATCGTCCGGGTGAGTGTAGTCCTGAGAAGGAAGTCATCATCGGAGTCAAGTGAAAGGTTGGGGCCAGTCGAATGTACTTAGTCCAGTTTTTGTACACTGATTGGTCAGTTTTGCTATGATGTTATTGGCTAAAAGACTCAAATGGCGTAGGTCAGTCGTGATTGGTTGGTTTGGATCCGTTAGTGAACTTAGGTCGTTCTGTTCGATTTGTTTTTCGTATAATTTTGCTGTGTAAGTTACCACACTGTAACATGTAATATTATTACTTAGATTGCATTAAATACTCTAGCTCAAGCTTTCATGCATGCATGGTGTTTCTTACCAATGCTCATGCCCAAACTAAACTTTGACACGAGTGACTGGTCACAAGGTATGTGAGTTTTAAAGGGTGGGAATCTGGAAAAGCAAGGATCCTCCTTTAATGAGGACTAAGAATTAATGGGGCCCTCCTATTTTTATTCATGTTTAGGACACATAGATGAAGAAAACATTGTTTATATTTTGAAGTGTGAAAGTTAAATTAATTGGTATCCACATAATGCACAAAGCAAGAATATAAATGCCTTAGCGAGGTTTAAAAATTAAAATAAGAGTGATGCAAACAGTATCTTACTTGTTATGCTCCTCTGGATATTTATTCAAATAACACAGTCACTATCAGTCTCATTCACTCTCACTTTCCACCGACCTTGTGGAAAGATGATAGCCTCAGTATTTCTTTAAATGAAGAAAGGATAGCCTGTCCTTTTACCTCAGATAGTTCTTTTGTGCGTTATCAGTACAAATCTAGTCTAATTTAGGTAACTGTGAAGAACAGCTCTCCCCACTGACTGTCAGCCAACAGTCGGCCGACTGTTAGTAATATGTTGGCTGACAGTCGGCCAACAGATTCATTTGGGTTTTGCTGAAAAGATAACTTCAACCAAGGCCAACAGTCCAACAACTCTCAGTTGACTGTC